CTATTGAATTTTTCAAAAAAACAATTAAAATTTTAAAGTTTTTCAGAGCTGTTTCTTTTTAGTCCTTTATAATTTTGAAATTAAATTTCTGAAATTTAACCATAAGTAGTATGTGTCACGCATATTATAATAATTTATGGTTTATGTTTTTTGACAATTACGGTAAAAATAAAATAACAAATTAAATGAAAGTTTAAGTAAAATGTTAAGATCGTTTATATACTTGTCAATGTGATAATGTGTATGATATATATATACACGGTGTCCCACGAAGATACCCCCATTGCAACACCTCGTAAAATAACAAAGATGAGACAATTCTGGTTTTTTATTTTTTTATTAGGTAAGTGTGTTTTGGTAAAAAAGTTATTAAAAAACTTTTTATTTTTTTCGAAAAATTTGAAAATAAACATTTCATAGAGTTTATTCTTCTGAACATTTTGACGTTTCGACTTTTTATTTTCATTAAATTCGTGGTTTTTATTCATTTTTGTTAAAGTTCAGAGAAAAGCACCTATAATTATCCAGCAGGCTGTAATCGCGTTCGCCAATTGATTATTATTATTATTATTATTATTAATGTTTGTGGACAACGAAAACAACGTCTATGGTGATCAGTAATAATTCGAGAAACTAACGAGTAAATATTTAATTCCGCGCGCGAGACCGTCCGCCGAACCCGTTCTCAATAACACGAGGAATGTCCGGCACGTAACGTGACGATCGAAAAATATATCGATTAGAAATATTGCGCGTATCNAAAAAAAAAAAAAAAAAAAATGTCTCCCTATTGTGAAAATTGCTCCTAATGTCTTATGGCGGGCTATAAATTACATTTCGATTCGTTTTAATAATTTGCGATTATATTCAATAACAATCGAGTACGATGTATTTCCGCGCGTATAACGCACCGTGCGGATAAATTACATTTTTCACGTGTTTTTTTTTTCTGTTTAACTTTAAAAGTAGATGTTATCATTATTTTTTATTTATTTTTTTTTTTTTTCCGTAAAATATACATCGCTACCTATTAAAACTATATAGCTACTCAACAGTCGGTTGTGGCGTGCGCGAAATCCTACGAAATCAATTTAAAAATAATTATTCGCAGAAACACGCGTTTCTACTACACACTATGCAAATTAATTGGAAAGCCAGTAGCTGATATTCGAAATATAATGCAGACTACCTATATTGCAGTGCAGCTTTTTACAATTTAACACATGACGAATGGCCCTCTCCTTTATAACGGTCTAAAATTTACGAAAATCAAGAACCGTCAAACACTTTTTTTCGTCCTTTTGATTTTTTAAAAACTCGAAAATTGTCGAATGATTTAAAAAAAACTTCAACCACCAAAAATACAGCATAATATTGTAGATTCGCATAACGGTAATCCAAAAGTAATAACAAGTTCGTAAACTGCTCATGTAGTTTTGGAAATAGAAGTTTCTTTCATTCACTCAAAATTCACCTGATTTCAAAATTGTTTTTTTCTCCATCATTTAAATGAACAACTCTACAAATCAGCTATTTTCGAATTTGTTTAAAAGTTTTTACAAAAAAAAAAAAAAAAAGCGGTTCTCGACTTTTCTTTATTTTAGACCATTATAAAAGGAACGCTATCAGTAATATATTACAATGATTAAAAAAATTACGCTACAATATTTCGATGTTTCGAATTACAGCTACTGATTTTCCAATTAATTTACATACTGTATAACGAAGAGTTCGGGCAAGCTAATGGCCGTTATATTAACTCGGTTACGTTAATTGGGAGAAAAAATATACAACTAGTTAACACGTTAAAAGTTCACCGATTAATTCAATCGATACAACGAATAGTTCAATAAAAATTAATTTGATAATTAAATTAGACTATTTTAACGCGATCATTTTGGGTTTTTTGTAAAATTGTCACTGTCGTAATGCAGTAAAAATAATTAAGCGTATCCGCTTTAATGTTAAACAAAGAGGGTTTATTCCGGTGCTAACAAATTACTAAGGCAATCGTTATGCTTGTTTGATGTTTGTGTTAAATTAGATAAAAAAAATCGAAATTAACATAACGCGATATGAATATTATAAGTTAAGTATTTATTAAGTAGATTAAAAAAAAAAAAAAATCAAAAGGCTAAAATTGATTAAGCTAATTATGCTAAAGTTAAATCTTAATAGCCACTTGAATTTTGACTCTATAACCTGTTATATTACCTTTTTTAACCTTCTTAGACTTTTTTTTTTTTTCATAATATTACACAGAAATTATTAACTTTTTACTCGATGTGTATATAATATTAGCAATCTATACCTATATACTCATAACGGATTGAAAATATTGAATTTTACAAAAAACAATATAAAATTAAAAAAACATTTTTGCGAGCTAATTATGTATAATATAACAAAAATCATACTGTAAGAATGAAAAACTAATTTTCGTCCTAAACATATTCAGTATGAATACTTATAGTAAAAAACAAAAATTACCCCAATCATTAAAAATATCAATAAGTATATCATAAATAATAATTATAATTATTATTATTATTTTTTTTTTTTTATTGTTTTTATTTATCCGTTCGATGCTCTTTTATTTATACATAAAACATACTTTGATTTCAAAACAAAAAAATTAAAATGTGTAGTTGTATTATTTTACTCAAAACGCGTACTGAAGAGTAAATTGAATTATAATTTACAATATTATTGCGTAATGAATAACAATTAGAACTTTTCAACGGACACTTTTTTCCTGTTTTCGGCATTTGAAAAATGTTCTTGATTTTACCTTCGACGTACCTGTTCTAAATGACAATACTGAGTACCAAAATGATTAATTTTAGACGCGTTACCAAAACAACAGAGAAAATTGTTGACGGTTAATAATATAAACACATGTTCCGGCTTCCAAACGCACTTTAAACAATAAACTTCGGTTTCCATAGATAATTTTTAAACTTTGACATGATTAGGCAACGTAGTAAGTATATTATTATGCTCGTGTGTAGAAACTTAAATCAAATAAACTATCTCAATGTATTAATAGTTAAAGGGAAGTTTTTAAAATATTCAACTTATATTTTGGTAGGTACCTATTTATTTTTAAGTAAAATGGCTGATATGAACGCTCATAATATTAAAACTAATTGTGATGATAATATATAATACCGACAAATACTCGAAGAAAAAAAAAGGCTCAGCTCAGAAAGAGATTGTGACTTTCTAAAAAAAAAAAATCCAACCGAAAAATGCGTTGATGTAAACATTTGTCTAGCTTTTAATTTTCTCAATTCTCTTCTTACATTTATCGTTTAATCTTTTCATAATATTGTATCGGTTTTTGAAGATTTTACTTTCCAGCACTTTTGGTGTTTCAAAACATTTAAATCGAAATCATCAAAATCGTGTTTCGTTAACAATGGTTTATTAATGGGGTTAACCACCTACATACACACACGTTCCCAGTATCAGCTCTTATTAAGATTCTGAGCAGGTCGCGGAATGCATTAGTTTTATAATCATTTTTTGTTATTGAAGTTTTGAACAACTTTTCTACCAAAAATCTTGTTTCGATTTTCAAGTGTAGTACTTTTTCTAAAAGGAAATTTTTTCTGTGCGGTACATTAAGAGGACGCCACACCCGCATCTTATTCCAACTACCGAGTAACCTGTAAAAACAATACCTACCAACCTACGCAGACTAAGTAAAACTAGCTTAGTTTTGATTTTAGAGAAAAAGTAGTTAACTATTAGGAAATGTATATAGAAGAATATTTTGAAAGGAATCTCATCGAGTTTTTGTGTATAATTCTAAATATACAGATATAAAAAGATATAAAAAGCTCAACAACTTTTTTCTTTTAAATTTTTTAAAAAACTGCAACTGAAAGTTTATAAATCATAATTCAAAAAACATCTATGAGATTCCCTCCAAAATACTGGTCTCTATACATTTTATAATAGTGAGATATTTTTACTCATTAAGTCAAAATTAAGCTAGTTTTACTTAGTCTGCGTAAGCATTATTTTTGCATGTTGTCTAATAGTTGGACTGAGACAGTAAATGAGAGTGCGGCGTCCTTAAGATCGTTTTTTTAAATTTTTATGGTCTAATATGCAAAAAAAAACTTCAAAATTACTTTTATGATATTATAGCTGATAAAGAAAATAACTATTTGCGGTATAATAACATGTTAACAAATGCAATAAATTTTGTGCCGTTCTTAAGATTTTTAACTCACTATATGACTCTTTTTATTTTATTTTTTTCAGTCTTACAAAATCCAAGATAGCAATTGCATAAATGTATTTTGAAATAAAATATTAGTTTCACAAATATTTATTAATGACGCGTCGTTATTTTCTATAATTTTTTTTTATGAAAAATTGGCGAATCATTTGATACCTATATATAACAGCAATGAAAACAATTTAAATTGTATTGTAAACTTCAAAAAATTGTAGACAATTAACGACTTGTCGTTAATAATCATTTGTAACATTAAAATTCTGTTTCAAAATAAATTTATAAAATATGGCTATCTTGAATTGTGTAAACAAAAATATGAAAAATATACATTTTCTATTTTTAGTTTTAAAAAATACATATAAAATGTAAGTAGTATACGTCTCATTTAGTAATTATACAAAAAAAAAAAAAAAACTAAAAAATATCGAATAAATTATTTTATTTTCACGAACTGAAACCGAAGTAGATAAAAAAACGACTCGGGCTCGGGGTATCGTTTAGTACTGGTCCGCGCATAAAATTCACCGCGGCCGCGCTTTTGGTATGCACTAAAATCGCAAGATTCGTCCGTTCTGTTCCTCCGTATATTTATTATACGGTAATTATACTGTGATTTGCCTACTCTTTTTATTGTTATTTTTTTTCTCCCGACGTTTTATGCAAAGTCAACACAACGTGTTCGTGAGCCGGCCGTATAAATACTGGCCGATCGCGTCCACCGAGTACTTGTGCCAGTCAATCCGTCAACATGAAGACATCAGTGGCAATCGTAGCATCCGTTCTGTTGGCCGGCGTAGCCCTCGACGTGACCGCCTTCAGCGTTTACAGCCAGAGAGAAAACGGTGAGTATTATCATCATCGCACGTCATCACTGGCGTTTTGTTTTTTGAAAAAACATCCCCCCCCTTCCCGAAAATAGAGACTGTACTGCCAGGGCCGGAATAAGCCCAAGTATAGTCTATCGATGAACGCAATGGTTTCATATAGGTCGCCATTTTAAACGTAGCTCTTTACGCGTTTTAACCCCAAAAATAATTTAAATAACTCACACGTATACAATATACATATAACGATCTGAATTATTGTTATTTCGATTAGAAAATTCGCAATGGCCGAGTATGACGCAAAGAGTCAGGTCCCAGTCCAGTTCAGACGTATCTCCAAATCAGGAGCATACCGTAAATCTGGGTGAATTCGACGACGAATACATCAACGACAACAATAAAAACCACCACGGACCAATGCGGATCAACAAGGAATACGCCGTCGAAAAAATCAACCGTTACCAGACCAATGGAAATGACGAGTCGTCGATGGAATATTCGTTGTACAAACGACAGCCCGAAGGTCGCAGATATCACACAGCTTCCAGCGGGATCACCAAGAAGATCGTCGACAAGATCACGGCCATTCAGAAAATCGCCATTGATCGCTCGGCCGAACAGATCGACCACCTCAACAGGGATATCGAAATCAACAAGAGCGTCATCAAAATGTCGGGACACAACTTCGTGACGTTCTACAACGCGACCATGAAGAACCTCGAAGCCGGCCATTTGGAATCGTTGTACATCAACCCCGGCCGCGACACCGTATACGTGCTGTACAAGTTCGACCAGCTCAAGACCGTCGGATCGTTCAAGTCGAACGACGCCTACTTCAAGTCCGGTTATTATACGATCGTTTTGAACAAGATCAACAGCACCGTGACGACAGGTTTCGAAAACAATCTGCAGCGACCGGCCCTGGAACCGGCCAAGTTCCTCTACGCAGACGCCGACATCGTGACCGAGAACGGTACCGAGACCCAAGCGTTCAACGACGCTCTGGAGCACCGTTACTTGAGAGTGCTGGGAAACGCCGTGTGCAACGAAGTGTTACAGTCCACCGGTCGCGGTATGGTCGCGCAATTGAAAAACGAAATCCGCAAACCCATCGCGATCGCCCAGAACGCCGCCGATAACAAGGCCAAGCTGTTCGACATGAAGTGGACCGAAGACGATTTCTCTATGGAAATGTCCAACGTCGGGTTCAGGGACTCGACAGCAGTCAGCCAACAGGCCGACCGGCTTTTTAACTCCGTGGTTTTCCAACGCAAGTCCGAGAACGCGTACAGCATGGGTTACGACTTCGTCTTGACCGGTTTGGAATGGACGTCGGTACTGACCGTCGAGTATGCCGGTAACAAAATGAACACCCGTCCGACCAACTTCAAAATCGAAAAAGTCGACCTCCGCGTGACCGTATTTAAATCGCTGGACCGACCGCAACAACAACAGAACAGCGAATGCGAAAAAGTCAACACCGATATCGAGATAACCGGTTTACAGTACGAATTCGACGACGAGATGGCCGCAGTTCAATCCGAACTCTTGTCTCTGGCCAAGGCTAAGCTCCAACGTTACATGGTACGCTCTTTGGAATCGCACTTCCAAAATTCCGTGAAGCAAGCGATTTGCAATCACAACAACAACAACAACAACAACAACAACAACTACTAATAATAATCTCGAATCGATAAACCGAGAGTTATTTATTCTAAATTAATATTTAATAATTATAGATTTTTTAAAATATACATAGATTTATACATTTAATACAATAGTTGACAATACATATTACATTTCATTAAATTATTTATATTATAATTTTTATCTCCCTTTTTACAATAATGCAATATTTTTACAATAAAACAATTTTTATGAATAAATTAAATAATTTATTTATAAAAATAATTTAATTCCTAGAACAAAAAAAAATATGATAACACTGAGGTCGTTGACTTAATTTCACGTTGGCGACGACGTACACTGACCTATCCCAATTTGAAATTTCAGCAAATATAAAATTTAAAAAAAAAATATTAAAATAATACTATGACGAACGATAATGGTAAAAAAAAAATCAACAAAAATGTTGTCCCGTTTCATACGGTGTTGAAATAAAGACATTCAGCACGTTTGAAAATGTACGGATTTGCTTTTAAACGATGCAATATACTAGGTATACATTACCTAGGCTAACAAAAACAAAACGAAAAAAATAACACTGTAGGTATAATAAAACATAAAGTTCTGCAGTTTACACTCTGTATGACCGTATACATATATTTCATTGGCTAATTTAGTTTTTGCCAATATTTTTTAATATAATATATATTATATTAAACATACATAAGTAGAAAAAAAAGTATTTACGCGTACAGTAAAACAAAATGTCTAGGGGATATATGGCTCCTATGCGCCCCCTCCCCCCTTAAACACATCGACAGTCAAAAATGTCAAAAATCGAGAATAATATTTTGCATTACTTGTACACCGCAATGTACACAAAATAATAATACTTACTTAAAAATATTAATACATGATCAAAACTGTCAAATCAATACAGTCAAAATACTGCGTACTTAATTACTGCGTAATTTATTATCTTAAACAAATTCGTCATATTGTCTAAATAAATATACATTATACACATACGTACACAAAATATACCTGCTTCAATATAAGAGAAAATTAGAAAAAAATGAAATGTCTTTTAAATTATTTGTCTTATTATGATTTTAAGCAAAGTCGTATTGTATATAAAGTGGCTAAAAAAGGACAACATTTATATTTTTTGGAGCGCAATCGTGTTGTACTTTTCAGGGGTGAAAAGCTAAAACAAACACAATCGTGCTTCGCTGTCGATTAGTTATGCACATTACTTATAGTGTTTACAACTGAAAATACTTTATGCGCGCAAAGACAATACGAGTGACTTTTTAATGGAAATTTGGTCGTCTACAGATTATCTAAAACCGTAATGTTTACGAACAATTGTAATTATTTATTTTAACTTATAACCTCAAAACTGGTGACAGGTTAAACTTAAGACTAAACTAGGTTTAAGTGGGAAGAGATACAACATGAAAGTAACTTTTTAAGCGAAATGGGTGGTAGTGGCCCAAACTAAACAGCATTGAAAAGAAGCGGAGAACGGTGCAGTTTTAAAATAATACCGCTGTAGTTTGTAAAATTCACAGTGAACCTGAATTAATGGACAATTATAACTATAAAAAATGCCTTTGTCAAGTTTTTGTTCAATCAAATAGCTAGTAATACTAGTTGAAAAGGTATATGGTACTTTTTTTAAAAAATTTTAACTTAATTAGTTAAAAAAAAAAATAGAATATTAGAAAATAACTTAATTATTTCTTTGTGTAAAAATGTTTAACTCAAATTAATGTTATTTTGTTAAAAACTAGGTTATTTACGTTTTTCTTTTTTTTTTATAAAAATACTGTGTCTTTTTGCATTTTTACATTTTTATTTTTGACGTGAATATATTACCATTATCACATAACAAGACCAAGCTGCAGTCCAAGACCTAGGTTTTATCATTTTTCGTATTACATATTCTTTTTCTCAACAAGTAGATGCGTGCCCTAAAATGCTGTTTAAATGATTACGAATACTATAGAAACCCACTGATCGTATTCGAACAAATAATTAAATAATAAAGTAAAAACAAAATTATTAAAATGGTTTACACACGTAAATATAGTCAATAAACATTACCAGTACCGATAATATTATTGCAGATATCATTATCAGAAAACGTTGTTTTTTTTTTTATATATATACAATTCGACCCCTAGAATAAAAATTGTCATTAATTAATATTTAATCATTACACACTTTATAATTTCAGATTACATACATTGGATTGCGTATTATTTCGTATTATGCGTGAAACATAGCCCTGCTACATGGGCCACATGGGCCACACGCATCGAGTTTTTTTTAAGTTTATGAAAGTTCATAAAATAATAATAATAGAGTTACGAAGCACGTTTATAGTTAAAGGTAATTTAAATGTACCCTTTAAATTTTAACTCCACTTAAATCATTATTTTCCTGAAAATTGTATAAAATAACATAAGATATGTAGTTATTATTTAAATTCGTGTTTACTTTATTTTTTGAAATTATAACTAAACTTGGTTTAGTCATTTTTATTTTAGGATACTGAACTTTAAAAATAGTTTCAAAAAATTGCTCAATTATTGTCCAGCTTTGACTGAATTTTTTTTATAATACAACCATTGTATAACGACACAAAACACTCCGATCAAAATATCTTTAAAATTATTTAAATTGTTAATTTTCTTTATATTTTTTGTTATTGGAAAAAATAAATAACTTTTTGACGATTTATATTTTATACTACAAAATTTATGCGTGGTATAAAAAAAAGAAACAACCAAGTCTTGGTTAGTCACAGTTCTACAACTAGAATCTTCGTTTTATTATTTTCCTTGTATTACAGTAAAACGTACAAAAAGGTCGTAAAAAAAAAATAACACGATTACTTTATTGAGTATTTTTTTTTTTTTTTTTAGGTATATAATTAGATACTCGGCTGTCGGCATTTCTCGGTTATATCAGCAATATTATTGTACCGGTACACGCGGCAGTCCGGCTAACACGCGCCCTTCGATATCACATTCGTCTTGTCCTCTGATTATCCGGAACAGCCCTTTCTCGCCCCAATACTCGGTCCACGAGTTGGCGCACAGCCAATACTTGGTACCGTTCTCCGCGCCCCAGCCGATGATTTTGATCGCGTGGCCGCCTTCTATTTCACCTCTGGTGTACCGGTATATGCCTACGACATTACGTGTATATTGTCGTGTGCACGGAAACACAGCCGTTAAAAAATAACCCAAAAGAGTTCAATATCATACCCGGTGACGGAAACTTATAGGTATATATACTCACCGCTTTTGTAATACATGAAGTCCGTATAGACGTAGAAACCCGCTTGGACGGGACCGTGCTTGTATATTTCCGCCATGATTTCCTCTTCTGAATTCGGCAGGGAGTACGCTTCCTTAACTACGGCGAATTCAAACATTCGTTTTATAATTTTATGCGAGAAAATGATTAAAAGTTGAGGGTTATGAATGCATGAATGTATCATGATGTAAGGATAATATCGTGCAGGTCTAAGAAGAGTCGGGGGGAGGGAGTACAGTTGACCTCGTACACTCAGACGTCAGATCGTTTTAAGAGTTTAAAAATTTACCATAATGCAAATCGGCCCTGTAATCGCCAGTATATTTCGAATTGGAGCACGTCTTGACGGCACACTCGGGCGTATCGGGATCTTTATCTATGCAACGTTTTCCGTTTCTACCGCACGAATAAATGCTGTACGGTTGACAACCCTGCGAGACGATAACGACGTTCGGGAGTTATTAAATCGCTTAGAAGTTTTGACGAAATGTCATGAAGTAAACATATAGTGGAGTCTATAGTCTGTACCTCGTTCGAGCCATAAGCGCCGCCCGTGACGATACCGTGCCGGGCGAAGAAAGCCCAAGCGCCCTCGGGGAATCCTCCGTCACACCCGTGACCGCACCGGTAACAACAGTTGTTCAGGTGTTCGGCCGATAGGTTCTTGGCCACGGCCCCTCCGGACGCTATGCACAGCCTGTCGCTGAACACTGAAGCCGCGGACACGGCCTGCAAAATATGGTAAGGTTCGGTTAGGTCACAGCGGTTCGCGGTTTAAACCGCAACTGTATAGGTTTTATTTTATATTTACCCAACACGATCCGCAGTTAGACTGGTCCTTGATCGGGGCGATCACCGAATTGCACATGGGCCACCTTTCTCTGGCGTCGAACCTCTCGGGCAGCTCGTCCGTTATTGCGTTGACGTTATTGTTGTTTGCCGACGCCCGGTACTTGATAGGAGCGAACTTGAACGCGTTCCGGTTCCTGGGCAACAAGCCCATTAACCTACCGAAGTTCGCTTGGTCCACCGGAATCGCGTTGTTGTGGCCGGCCTGTAACGAACACATTACTAGGGCATCGTGTTATACCAATATAACCGTTGACCGGGTTAGGTTTGGCATTAGGTTTTAACCGACGTACCTTCCAAGTGCTGGCCGGATCGCTGTTTACCGAATTGACGATAGACGCCGCACCGTTACCGCCGGAGTCCTTCGCGACTACGACTGAAAGAACGGCCAAAAAACATACCGCAAACATTAGCATTTTTTTCATTTTTTTTGTTTTTTTTTCGGACTTTTGTTAGCTGCTCGTAATTGCGATGAAAACCGTCTGGATATTGCTTAGGCGGGCCCGAAAACCGTTTAGACCGACTCAGCCGAATAAACACTCGAGACGGCCGGCAAAGCCACGGCAATAAGTAGTATAGATATCCTAACAATAACTGATAATAATGTTGACGAAATCGACGTGATTATTATACGAATATAATACGCTATAATTAATCCTAAAGATTAAATTCGCCAAACAATTGAGGCAATTCCGTAGGCTGTGCTAAAATTGTTTTTCGTTTCGTTTAATTGTTTTGAAGATACGATTTTGAAAACTTCTTCGTTGTTTTTTCAACACAAAAAAGATCTACGAATTTAAGAAATGTTTAAATATTATTTTAATGACGTATCAAACAATTGGGTTCAAATTCCAAAATGTAACTGCTATTGTAAAAATACGCATACATTAACAAGGGGAGCGAAAATATCTCGAGAACCGAAAGAAACAGCTCTGAAATATACGCTGCTTCGGCCGTTAATATACCGCCGTAAATGTTAGTGAGGAAAATCTCTATATTAAAAAAATGACATGTAAAACAGTTGTAATAAAATTTAAGAGAAACGTGTCTGATGAAGAGATAGTAGGTGTATGATGTCGGGTACTCGGACTGTAAACTTTCGTGTAGGTACCAGTTATATTGAATATTGATAATATAACACTCGAACTTCCAAGACGATGCGTAAATTGATGTACGAAAAATTGAAAAAGATTTTTTTTTTCTATTATCTTTTAATCCGTTAATCGCAAAAACATAATGATCGGCGCTGTTATAGTGGTTATACGAGCTGAATAAAAAACGTATGCGATACTCGAGGTTTTTTTTTTACATTTTTTTTTTTTTTTGATTAGGTACTACATTTTGCTTATTCAAACATTCAGTAATATATTTCACTGAAATCTATTTATTTTTTTTCTTTTATCGTTTACATGATTGTTAAAAAATAACAATTATATCTACTCCAAAACCACACGAGTAACACCCGAAAAGGTTGTAGAGATGACCATATGTGAGAATGTCCAAACTGCGACCCTTTAGGGTTGACAACCATACTTATAAATTAATGTAATAAGTATAAAAAAAAAACGGGTATTTTTCTATTCACCTACAATCTGGGTGATATATCGCCCCTAAAACTTTTTTTTTTAAATTTAATTTCAGTGTACGTTATTCTATATTTAGTGACTTCTACACTCACAGACATGTATATTTTACTTCTTATCTCTTGTTAGAATATGACATTCGTCTCACTATATAATTTGTATTGTTATCACTAGTTTTTATAGGCGTGACCCACTGGCCCACAAATATACTATAAACATGTTTAAATATCCGTGGTGTACCAAACCACGGTTATGCCGTAATCAGACGAGGGAGCTATAATCTTCCGTGGACACGGATCAATCGTCGAATAAGTAGCGAAAATTGAGGGAAGTGGGCGACTAATAATCAGGAAGCTTATAACACACATTATACTACTAATCGACTAAATGTTTGGCTATACGATAACTTTACGGTATTTATATCGACAGAAAGTCGCCAGAATTAATTACGAGTAAAAATAATAAAACATACAGAACACGGATCAATTTCTCTAGGTCGTTGTCTCCATTGATCAACAAGGACCAGAAATAGCTTAGTCGCAAACAGTGGGAGGGGACTTGGGTAGACTTTGCTCACTCAATTTTGTCTGTAGCCCACCCAGTTTTTGAACGTAATGTAATTCCCGAATCCGACATGCAGTCTACCGAAAGTAATGTACTGTTGAATTTACGACGAATAACAACAAACGATGCAAAACACAAAACCAAACACATTATAACCGCACCGACTTAGTTGCCAGTCCTAAGTCTGAATAAAAACGGGAAGGAAATTTGTTATTTGTATTCGTTATGGTTGACATCCGTATAAGGTTTCACATGGTTCGGATGTATTTTATTCGCGTCGGAACTTACGTGACTGTGCACAACGCACACCCGACAGGTGTTTCACCTGCGATATCTCGTGCGGGAACTTACTATTCGCCCAAAAATTTAACACGCCCAGATATGGACCCAGTAGTTCGCCAATGACCGAGAGCACATAAAAACATTTTAATAACGGCTTATTAATTTCGGTGACTGTCGATATAAATATTGTAATAAACCGGGTGTTATTGCACCTACCCAAATATAATATGATTATTAATTAGTACTTGGTCATTTATCGACTTGTGTTATCACGTGGTCATTTGTCGGGCGGCTTTTTAGCGAATTAAATTCCGTGTGTAATTGATAGCTTTATAATGTTGATTTTTGCACGGAATAAATCGGCATGCCTCGACGGATTTGGTCGGATGACGTTTTGTCAGTTTTATCGCGTGGCTTAATGCCGAGTGATTATTCGACGGGTGGCTTTTTGTCGTGCTACGCTATAAGTCTATGATAAGACCGTGATTAATTTTATCATTTTTTTTTTTTTTTTTACATATTATTCTTATCACACATCGGTCTTATGACTATCACCGTATTTCCGTTTTCGGTTTATAATTTCGTGATAATAATTAATAATAATAAGTAGGTGCCTGTTGATATTCGCCGAGTTTTCGAGTTCAAATCCTGAAATTATTTTCGACCACACGTTTTGGTTAAAGGTATACTGTTTTAATAATCAGCCCTTTACAGATAGTAGGTAAGTCAATAATTATAATTAAACCGGTTTTTTGTTACACAATGTTTATGCATATTTTGCACCAGATCTCAGTAAATGTTTTATTTTCAATAATTGTTTGGTTTATGTAGAAATGACTTCTACGATTGTAATGCGCCAGTTTCCGAAACAATTATTGTTATCTGAACAAAAAGAAGAATTTCTACGGTGTATTGGTGCCAAATACCCAAAAATTCCATTGTCCCAAACGAATAAGAAATGTTCTGCGTATTATGCCAGGTATTGATTTAAAAAATGTATATAATATACAACCTATATTTTTGAAACACTAGGTACTGATATACGTAATAATTTTTTTTCAGATTTGAATCTCAAGAATTTGCCGCAGCTGCCGTCATTCTAAGGGTACATCAAAAAGAACTATTGGATCATATGTTGACCCTCGAGTTGTCTCTAAATGATCTTTATGTAAATTTAATGAACCACACACAATCATTATATGAGGCATATTCAAATAAGTTAAATTGTTGGACTAAGACCCTCGATTTGATCCATTCTCCGCCATATCGTCTACATTACAGTTATTCTGAACCAAATCTCGATACAATATATCACATTGCAAATTCATTAGTCTGTAACCAAAAATTCTATCAACAAGTACTGCACTAGAATAATCATATGAATCTTCCAGTGCCTTTTGAATCAGCTAAGTTGTACCCAGTACAAATTTTGAAGTACATTTTGAAACTCCATTGTGTATACCATACAAACATGTTTATAAAACTAATGATGGGTAATTATTCAAAATACATCCACAAACGAATGCGAATTTTAATGCGTAATATAATGCATTTTGTAGGTTTGATGTTCAATTGATGAAAGAACGACGCATGAAGGTCAAACATTTGTAATATTACTGTGTGTAGAAAATGCCCACTAGGCATTGGAAAAAACTCACGAGTTTATTTTAAATGATAAACCAATGAACATACAGTTTGCAAGATCGGCCACAGCTAAATAAGTATTAACGTAATAACATTTAAATATTCAATATTTATTATTATAAAAACGTTATATTTTTCTACAACAAAGCTAAGCACTAACTAGTTTATGCAAAATGTCTATGTGCCAAAAATTGTTATTTTGAGATTCATATTGTATATAATATAATATAAAGATCTCTGCCATGTACAATATGGATACCAAAATGGCAATTTTTAGACTTGACGCATTTTGTGTGAACGAAAACGATATGTTTGCAATTTGTAGTTTAACATGTATTTTAATTTGTAAATAAACAAGCTGTTTGGTTATCAATTAAAAAAAAAAAAAAGTTTAATCTAACTTAGCATTTTTTTCTTGTTCAAGTTATTATTATTATTAAACAACTAGTAACTTAATTAACTACCTTAGACATCCTGTAAATTTAAATAAATAACTTCTTATCTTTTTCATTGATTTATACTTAACTTTAATTAGTGAGACATTCCGAGTAACTTTTCAGCTTTGTTCTACAGCATATTTTATTATTTAATATTTAAAATATGGGTCTGTTTGTTAATTTAGTAATGTTTACATCGAGGTAAGAAAAATATTCAGTTCTCATTATGCAATCTCAGAATTCTCCATAAATTTGGTTCCTCATATTTATTATGTGTTTCTAGATGCTGGTACCTTTTAAACATATTCAATTTAATTGAATTGAATAATTTGAAGAAGTATTGTGCAAATTGTTTAAGGCATTTTGAATAAATCTTTGTTACTTCAAACATGTACTCTTTGGTTGCTAATGTTTACTGCCTGTCCATCAACAAGAGTACGGTATATTTTTTATAAGGATTTTTTTTCAACGCACTGCAATTCAGAGCATATTGATGTAAGTTTTGACTATAAGTAAATGAGTAGGTATAATGTAGTTAAAATTTTGTAACAATCAAAACCCAAGTATGCATGTAATCAGTAGGTATTTTATTTATTTTCAATTAAAGAACTACAAAAAGCTGTAAATAATTCAATAAATGCTAAAATGTTTTGAAAATAATATAAGTATTCTGTAAAAACAACTAGTCTCCAAGTAATTTCCACTGAATTGCAAAAAAGAAATAAATCAATCAAAAACAATAGAAACCATTAGGAATTGAACAAATAGGCTTTTCCATTTTTTTTTTTTTTATTTTTTCTTATTATTGAAAAAAAACTACAAGAAATATCAAGATTTATTAAGTAATTTATACTAAACCAATAGTTCTTAATTCGATATGAGTATATAATCATAAAATAAATATTGTTAATTAATAATATCAAGAAATAAATTCATTCAAATATTATTAAAGTTATAACCAAATATTTAGTAGATAATTTATGTTTAAATTGTATACAAATTTAAGAATTTAATATTGTATTGTAAAACAAATAATGATAATTAAGAACTCCAGATATAAGTTTGGTTATTTTTGGGTAACCCAATCAGAGTTCAAACACCAATATGGTGTAAGAAACAGTGCTACTAAATCAATAGTTAAATACATTTATGAAAAATAATTAATACAAAATAAAGTTTAAACAATGTTCTGAAAGTGGTGAGTACACACGATTGTAGTGAATCTTCATTCGGTGGCGTGTGTAGTTTGTGACATTGTATACTTAACAAAACAAGTAAAAACATACAGAATCAAGTCAAATTCGATTGAAAAAAACCAAATGTTTTAATAAATGTATATAATTTTATATTTTCTACACTCATAAATCCTACTGTGTTTATGCCATTGAATGTCATTTCCGATCAGCGGCGTATTTGAAATAATTTTTCAGCGGGGAGGGGTCAAAATACGAAAACGTCTCAGTGTGATACAACAAGGAAATTTAAATACAAGTTTTTTTTAAATTTTAATTTTGTTGGAGTTTTTAACTTGTTCAATTCTAATCCAAAAAAACATTTAACACAATAAAAAGTACCTTATTAATCACAGCTTCCGCAAAAAAAAAAAAAAATCCTCAGAGGGCAAATACCCACTGATTTCGATTCGCAAACACTGAGTGGTCCGGTCTGAATCGGCGCTTGTGCGATTGTGATGCAAACGAGCAGCTCTGATAGCAATACAACTGGTAATTTTAAAACTTGCCAAATCGATTATTACCGGACGGATGTGTCGTGTTTAAAAAATTATACGGCTGTTATTGAGAATTTCGAACGAATAATTCTTGTCTTACAAGAAGAAGTGGACGCTGACAATAACAGACACGGTAGGCCCGGCGTCCACCAATGTAACGTGACTCGTGATATGACAAGTGACGTGACGAGTGATTTAGCAAGTGAAATGTCATACTAGTTATTTGTCATTACATACATACAAGAATCATTCGTGTCCGTACGCTGATCAAACCTGTCGGATGGTGTATCAGTTTTGTGTAACTTCTGAAATTTTGTTGATGACAAAAGTACTGCGTGTTCTACTTTTGTCACTTGTCATCAGCTCTCCGCCGTGGAAATGTGTGCATTATTGTAATTGTAATAACATAATATAGAAAATATACAGGGTCGTGCTCACGGGGACGGGGTTAGGGGGTTGAAACCCTCCCCCCCCCATCATGGACACTTTGCAAATATATTTACTTGCGTATAATTATAATAATTTATTGGGAAAAAATCTTGGTAAATCGCACGTCACGTCAATTGTCATATCACCACGGGTCACGTTACTTCGGTGGACGCCGGGCCATACTCGTTCAACAAGTTTCATGATTTATAACACCTACTTGAAAAAAAAAAAAAAAAAAAAATAGAAAAATGTATTTATTACCGAAAATTAATACGTCCCATTATTTATATTAAAATCACTCCTTTATTGTGCATCCAAATTATAATACGGATACCTGAAATTGTTTCGTCGAACAGAATTAACGCGAGGTTCGTTACGAGTTGTCTTTGGCGGTAAAAAAAAAAAAAAAAAAGTCAATTGCATGCACAAATATAGAAGTTTTTGTTCGATAACCGTATAACGGTCGAATTTCGATGGAAATCGTAAAAACCACGATTTTTCGCCGCACGCTTACTAACCGATATGAACTTTGTTCACACGTTAGCAGCTACTGCCGCGCGGTTATCGCGGATGGAAATTCAATAACTTTCCGATTTGCCGTCTATTTTTTTTTTTTTTTTTATTATCATCCGTTACCGTTATTAGCTATACGCATATAATAATAACAATAACGACAACGCGTAACCGACCCGACCGAGAAAAACGAAAAACAAAACGAGTAACGAGAGAAAGAACAAAAGTTCGCCCGGAAACGCGTCTCCGTTACGCGTCATCGGCCGCGATCGGTTCGCGGACGATTACGACGCCGGGCGTCGGTAAACGGGGCGCGCGCGTTTCGGTCTAATCGATTATCGGACGGGCGATACGCGGGCGTAATTGCGCGACTCGGAAAACGGCGACGGGCGGCCGGTTCCGGGCGGGGTACGCGTCGTACCGCGCGCTCGCGCTCCCCCCCCCCACGTCCGCCGGGGTCCGAGCCGTCTGAAATAACGACAATAATAATAATAATAATATAATAATTGTACGACGGTCGAGCCTATTGTTTTTTTTTTTTTTTTTTTTTTTCCGTTGGAACGGGTCAGGCCGGGTCGTACGCGCCGGCACGAACACCGGGGCCGTCTCGTTCGCGGGCGGCGCGGTAGTGGATCGTCGGTCTCGTCGTTTACGGGCGCCCCGTAAAACGTAACGCGCGCGAGTGTATAACGGGCGCCCGAACGGAGAAGAGAACGTAAAAAAAAAAAAAAAAAAACACCCGACTCTCCGCGACGAGTTTTATTTCGATAATGTAAAACCGTAACCCGAGGCCGACAACCGCGCGCGAACACAATGGCCGGGCGTCCGTCTCCGTCCGCTTTGCGGTGTGCGCGACGACGTGACGACTTCCAAGTTCTATTGTTGCGGCGGGGCGCGAACGGCCGAATCGATTCGATTTCTACACAAGTGTATCCGATTGCGCGATCCGCAAAAACGATCGATGGCAATAATAATAATAATTATTATTTGTATTATTAGCGTTATTCGATTCCGAGCGAACAGCGAGGAACGTAACAGTTCTATTGTGACGCGCGAATGTTTTGGTTTTACAATCGTGTTAATTATTTTATTTTTTTTTTATTTTTTTTCTGCAGACGATTTTACTACCAGTAATTTCGCACCGGTTTACAATGATTTACACTTTTTCTGAAAGAGAATCGTACCGGAGAGGTACTTTTTTGATTTGCCCAATAGTTTTCCAGCAAACGTGAAAAACCTGAGGAATAACGGGAAAACGTACGAATTGTATTAGTACGATATTACGGGCTTTGCGTGCGTGTAAAAAACTTTTGTATCGGAAATCTTTTTCTGATCAAAAATCGTACAGACGAGGTTGGACCTTACTTGTAGCGTTTTCGATCTGATTAGTGCCATTGAAGGTTTTTTTTGATTTTCCTTATAGTTTTCTCAATGAACGGGAAAAACGGCAAGCAATGTTTCACTTGGTACCAAGGCAATTAATAATTGACTGTACATGCTGTACCTATAAAATTTTTTAAATGCGCGTCACAAAATTATTCTACTCAAGCGCAGCCTCCGGTTACATTGTAATATTTGTTTGAGTATTATTATTTTTAATTTTTAAACGACCTCAATCATTTTGTTACCGGCGATAGTGAAATGATGGATGAAGAGGTCCGTTGGAATCGCTGAACCAAATGTATAGATAGAAAAATCATTGCTATTAATAGTCCGGCCTACGTTTTACTCATAATATCTCGTTTAAATTTTATCAACTGTATCGTTTCGTGTACAAATTTAAAATATTATATAAATTAAATTGCTTCCATACCGAAATAAATATTTCTGTAATAATTTATGGTTGTGCAGTCGACAATCTCAATTTTTCGACTCGATGAGAAACAATAATATGTCGTCTCCATAAAGTGGTGAATATCTAAACTGATACGTTTATCGTTATTTATTAAACGTAACAATTATTTGATTTCGATAACAACGTTTATTTATAGTTTAACAACATCACAAAACTATATTCAATAAATGCGTACAAATATTATTTTACATTTTTTTTTTTTTTTTCTATTTATTTGATAAAATGCTGTCATGTTATATTATTTCGCGAGTTGTAATATAAATAATAATAATAATAATAATAATAATAATATAATAATGTTACACTGTTTTCAACGTAGGTAAGTGTGGAACGAATATAATATAAATATAGGTAGGCATGTATAAAGAAGGGGTCGAAAAAAAAAGTATAGTTTGATATAATAATTATAATTGTAGATGTTTTTTTTTTTTTTTTTAAATACATATATAAGTAAAAATTATGATATTATATATATATATTATATAGGAAAATATTATTTAAAAAACGCCTAAAATATTGTAATATATATCAGTCGTATAAGGGGTTTTATTTTTTATTTTTTTTTTTTGACGTCATGAATATCACAGTTCAGTAGCCCTTTATGAAGGATGCCAAATGTTTTTTGTCTTCGTCGCTCAGACCGTTCCGCAACGTACGCCTCACTGTAAACGAATAACATACAAACATAAACAAATCTTTACTTTTAAAAGGCCGTGTTAACCCCCTATCAGTATATCGGCGTATCACGAATAACCGATAAGTTAGGTGGCGAGTTCTTACACGACCCTAATAATCTGCAACATAAATAAGCAATTCTCAAATATTCCTATGCGGACATATAAATACCGTATAGCTATTATATAATGTGAGTATTCATAATACAAGCATATTTCACAACATTTCTTAATACATTAAAATCTTTTAATAAAAAATGTTTAGTACAAGTTCGGATCATTTATCCGCACGTACCTACTGATTACCGACTAAGTGGATAGACGTACGTTGTCGCGTTAAAGCGATTATATTGTGGCAAAAAAAAAAAAACATACATAGAAATATTCTCTGTAAAACAACAAATAATCAAACACTAAACATAATAATACAATGCTACAACTATACTACTCCCAAAAAAAAAAAAATAAATAAATAAAATGGTGAAATTTGAGCATAAAATGATGAGGGATTGAAAGTTCAAACCCTAAAAAAGACACAATCCTTGATACTAACGCGATGCATGTACAATATTTCATCTCTCTGAATTTATTTGGGGGGTTCGAAGCTAAAAAAAACCCTCTTCTCTCGCAACAGCATGAAGAAATTCATATTGAAATCCAACCCGACTTGTATCACTTCAATCCACCTATTATAAAATGACTCTATAGTTCCCGAGTTTGAACTCATTTGATCCCGCGAGAGCCGATAAAAAGTGTCCAAAAGTAGCGGATAAAAGATAAATGAATAATATAGGTATTTATAGGTATATAACAGAGACACAATAATGTGCAATACACAATTTATTTTTTGGGAAAATTCGACAAAAATCCGTATATAAGGTATCCAAAATTAGAGTTTTTCGAAATTCAGATAAGTGAATACCCAATTTCGGATTATCGGTCAATCAGGATTTCTACGTCATTGGCAGGGCTTGGGACTTAATGCACTTAAAATCCACAAAAAGTCTTAAAAACAGAAAAAAAAATGTGGGTAAGTGGGTAGTATTAAAAGTACCTCCATATAACTCTATGGCTCTAACTTGTAAAATAAAACTTTTTAAAATCACAAAAATAATTAAGTAACAGAAAGTAATTTTTGTCAAATAAAATTGTGCGCGTATCGCGAAAAAAATTACTTTATATTATTTTACTTGTTCAGTTAGAAAATCGTATTTTTTAAGATAGAAACATAAAAGTTGGAATTCTTAAAACTCCTTTAGTATTTTTTTTTTTTTCAAATGTTTTCAAGGGGTTATTCAAGGTTTTTTGTTAAATTTGTTAAGTATATTTTTCTGAATTAGTCCCGAACCCCGGTCCATTAGCATTTAGGAACTGACGGAATATAATAACGTTTACCCGAGTCTCGTTCTCGCGCCCGTGTAGGAACGCTGACTTGACCTTATTTTTTTTTATGTAAATCGGGGTCGTGTACATAAGAAACTTACCCGTTCTCGTCGTAATAACACCATAAACTGCTGGGGGGAAAAAAAGGAAAAAAATAATATTAGGCGCGTCGATACTATTATACAGGTACTGGGTGTACAATTTATAACCACAAACAAGCCAACAATAAGTGTTATTTCGCGTAATACGGGTAGCGGCGGTAAAAGAAAACGCTATCTGCGAACTCGTGCACACGAATACGGGCGAGACAATCTTATGGCCATTACACTGCTACTTATAAGAAGAAGGAGAAAAAAAAAAAAAATTATAGTTATTAGCCGTCGCGTATGGCTAGTGTGAGATGACCATTGTTCGGTAATATGGTTTTACTTTACATCTGTATGTATGGGCGTAATTATTATACCGTGCAATTATACGCGGTTTCGTCTGGCGCACGATATAATATATTACGACAGTATGTGTAAACGAAAAATTAAATTTTTTTTTTTTTTTCCATCTAAAACGAAATGAAGATATTCTTAAGGGTACTATATGAACGTATGCAGTAACATTATTATTATTGCGTTCAGAATAGATTCGTATTAGTTTTACATTAAAAAAAAAAAAAAAAAAACAACAACAACTAGGATATTAACACAGCACAAAAAACACAAACGAAAAACCATTATACAAAACGTAGTGTTTAAATTTACCAAAAATTACGACATCGAATTACGAGAGTGACTGCTACTTTGCCTGATCGGTATATTATCCCTAGTCCGAGACCTTTTGATCACTGCGCAAGTCATAATATTAAACACAATAATGTTGAATTGTTCGGACAAGACACGTTGTGTCGGCGATAAAAATAAATAACTTTAGATGAATACAATGAACTATAGATATCGCGATCGTTGATCGGTACTCACGTGATTTTCTATGAGCGTCCTTGGTCCTCTTGCGTTCCCTCTGCGTCGTTCTGGTGTTGGTTCCCGGTGTGGCGGTGACCGTTTTCACCAGGCTCTCGATGAGCTCGTCGTCGTCGTTGCTCAAGTGAACGCCGTTTGTGTTTCCTGCGAAATTAACATTGAAACGTATTCCGACACACGACCACTTGACCGTAACACAAACCCAAAGAATGTCTGCACTGGTTCCTCCACGAAAACACCCTGTTGTGCGCGGGATCCTTGTCTAACAGCTGCCTGAGCTCCGTGTCGGCGACGTCTTGGCTGTCCATTTTGTTGACCTCCGTGATCATCTTGCCCCGCGTTTTGTTCCGCTCCCGGTGGCTGGCCTTTTTGTGCAGTTGCTGAATCACGCGCTCCCTGGTGGTCCGGTATTCCAGCGAAAACTCCGAAACGATTCGGCACAACTCGTTGGGCTTGGTCAGTTGGACTTTGTGCAGAGGAATACCCAGCCACAGGCAAAATTTGTGGAAACGGTTCATCACGCGTCGGTGGACTTTGCCGAGCACCACAATACGTTCGGCGCAGTCGGCCAAAAACTCCGACATCCTATAAAAAAAAAAAAAAAAACAAACAAACGCAATCACAGTATTATTAACTTCACGTTTGTCGACAAATCGTATCGTCTATTGAATTTTACTTGGATTTTATGGCTGTTGCACCGTCGTGCTTGCTGATGGTCTTCAAATGATCGAATGACGCTCTGCACTCTTGTTCGACTTTCGTCAACGTCGCAGCTATTTCTCCGAAATCTACCCTAGACGCCCGTGTAATCGCGCCGATCTGTGTTCAAAGTGAAAATACAATAATAATTTTTAATCGTCAATTGAAAAAAAAAAAATACATGAATTAGGTAACTGCTATTTATAATACCTCCGAGTATAAATCCGTAGAATCCGGAAACTTGTCCATAACGATATGACACAAATGGTGAAGCAGAGAATGCTTGTGCACGGTATCTTTGACTTCCGGCACTTTGGCCAAGTATTCGATTTGGAATCCTTTGACTTCGGCTCCGTTCAAGAATATCCCCACCGAAAGCAACGTGCCCAGGATCGCTTTGAACGTACGGTTCGTTTTTAGTATTTCGATCCCCTGCATCAAGTCCATGAGAGGTTCGGCGATTTCTTTTTCCACGTTCTCGTAATCCAACTTGAACGACCACAGTTTCAATCTAGCCGGAAGTTCGGATATGGACGCTAGTGTTAATAGGAACTGTTCGGCGCTGCCCAGGGGCAGGTCGGGACACGCGGATTGCGCTTCTTGAATTTTCGTACGTTCTTCTTCGCTGGGAAGCATAGTCATGAGTTTCTAACAAAAATTAAATCAAAAATATAATGAGAATCTTTGAATAACAATAATTTGAATAGTTTTTCTCAAAATCGTTACTTCTATTCCCTCTCGGTTAATGACTGTCGGATCCATTTTCAATATGGCCGCTTTGATGGACCGTGGTGGAGGCAATTTCGTCATACCTATATTAATTGCGTTCGACCGTTTCGGGTCCAGTACGATTACTTCTTTCGTTTTGTTCATTTCTTGTTGTTTCTATATAAACGGTTAAACGACAATAAGAACAGAACCTTATGGAAAACGCCCTACACCTTTTTTTTTAGTATTGCAATAAGCGTAAAGGAAAAAGCCTTACCTCCTATACATATATAGAACAATTTGTATGCAATCCGCGTTTTTCAATTGACATTGGAAATAACAAATAAAATATTATCATTAAAAAGCTTTACAGTGTATATTATCAAGCATAAATGCGTATTGTTATACGTATTTAAGTAGGTAGTAATAGTAATTATTGTGAGAGAATCATAAATGTTGTCCGACACCCAGTGTGTGTGTGTGTGTGTGTGTGTGTGTGTGTGTGTATGTGTTATGCATTTTTGCGTTACCCGAAACCGTAACATGTAGTGGAGGCCAAATACACAGCATTTATTATTTGATTAATGATTTAAGATTTTCGTAGTAAATTTTCAAATATTAATTGATTTCGCGGTTTACCTTGGTGATGAAATCTTTAGCTCGGGATTCGAATAAATGTTCGAGCTTATGAGTGTCGACTTCTACGGGACTCAGTTCTTCCCACAACAATCGTTCGGAATTCAACTTCACTCTGGCAACAGGATCGTCTCTGACTTCCTATACGCGGTTAATACAATAAATATCATATGATCTTATATTTCGTGTGTGTGTTTGTACATACCTTCCAAAATAATTTTACAGTCTTTTTGGTTTTTTTCGCCACGTGCTGTTGCATGGGCGGTAGCATAGGACACGGTGGCGGTGGGGGAGGGATACCCCCCAGTAACGACGATGAGGCCAATACGTCAGAATCGTCATCGGAGTGTAGTGTAGAAAAGTCCAAATCGCACAACTGAAGGGACCGATCGCATTCGCTCACCAATCTCTCCCATTGTAAATCAGTCTCGGTTTTTCTCGACAGTATGTCTATGGCCGACTCCGAAGTGGGGCTTTTCACTACTTCGTTTTTCGACTGAGATTTAGCGAGTCCTATAAATAAATAATCAAATAATAATAACAACGCAATTATATACGCTTGCTATGTTGAAAATCGCCGGTTTTTACCTTCCATCGCTTTTGATATTATTCCTTTCATGTCGTCCAATGGTGGCGCCAGTTTGGTAGTCGATTCGTCCGGACTCCGTAGACTCGTCAACTTTTGCGTCAAGTCTTTCACTGAGCTCTCTCTTTGAACTTGCGAATCTCCGTTGCAAAACGACAAATTAAACGGATGTAGCCCGTTTTGGCCTTCAGAACTTTCGCCTATGTATACCGAATAGAGTGATTATTCATACAAAAACAATTTATTCAATCAACCTTACCTTATTTCGTAGTGTCATGTTATACAATTTTACAAAATAGCGGTTACGTACCTTGATCGTCTGTGCTAGACCAATCCGGTCGAGCTATATTGTTTTTATATTGTTCTCGAAGCAAGCTCCGTTGCCTCTGAGCCCGTTCCCGTCTTCGTTTCAAACCGGGAGTTACTCCAGCGTCCTCACCTGATGCAAAGCGAAACAGACAAAAACACTACATGTCCACGATCACAAATATTAATAATGCTAAGCTCAAGTATAAGCAATAAATAATACGCAGATTATTAACTGTGAATTGTAATAGGTTTTTTTTTTTTAATATTTTACTGTTTTTTTTTGTTTGTTTTTTTTTTTTTTTTTTATTAAAAACTATCAAAAACTAAAAATTAATAATAAATTGGTTAGATATTAGAAAACAACAATACACATTAATAAAACCCTGCGTACCTGGATGAGGTAATTTGTTTGGTTTCGGTAACGGTGGATTTATATCGAGTCTTTCCATGAGTAAAGGCATATTGTTTTGAACACAAGGGTTACCGGCCGAATGTCTCCTGGATTTTCTTCTGTCTGTAGAATCCAACGAGGAATTCAACGATTTTCTATTTCTCAATGTTTTTCTACCAAAACAAATAAAAATCATGCATACCAAATATAATATTACATATTCAACAAATCCCATCAGTAACCAACCTGATCGAATGGTCTACTCTGATCGGAGTAGATTTATTATCTCCGTCTTCATGTTGCAGAACAACTTCGTAAATCTGAAGTTGCCTGAGAAGATCTAGTTCTGTTCCCGGTTTAGACATATACCTAAATAAATTTAACGTTTATAGTTTTACGATAAAAAATATTATACGATTTATGTTACGACCAGACACGAATCCAGAACAAAGATCTGGGGGGACGACAATTTTTTTACATCAAATACAATTAAAATAAAGTTAATATATTATATTACTTTATCACGCATATTAGTGATTGGAGTATAATAATATCAGGATCTATAGAATTATAAAAAAAAAAAATCGTAGAGATAATGTGTCTGGGAGGTTAGGTCTCTAGAGGCCTTCCTGGATCCGTCACTGATTACGAAAATCCGTGTCGTTAACCGTTTTTCTTCCCCCCCCCTCGTACTTTTGTATGACTTGTTCTATTCCCTGTTCCTCGATGGCGTCCACTTGGTCGTAATACGTGTCTTGATCCGGCACACCGTTCAGCGTCTTGTTGATCAGGGTCATCGCGTACACCAACAGTTCCGTGTCGACCATGTCGGGTTCGGTGAGCAATTTCATCAAGTTACTCCAAAGCGGAGTGCCTATATCGCCGATAACGCGAACGAAAATGGACGGTTAGAGCAATAATTGTGAAGCGACAACGACGCGACGTCGCACAATGTTTTCGATGGAAACGCGCATATTGTAATATATTGAGATAAAGATATTGTAAAGTACCATTAGACAGGTGCACCGCGTGTACGGCTTGTATGAAAATCAAACAGTTGGATTCAACGTACTCGATGAAAACCAGCAACAGTTTTAACGCGGTTTTGACGACCAACCGAAACCTGGACGTCAACAACGAGTACAGCCACTGGATGGTGGGGTTGTCTTCGATCACGCCGTTCATACCGTCCACGTACAACATCACTTGACCCAGAGCTATAACGTGAAAATTTCGTGAGTGTAGTGATATAATTTTTTTTTTTTTTTTTTTTTAGAGCAGGCTGATTTTCGCCATTTCGAGGTCGGNGAAAATTTCGTGAGTGTAGTGATATAATTTTTTTTTTTTTTTTTTGTTAGAGCAGGCTGATTTTCGCCATTTCGAGGTCGGGGTACAGTTTAGTAAACGTGGACATTTTAATAATACACCGACGATAAATTACTGCAAATAATATCAGAATAATGAGACGTTTCTGGGCGGGACTCAGAAACAGAAAATCACAAAATGCGTATGTATCATAGAAATTGGCATTTTAATACCGTCACCGGGAGGAAATCCGCACCTTTAATTACGGTAATTATACAGTATGACCGTTTCGGAGCCTAACCGGAAAATCGTTTATCGAAAAACAATTTTTTGTAAAATAATATAGGAAGCTAACACAATTTCGAACCGTACAACGGTAAATGCATACAGTTAATAATAAATCAAACTTAAGAAATAGTTTTACACTAAAAACTTGACACATAAATTATTTAACTTTTTATGGTGTTTACGTAAAAACTTTTAAGAAGATTAATTCGTGAGTTATTCGTCGAACTTGATGTTTCGTTTGTTAACTAAATTAAACGTAATAAAGTGAATAAAGGGGTAGAAAACAACTGTTATATAAAAAGTCCCTAACCCTAAACACTGATATTATAGTTTATACCTCTTAATATGTAGTTTTGATAATTCTGATCGACGTCCGATCCCAATTTGATGAGACACCGTAACCCGTCGTTTTGAATGAACTCGTGAACTAAATCTTTATCCTCCTACACAATAATATGCGCGTTTTACAATAACATTATTAAATTTTCATCTGCAGCGGCTTGTATACTGCAGGGTGCCCGAACAATGGCCCGGGCTGTTTACATTGCTAATCACTATTAGGCGCACAGATTCTTTAGGTTTTTTTTTTAAACCTTGAAACCCGTGCCCCTGGCGAACACGCGCACAAAAGAAAATACGATTGTTATGTACGAGTAGATGCACGAGCAGTGTGCGCGCTCCCCGGTGCAACTACGTATACATTATAGTCTCTCTATATAGGTACCTGAAATATGTGCTTGAGCGCGAACAAACACCTCCGGAGCTCTTTGCCTTCGGAGTTCATCAGTTTGTCTGCGAAATAAAATAATAAATATAATATTAAAAAAAAAAATATAATACACAAAAGGTCACGATTTTTCGTGGACTATCGCGGGGGATACTGCAGCAGCAGCGGCGGCAGCGGCGGCACGAGCAATTATCACGCGGCGTTCGGCCATTATTATCGTAACAAATTATGCTCTATAACGTCGTCGCCGTAACGTTTAGTACCTCATATTCTATTCACAAATAAATGGGGTTTTTTTTTTTCTTTTTCGGAACGTACGCGTAGAGCCAAAAACAATTTACGCGCACTCTAAACTACAATTTCAAACAATGAGGTAAAAAAAAAACCCCATTCGACATCGTAGTATAATGGGTACCGAGATACCTGCATAATACACATTTAGTTTCCCCCCCCCTCCCATTTACAATTTTTTTATGGAATACAGTGAATAATATTATATACTTACCGATTATAGTATGTACTTTGACCGACAACTGTGTACGCAAAACAATCGAGTTTCTTTTACTGAAACGAAAAAAAAAACCAAAGCAAATATGATTAAAATAATACATTAGAGATCGGGTGTTGTGGCTTTACTTTTTTTTTTTTTTTTGATAAAAACGTTAGAAGAAAATAAAAAAATCGAAACAGCGTCGAAAGTCTTACAAACTTTTGAGTTTCGGTCAATGGATAATTGACTGAGGACAATTAAGGAAATTCTAAAAAATAAAAACCATTTAAAAAAACACCCCGAAAAGATTTTAAACAAGGACAAGATATTCAACAACATTTTTACTTGGTATGAAAAATCGTCTCTGCGCAACAACTCTATACGACTGATGCGATTTTTCGTATTGGTATGGGAATTATGACGAAAACACGATAATAACTATTATTATTATCAAAACAAACCGCGAACTATGTCATATTCTTAAATAATGTAAAACCACTTGCGTTGCATTAAGCGTTTAAACATTTTCACGTATTATTTTACGTCTGACGCGTATTATAATTCGTATACGAATAATTTACATTGAATGTCGGACGTTTTTGCTGCAAAATAATATGTAAAAAGCCGGCAACTTCGCACGTGAATGGGCCACTGTTGTATGTGAGGTAAGTATCTGTAAGCAACGATAAACCATTGCTAACGAAAAGACGATTCTGAGCGGAGTTCAGTTGATATTGATGCTTTCCTATGTTTTTTCCTTTTTTTTCCCCCCATTTATTGGAAAGACATCTGGAAAAATCAAAAAAACGACCTCCTTAAAGTACCGCGCCAATCCGATTTTCTTTCGAAAAATGTGCTACACTTGTAAATCGAATCAAGATTTCTGGTAGAAAAATTGTCCACGGAAAAAAAAAAATAAATGAACAAACATCTTTGTCAAACCGCTCCGCTCAGAATCTAAAATACGTGCCGCGACGTGAGCCGTTCGAGACTCGTAGCAGTTTAACAGTATCGTGCAGAACTATAGGTACTTAGGTATCGGTTTTTTTACCCGTGTTTTTTAAACGGTACATACGAACCGCGCGTTTTGAACCGTCCGTATTGCGCAGTATTTACAATGATAAGATTTTCGTTATCGGGGACCGTGTTTGTGTCTATTGGACCGATAAAAAAAAAAAAAATAATAATAATAATAATAATAATAAACCAAATACTTATTACGGCGTTTTGTAGAAGTTGATTAATTTTTTGTACGTTGCGATTCTCCCGTTTAACCGTGTACACGAAAGTACAATATAGTTGATTGTACCTGCTCGGCCGTCGTGATAAAGGGAAGGTTCTTCGCGAGATTTTATGTACATTGACGGAGATGTGATGTGGAATCGCGATTGACGAAAAAAAAAAAAAAAAATGCGGCACAAGGTGAAAGAGGCCAACCGCCATAATAATAATAATAATAAGAAGAAGGCGAACAATTATTGTTATTATTACCGTGGGATACGAAAAATTAGGAACGTTTTTTATCTTTTTTTTTTTTTTTTTTTTTTTTTTGAACGGCCCGAAATCGTGACTGAAATAAAATTCCGATCCGACTTTTAGATCTAAACGAATACGTATATTATATACCTATATACCTGTACAGTCCTTCGAGATTTTTTTTTTTTTCTAGGGTAACTATACGACCCGCGCAGAGCTTACGCACAACAATAATATTATAACAGTTCTCGTTTATATTATTATTTTGGTTTTTTTTTTTTCCGTCCAACCGCGAGTGTCGATCTCTATCTGGTCCCTCTGTATTATATACGTACACTATAACGGCGTTTATTATTATTATTATTATTTTTTTTTTTTTTTGTCGTGATTAGAATATTCTCCCGTTTAAGCTGTGACAGATTTTTTTTTTTTGCTTTTCCTGTTTACTTTATACGCCATATTCGATATGGCACGGTGACACGGTGACTGGAGAGAATTTAACAGTAAAACCGTTGCGCACAGTTCGTTAAACAAATAGCTGTTAAGTAGTACGATAGTAAGTGCTATTAAAAAAAAAGAAAATAAAAAAAACGAAAAAACAGCAGTTATTGTTTTATGGAATAATCGATTAAGTATTGTATATATGTACAGTGCCCATTCAAATTAATTATGTTCGGTTGACGTTTTGTTCGACGAGTATATATAACATTATATAGGTACACAATGGTGTATTCCACCATGGCGGAATTTTCGAAATTTGTTATTTAATTCCAAAACGTGTTGTTTTAGATTCTCAACGCAACAACGCTAACAACTTTTCTACCAGGAATATTGCTTAGACTCTCAAATGTATAGCATTTTTTCCGAAGACAAATTGTACCTAGTTGGGATTTTGAGCGGATTGTTTTTAAATTACGACAGTTCGAAACACGTGTAACTGAATTTCGCTCAGGACCGTATTTCGTTAGCAATAGTTTTATCGTTGCATACAGTTATAAATTAAAAGACTTTATTGTCCTACCTTTTCAACTTCCCACTTTAACAGTGGCACACTCATCAACAGTATTGGTTCAACAAATGAAAATCCCATAACGTTTCCCACAGAGTCCTCGTACTAATCGATATGCCGAGAATACGATCCACGGATACCGTTCCCGGTCAACTGGCGACTGGCGACTGAACCCGTATTCTTTGGTATTGTCACAAATTTAGCGGCACGTAGAAAAAAACTATAGTCTTGAGAAACTCTTGAAATTTCGAAAAAGATTTCTGGTAGCAAACACGAGTCGAACGAATTTTAAATAATGAAATCGTTAACGCCGTTAATATGTGTACGGTTTTTTTTTTTTTTTTTTTAAAAAAAACGACCTCACCAGCACCGCACCAGCCGGATCAACAAGTCTAACCGAAAAAAGTGTCTTTAGTCGTATTCCGATTGAAACGGCTTTACCGGCAGAAGAATTGTCGTTCGCGGACAGACAATTGCAATCGCACGCGCCACGCCCGAATCCATAGCTCGGAATCGAATGCAATAATAATTTTAAACAGAATAATATAAACGCGTAAATATACACCGTAAAGTGTTAACATCCCGTGCGCGTCATTGACTTTAGAGTTTTACCCGTTCGCGTTTACCGTCGAACCGTCGAACAATCTCGTGGGCGTCACTCCGAGTTAGCGTTAGCATTCGAATTCCAAACGCCCGTCGCCCGGTTCCCGCTCGCCGGCGTCGATCCAGAACGTGCGTTTTCGGCAGCCGCTCGTGTCCGGATACGAATCAAGAGCTATGAAATATTAGACGCTTTGTCGTTACTCCGAGCGTTCAAAGTTTATTTTTTTTAAATTTTATTTTCAAGTCGTACACACAACGTTCAAATTCAAATGTATTTACTTTCGTATTTTTTTTTCTACGACGGATTATGTACGCACCCGATATTCGTTAATATCGAATTGTTGAAATATCGTTTTAAAAAAAAAAAAAATCAATTTTCAAAATGCATTTGTCTTTTTTAAACCCTAAATTTCGAATTTAACCCCGGGACTGTCGAAGTGCTCCGGGCTCGTATACTTCAAAGATATTATTGCACGTTACACATTGTGTTGTCGCCGTTTCGACGCTGAAACGTTTAACGTCGCAAAAGCGAAACGCTGCGGCGTGACACACGCGTTTTTCAGAGAATCCGGCAGGAACATATCACACAGGGCATAGTGATTTATTTGCCCGCGTCTGACGTGCCGGATTAGTCAACAAGGTCTGATCGATTCGCTGTTAATTTTTACTCTGCTACATTAGCATTTGTCTGTGACCCATAACCACTAGGTGTATTATTACGCTATTACGATTGTCGGTTGTAAACCGCCGCTTTCATTGTAGTGCGCTTCCACTACAATAAGTATTGCGCGCATTTTTTCGACTTATAAAAGGGAATTTTTTTTCGTCCATCTCATAAAATTTACCGTCCTAAATACTAATTCGTAAAACATAACCCAAACGGCAATATTTATTATACGCGCGACGACGTTTCTCCGATACGAGAAAAAGAAACTATACGGTCGCATGTTTCACTTTACCGTATGGACAAAAAAAAAAAAAAATAATAATAATAATAATAAAACGAATATAACAACGGATTGTTAAAACGTTTCGTATTGAATCCGCAATTTTATATTGGTAAAAAGTAGCGAATTTCACGCCGTTTTCCCGCGGACAGTGTAGCGTTATCGCGCTACAGACCGCTCACCAAAACAAAACCGTAGGCTCCCAAAAGTTACGCTACGCAATAACGGCAAACGAATCGCTACGGATAACCGCCGTACGTCCAACCGCCGATTGCGACCGTTACGGTATTGCGCGAGAAGAAAACATCCGCTCGTTCCTGCAGTTATTTACGATTGCGATCGATATATGATTGATTTTTCGAACAAGAACGGAGGGCGAAACGCACATATCGGTGTCTACAAGGGCGAATGGACACTCGTTATCCCGGAAAGTATTCGATTTTTTCGGAATTCTTTTTAAGAACGTTAGTTGATAACTGAAACGTGACATTCCGGTAATTTTTCGTCGCCGTTATTTTACGGGGTGAAACCGTACACGAAAAAAGCACCGCTATAAAATCTCCCTCGCCGGAACTTAAAAATCGATTATCTCGTCAACGGGTCGACGGAAATCACAAAGTTCAATACTGAAATCGATTTGAACCAATGTAAGACTCCGTCCATTAATGGTGTTTTCAATAAAGGTAACCGTTCAGCAGTAAGTATTGATTTCATTCTCTAAAATAACGGCGACGTAACATTTTAGCGCTCCGTGTTTCTTTGAATGTTCTAAAACACAAATTCCCCAAGGAAATTCAATACTTTTTCGAGACAACGTGTGTTGCGTTATGTTGGTCACCCTATTTATATGTATATATATATATAACTGTATGCATACTTGACAGACCAGCACTATGCGCTATGCACTTTGTTAATCATTCGGCACCTTGAAACCAACAGATTTACCGTCCGCAGTGTTACGGTTTTGTTTGTGTTATTTCGTCTACTTGCGTTGCTCTTCGCTGGACACAGGAAAATACAAAATCGCGAATGTAGCTTAAAAATGTTTTTTAACTGTTCATGTCGGGAATACAATGGTTCTATAGCCGAGTCGGTAACTGTATTTACATGAAGAGGTATGCTAAAGAAAGTGTCTACTGTCTGGGGAATTGTGTGAAGAACACGTGGAATAAACGAGGAAAATATCGTGAAACAGAGCTTCAGGACGAAATCTCGAATAGATCTATTTTCAAAATCAAATTCTTAAACAAGACGTTTTCAAAAAAAATAACGTGTACTGAAAAATCGTCAATTTTATATTTTATACACTTATACACGGCAAATCAGCTGTGCGCCCAGGGCTCAGAGCTGGGCACGGTTTAAAATATTTAAAAATCAAAATCGTTTTGATCAGAACTATTGTCATCAGGTATAGTATGAAGAATTCAAAAAAACAAAATAAAAATCCCAGGAAAAATAATCACGGTAGCAGTTATGATATTATTATAATTACATCAAGATGGAGATGATTGGAGGACGAGAAGAAAAGAGTAAGCACGGAGAGGATTACGTACGAATCCGATAGCTTCTTCGAGATTTTTCGCTACCTCGACAAACTGAAATTCTCCGTTCGTCAACATCGGATTTCCGTATCGGCCTATCCGGCCGATCGAAAATACAGGCGACTCGGGTCGGTTCACAGGCAATATACGTGCGTAACACAATCGTTCTTAATTTATTATTATCCCGGTTCGCGGTAATAGGTTCACTCACTCGTTCTGGAACCCTTCGAACTCCTCGGGCTGTTCCGATATGGACGCCTCCATGTCCAAGTAAGATCCGAAATCGCCGTCCTTGTACAGCTGCAGGGCGGCGTCGTCCAACTGAAAAACAAAAACGAAAACGCCCAATAAAAAACACTGTACTGCGGGTGTAACGGCGAAAACCGAACGTAACAGTCGAATCGGAACCGCGGAAAACTACACGGGATTAAAGGTGTACCCGCGCCGGAATACGTAATCGACTACGGCGGGTCCGCCGGGAAAATCGCGCGGAAACAATACGGTTCCGGGTCCCGGAGGGGATGTCGTGAGAAACCGGGACAGCGATGGTATAATAATAATACGAGTATAACGATGTTGTGTGGTGGGCGGCGGCGGCGGCGGTGGCGGCGGCGACGACGGGATGTGACACGGAACGCGGTGACGGCATTATGGCGTTGTAGTGGTTAGCGCGGTATGGTCGGCGCGGTAACGTGCGGTATCGCCGCCGAGTCGCGCGACACGACTCGCCGGCGGACGGGCGGCGGTCACGGTCCACCGACGTACGTGCGGGGCACCGGGGTAGGGGCGAGGGGGGGNGGGGGGGGGGGGGGGGGGGGGGGGTCACGCGGGGAGGATTCTGTGCGCGGTTAATGAGGTCGGGGGAACCGACCACGATTCGCGACGGTGATTATCAACGGGCCAAAGGTCCGTGAACCTAGACCGCGGCGGATCTGGATCGTATACGTACGTACGCGCGCGTTTTGTCGCAACCGCGTTGCTCGCGTCCGTTCGAACCGGGATGCGCCCCTTTTTTCCTCCCGTTTTCCGTTGCCCCCACTCCGAAAACCGTCGCGACCGACCGACCGTGAAACGACCCGCGCGCTCGCATTACCGCTGTCGTTATCGCGTCGCACGGTGCACTGTTGTTGTTGTTGTTGTTGTTGTAGTTATCGGCGACGTCCGCCGGCGGACATCGGGAAACATCGCCCGGCGGGGTAATGGCCGCGCGGTAAGAAGCACGGCTTCGGCGGTGCGTACTCGACGTAATACCGAGCGAACACATTGTTGCGGCGACGGGTAAAACGGAGTCGCGGGCCGATGTCGCAACGCGATCCGGATTTCCGAAATCCGAGACCCGAAACATTGCGGCGAGATAGAAGACCGTTTGCGGGGGACACTCTACACACGCCATCTTTGGTTTCAGAGAACGTCCCAACGCGAACGGACGGCGTTTTTATGTGTGCATATGTGTGTATACAATATATGACTACTGACAATACGATCCCATTTTTCAATATCGAAACTCCACAAAATCGACCCGGACCCTTCCGTTCCGCGGGACCGGAGATGCGCGGTTGGCCAAAGTACCTACTGCGTGCCCGCGTACGTTGTAAAGCTATGGGCGGCGAAGGAATTCGCTCCGCTTGCGGCGGCGTGCCCGGGAATTCCTACCCGGGTGTGTACGCGGTAAATGACGATCGCGATTCGTGAACAGACCGCGGTGTTTTTTCTTCCGTTACAAGCGACCCGGCCCGACAGCGCGAACTTAAAACCCGGATCCGGAATTCGGCAAAAATATCAAGACGAAATCGCTAAACGAACGATCGTGGCCGTTGTTTCGTAGTTTTTTTCAAGCAGACGTCTCGCGGAATGTTTAACGGTCCCGCCCCCCGCCCCCGCGCACGCCGCCGGTTCCGCCGGGCCGCGCGCGGTCGTCAGCCGCTCAAGCGCACGAAATACCGGAGAAGCGGGGGGAGGGGGGGAGGGAAATACACGCGTCGGCGTAACTTCGCGTTTACGCGTGCGGTATGCGGAGAGTTAACCCGGAACTGTTCCGCAGACGGACGTTTTCCGGAGCGCGACTCCTCCGCCCCGCTCCGGTTAATATCCGGCCGCGGTAAAAGCGAAATGATATGATAACGGGTAACGCGTTTCTCGCTTCACTCGGGTTCCGGAACGTAACACCGGAGTTTACGCCTACGCGGAACGCTATGCCGGCGCGACGGACGGTATCCGCCACGACCGCCGCGACGTGTGCGCGCATACGAACGCCTTGCGCGGGCGTTTCGACGTAAACGCGCGTTACGCGTGTCCTCCGTTAATTGCCGGCCATCGGAACCCGTCCCGGAATCAGAAACGGCGGCCGGCGGGACAATCGGCGTCCGCGATCGTTCGCTCGCGCCCGTTCGCAACACGCGTAATAACGTTACGGTCCGTTCGTACGCGCAACGAACGGCGATCGCGGTCGCGGATACGCAGTGGTATTTGCGGCCGCGCAGAAACGAAACGATCGCCGCCGCCCGGCAGAATATTATACGCTCCGAGTATAGCGGGCGCGCGAAACCGGTATCCTGCGGCGCGTCACGTTGTGCCGGCTGGTTTCGCGCTCGGCCAGGATTTCGGGGAAAATCGAAAGACCGCCAAAAGCTTGCGGGACGTTCGAGGATAAAAATTGACGGACACTTTTTATCCGTACGGTTTTCATTTCTTCTCCTTTTGATTGAATTCGGCTGTCACCTCGTGGACAGGACTCCAGTATGTTGTTGTCTTCCCGTCATTACGCATCGGTTCGCAAACAATCTCGGCCGTTCTCACCGCCTAAACCCTGCCCCCCCCCCCCGGTACCCGATATTACATCGTATTCCCCCTTCCCCCCGGAGTCGGCCAAATTGTCAATTATAGTGCGTCCCGTGCGATAATATAAAGGGTGTGATTTGCATCGCGGCACAACAATAGGACACACAGTTTCCAATGTATAAATGACGATTTTTTTTTGTTTTCCTTTTCGGAACGTTGCATTTCTGTAATCATCTCGCGTGAAACACTACCGCGGCTTTTAATGTGCGCTGTAATAATATATTGTAAATCTCTCTAAAAACTGTACTTATGCAGTGCACAACAACAGTCATTATATCATACGCTTTTTACAGTAAACGCGCCGCGTGATGTCATTAAATAACAATTTGTACTTTTGATATTACTAGACAGGTACTTTGAGTGTATAATGCGTTTAATCACACGGTAAATGAACGCAGCGGTAGAGATAAAATGAACGCAATTTTGTGCGCCGAAATGTCGGATTAACCGAAAATTCCGAGACATTGCGGAATACACATTGACGGGCCGTATAAGTCCGGTGATACATTAAAATTATTACCGGTAGGTGCACCCGCATCACTTACTGACTTATAAATCGTGAAAAAACCGCACCGACCTCGATAATTCGCTGTATAAATGCTCGGACACTCTCGGACATACTCTTTGAACGTTGCGTGTAAATAAATTTATAGTTTTCTTCCGCTTAACAATAACTCTGGAAATTCGAAATCACTGCGATCGACCGTTCATTGTACATCGTATCCCGTTTATTCAATACATTTTTCATATGGCTTTCGTTCTCCGATACAGTGGCGTATTTCGCACGGGTGATGAATTCGAAATATTTTTTAAAAAAAAATATTCAAGATTCATACATTTTGTTATTAGATGGCTTCTGTACTGTTGCGTTACCGAAACGTTCAAATTTCATCGGATGAGGTCATCGCGATGAGTTAGAACGTAGGGTTTTTGGAAGGTGTCTATATGTGCAATACAAATATTTTGTTACGGATAGTAAAATGTTATCGCTAAATAACACATAAAACGATTATGTTTTATTATAGTTTTGCTGTGTGTTATATTTGTTTGGAAAAAATAGCTTTTATCTGTTCAGTAATAATAATATACGTATATAAGGTATTAACCGCGACAGTTTTCGAGGAACGGCAGTGTTTGGAGGGGCCAAGCCCCCCCCCTCGAATCGACTATTACGCGGAATATTTGCCAATGCGTATATAATACCCCGGAGATACTATCCAAACAAACCCACCCCCGTGATGAAATCCTCGCCAATACTCGCCAAGCTGCTCCCGCAGCCGGCCATTATCGACAGCCGACTGTGTCTGTACTGCGTAACAATACTGTAACCGACAGCGTATGGAACACGTAATTCCGTATACCGGCGGTCAATCTGCGGGGTAAACGCTGGCAAACAAAAATCATTATTATTATTATTATTATTGATATCGTGTGCGTATAACTGCGTCGACGTCCGATACGATTTGAACGATTAAACCGGTCGACACCGTAGCTGCGAATCGTTATAATTTTACGCCGTTGATACCGCTGCGGGTTTTTGAAACCAAAAGTTGTTATTTAATATAATAACGATTATTGTTGTCACTGCGCCGCAGTAACGCCCACTGCGGTTTCGCTGCTACGGCACACCACCTATAGTGTAGGTGAAATGGTATCGCAACTTCAAATATATTCCGCAGGTATAATATACCGTGTAACGTTGTTGTAAGCACTCCCATGCAGTATATTTATAATGTACACTTGGCCGTGTAACGTACGACTTTCTATTGTTCCTAGTGCATTTTAATAAAACACTATTATTAGTCGCATATTACTCGCATAATATTATTGTATTATCACTGTATTATGCGGCACACACGCGCGCGTTAAGAAATCACGTGTGCACACGCGAGACCGGCAGAGACTGTGCGCGTAGTACCGAACTCGTAATAATATTACGGATTGTGATACGTATCATACGTACGCAGGTACGTCGGATAATACGAGTGTGTACGTGTTGATCATCGTCGTAATAATTATAATAGTAATAATGTCTAATATTACGAGCATAATAGCTGGTAATAATAATAATAATAATAATAATAATAATAACAATATTACCGTTGCCGAGAGAGACTTTAACGAACGGACGTTTTTTTCGCGATTTGCGACCCGACACCGATGCACGAATGAACCGTATGGACAGAGAGAAAAAAAAACGGTTCCACGCACGAATACTCGACTACACGATAACGATATTATTATTATTTTCTAACGTTGATACGAAAACGTTTAGACTAAACCTACGCGTAATTTGCTGCGACGTGGCCCGATTATATTAGGTACGTTCGGTTATTGCAGGTAATCAAAAAAAAAAAAAAAAATGAAAAACGTAGGTATAAAGGTACTTTGTTTAATATTATAATATAATATATAGTTACAAAATAGTTTGTCTGGCGATGCGATGAAATTGAAATAAACCTTTTTCGAGTTGATAACGAGTATCGAAGCAATCGCATACACATACATTATCATAAATAATATATATATTTTATTCCCGATAACCATATTACTGTGTGTGAGATTTTACACGGTCTATAAACTTGCGGTGATTTTTACGCTGCAGTTCTATAAAACCGACCACCGCCGGAGATTATTCCGTCTACTAAACATAATACACACAAAATAACGATACTAAATCATATCGTGCGATAAAAATTAAAATACATTACATAGGTATTGTATGGGTACCTAGAAAGTCTGTCGGTATATTTTATTATCGTCGTTCGAAATGTTCGGCTGCGAATATCGGGCCAAGTATAGAAATTGCAATATGATTACTGCTGACACATTTACCAGTGCAAATCGATTATTATTATCATATTGTTACGTAAGAAATGTTTACAACCGCAAATTGAAATAAATAACGAGTAATATCGAATAGATAAGCATATAGTGACAGAGCCCCTCGAATCGGTGTAGAAAAAAAAAAAAATCGGTTCCTCTATAGATTAATACAAGAGCAAACGCCAAGAGCGCTACGTGAAAAACGGCGCACTCATTGGTCGGTGAATTTTTCGGTCCCTCGCCATTCACTTGTTATTGACGGTTATTAAATTACGTTAATATAATTAAATTAAATTATCGAGACAAGTTTTCGTGATATCGAACAGTTTCAAAAGAAAAATCCATTTACAAACAAATACAATTCTTGTATAATTATTGAAATGTTTACATTATCGTTTTGAATATACTCTTATTGTACACTTATATACTCCAATACAAATTTCGCGTAAACTACAAAACGTACCGAAACTTACAAGAATAAGTGTATACACCGTATATATTTTTATTCAAATTTATGTTTTCTCCGTGCTAACGAACTGGTAAATACGACGACGAGCAATTAAATATATTCTATAAACCGAAGAGGAAATATACTGTTGTATAGAATTGGCAAACAAAAAGAGCATAAAATAATACTCGGTGTTTTGCGATCGGTGTTGCGAAAAAAACCCGGTCCGAAATGAAAAACGATCCGTACAAATCGGGAAAGGATTATTTCTCTATAATGAACACATAGTATATTAAGTTAATCTGACCGTACAAGGTCATTGTATACATAAACAAGAAAGAAAAAAAAGACATAGAGAGAGTGAGACGGACATTATAATAATATACGTTTATATATGTACAGGGTGTCTTACTGCAGTGTTTACGTCTTGATAAATATAACTTTTATTATATCTTAAATGTAAAAATTTACCACATATTCATTTTTTTAATGCTTATCTTTTTACAGACAATTTATTAATTCTGATGAATTTAAAAGTTAAATTATTCAAATTTATCTTACAGGCATTCATCATGTTTTGTTTATTAATTTTGAAATTGTGTGTGCAATATTTAAACATGACATCATTGTTAAATTTAAATATAGTTCTACAGGAACAGCGGGATATTTCCGATGGGCAATCTTTATTTTCTCGACAAAATGGATGACAGCGATGACACACAACGGCCGTCATATGAGCCGTAAAGGTTAAATTGCTCCCGGACTGATCTTAATTTTACCTAAACTGCTGCATAATGAATGTGGCCTATGTTTTTTTTTTTTTTGCCAACCAAAAAGCGCATCACAGTGACTTAAAATTTTCTAATTTTCAGCATAACATGACTGTTGTATTATAGTATATAAACACAAAAGCCGTTGAAACCAAAAAATTAAGGGGGGAAAAATTGCATACGACAAAACTGTACGAAAAATTATCGCCAAACATTGACCTAAGCCCTACTTCTCAGGGACCAAAGATAAGGGAAAATTGTTATATTCACCGGGAGATGTGCGCACACAGTGATGCACCCTGTATATTATATAATAGCATACCAGATCGGCGATCGCGTTGGCAGCCCAGAGGGGGCGTGATTCTAATAATGTGTTCCGGTTACATAGCCTGGCGGGTTCTGCCCGGTCCGGACATCATGATATTATTATATATTACGTATTATTATAAATCAACCCGGGCAGATGGGCACCGCAGACGGCAGCGGCGGCAGCGGCAGCGGCGACGGAAGAGACAGAAAAGGTGAAGGGACCGCGTCGCGGCTTCCGCTGTAAACACGCCACGCAACGTATACCTATGCCATTGTCCTTCCCGGATCGTGATAACGGTGATACGATATAACCTCTACAAAAACGACAAGCGCCGATTGTTAAAATGTCAACGAATCGACGACTTCGAGGATAAACGATGCATAATCGGGTACCTGCCTGCACCTGCCGACCGACGTGGCCTTTCCATTTCCACCTCACTATACTCGTGGACATTTCGTCGACTATAACACATAGGTTTTGGGTTTGCTGCACTTAGGACGCTATAACTTGTTCCTTAGAGCGGCATCGCGAATTTGGACTATCGAGTGATGGTTAGGTTTTCGTACCGAGGTGCGAGCGGGATGGGATTTGTATGTTTTCGAGTTGGTATTACTGCGGGATTCCGATTTCCCGGGAATTCCCCTCCCTCCCATTGCCAATTATCACCGGGGGGAACTAGGTCAATTGGTATTGACGACGACCACGACGACGTACCACGGTATAGGGTCACGTGGTGGAACCCCGCATTAAACCCAAGAGGAGAAAGGAGTGAATAACAACAATACACGCGTGTAGCACTTTCAGTATAAGTTTTAATGGGACCTATTAATAATGGGCCCCCGCGTAGTAGGCGGTAGAGTACTCGAAACGTCACAATTATTATTACTATTATTGTTCCGCACGATAAGGACGATAGGACGATAGGTTTACAATTACGAAAATACGTCCACGTGCAGAGTAATAAAACGATACGGTTTATAGGTTAAGTACATATCAGTGTGAAAATTCAATAAATTCAAATACTCACAACTTGAGGCATGCCATTTGCGAGGAGACACAGTTATTCAAAAATTAGAACCGTTTTCGATAACGTGGTTCGGTCGCATATAACATAGGCACCTCACACGAAGTAAAAGCCTACCCGACATGGTTTCGCTTAGCAAATCGGAGTTTATTTTCAATTGGTTCCTTCTATTCCTCTTGCTTCTGTTCGCTTCAAATCAATTTTACATTTAAATATAACAGTATTTAATATTAAAATATTACACATTTCAATATGGGTATTGAAATTACGCTTTCGAGCTATTATTATTTATCCTCATCATTTTCGAATAAATGTACCTAGCCTCGAAAAATTACTGGATTAAGGAGATAGGCATTCGTCATTCGTTTAAAAAGGGCGAAAAAGCATATATTGAGTTAACAAAATACGATTTCGAACCAAAATACTATTTGAAAAACTAAAGTAACGCTATAAGTAATGATAATAAGGCCAACCCTTATACTTACGGCTGTGAAGCGTGAGCAACTAGCTAGACTGAAAGAAAACTGAAGACATTCGAAAACAGAATATGGAGGAGAATAATGACCGCAAATATGTTGGAACTAGTAGACTATCAGTAGTCGAGGTTTTCCCATTTGTAGCAAATAAGTAACGAATAAATCAAAAAAAAGGTGTCCAACATAAAATGTCCTTCGAGTAATTAAATAAAATATAAATAGATGCGTCACGGGTACTAATTTGGTGGCGGGAAAAATTATGCTAAGTTTCATGGGGCATGCGCACAGGAGTTGCCAGATATGCAATGGTACGTATGGTGCAGAGCCAGTTTTATTTTATTAGTTTTTAGTTGCTATTACCTACTTGTTTAAATTAAAATTTAAAACTCATTTTAGCAACTTTTGATAAATACGGTTTTATTTTTCTAGTTAATAAATTTAACAAAGCAAATTGTATGGTTTGCAGGGACGTGCTCACGGGAGGAGGATGAGTGTTTCATATTTCCCCCTATACTTGGTTTGAAGAAGTAGGTACCAATATTATTTATACAATATATTAAGAGTTGTGGTATAGTTATTTTTATGTAATACACTATACCTAACTATTGATCTATTTTCAAAAATACTGGCATCTCCTGCGAAAAAAGTCTGCGCACGCCTTATGCAGTAAGTTTACGATATAACTTATTATTGCCAGTAAAATTAAATGCATTGAATTCGTTGAAGTATTTGTTCGGTGAAATTTTTAAATGCAATTGGTGTACGATTTATGGACGACAATTATAACGAAAACCGTAACATCGCTTTGATTATAATTATTATACACGTCATTTTCGTAAGTACTGCAATAATAATAATAATATAGAATAATACGCTCCGGGCAGTTCGCTTAAATCTAATAATTTATAAAACAAATTTATATTTATATAATATTGTGTTATAGTATAGGCACCTAGCCGATAATATTATAAAAAAACACGATATATTATTAAATATTTTTAACTTATGTATATTTATAATTTATTGTTATACCTGTATAGGTACCTACTATAAATCTGATACCTACACAACTGCAACTGCAGTCGCTAATAATATAAAGGAAAAAAAAACTATGTTATTATAATAATATTCAATAAAAACATTTTCAACAAAATTACGTTGTATATATATAAAAAAAAAAAAAAAACCGTTATAAATAAATTGTACACATTAACCGGACGCAGCGTTGTATAAGTATATTTTTTCAGCTAGGTAAAAAAGAGGGTATAACAACTATAGTTTTCCGAAGTGTTCAGAAAATGCCATCTTTACTTCAGTTAGTGGTGAAATGCTATCAAGTTTAACTAAAATAATATAATAAATATAAAATAAATAATATAATAAAAACACATTTTCGTTTAAAAAATATTCTCAGAATTTTTTCATACGCCTTAAACGATGCAGATTTTTCGCCCGATGTTATTATTTATTTGAAAAGTTTTTCCAAATATTCAAACAATTTATTTAAACAAATTTTTTTTACGTTATTTTTTTTAAAATTTTAAACGCTTTTTTGCGATTTTTCACGCAAGACTCGCCCGTCTTAAAAGGCATGAAATTTCGGCCGGGCGGTATCTGCTTTACATGAAATTCTCAAAATATCACTTTCTAAATAAATACCTTCTAGAATCTCGATAAATATCGTTATTCATCGAACATAGTATTGTGTAATTATTTGAATATTTGAAACGATAATTGGTGTTTGGAAATTTCTAAAATACAGATTCGAGACGACTTTAAAGTCAGAAATTCAGATCTGCCGACTGACGAATATTCAGTAGGAGAGGAGCGTTGTACCGCCCACATCTCCCTCTATCTAGGCCCTAAATAATTACTATACGTGATGTTTCAAGAAAAAAACTTAACTTACTACTTTTAAGTAAAACAAAACATGTACATAGGTACCTGTAACCTAAAAATTCGCAGACAAAGTATAATTAACAAAATGTCTAATAATTATACATTTTGTTCGATAAAAAAGTAAAACTTACTATACTAACAAACGGTTCCGAAACAAAATGTTTCATAATAAAATACATTGTATATTCTAATATAATACTAGTACATGTCCGATTGGTGTACTTCCGACTACAAGACATCAATTGAATCATAATTTATAATATTTATAGAACGCGTAATTCAATATTTCCAAGACAATAAATATAGGTAATAGATTTATTGAAAATAAATAATAATAAATTAAGGTAGGTAAAATGTCAAATATCCGAGATTCGATTCGGCAGCGGTCTGAAATAAGTGATTAAAATCGGAAATCCGCAAGTACAGCAAACGAAGAAAAAACAAATTAAAATTATTTTTTATGCTCGTCGGTTTTTCAAACAGATTTTATTTTTTTTTCTTCTGTATACTCCAGCTATAATATTCATCATCGTAATAGTTAGAGGAATAGACTGACTTAAACAGAACGATCACAGACGCGTTAATGACGACAACCATTAGAAAAAAATGATGGTAAAAAAAAAAAACGCTCAGGTTACACAATATAATCTGTAGATGAAAAAAAAATCGGTTTAAATTACAGGAAAATATAATTTAACGACAAAGAATAATGGGAAAGATATATTGAGCGTTATAATAACAAATTAAGTAATTCGCGATGGTTTGGATTATTATTATTTTTTTTTTTTTATAAGTGCCGTAGCAGGAAATACGCGACATTATACTCTTTTTAACATAATATTGTTTTTTTATCGAATTTCCTACAGTAAAACGAATAACACAATAATATGTCACGGTTTACACGAGACAACTGCTGCAGTGATCGCGCAGACACCGCAAAGGTTAATCTTTAAATATTGGACACTTGTATTAGCACCCTTCCCGCCAAAAAAATTCATCCAATCCCCACTAAATAAATTCCTAATCAAGTAAATTCTAAATATATATACAATATCGATACAGTTCAACATTATGGGGTTTTAAGCCCCACGAAATATTTGGACCGTTTGAGTCTATATTATATTGCATTGTGCATTGTTTATTATTAAAACAAAAACAAAAATACCCATTAATTTCTTGATAAATTCTTCGTCCGAGATAAGAAAATCCGTTTGAATAATTCAACGGGTTTTATTGCCGTTTAGACTTGATGATCATAAAATATACAGGCCTTTACTATACAATAATAACTATACAATTTTGATAAACTGGTTAGAATAATAATTGTTATTGATAATCGATAAACAAAATATTTTTAATTATCATTCGTCGGGCAATATATTCGTAATAGCTGATAGCGACGGTGACGCGAATATCGGAATATACTCCGAAATATTCTTACAGATTCGTTTTTATATATTATATATTTATGTACATTTATTTATAGCGTTTTGTCGATTCATTAACGTGCATTTGAACTGCACGAGTGCAACACATTCACAACATTAGGTTTTTGTTATATCGAATAGGTAATACGAAAGAATACAAATTGAATTTAACTACACCGTCGAAAAGGAAATCTATTATTTAATTAAATTTTTTTTTTTCTTATCCATGCCAACGAATAATAATAGCCGACGACCCCCCCCCCGGGTTTTAGGTTAGGTTAGGGTCATGGTAATATAATTATTTACAACGTCGAAATTGGCGACGGTGCAACGAAATCGCGAATGTAACGAACCCAATGGTTTATAACTATAGATTAAACTATACAGGTAGGTTTTACTTTGTTAAAAAAATATAATCGATTTCGGCAATCTAGTTGTAGAAAAGTGCATTAATAATTTGTCAAACAATTTCTGTAAACAATATCGCTACAACAATTATGACTTACGGATATCTCGTTATAAATATAACCAATGAACATTTCCCATCAAAACGTTAACCGTAACCGCAAAGGATGTGTTTTACGATAAACGGTGTACAACCTTATAATATGACTCCTATACATTACTCTTACGATAAGAAATCCCGAATTTTAAAATAGCAAAAAAAAAAAAAAAAAAAAATTGTAAAAGACACCACTGGTCATAACGTCCTAATTTATTTTACCAATCACCGTCGCTGCAGTTGGATAGATTCACCGATTATACATTCCGAATTTCTGGTACATTCGGTTTACTTAACTAGTGACCGGGCTACTGAAAAACTGCATCGCCAAAACGCGCCTAATGGCTATGATAATAACAACGATAATCGATTGATTGTCGCGATACGCTGTGCGTATCCCGTCGCCGGTTATTCTTTTGACGGTATACCGCCAACGAGAACCAACCGAGATATAATAACATATTATTATAGGCGTACTTGCAATATTGCGAAACACGACGGTGAAATATGACCGTATTCGCATTATTATTATTATTTTTTTTTTTTCATTATTATTATTGTGTAAACAGTAAACATCACGTCGCGCAACAGGCAGGTGCCCGCGTGTTCGGAAACACAGCCGCCCCGGAACCCGGAGGCTCGGCGACGGCCAATTCGGAGTAAGTACTTAACTATCTTATTTGCGGCGGCGGCGGCGGCGCGCAACACACGCGTATATCATATACGAGACGAGGTACGGACTGTAAGTATGATAATAATATCGTTTTGTGTGTGTGTGTGTGCCGCGTGCTCGATCGCTAGTTCGCTCGCTATAGATGACCAGCTGGATCGTCTCGGGGAAAAAGAGAGAGACGGAGAGAGAAAAAAAAAAAAACAAACGAGATTTTAAAGAAAAAAAAAAAATAGAAGAAGACGTACGTATACAAACCGGTTGTACGCCGGTACGATTTATATATATACGTCATATACGTACGCACAACTTTTATCGTCGTCGTCGTCCAGGTTATTATTATTATTGTTATTTCCTCTGGGTTCTTCTGCAGCGGTGCACCGCCGCCGTTCGCCCGACTACAACCGCGTGTACTCAAAATGGCGATATTTCCATGACGTCTATCTCTCGCTCTCTACCTCTGTCTCGCCCGCTCGCCCGCCGGTTCCCTAAACCCTAGGTGGTATGCGCACGACATAGTCTATAGAGCAAAACAAAAAAAAATAAATAAAAACTACCCGCCGAGTATATGGACCGGTATAAATCCGCGAGCGCACATATATATATATATGTATAGGCAATAGTAGTTACGTTATGCGTATCATATTTTTCGGTTCGTTACTCGCCTTTTTTTGCGCTCGCGTACACGAGCAGACGAAAACCGTAATAATGCTACACATATATTATATTGTATCAACGCGCGTAACACCGGTAGGACGAAAACGGCGTCGTTATACGAGTTTATATTTTTATTTTTTTTTTTCTTCTCTTCGCATTCGACCGAGGAACATGTATATGTGTGTGTGTGTGTGTGTGTATGTGTGTGTTGTACAGAGAGCTCGCCGCGGTCATACGAGTATCGATATTATGGCCGCGCGCGCCGGGGACACGAGAGGTGTTTTTCGAACGAGTATTTTTCGTATCGGCCGACCGGTGCGAGCGCAGTGGAAGCGCACGCGACGGTAAGGCCGTAGACCCGTGGGAGACCAGTTTCCAACAGGTGGATCGCGTACGTACGTGTATCGCGTGTTACCTACACGGCTATATAATATTGTGTTATGGCCGCGGCGCTGTCCGAGCGTTTATCGCGTATCGGCAGGACAATTTCCCCAAACCCCGTGTGAAAATAGCGTCCTCGCGCGAGCTCGTAGCTTTCCGCGCGCAATGACACAACGAAACGTCCCCGGAACGGACAAACGGGAAAAAAGGCCGTCACTGCCGGCGGGCGTACCGCTGCTTCAGGATGCGAGTTATTGACGGGGACGATCTATTTTATACACAGTGGTGTTTCATTATTCGTATCCGCGGGTACGCGACGATAGACGGCTGTTGGCGAAAAACGAGTGTCGTGCCGTTACAACAGTGTCAACGGCAATCCGGAAATTCGCAAACGTCGCCTGCGCGTGCTCGCCGTTCGTCAAGAAAGCTACAAGGAAAATGGCCACCCTGACGCACCGGCCGGATCAAAAATGCTACAAGGAAGACCTTATAAAATGGTGGCGGATTCTGAATTTTTACCGGCCCGGGGCGATTTCGCTTCGCCGGCCCAAAACAACATAAATGCAAACAATTTAGCGGAAATGTAGTGAAATTAAAAAAACCATAACGGCCGTTGGCGCGCTACGTCACGTGCACGCCGCACGGTTGAAGCTACAGTCGTGATCGCGCGTTTGACATCGGAATTTCGATTGGGCGTTCGTATTTTGGTCATCCAGTTCATATTGTCCAATTGCCAAGAGAGTTGGCTTTACCCGAAGATAATAAATAAATACAGTTAAAAAATGTCTTTATTATCTACGTCTTTACGCGACTTGTTCTGTGTCAACTACACCGTAAGTCGCGCACATCGAGATAGATGAACAATACTGGAGCGCGTACACTGATACTAAAAACGAGTCTAATTTTTATACGCTTCCGCCCCCGCCACTGCAAGGTAAGAAAATCTACTGCCATATTAGTTTACATAGTAATTAGTAATACGAATAGGCATCGGCATTAGGATTTCTGTATTCTGTTTATTAAAATTTAAAATACCAATTATACAATTATACCTTTTATTCATTTTTATACATTTATAATTTTAATTACTAATTAATATCGCGGTATCGCGTTCAGCGTACGGATGTACAAATAGACGTAACAAACAAAACGGAATTCATTTCCATCGGTAAGTGCAATACACATTTCTATCAATTAACAAAATCTCCTAATTTTATGTAAACGCGCATTATGATTATTTATAAATAATTGATTATTTATCTCGATGTTCTAGATTTCCTCTGAAAAGACCTGAAGTATTAAAAAAATGGTAACATAAAATCAAACGTAAAAATTTTACACCCAAACAGAACAGTTATTTACGCGGTGAACATTTCGTGCCTAGTGATTTAAAAAATTGTAAATACATGCTATTTTTTTTTATTTGTGTTTATTTCCAAATTATATAGATGGAAATATAGTTAGAAGAAAATAATAGTATGCAAAGCGATAATTTATAGTTTAGACTGTTTAGAGGTAAGCGACTGAATAAACGCATAACCGTGGAAAAAAACGATTTTTAGTGGAACTCGGTTATACGTCGATTTTTTTCTTCCTCGAATGACAAAGATGACCCAGGAATCCGAAATGTTCTGTATAAAATCGTCCACAACAGCCCTCGTGTTATTTCGGATTGTTCAAACATTTTGTGACTTTTCGGGCATGTACACTATACGCGTATTTCTACGTATATATATATAAATATATAGGTACACAGCTGGCGCGCACAGCCGTCTGCGTAGGTGTATTCGTACGAGTACACTTGTGTTTGACGCGACGCACAAACGATCGAAAATTGTCAGTCAAAAAAAAAAAAAAAAAAAAAAAAAAAAAACAAAACAAAACAAAACTCGTGCGTCGCAGTCTAACGTTGTTACGCAGCGTATGTAACCATCCGAATTCGGTTACCGGGTTATTTGTAAAGCAATTTCAATTTTCCCTCGTGCATCGCCGTCGGCCGTAAAATCGACGCCGTTACGCGAACGAAAACACGGCTTGATACGCTGCATACGGTCTACGGTTATTGGTGGATTGCCGAACGCAGTTGGTGGGCAACGAGTATCGGCAGTTAATTTGTTTAATTTGTAAGTACAAGAACCAATTCGGATGCGGCCGAACGGTTTTTTAAACCGTGCGGCCGGAAATATCGCTGTACGGTCAACGGAAATAATAATAATATGATTATTATCAAACGCGCCGTGTCCCGTCGGTAAAATATTGCGATTTCGACTTTTCAAAGGTTTCCCCTCGCGCGCGTGTGGCTTCGCCGTACTTGCTCCCGTTATAATAATAGTAATCAGATATTCCGTTTGCCTTTGCACACACGTCATTATCGGTATCGGAAAAACATCCCGAACCACACGGCAACGGACATTTACGGCAGCGGAGTCTCCAGACCCATAGCTATAGTTGTGGGGTGGGGGGGGGCGAAATAATTAAATTTAATATTAATGATTGATAAAAACAAAAAAAATTATATTCACTTTCGGACTAATGTCCGTGCCGAATGCCAATGTAGGTCCGCTTCTCTCGGGGGGAGGGGGGAAGGCCATGTTTTCAATTTATCGTGCTTATTATGAGTACGGGTTCGTATTATTATTTTAGTCGTATGCCTATAGTATAAGCGACTTGTTATTGCGTTTAGCCGAAAACGACATATCGCGTAGTATTATTATTATTATTGTTATTACCATAACGTTACCGCGGTACTCGTAAATCGATTATAACTATTGTCAACATTGACGGGCGTGTTGCGAAATTCAATATAATTTCTGTTGCGGGCTTGTACATGTACCCGATACCGCACAATAAATCCGAATAATGGTACATAGGTATGTTTACGACAAAACGTGAAACGCAAACGTTTATACCGCGATTCGACCGGATTATCGACGGAATTTGACATTTTTTTGAAAATCTACGAATCATACCGTTCGTATGCATTATAACGGTGCTCGAACGTTCCGTCCGTAATATTTACGGGATTGAAAAATTAATTAAAAATTCTACTACGGAGTTTTGTTGATAACGAATATACGAGTTGTCTGGCAAATAAGCGTGAAATGTTAACAAATGACGAATACGGCGGAACAAAATTTTAAAATTTAAAAAAAAAAAAAATAACATTAAACGATCACAAAGTATAACGATCGAAACAGTACCTGCTCGACGAGTACCCAAGGATTAAGAATGTACGATGTATGTCTGTACGTAGTTTATGTCGAAAGAAAACCCTCCCGTTAAACCAAAATTATCCAATTTTTCGGTATAAAATTTGCACTATTCCGCGGGTAAACCGAACCGCCGATAACGCATTTAATCGGGTCGGCCGAACAATTCGACGGGCATTTTTTAAAAGTCAATAAAGTATTGTAGCGAAAGTAAAGAAAGTGTTCTGCGCGGTTCCGTCTCGCAATAACCTATTTAAAAAAAACTTCTCTTATCACTTCCCCCTCCCAAACAACCGTTTCAAAGCGGGTAACCTGGTCAAAGGCGGCAATTAATCATTTCGAAATAACTGCGAAATAATATACAAAATAATATTTGTATCATAAATTATCATATTATACGGTATACGTTTTTATTTTTATTTTTTTACAGCATATTTTAAGTGCATAAATTCAGGAAAGAATATTAAGATTTTTAAACATCAGCAGTCCTCAGCCCTAATTATATAAATATCGTGTAGCAAAAAAGAGCGTTTTGGCGCGAAAATGGGTCAGCCCTAAGACTGCACTGAGTGAGTTATCGACTAAAACGCCGGCCGCCTACGCGACGTGCGGTGTACACTTACCGTCTCTAAAAATAATCGCATTGGACGCACCGGTGTAAATTAGTAATACCTTGATAAATTTTGTCACGCACATACGCGTTATATTATTATATTTCTGTATATTATTATTATAAAATACCCTATTACCTATATACATGTATACTATGTACAACACCGTTGCAATGCCCAATCGACTGAACAATTCTATACGGGCCAAAAATTGTGCATTTTATAAAAATATATATTTTTCTTAGCCCAATGAATTATTTATTGTGCGTACATGTTTCGTAGGCACTTTACCTGGGGTATACCTAAGATTACATATCAATTTGGTTTTTTGTAAGTATTGTTTGATTTCGTCGTTTTATTTTAAACATAAATTGAAGCGGTAATATTTTACACAAATAATTACGATCAATAAAAAATAATACACTTTACATATCTTGTGTATGTAGATACGTGTATAATATAAAAAAAAGAAAAGAAGCTCAAAGATACTGCAGAAACCAGTTTTTATTCATTGGCTAATGACCAAATTTGGAATCGGCGCGTTATTATTATTTTTTTACCTGAATTGTTATTATTGGAGTGTATTTAAGTATTTTTCCACTTCAAAAAATACATAACATACTTGGCTAATATGCAAAGTATTACCGAACTAACGAAAAAGAATTTTAAAATGTTGTATTCGATAAGTTCGATGATCAGATAATATAAATAATATTTAATCAATTTACCGGTAATGTATAAAAATCAGTAGACTAAAATCAAAATTCAAGCGTATCAAAAATCAAATTTTAAAATAAAAACTGAAGAAAGGGGGTTTCCTTTGTAAAGGAGAATTTCAAAATACCTTTTTCTTATGGAATTCAGACAAATGTGTTTGGTAAAAATAAAAAATAAAACCATTATAATATTTTAACTATACAAAATAATGTTTTATTATAAATAATCCAGTGATGTGTTATAGTTTTCAGTATTTTTGGGAAACTCATTCTGAAAACCTTTAAGGGTATAAAATTGAATGAGTACTATCCCACGTTTCAAAACAAAAAAATGTTTAATATTATAATAGGTATCAAACGTTTTTTTTTTTTTTTTTTTTTTTTGTACAGATAAGTAATTACTATAGTTATTAATTACTAAAAAAAAAATGATTATAGTAATATATAATTGTGAATTGCACGTATTCGAATAAGACAAAAATAATTACTATTGTATTATATTGTAGGGCGTATTCAATAGTTATTTGTCACGTTTATTTACAATTACATTATCCAGTCAGGTATACCAAAATATTGAATGTTGACAATATTTGTAAACGTATACAGGCGCGTACAGCCACGTATATATACATATATATATATAAGTATAATATACAAACAAATCAATTTCCGTCGATCCATCGAGTCAGGAATTCGTCTGCCTATTCACACAACTGAAAAGTGTGAAAATTATTATAACGGAAGAATAATATTTCACATGTTATAACAGTATAACATTAGGCATGTTATACTCGTATCGACCTGTAACAATAACTCATTTTTATGAAAATTATCAAATAAGTCTCCGGCCGAGTCCTCCTCAATGATTATTACCCGTTGCTTTTCTTTTCAAACAAATAAAGAACCCCTTCGTTAATGCTGCTATTTGAGACATTGTCAACGTGTCGGCATATCATGAACACAAGTGGCTATTATAATAAAATACAGGTATACGGACCTCTACAGTCTACACCCAAACGCGACCCAAACGAATTGAAATAAGTTTACACATTTTGAACGTTGATGAATAACAACAAACGGGCATAGAGCAACGCAGCAGACTATAATGCGGACTACTTCTCAGACGGAAAATTACCAAGCATGCACAATGCACACGAAATTATGAATATCATGCGTACAGAATCACATTACGTTTTGTTATAACTTCGGGGCGTTTGACAAAATATTAAGTGACTCGTTCGACCCGAAAAAATAACGTTTCGGTCTTTCCGGAATAATATATAATTTTGGTTTTTTTTTTTTATTATTATTAAAACGAATGCAAGTTTTAAGATTTCATGTATTTGATTAACGATAAATTATACGTGAATCAAATAGAAAAACGCATGTCGAACGATTAATTGTTTTCGAATAATTATATTGAATACAAATGGTATAAGCCGATAAACGAATGAAATCGGTAGATATCACAAAAAAAAAAAATACTTCTATTTCGATGTTCGATATAACTCGAAGTACTTATCTTAAACAAAAAAAAAAAAAAACGTTTACCGTCTCAATTTATAGTCTAAAGTATTATTAAAAATGTAATATAAATTAAAAACAATATAATTAAATAGGCGAATATATTTTGGTCACATGTGTCCCCCCCATGTTTGCCGTTTTTACCAATTGCGTACCCAAACCGTTTAAAAAATTATTCACGCTTAACGCTTCGGCGTGCTGCCTCTCTTACATTTGTCTAGCTGTCTAGCATCAATTTTAATAATACGTATGTTTTGAAACCGACGATAATGCTACATTAATTTGCTATCACTTTTCACTGTTGTCAATCGATAAAATAAGAAACCTCCCCCCCCCCTCCTTCCCGTAAATTTTGTGAAATATTTACACAAATAAATTCTTACGAATAAATTTTTGGAAAATTAAATAGAAAATAGTGTCGTGATGGAGGGCCCTTACGTGGATGAAAAACACCTCCCAACTCCTAATATCCTCCGATATTACAACGACGAAAAAACGTTTATAACAGTCGACGGCAAAAAGAAGTTTTCAAACTGATTAACTATGCGACGAATGACGACAAAATATTATGATAATAATAATAATACGAGTATTGTATAATACCGTCGCGATGATATCTTTCTTTCCGGCCCGTGTGCGTCGTCGTCGTGTCGCCGATGATACGTGTCTGGCAACCGTTTTAAATTTTCACCGGCCGGCGGAGCGACTGCAGACAACGGTTACGTATTCCGGGTCCGTGTGCGGTAATAATATAGTTTACATATTTCACGTTATTGTAATTTGTTATTGTTGCCCTCCCCCTCCCCGTTCGAGTGTACAGAGCGACGCACGACGACCTGTAGCAGGTGTTAAATTCGTCGTTTTTTTTTACAATAACATGAAATAATATTTCAGCTTTGTTCAGTTTAACAAAAAATGTACAATTTTTTTACACAGATTTCATACTATTGTGTAGATTCGAAACCTATACTACAGACCGTACGCATTTTATGGCGTGACAATATCGAAAAAGCAGACTTTTTTTTTTTTTTTTTTTTGTAATACTAACACGGCCCGTAAAGCGTTTCAAACTGGCAGAGCCGCCATTTACGGTTTTTTAGATAGTTTTTTCAATCGATATTAGATGTTTTTAACGAATTTCATAGAGTATTATTCTGCCATATATTCTCTTGTGATATAAAATTTAGACGATCCTGTGGACCAATTATAATTAGGGAATTATTTCTGTGGACCACAGTTATATATAGTAAAAAATAGAAGTACCTAACTGAAAATTATAAATTATCTTCAATTCGATACATAACTGCAGTATGTACCAAAATATATAAAATTTCATTTACTTTTTTCTGTGGCCTGACTATGTATTTACAGGTAGATTTATTTAAAAACTGAAATCGATATTTCTGATTTCGAAATGTTCAATACCGTCGAAATAAGGTACACGCCGTCACACCCTGTATACATACCGCGACAAACGATTTCCGATATATCTAATTACTTCCCGGACGAAACACCACGAGTATAATATATCCTACGTGTGTAACTAATTGTTTAAATCGAATATAGAAAACGCATGCAGGAAAAACTCCGATTTCAAAATTCGAAAACATAAATTTTGGGTTTCTGTTTTTATAAATCTGAAAATCGATCGTTTAATTTTTCTTTATTATTCTCTATTTATACATAAACCTAACCTAACCTAACGTTGTTTTAAAACATACGATTTTGTTTGAAAATTGTCTACTAACGATTAAACACTTTTAGATTCTGAATGAAGCAAAGAAACTACAAGTTCTTTTTAGTTCATTAAAACGATCCGACTTTTCATGTTATACCAATAAAGATGTGGATTTAAATAATTTGTTGAAATTCAAACTCGTTCGTACATTGTTTCCGTAGAATTTAAAAACCGAACAATAATTTACCAACATATGTGTTTAATATAATAACGAACAACTTTGACCCTCCCCCCTCCCCAAAAAAAAAAAACAAAAACAAAAACAAATAAAATCCTAGGTAAGTCACTGCAAATTACCGACAAAAAAAAAAGTGTCACAATATTTTTGTTTTTTTAGCTTCGATAATATAGTGGCTGGATATATATATATATATTATGTATATCATAATGTATCACAGAGGTCCTCTGCGTATGACGCAAAGGATTGGTGACGTGTTGACGTCGTCGTTTACGACCCGGCGAACCTACTATACATGTAATAATATAATATTATAGGTGCGCCCGAGTTATAAAATACATGATATTGTAATATTATTGTGATGCGTGTGTTCGTTCGACGACGGGAAAAAAATTTTAAAAGTAAAAGAAAAAAAAAAAAATCATTGTTTGGCGACAGAATGAAACGACACCACCACAGCCGTGAGTACCTATATATTATGTATAGTAATAATCTTATACACAGTCGACAGTCGTGTTTTAGTGAATGAAAAGAAACGCGCTCGTATGCGTTGACCCTCTCCCTTCCCCCCACCCCTCTTTCCTCCCATTATGTAAACGTCCACGACAATATATGTAATATATTAATAATATTATAAGTTGTATAGTAGAGCAGTCGTAGAGATCCACACAAGTGTCTATAATAATAGTGACTGCGTATATATATAATATTATCATAGTTATTATATTATATAGTTCAACAACGATCCAGTTGTGTCAGTTTTTTCGGTTATAAAGATAAGCCGCGTGTAATACCGCGTTATTGTACGTACCGTGTTTTTTTTTCTCTTCCTACCCGACAAATTGATTAGTTCCCACACAACAGTTGTATATAGGACATAGGTACCTCGTACGTTTCAATTTTCGTTTTTTTTTTTTTTTTTTTTTTTTTTTTTTTATGTAATTTTTCGGGTGTATACCCACCCATTACGTATACACAGGAATTATTATTATTGTTTAAAACGCGTTTGTTCTGAAAAAAAATAAAATAAAAACATATGACGACGGGTATCTATAATACATACTCGTGTACTACTGCTATAATAATATACATCCTAATTGAAGATTACGTTTTAATAATAATAATAATAACGATACGGTTACATGTTATTATAATACACCTATACTGGTTCTATACCTATATGTGTACACGGGAAAGTTTTTTAACCTTGCCACGAACGGGTTTATCCCCTAATCTATCAAATATTGTGGTACGCGCGAGCAATAAACACAATATATAGGTATATAATATATTATAATCGTCGGTCGAATATATCGTATGCATAAAAAAAAAAAAAAAAGCTTAATTTATATTCGAGGGAAACATATATGGGCACAACGGTAGGTATTACGGAGCCCGGTGCCGGTATTCCGAATTTTCTTTAATTTTTTAAAATTTGACCTAACCCAATCTAACCTAGAACATTTACAATTCCGTAAATTTGATAGTTATTTACTCCTTTTCCACTAATTTACTGCCCAAAACCCATTAAAGGGGAAGGGCTATTTTAAATTTTTTAAAAAAAAAACAATATTTTAAATTTTTTAAGTAATTTATAAAAAAGATATATGTTGAATTTAAAAAAAAAAAACAAAACTGTGTTCGCCTTCTGTAAAAGTTGCTTTGGTTGATACGTCCATTTGGTTCTAATTCAACTATATGTGCCAATCATTCTTTTTTTTTTTTTTTAATTATCAAACAGAGCAAAATTTATATTGATCACATTGAACTCTGATTTTTCACTTGATTTTAAACAATGGTATACAACTTTGGTAAAAAAGGTTATGAATTAGCCTTTTTTAAAGACGTATTATAAAGATTGAGAAGAAAATATTAAAAAATTTAGTTTGATGTGGTGTGGATAGAAGTCTTCCTATTTCCTAAACAAAAAAAATAATTTAAATCTGACCACTATACAAAGCATGAGTTTTTCTCGTAAGATATATTTTTAAGTCAAAAAACAGGCTGGTGCCGCCGTGCCCCATAAGTGTGTTAATACAAATGAATTGTGATGATAGTTATCCCAGTACCCGGACTTTCGAATTCGGATATATCAAAACTAATATTCATGAACAAGCTATTATTGTACACTTGATTTTTTACAAACGAAATTAAATTTCACAAAATTGTACAATATAAAGTACATAATATTATAACACTACATCGGTGAAATTTAAGATTAGTTAAAAAAAACGTTTGGATTATACCTAGTTCTAAGTTAATATACATATATTATATATTATATTCGGGCAAATCTGTAACGTAAATTTCAACTTTTCACAGTAGGTAGGTACCGTGTCAATAATATTACAATACTCTACTTTTAATAATAATTTTATACTACTCGCTCTCTTCAGTAATAAATTGATCCTTGCTCAGAAAGATCTGGTTTTTGACATAAAGTGACAATATAAAATAAACATTTGGGCAAAACCGTAGCTACTTTTGTTGTAAAATTGTTATAAAAAATATTTATTCATTAGAATTATCAAATGTATATATTTATAAAATAAATGTGTGTACGTTACAGATTTGGCCGAATGAGATTGGTCACAGCTAGGTTTGTCCGGGAAATACCGAAACATGGAGTTTTGCCCGGACATTTCTGAGATTTGCCCGATTTTGGCTTTTGCCCGTAACATATATAATATAACGTTACCCCATAGTATCCGGACATTTTAATGTGCATTTCTACGGGATATTTCGGAAGACTGTAAAAATTAAATTCGATTGGCCGTGAGAAAAAATGAGTCTCAATTATCAGATATGGGTATACAGTTATAATAAATTTTAAACTTGTGGGACATTAAAAATATACAGAGATTTCGACACGGATCGACAGTAATTAATTGTCACGTAGGTAATTTTTTACCAGATCAAACGACACAGTCGTCCGTTCTCTAAATCACAGAAACTCGTATTATTAGCGAGGAAAACTATAAAATAAAAAAATAAAAAAATATAAAAAAATCTTTAAAGCTGCTCGTCCGCAACACACACAATATTATTAAAACAACGCGGAATTAATTATGCGGAGATTCTCTCTTTTAAGGCACAGATATAATACACGAGTTTTACCTGCAGGTACCTACCCGCGCAGTTCATTGCAATACTAATTTATCACGTTTAAAAGGTTAATTGGCATTAGAAATCGCGTCGGTTTAGTAAACAATATTTGGCTTCGTTGTTTATTTCGCCGAGTATTTATATAAACTGCGCGAAAAACTAAGCGATAATGATGATATAATGTAGTTACCCCGGGACCCGGAGTTTCGAAATCTCAAATTTCGACAACGCGGTATTGTATATGATAATAATATATACTCGGTATTCTGTTTCGTACAATTTATTTTTTTTTTTGAGAACGCAAATATTTTAGCCGCGTGAAAGCACTAAGTCTTTGCGAAAACATTTCTAACAATAACTGATTTTTTTTTAAACAATTGTTGGGTTTTGTGGGACGTATGGAATTTCAATAGTAATTAAACTTCGGAGTCTGTAGTACTATTGTCATGTGCATATCTTTCAGCACTGTATGCGAAACATACGTAAACAAAAAAAAAACCACATACAACAATATATTTATTTATAGACCATACTCGATATTGTTGTACTTAATACAATACTTTAAAAACAATTTGAATATTAAAATTCAAGTTAATTACTTTAAAAACCACGATCTTCTTTTACCATCAACTTCTAGTTCAGTACTGGCTCTTAAGCCAGTATGTCAACTAGCGTTAATAGTTTAGTTTAAGTCTCAGTACTTAGTTAATAGTCCAGTTACCAATACTGTCATTTACGGATTCGTTTCGTATTAATAAATATTTCTTTTGAGGTTACCAACGAAAACCAACAGTTTTCTAACAAGACCGAGTAGGCATTGTTAACGCGGTTTTGCAAAGTTTTGTTGCATTAGTAACTTCACGAGGGTAAGTGATTTTCCTAAAAAAAAAAAATTGATTCCGCCTTATTAAATAATTGTATACTATCGCGATGATTACATCGTACAATTATTTAAATAGTATAAAATTATTCTGATTATTTGAATTTTCTATTGTGTCTATATTTCATCGAAATGGTATAATATCTCATAATGTATACCATAGGTCATAGATATTAGACATTTATTTAATATGTTCGTTTTAAACAATACACTTTTGTCATTGAAATAATAAAGTAAAAACAAAATTATTAAACGGTTAATACTCGTAAATAAATATAGTAAAAAAATATATAAATAAAAAAATGTATAAATAAAAAAAAAAATAAATAAATGAATCCATGCGTCGTTTGAAATATTATGATAAGTGTATTATACGACCGGTTTCGAATTAACAATTCATCATCAGGTATATCACAGTCACGCATTAACTATTTTTTTATTTTTATGTATAAATTGTATTATTTATATATTTTTTACTACCTATACTTTTGCTGTTTATTTATTATAGAAATTAATCAAATATTTGGGTTAAAAGTGATCCTAAATGTACCTAATATTAATGAAAAATATAAAGCGATTTTTAATTTTTACGATTTTTAAATTTACACATTAGCCTATTCGCGATTTGAAAGTATATTCGAAAAAACGACTTATCTATTCACAATTTTCAGTACTGTAGTTATTCATAGTACTTTTTTTTTTATAAATTAACGACTTTCTTGATTAGTACGACACGTACAATTATGGATTTTATAGAAATTATGAAATACTGCAAAGTGTGATTTATACAAAAAGTAAAAAAGTATAATTACAAAATTTGAATATTGCATTTTATGCGTACATAAATTTTATACTACTTAGTTTTTTGATTATACGCATAGTTATATGACTTTGTTCTCAGTCATCCAATTTTTATAGAAATGTTGTTTTTTTTTGGTTACTATCACGTACCATAAACATGTTTAATATTATACTTCTTTTTGTATAGATAAATACCGAAAACTGAAATTCGTAAAAAAAATAATAGTAATAATAACCTGTCTTATAATATTAAACGCCCGCGACATTTTAAATCGTCGTCGAGTAAAAATAAACGTTATTGCATCGTCCTGACATTGAAAATTCAAACTACACGTTTTATATTATTTTTGATTACGTACGTACATGTAGTATACAATTCTGTATCAACGCGCGTCACGATAATAATTCACTCAAAACTTGCGAATATCCTCGAAATAAAAACAAATTTAAAACAAAACAAACAAGTATCATAAAAACAAATGTATATCATGTCACGCGAAACACTTGAACGATTTATTTGCGATAATACAAATGAGTTTATTTAATATAGTGTGTTTTTAGATTTTAACCGTAGCTAAGAAGCCATTAGTTTTACTAAGATAACGTGTGTGTGTGTGTGTGTGTGTGTATGTGTGTGTCTTCCCCCCCCCCGTATCACGGATAACACTTTTTCGGTTTGTAAAAATGCTTCGAATTTTTCACGCCGTATACGTTAAAAGATGCGGATTTGTCGTCCGGTAGTATTTTATTTGAAAACCCGTTCTGGATTCCCAACACTTGCTGCATAAAATAAATTACCCTATATTACCGTACCTATACACCATTTCCCGATTTCCCAACCGACAACAGTGGCTTACGCATGATGGTGTGAAGTGTATGTCCCCGTTTTTCAATTTGGTGTTGCTGCATCGTTCGGTGTCGAGTTCACTTATACATAAACGATTGGTATAGAGGTACGTTTTAGAGACGAAAATTAATGTTATATCGATTCGAAAAGCTATTATTTATTGTTTCTTTATTCAGGTGCCGCGACACGTATTATATTGTACTAAAACCACGATAATTATAATACTATAGCAGCAACGTTGAAAAAAATTATTCTCCTGCGTAAAAATCATCGATACATTTGGCGGAAAACAACACGTACACTGTGGCATTATAGACGCCGGCCTACAATTAGTTTTTATAATATCGCGAATGATGCCCGTTCGTGTATTGTTCGCGGCCAGAAAAAGTTTAACCTCGATAATTTCGTTATACCAGGTACAACGGGGTCTAATGCGAGCAAATTAATTAATATGTATTATGAATAATAATATACAGTAACAATGCGTTATAGAAATACATCGTAATATTATATTGACGCGTTTTTTCTTTCGAAATCTATAAAAACAACGAGCTAAAAGAGCGAGCGCGCCGGTGGCAGTGGCGTCGCCATTTCATTATATTTTGCTAGACCAATAACTTATCGAATTTTCCAACTGATGAGAAAAAGAGTTTGTTTACAAAAATGTTTCCTAGATTTATTCAATAGGCTCTTATAAAGAGTATTTCAGAATTCCATCGGTATTTATACAAAGAAATAGGTACAAATTATATATTTTCGTGGTGTCCACGAAGTTGTATTTTAAAAGTAGTGAAAATCAAAAATTTTACTACGGATTACACTATAGTTTACGAAAAGAAAGTGTATTATGGGTTATTTATTGATATTTTGACATTTTTCCCGTAGCCTCAAAAGCCAGAAATCAACCGAATTTCCGGCTTAAGACGAGACCTAAAATTTAGAATCAAATGCGGGTGATTCGTGCAGTTCAGTTCAGTCGCATGCCGCATATGACATGTCAGCCAAGCTTTTGGCATAAATGAATCAGTTCTTTCTGTTTCAGTCACCTGAACGCGTGGTTTGGCGTGTCTGTTTTTAGTCAATTAACTCGACTGTTACAGTCGAGGCACGATGCAGACCGAACTGCAGATGTGGACAAAAAGTTAGAAAACGTAAATGGACCGCGGATTCATTATTCATTCATGATAGCATTATTATAGATTTACACGATTAATGATTGAAGGAAAAAATGTTCGATAAGACCCTCAAAAAGAATAATAAAAACAATTTGTTAACAATTATTGCTCAATATGTTTTAAGGTTTTAACAAAAGATAAACAATACATAATATATTGAGAGACAATAGATATCAATTCATGTCACAAGTATTATTATTTAAATATATTTGTATAAAACAAAGAGGTACTGTATACAGTAGTTTCCAGCAGTGTGAAATCTGTCGGCGAAAAGATAATAAAATATCAAAATACATAGTCAAAGGCAAATGTTAGGCCCCCGTAGTCTTGTGGCTCGGGAACCACGGATCTCTTGTCCCTCCCCTTAATCCGAACTTGGATATTCTTTATACCGATGATAGTAATAATAATAATAATAATAAAAAAAATTAATTTAAATATGATTAGTCACTGACGAGCGATGAAAATATAATAATATATTGGACAAATCTAACGTGGCATCTGCAAATTGTATATGTATATAAGTTTACATCAAATCGTAAATAATTTTACTGGTATAGAAACCAGGAAGTACCTAAAAAAAGAAATATATATATATATATATATAAAAAACAGAACTTGACAAAACCGCAATATCTCGGAGTACATTAACTTATAATAATCATATGGACTGTTTATTTTCATAATAATATTACGTTTTGACAAATCCATATTAATTTAATTACAATTTTTTTTTTTTTTCATTTGTTGGCAAATAAACAAATTGCGCAATTTTTCGGTAACCGAATATAATCCTATTATTCGGACGAAAATATTGTTCAAATGCCAAAATCGCGGCGTATACTCATCGTCGTCGTCGTCGTCGTCGTCGTCGTCGTCGTACATCCCGTGTATAATAGTATATCAGGTTATATAGGTTAAAATTCGATAAATTTAGAAAAATGTTACGGCGAGTTGTCACGTTACAATAAGCTATACGGACTTTACTTTCACGCTCAATGACGCGCGGGCATCGAATAATTTATTATTTGACTAAAACTTTACACTGCACATCGGTCGACTCAACGGACGACGACAGCCCGTTTTATTAGGCGAAATTATTGCAACAATAATTATCGCGGTTTTACACGACGACGTACGTAATGAAAATCGGTCTGTCGTATAACGGTGTCGGTGTTACAGTCGGATTTTTCGAATTTTATAGTTTTACCCATTACAATATTGTCGTACCTACCCACCGCCGCGGGAGAAACGAGTTTTTTTGGGTTTCCTTTCGTTTTTCGGAAAATATTTACTATTATCGAAAATGAAATAATATTCCCATATAGAACTGCAGTGTTCGCGCGGTTTTTGTTTTTGTTTTTTTTTTTTTTGTACATATATGTATATATATTATATAGCTATACCAGGAAACGATTTTTCGCGTTCCCCTGTTCGGTAAATATAGCAATCTGTCGTATATTATTCGTACGGTAAACACGCGGTTTACGCTGCACCTGCTATAGACGGGTAAGCACAAAAATATAAAGGAATACAAACACAGTAACTGTACGCGAGTACGCTAATTCCGTCCTAGATTTTCGCTAAAATTGAATTGCGTCCCAACTTTATCTGGCACCGCCGACCAATATCAAATAATTATTTTTCTTTTTGAGCTTTTTGTGCGTACAGCGAAGAGTGTATTGGTTTTACTATATACATGTTACAAATTTTTTACCCGGAAATCAAGCTCCGTCGTTAATTTCAGAGATCGTTATTTTCTTGAAGAAAATTCGCCTTGGTTATTGCATCGGGGAGGTATTTTTTATTTTCCTAATATTTTTCTAAATTATTGGCGAAAATGCCGGAAAAGTACGCGATAACGGTTTCTGTTGTTTTCAATTTTGATTTTGTTTTTCATGTAATTCAGTAAAAAATGTCCGTAGAGATCTGAAATTACGTGGCACAATTTTCATAATATTTCTAACGGTTTTTAATTTATTTAAAGTTATTTGAAATTTTCGAGTATTTCGTGACAATCCCTGCATTTCACATATTTATGTGAATACAATTAGTTCGACTTTATGAAAATGCTAGGTAATTCGGCACAAAAAAAATATGAACAATTATTATTATTTATTTTGTGTTTGGAAACTATAATACAGTTCTAGTTAAACGTTTTAAACGAAACATCGTTCAGAATCGTTTTTCGGTAGCAATGATTTATCGTTGCGTACGGGTACATAAACTGAAATGCCCGATAATATAATATATTACATCATAACTTCCTAACATTATTATGTTGTTTAGATTTCATCGTGGTATTATGTTGTAAGCAATTGTCCGAAAATTATAAGAATCGTATTCATATTAAAATACACTGCACACGAAATAAAAATCTACCAGACGTTAAATTACGTTGCATAACAAATCGGGGTTTATTTTCGATTAAAAGTCCGACGTGAGCGAGCGAATAAAGGTGGCCGAAAGCCCCTAGACAAAACTATTTTACAATTAAATTTATAATATTTGCCGGTTTTTATGATTCCATTTCCCCAGATTAAATTATGGTAACGCAGCACCCTTAGTTAAGGTGATAAAACTTATCAATACTAGTAACTTTAATTTGTTTCTGTCATAGTTTAAATTTGTTAATTTCTTATGTTTTGTCTTGTAACAATACCCGGCTGTAATATGTTATTCATATTGATTTTAGTTTACTTGTAAAAAAAACCTATGGACGTCTATATCATTTGTATTATTATCAGTAATTTTGTTATAATAATAATAAATAAATAAATATTTAGTTTTCAAATATTACAAATTTAAATATGAGTATATCTTCTTGATTATATTTTGTACTGTCCTTATCATTATGGGGACATCCTAATCAATATTATCAAATAATAAATTGTTATTGCAATGTTGTTCCTATATTATCATCTACGATTATCGTAATTATTATAATAGGTACGTACGAACTTTGATCGTATTTACTTATCTGATTTGGGATCATATCATATTATTATAGAGTCGATGTCATATGATATAATATTGCAATACAATAGAAGAAAAATTGTCGCATTTCAGTGATTATGTGATGCTATCCTAGTATTATGGTAGCCGAGGCGTAATATTATCGGATGCAATTTTCGCAAAATAATCTTAAAAATTGATTGTAAATATAAACATATTAATACCTATTGTAAAAAAACAGAAAACTGTTTGTAATAAAGCGAATTTCTAACAAAACTTTTAAAGGGCGAGTGTTACTTATTCTACAACACGGTAATAGTTTTTCGTTGCGTATTAATGTAAATAAAATGATCATTTCGAAAGTCGATGAACGGAAACTGAACTTTGTACTAATTTTGTTTTTGGTTTTGTTTTATAATGTTTACTACAAATTCTATGCCTAAACTTTCGCAGCATTTCGACTATATTGTTATGCAGACTGAGTGTTTTGTTTTTTCCCCCGTAGGTACACACATACGCCGTAGACAGAATAAAAAACAAAACAGGCAATTTGAATAGAATTTTTCGGTAAGCATACAAAATATAATAATGCATAAAAAGTAGTATGCGGTTCGCCAAATACCCGTCATCATCGGTTAAATTAATGTAATTCAGAAATCAGAGACGTATTTGCGGAGGGGAAGAGTACCGACCCTTCCCCTAATCCCCTTCCTCGCGTGGACCATAATTATCAAATAATTATTGTAATATCGTCATTATCGTATCGTCGGAACATAAAAATTTCATCGCGAATCAGCCAAGTTTAAAGAAATTAAATTGCATTTCGTATTATCTATTTAGTGTTTAGGTATGTTATCTATTTGGAAAAAAAATTTGTTTACGCGAATTTCCCATGTCACGCGGGTAAAACAAAATATTAGGTACTAGTCTTCTAAACCAATTATTAAACAATCCGATTTAAAATAATACAATTAATTAAATGTATTCACACTTGAACAACAACAATTGTTTTTATTTTTTTTATTTTTTTTATTTTTTTTACGACGAAGAAGTATTCGCTGTACAGTCTGCTGAGTAAACCTATACATCTACACGAGTTCTCACGCAATTATATAGAAGAAAATATCATTTTTTTTTTTTTCAAAATATTTTATAGCCTGTTGAAAAAAAGAAGTTCGTTCAGATGGTATTTTATTTTACCCGTAACATTGTAACAATAATAATTATTATACGAGTAATGTTACATTTTCAATTTTGTTTTTTTCCCGATTGCTCGCTGATTATTTGACTATAGAATAATCGAAGAGTCTTATACTGGAGCAACAACCTGCGTATAACTCATGCCACGAATATTTATGATCGAAACAATTTTTTCGGCTGGATTTTTTGAAGAAAACAAAACGGTGGCTACAATAACGATTATTATTCGAATTACCATTCAACGATCGTCGCTCGTTAGCCGTATCACATCAGACAATGACTTTATAAATTATTAATTTGCACAGCTAGCTATCATAGGTACCCAACTGTCCGTATATTCGGTATCGATTATGTAAGACATATAACATATAACGATGTTTCCGCGCCAAAAAGGTTTAAATGCGAGAAAAAAATAATAATAATAATAATAATAGTAATAAAATGTAACGCCAGAGAGTAGAGAAATTCACGTAGATAACGCGCGCTACATTACGTGTAGCCGTATAAACGGACGTATATCGCGTGTGTATTGTGTACTATTGTTATTATTATTATTATATATGAAAGTAACCGTATCGAAACGAATAATATTATTATGTGTTCTATAACGGGGAAAATATTTACAGGAAAAAAAAAAAAAAAAAACGTCTGCTAAAAAACAAATAAAACGAAATACGCGTAAATAAATCCCAACCTACGAGTATTACGTAACCGAGCCCGCGACAATCGGTGTGCAATCGAAATGATGTTCGAAAAGAAAAACGTCTCGAGTCGAATTTCCGAGCGTTTCCGCCGGGTGAATTGAATTTCGGGCGGCGGGGATCGGCGAGTATGTTTTGGGCAATAGGGGGAAGGTGGGGGGGGGGTGCGCTGAGCGTATCGGAACAAAATTAAGTTCTTTTGAGTTCATGAACGAGTTTACTAATTTTTGTTCGCGGTCATTTTAATTTGACGATTCAGTTGCCCCCTCCCCCGCCAAACTATTAACGACGAGGTTTTCACGTATAGCAGAGCGTGTAAAACCCGTTCGCTCCTCAATATTACGGATGCGGTGAAACACTGGTTTCTACGGTTTGGTGTTAAAAAAATTACGATTTTTTTTTTTTTTTTAAATTTTAAACGGCGACTAAACGAAAATATACCACCACCTTCTGCACACAATGTAACGTACAATAATAACGGTTAGGTATTACGTGCCTAATATGCATACACCGTAAGTAGGTATATAATATTACAAGACGTTATAAGAGCACATAAGACCTCTAAGCGTATATAAAATAATACGGCGTGGTTTTCGTGCGGCCAAAGAAAGCGAGTCCGGGTCATACCTCGGTACCTATGTAGCTATGTATTATACTTATCCGCACGACTTTTAGATTCGAAGCGTATTTTCTTTTCTTTCTTTTTCTTTTTTTGGATTCACGTCCGTATTTTTCATACCTACTTAGAGTAAAATCATGCGAAAAAATCGCCGTGTTCGCACTACGCAACAGCCGAGTGACGCTTACTCGCGTTCACGGGTCCGGGGCATACAGATTGATTCGATTCACATCTGTGTGCATAAATGACCATAAATAACTGAAAAGTCGCCAGAATGTTTTATAAACGCAGGAAAGGGGTAAATATTCTGTAAACATTTCAAGTGTCTACCATAATTTTGAGTGAAACTACAAGAAAAAACAACATCGAAAATCATAATACATGGAAAATTAAAAAACAATTCCCTCAACGCACCTACAATGCGACATTTTCTTCCAGAAAAAAACCCCATGTCGATGGCCGGAGCCAGATTTCTGATGGAAAAGTCGTTCACGCGGCTTATGCTTTTTTTTATTACAATCAGATCTCTAACAGCATTAATCAACAATGAAATTGGAACGACGACGTCACAGACTTGTACCGGTTGTCAGCGGCGCATTTATAGGAGGGGCGAAAGGGGCCATCATTGCCCCGGGCGGACAAATGTCAAGGACGGTAAAATTTAAATGGTTTTATTGATGACGAGTTTTAATGGAAAGTGGAAGCAATATTAGGTAGAGAAAATAAAGAAAACGGGTTTATTGTACGGGTGGACCTATATAAATTTCAGATTCGGAGCGAGGGTTTTACTATAATGTGTTTTTTTTTTCCATCTATAAACAACTTTTCGAAAATAAAACACACTCCGATGTGTCGAGTGCCGCTTTTCTGAAAAGAAATTTTATCCAGTCGATGCAATAGAGAAGTCATTTTTGTTGATCTTACATGGGGTTTTCAAAATAATTGATAAAAACCGGAAACAAAATTATAGGTAAAACGGCAAATATTCGCGGCGCGCGCGGGGGGTTGCCGATTTTATGGTTTTTAATTTTTGCGAACCATGTTTGCCACCAGAACTATTGCTTTAATCGAAAAATTCCCAGAGGTTGTTTTTCCTAATCGCATTTCGAATTTCGACGCTCACGGAGAATGTGGTCGTTTGATTCGCCGCGTAGGTTTTCGAGCAAAACCGAGAAGTGAATAACACGTATAGAAAGAACGGGACAATTCACGGGAACAATTCACGTACCTAATTTATTATTTTCGATTTTGTTTTGCGGCTGCGATTCGGTGAAAAACGTTCGCGGCGTCCGGAAACGTCGACGGGGCACCTGTCTGTTCCTAGACGCGGTAAAATTGTGCAAAAACACGCTCAAAAAACGCCATTTCGTCTTGCGTCGACTCGGCTTCCCGGCGTTCGCCCCGCGCCGACGCCGGTTCTTTTTTCGCTCTTATTTTCCCGGCCCGGAGCGCGGAACAAAAAAAAAAAATTAAAAAAAATATAAAAAAAAAATCCTCGACGGGCCGCCGCCGCGCCGGTTGCGTACCGTACTCGCGTGCGGCGCGGCGGCGCGCGCGCCCGTACGCACCGCACGCGTATGTTAAGACGCCGCCGCGCGCGAATTCGAGTGCATCCGTTCTCAAGGTCGACACCACCGGCGTTCATTATTATTATTATTATTATTATTATTATTGTTATCATCACCACTACACACGTCACGTGCACGCGCGCGTTCCGCATACGCGTGCGCGCGTTGTACAAGCGCACCGAAATAAATTATCGTTATTATCATTATTGTTGTTATTATTATTCGGCGACACTTCTCGCCGCGGCCGAGCCTCGGACGCCGACCGGCGCGGGTTCAACGCATCCCGCGGGCCGAGGCGTTTCGTCGCGACACCGCGGAGCCGTCCGCCGTCGCCGCCCGGGCGGGTCCCGGACAAACACCGCGTTGCGCGCCTACGAAATAACGAACGACGACAATTGGTGACCGGATTCGCACGCGCTTTTAAAGACGGCGGAAAACCACTCAGTAAAACGTCACGAATGCCCCGGGAGCGACGCGGGGAAATATACGCGTTTGAAAGTGCCCCATTTAACGGATTTAACCGATCGAACGACATCGTTTTTACGCAAAAACGATTCGTAAAAAGCAATCCCCTTTACGCGACGCACGTAGGGCTTTATTGAATAGGAAATGTCCGCGCGAACCGCGTCTGTAGCGCGTTGGGAAATCGAATTCAATAAGCTTAAGCCATCGGTCGGTGGAGCGGGGACTTTTGAACTTGTGCTGTCATTTTCGCCTTTTTCAATATTCGAAGGCGTTTTTTTTTCGGGGATTTTTTTTTTTGTTTTTCTGGACGTTTTAAAGCGCCTTTTTTTATCGATTACCCTATCAGTGTGCACAATTAACATTACCCGGGCGTGCTCCGCATAGCGCAACTGCGCTGTTATTACGCGGAATGTTCGATAACGCGGGGTTACGGGTACGGGACGTCCACGTTCGAAACTTCGGCGGGCCACCCGCCCGTTGTAAATAACCTCGGAACGAAAAACGACATTTCCGAACGGCTGCGCGGGGAATTTCACGCCGCTCGAAACGTTTCGACCGAAAGACCCGCGGCTCTAGGCCCGGTTTCGTCGACATCGTCGTTCCACCGTGTTACCGCCGAATCCGGAGGTTGTCATCGGATTCGTTTTAACGTTTCAACGTATTACCGTCCGTCATTCGCGTCGGCTGTGTACCCGCAGTGACGTAAAAATATCTACAACGTCGATAATTGAAACCGGTTGAACTGATAATTATCATTGTTTATACCGTTCGTCGTTAACTGAAATCTACGGGCAGCCCGGGACCGTTTGGGCCGTTTATATAGCGCCGTAAGAGGTATTGCAGGTGTCCGCCGCCACAGTTGCATACACACACACACACACACACACACACACACACTGTTCGAGTTTTACATTTTAACGATTTTTTTTTTTTTCACAACAAAGTGAAATTTTTTCGCGAAACTTTCCCGAAACGTTTGATGAAATATTTCAAAAATATAAGCTTGCGAAACATTTTTTTGTCGCGTCAATGGAAAAAAAAAAAACGCTCGTGTTTTTCCGCGACGGTTACTCGGGGTCTCGGTCGCGAAATTTCAAAACGCGGACACTCGCGGGATTTCGTTCCGCGCGCGATACGCTCGGTGGTGCACGAACGTACGTGTTGTTGAATACCTATACGCGATAATGTCTAAGCCCAATAGGCGTCTCTGTTAGTTTGACGCGTTGCTTCCCGACCGCAGATGTTATCCGTTTCGAACGCGTTGTTTTTGTACAAATTGTTTTCGTTTGTTTTTTCGAGCTGTTCCTCCTCCTCCTCCTCCTCCTCCTCCTCCTTCCCCCCACGCCGTTATACCGGTCCCGGCGCGGTTTCACCGAGGTCTGTCGGCTCAGGTTTAGCTGTACGAGGGTACGATCATATCGGGTGTACCGCATTATAACGAGCGACCGGTCTGAGTGTGTAACCGCATTTGAGAAATACGCCGGACCCCGAACCAGGGGCGCCCGTACACGTATACAATCCGCGTTACACAGGGTGCCGGAAAGACGCGTCGCGGCACCGCCAGCCGGTCGCCGGACGACGCGCGGGTGCGGACGTTCGCGCACGGGGTGAACGGCGACGGCGACGGCCCGCCGCTCCCTCCTCCGCGTCGACGCTGCAGTTAATCGGCGTGACAATATTACGACATCTGTTCGCGAACGGTTCGCGCGCCGGACTCGGTTATAAACCTATTGGTACCTGCGCGCGGGACAGTGACGTTCTCAAAACGGTTGACGCGGGTGATGCACCCGGAGAGGTCTGCGTAGAAGAACCCGGGCATTTTTGTTTTTTCGCAACAACTCGTTACGTTTGTGTACGACACGAAAATACGAAACGAAACGTTAAAATATGTCGATAAGCCCGGGCGATATAGTAACTGTATTATATTGATAAAAAAAAAAAAAAATCGATTTTTTCCCCCGACAGATATAATAATACGAATAATAGCGAATAATAACTACGCGCCGCCGACACGGGACATCCGCCGAAACGAAAACGTATTTCGGGAGCCGCGTGCCGCTTGTAACGTGGTAATATGTACGCGGCGAACGCGAGACTCACCCGATGCGGCGCCCCGAGGATCCTGTGCACGCCGGCGATCTGGTTGATCAGGGGCAACGTGAGGCTGAACGAATGGACCGGCGGCGCCCGTTGGGGTTCCGGCACGTTGGCCGAATACTCGAAAGGGTCCGTGTCGTCCACGTACTGTACGCGGCACGTGAGCGACATAATTTACGTCGTCGCGGGCGGCGGTAAACGCACTTTGTAAAACTGTTATTACGAATGTTGCGTCGACTCTCAGACGGCGACGTTCATACCGTCGCCCCCGGACCGGTTATACGATTGGCGTTCGCGCGAAAATATTATCGGTGCTCGTATACTTTTTTTAATCGTTATTATTGTCGTTACAGCGCCGCCGTCGTCGGGTCGTACGTTATTATTATCATACACAGAAACTCGATATTATCGTACGCGTAACCGTAACACCGTAAATGCGGACGGTCGTGACAGTCCGTACGATACGGGCCGACTGTTCACGGTCGGAGGACGCAGCCGCCGCCGACGATTGTCGGAAACAGCGGAGGCGGCGGCGGCAGAGGTTCCCCCACCGCGCGCGCGGCCCGACGACGGCCGCGGCCGACAAGAGCGACCCGAACGCGGGGCACCAACGACTGTAACGACGGTTGATGACGACGCCGACAACAATAATAATGGCACCTCCTGTACGGCGCGGGGGCAGCGCCGCGAAAATACGTCCCTCGTTTGACGCGCACCCCGCTGCACGCGGCGAAACGGACGGGCGACGGCAAGCGCAGTGTCCGTTACGACTGATCCGTCGGAAAATGTACACGCAATGACATTGCGCGCTGCTCTTGGCCAACGTTATCGACGAGGGGCTTGAAAATACAGGCGTAACGACACGCGAGGGAGCTATTGGGGTTTTACAATGCAGTTTATATTTATTTTTATTTTTTTTTTCTCTCTTCGTTCTAGTTCGCGGACACGTTTTTTTCCTAGCGGACTTGTTCCGATTTTTACGTGTACCAACTTTCCTGACCGTTCAGGTTGTCCAGATTGTACTTTAGAGAGGTAATTCTTTCAATCTTTTCGACGACGCGTTTTAAACAAAAGCGCTCGAGTGGGGAAAAAAAACGTAGGGAAACGCGCGATTTCATTGTTTTATAAAAACACGGACGACGTTTTCTACCAGAAAAAATGATTTAATCGAAAAACCACGGGACACCTCTTTTGTTGCCTTTTTGATTTATTTTCTTACGGTGTCGTTGCCGAAACTTTTGAGCCACTTTTGAGCTTTTAAGGAATATTTATTTTTGGAAGGTTTTTTTGATACTATTCGATTATAAATACACGTAGAGACTTGAAACTCGGTGATAATACTTATATTGGAATTACTTAGACGTGGTAAAATTTTTTTTTTTTAAAAGCGTTTTGAATTAAAATTAAAACGAAAATCGCAAAAAAAATTACGGCACTTCAAATTATGTATTACCGAACTGCGCTCGGAATCGTCTTTCGTCAAACAATAGTTTATCGTTGCTTACAGATATAAATGAAATAATCCTATGTATCCTACCTTCTCAACTTTTCACTTACAACAGTGACCGCTCCCATCCCCAGTATCAGTTTTTTTTAAAAATATATTTGTAAATTTGTTTGTAAAAAAAAATAGTCACGATACGTCACAGTGAAATGTAACGGACATCGTCCGATAATTTGACTTTGCGCTAATAAAAACGAAATACAATACTTAACTTTTGCCGGCTTTCGCCGGTATGCAACAATTTTAACAATAATATTGCCTCGTAATCCTGCATTAAATGAATACCACGTTTACGAGACGGAAAATAAATGTATCCACACAAGTTGAAATAAATTCAAAACAGATAAATCTCGAAAATTAAAATATCCACAATTACTTAGGAATAAGAACCGAAATATTTCGAAAATTATAATGACGACGTTCAACCAACAAGTGGCTAGTGTAATTGTTGTATATTTGGTAAAAATATCCGGTCTGTACGGTTACTAATATTTTTTCCGAGTTACAGCAAAAACGATTTTGACGGAACCCCCGGGGTTTATATAGTTGTCAGTGTTTTCCCGTTAAATGTGTGATAAGTACATGGAATAATAATTGTTTAGAAAATTAAGCTGATCCTGCTTACTGCAGTGCCACTGTTGTGGGTGGAAATTCGGAAAAGTAGAATACATTAAGTTATTTAATTGATATTAATTGTTATTTAATTTATATATCTGTACGCAGCGATAAATCATTGCTGACGGAATACGATTCCCAACGAAGTTCCATATTTTTACGAACGGAATTTAAAAAAAAAATAATAATAATAATAATAATACAAATTGTAAATAATGTAGTGACACGGTGCAACAAATAATATTTACCGTCTTGAAAACCGATCGAGTGAAAGCGTAAATGCGCGTCCGGGAAATATTCTATAGTATTATACACTACGCGAGTGACGTATCAAAAACACCACATTAAATAAACTACTCTAAACGTTGGACAGGTTGTTTTATTTTTTTTTTTTTTTTTAGTTTTCGTTTTTTCCCCGTTTTTGTTCCAAGGCTTAATGTCAAGACAATTATACTCTTTTCTTCCTCGCGTAACGCAACGCACCTTCATATTATATTTTAATTAACAACTACTCACGTTAACCCTGTTGCGACTACTGCAGGTGGTCTCCTGAAGTAAATACGTAAACGTTTATACGAACACAAGTCGATTTAATTCTCCTACACCTATGTGTGTTCTGCACTAATTGCCTATTATCTCCTATCTCCGCGGATATTATCATATCGAAAACGATCTACACCTGTGTCTATGTATAAATACAATAATAAAACTAGAATACTTGAATTGTAAAATAAAAAAAAAAAATTGAAAGAAAAAAAGAGCTGCTACTGTTTATGGGCGTGCCACTGTTGTGGATGGGAAGTGAAGTCGGAACGGTAGAACACATAGAGTTATTTAATTCGTATCCGAAGTAACAATAAACCATTGCTAACGAAATACGATTTTGAACAACGAAGTTATCGGTTACACATGTTTTGAAATGCCGTAATATTTTCGATTTGCATCAAAAGATCACCTTGAAACGTTTATCGAAAAAGAATGATTATCTACATAACTACTACTACGTCGTTTTTTTTTTTATCACTAAGTTAATCTTATAATGGAATTCGAATTAGATGAACAAGCATTCGTATTTAGTAAAAATATTTTATCCACTATCCAAAGAATATCTACAAAGTTAAAAATTATGCAAGACAAAAATCCCGCAAATATAAAATTTATATAAATAGGACAATAATCGATTAAAAATATTTTGAAAATTTTACTACGAATAGGCTAGTATTATAAGTATTCTGTAGAAATTTCAACTTTCTAAGATCAAGTTTAACTAATTTAAAACAAAATCGAAAATAACGGAACAATTAATGCCGTAAACTTTTTTAAACACGACTTGCCGACTAACGTACCGATTCCAAAATGCCACGAAATTTCTCGTAGAAAACATGAATCGTAAAAATTGAAAATACATATTCAAATCGTAACGCCGTAAATGTTTGTCCGTTAAGTTGTGTGTCTTTGGTTTACCTTGCAAAATTCGGTTTCCGTAATTGTCGGATATGGATAACTTTTAAATGTATTCGATTAAACGCTATACACATTATGCATATACTAACATGTACCATAATATTTTTAGAAGACATTATTGAAACGCAATATCCTAATAGTGGTGTTTTTATATATACATACATGTTTACCGAATGTCTAAATGATTCGTAAATTAATTAAATGTATAACTATTTATTGTAGATAAAACAAAATGTACAAAAATTACTTGACTCGAAAAAAAAAAAAAATGTTTTACCAAAAAAAAAAAAAAATAATAATATAAAAATGAATATACGAGTACATGCCTTACCCATGTATTATACAACTTCAACGGCCGATATTTTATTCTAAGTTTTCGGTTACATTGCGCGACCATAGTTTACTGCTATACCTGCTATACAATATACATCGCGGTTCAAAGGAATGTTTAAGTATACGTTTACGAATGGTTTGTAAAAGATAAAATGCAAACGGTTATTCAACGGTGTATAAGTATAATAATAATATCTATAATATCTATAATATATATACATACATATAAAGAATCTACTGACAATAGATTTTTGTCCGGACCAAAAGATCACGTACATTATAAATATAACAAATAATAACGTTCTTGTATACCTCTATAAATTATTGCCACTGATCCCGGTAGGTTACACGCTGACAATTTTATAGGATATCTATGCGAACGAGAATGCCGTTATATTCACTTATTTAAGTATAGGCTTTTCAGATGATATTGCATCGCGGGTTATACAAACGGTTCCCGAAAAATAATACCGCCGTCCCGACATGCTATAACGTATTAATATTACGCGGTATATTGTTACGAGTATTATGATTTCGTGTACAGAAAAATGGTTCTCAAAACAAGAGGGAATGGAGGGGATGGAGGTTTAAGCACTGAATGGAGGGTAAATATTATAATATAGTACAAAGTATAGTAATAAAGTATAATATAGTAATGAGGAAATATGAAGAATATTCGATTCTATAATAATTTATTATTTCAATTAATTTTTTTAAATTTTGTTAAGTTAACCATCTACTTGTTTATTCGTTTATTTCAAATTGTAACAGTCGGTGAAGTTACGTTTACTGTTAAAAAAAAAAAAAAAAAGGCCTGAAGTATAAAAAGCCTAGAACCAATACTGTTGTAGTTAATTAAATTAATTAACTTAATGTTCTGTTTGAATTAATTCGTTTTATTTCCAAGACCTGTTATACCAGTATACCAGTAAAGAGAATTTATGTATACACTATAGTCTCTAAGCTGCATAGTAAGATGTAACGGTTTTTGATAATTGAAGAAAAAAAAAAATTGAAAGCGTTTAAGAGGGGAAAAAAACGATACATTCAATACAGATACGTTGGACACTCGTCTCACTTCCTTCACCGCGATGTACAATCAATCTATCAACCTGTTGCACTTTTATATTGTTATAAATTTAAACACAATAAACACAGAGATATCCTCAATTGGAAAAAAACAATCGGTTTTATTTCATTTATTTAGTGTTTTCTTTTAGATTTTATAAATATAAATAACTATTTATAGCACAGTAGTCTGCATAGATACTGTTTATAAATCGTTTTTTCCAAAGAGAAATATATAAAAAAAAAAAAACCGAATTATTATTAATACCATCGCATTTTCGTAATTCACAAAATCAAATAAAAAGTACATTTCACACCGTAATTTAAATATTATAGCATTTTTTGTTTTTAATTTTTCTTCAATGTACCACATCATATTTATATACTTTACATAACATAATGCGATTTAGTTTGTCAGAGTATTTATTATACATAGTATTAAAAACTATAAATAACTCTTCCAACATTGTATGTCATTTAAAATACAATATCGGGAATAGGCATCGTTACCCATCACTCGTCGTTCCATTGGTTTATTCGTCTGAGCAAACAAATAGCATTTTCAAAAGAGGATGTTGAATTAAAATTCATATACATTTTATATTTTAGTTTTTCCAATTTCAATATAAGAAATCGAACGAAATAAAAACTTTGAAAAATATTATTACTTAAAACTATAATTAATATACTCATGCACAAATAGGATTTTAAAAACTTTAGAAATACGCATTTAATAAATTTAAAAATCTATTAAATACAAATAAAGTTAGAGAATTTGTGCGCATGGTATAACCTTGAACCGACCGATTATAACGGATTTATAAATAAAATAACAAAATATATTATGGTGAAGTGCGAATTGAATAATATTTATACATTTTAAGTACAAAAAATAAAACGAATTAAACAATTATAAAATAATAAAATTTAAAATTCAGACTTATTAGGTATACTCGTATAATAATTGATTTTGCATTCCAATCTCAATGGTCTTAAATCACTATCATTTTCGTTTGTAATAAATTCTAAAAATATCAGCAAATAACACAATTATAAAACTAATACTCGTACATTTAAGAATGAAAATTGTATATTTATTGGCAAAAAATCATGGTATTTTTACAAATACAAAAATTGAAATGATGGTGTTACAAATAAACTGGTGTAATAAACTTAATCTTCAAAAAGGTACCTCATTTATGAATTTTGACTAATTACGGAGGAAGAAAAAAGCGTTTTTCCTAAAAAAAAAACACTCCGAGAAATAATGTATAAGGTTATAAGTAGGTATTGAAGAAAAAAAATCATTGGGAGGATATATCCTCCCCTCCATTAGATAACGTAGTAAAACATACGTCCAATTCACAGCGTTTTTTTGATAATAAATTAGTTAGGAAAGCCCACTCTGCGTGTATGTTCCCGGTTTCTAAACGTTTTTTTTTTTTAATAATAAATCATAGTTACATATACAATTTTGAAATAATTCGGTAACCTAGTATATTATGTACTTATACGTATTAACCTAAATAAATTTCAAATCTTAATTTGTAAATAATTGACAGGACATTTTTGAATTCTTTAAGTACTATTATTACTATATAATATTACTTTATATTATTAATATTGACTAGTATGGATGTACATTTTAATACTTTTAACTATAATAATAATAACAATAACGTTATGAATAATATCATATATCTCCATGTTAACCGAATCAACAACTGTAACTATGGGATATAAGGTTAGAAACTTAAGAAAAAGAACGGACATACTTTGCACGTAGGTGCAGCCACTTTTGTGGGTGGGAATTTGTGAAGTTAGGATACAAACGGGAATTCAATTTATATCTGTAATCAACGAAAAATCATTGTTAACGAAAAAACGATTTGAAGTGGAGTTCAGCAGTTGATAGTGTCATATAATATACATATATGTCATATTATGATAAAATGATTACAACATGCGTTTCCGTGACAACAATGTTTGTTTAAAAAATATTAAAATAATAACAAAAAATAAATAAATACGAATGATAACCTTATTTTTAATCTTTCAATCTTTTTTAACCTAAAGAACCAGGTTTCCCTTATTATCTCGAATATTAATGAGAATTTTTTTAAAAAAATGTCCTCTCTAAAGTACCACCTAGAGAAAATTTCCCTTCAGAAAAGGTACTCTAATCATAGTGTGTTTTTTGGTAGTAAAAGTTATCGCATAAAAAAGAAAATAATTTAATACATTCTCGCTCCACTCAGAATCTCTAATTAACTTTTATTAAAATGAATCAATATCATTTTTAAATAATATTTTCAGTTCATATTATACGGAAAATTGTGAAACCATTCAGTGAAAAGTTTTAGTAGGTAAGACTAGTAATCCAATACTGCAGTACACTTATACCTAAATTATACAAAATTGTCAATAACATAATTTAATTTAATTGAATTATAGGTAATTAGGTTTTAGGTATTTAATTAGTGGTGAGAGGAGGTTACAAGCGGGTATACTGTGATAAACGGGTGGAATGATTAAGAGTAGTGAGTTACATCCATGAGCATTTTAATTTATCACTGCCAAAGTTTTTAAGGTATAGTATAAAATAATGTTTCGGAAAGTAAAAATTATTACTATGGGTAAAATAACTAATCAAAATGCACTTCAATTAAAAATTTAAAAATATAATAGGTGTACATTTTATGTAGTAAACCACATATTTGAAGGTAAACCACAATTTTATATGTATTAAAAATCATGTAAATATCTTCCTATTTAGAGAGTGTATATATTACAATATATAAATCACCGAGGCGACTACTTAAGAATTATCCACGTTCATTTTCCGATTCATTGAGAGAGAAACATGCATTCTTATAATATATATAAAATATCAGAGCACTTTTTCTACTCCCAAAAGACTTAATTGTCTAACAAAACGCGCATATTATAGAACTTCTTTTTCTCTTCACACAATTTAAAATTTATTTTTTTCTGTGTGGGAACTTAATTTAAAAATAACTCATGGCTATTTTTCACTGTTCAGTTTTCATGCACTATGAAATTATCCTTAAAACGTAGATATAATTTAAAATTTTTCGTAAAAATAAAAAAAAAAATAAAAATAAAATAGTTAAAAAAATATTATGCTTTACATTTTTCGAATAAAAAATTAACAAAATTACATTTTTTCTGCTTGTATAATTATAATAATGAAAAGCCCACAATATTTTGGTTTTGGTTTCTGTACTGCTATACAAATTTGTATTTATAATCTACTTACTCGCGCTAGTCTAGTAGTAACTACCTATAATATCTATTAACGTGGCAGCAATTCAAAAAAAAAAAAGAAAATCTAACGATAATATTCCGTACCGTTTCGACCAAACTGACATAAGGGAAGTTATAGCAATAAAAACGTGAAGCTAACAAAAAGGCCAACTTCGGTAACTATGTGCAGATAGAATAAAAACAAATTGTACAACTCTATGGCGCATATTCAAATATTGAGTACTAATAAAATTTGGCCCACGAATGATAATATATGCTAACAAAATAAATATAACAATTTAAAATCAGATCAGTTTATTTGGATTTAAGACTTTTGCGACGACTTTCATAGACCGTAGAAATAATTCTTTAACTCTCTTAAAATGTCAAGGAGTGCTGCAGACCCCTTAGCCTCTCACCCTCCCTGCCTACGGCACTGGCAATGTATACATTTTTATTAATATTATTATGAATTTAATTTAAACGCAATAGGTATTATAATAATTATTACTAACTTCATCCTAGATTTAATTGTAATAAAATGATTTTATAATTTATAAAACACCCATAATTAGCTTAATTAATTAAGCAAATAAGGTGCAAATTGTATTCCGCCTGTTTTGATTTAGATCCTATATGCGTCTCAATATCTTTTGAAACTATTAATATGCTCTAGTATATAATAAATACAAGGATATTTATAGACGGCAATGAATTACACGTACAAATCATAGATATTTTTCAAGGAAGTAATTTTTTTGAATTTCTCGGTAATTTAATAAAACGTTTACAAACAACTGCGATGAGAAGAAACATATTATGTGTAGCAATTGCATTTAAATTTATGCTCCGAGCTTTACTCGGAATCGTTTCCCGATAGCAATAGATTGTCGTGTTCGAATTAAAAATAATAATACACTATTTTCCTACGCCGAGGGACGTGGCGTGAGACGAATGCCCTACTGCGATAGAATCACTGTTCCACATTTTTTTTTTTTTTTGAAACGTAATATTACTTAAATATTGTTAAATACATAATTGCGCAATCAATTTCATCAAAAAATATACATTCTAAAGTATAGTATTTATATTTAATAATAATTTTACCAAATAATAACTGTCTCAAGGTAAATTAAATTTAGTATAATTATATAAAATCTACATTTTATTCTACGGCTTGATTGACAGTGTTTTGGATAGTTCTTCCATATACCTACGTAGTAATATAGAATAAAAGTGATAATATTCGACAGGTTAGAATTTTGATTTAAAAGAATTTTATATCTTTTTTGTTTTTAGATTCTGTCAACTAAATAATACCCTAGCCTTATAGCTACAAAATATATGTTTTGTAAAAAAAAAAGAAATTCATTTCGCATTTAATTGTTTGAATTTTAATGATAGTTTTAAAGTTTATGTATAAGAGTTTGAGGTTTTAAAGAACATTCGGTCGGTACATGTTTTTATAGATTATCTATTTGGGTACTAAATATCTACTTTAACTGCTTTGTGCTGTGGCCTCCTGTACAATGCATTTGTACATTTAAGTATAGAAACAAATTTATTATTAATATATCGGTAATCAGCAATAAATTCTTATATTACCCGTTAAAATGGTACAATAATAACTTGTTTGATTTATTTTTGAGATTCTGAACGTTTTCATTATAATGTGTTTTTTTATGTCTGTAAACAACTTTTCCACCAGAAATCTTGCGTCAATCAAAATACGACAAGAGAACTTTTTTTTTGCGTTTTAGATTTATATAGTTGATACATTTAGAAGGTCATTTTTTAGATTTTTCTTGTAGTTTTGTAATGATTGGACAAAACCGGAAAAAAGCTGTAGTAAAACCGTGAAAGTTTAAAAATGGTAATAACAGTTAAATTAGTTTAGATTTCTTTTATATTATAATTCGGTTGATAATAATCTTAGAAACCTGACATTTTTACAGAATATTTGTATTATTTGTTTGTAGACGTAGTGAAATAAAGATTTTTGAATTATTTATAGGCATTTGACATTTTCGAGGATTTTATTATTTCATTTGATGTGAATTCAAACGTTTTGAAATTCTGGCAAATTTAATACGAGGTTTACTAAAAGTTGTACTTAGCGTTAAAGAGAGCAAGTTGAGCATTAGGTAATAATTTTTTTCAAAGAACGTTTTAAGTACAAAATTTGTTAAAAATATTACTATTCGTTTAATAACGAATTGCGATTTGTTTTTGTTTATTTAATTTGTTAATATGTAATATTTTTTGATCATCTTTTTATCATAACATCAACTTGTTTGAATGCAATAGTTAATAATAAATGTATAATGCGAATTATGTAACATTAGTTTTACGATTATATCAAATAGGTAGGTATCTGATTAAATTTGCATTAAACTAAATAATTATTGATATATATAATGATATATGTTATTAAGAAGTAAAAATGATGCACTTACCATAGTCAGTTTTTTTTGTATTGTCGACAACTGTGCTGTACTGTCATGAATATGAACTTGGTCAACTCCAACTTCTATACAATCGTCTAAAATATAAAAAACTCAAATATATTTTCTATCCAAATAATATTAATAATAATGTAATATAATACGTATTATATTGTTATATGTACATAGATCAAATAATATTGGGTACCTGAATCGGTATCCGGTGGTGTTTTTGGTGCTGCAGGTGGTGGCTCTTCGTTCCCTAATAACTCGTCGATATTTCTACATCCCCCAATAAATAACATCAATTGATCCAATTCATCTTGTAAATTTAGTTCTTTTGAATTATTGTTAGTAGGTTCATTAGCAACTTCATTTACAACATTCTCTATTTTTTTTATTCGAAGAGAAGTTTTTTTGGTTCTGACAAAATCATCGCTCTGATTTTTTTCTCCCCACCAATCAGGACTACTATCGACTAATTCTTCTTTATTTTTTTTTGAACTTGAGCTGACTACATCACCACTACTCGTTTGTTTAGGTTCGTGACTTTGAGATTCAGAATCTTCAGCACTTGCTAACCAAGACGGGCTATCAAATGAATCCATTTTTCTAACACCTAAAATATTTTTTAACGAACTATCTGTTGGTGTATTTTTTAATTGATTCGGCAATAATTCTGGACCGTCGTGTGACCAGTCAATTGAAATGCTTGTACTTCCAGGATCTGTATTTTTTTGATCTGATTCCCACCACTGCGATTCCATTGAATCCATTTTTTTAATTGTTGGATAGTCATTATTCCAAGTATCTAATTTGTTTAAATTTAAATAATTATCATCGAGCTTTTCATTCGAGGTAGAATTTTCATTTAAATTAGGTGTGTTTGTTTCTGATTGAAAGTTGAAGCCATTTTTTAGCCAACCCAGATTTTCGAGTTCTTCTACTTCATTTTCTACAGGTACATTAATATTTACGTCATTTTCCGGATCAGTTGGAAACGATTCATACGAATTATCTTCATTTTCTTCGATACGTTGATTTTGAATTGAATTATCGCTTAATGAATTAACTTGTTTTGCCTCGTCTCCAGATAGCCACCAAGGACTGTCAAATGAATCCATTTTTCTAATTCCATATGACACTGGATTGTAACTATGTGACACTGTAATTTCTGGACTTTTTGTTAAAGAATGGTCGCTTTTAGTAAATTCTAATTTATTTGAGCTTAATTTTGATTCATCACTTTCTTCTTTTAACCACCACGGTGTATCAAACGAATCCATTTTTCTAACGCTATACGTTTGGTTTTTACTTGATAAGGAATTACTAATATGTGAATCTGAGTTTGAAATGTTATCAACGCATAGTGAATTATTATAATTATTCAATTCATGTTTGTCACTATCTTCTATACATTTATTTACATTAATTGATTCTGTTCTATCATATATGCTCTGACTTATACTAGATAATGTATTATTACTTTTATTAGATTCGGAATTTGAAACACTGCTGGCACGTGAAGTTTGTTTTTCATTCGTAATATCTTCTTGAACTGCTTCTTGTAACCATTGGTTTCTATCAGAAGAGTCCATTTTTCTAATGCCATATGAACGATTTTTACTTGACGTAGAACTACTCTTGGTCGATTCTGAACAAGAAGGACTTTCAACATACGGCGCTTCATTGACAGCGATTTGTTCTGTAGCTTCTTGTAACCATCGACTTCTGTCCGATGAATCTAATTTTCTTATACTATAAGAAGGAATTTTGCTTATCAAAGTATTATTTACATTTAAATCAAAATCTTTACCAGCGTCTTTATACAATGTTTGTTCTACGTTGTTATTTTCGTTATGTTCAGAATCTTGTAGCCACCAAGCTTGATCAGTAGAGTCAATTTTTCTCAAAGGATATTGTGGTTTAGGTGCATCAGAAATAATCGCAACGCCACTAACTGGTGCAATACTTCTAATTGTAACTAATTTTGGTTCTTCGAATTTTCGTCCTGTCGGTGGTTTTTCTTCTGCCGTACTGGAAAATGACGCAGACCTACTAATACCAGATTCATCTCGACTTTTATCTGCAGAAGACCTGTTTCTTGACCAGTTCGGTTGAGGTAGTTTTGACGTTTCTGCACCACTTGAACGACTTTTACTATGACCGGATGAATCCGAAAGATACGAATCTTGTTCTTGGCCTGTAATAAAATTAAAACTATGTGTTATTATTTGTAATTTGTAAAATAAATAAAACACTAGGGTAGTCTTCAGTTTTAGAAAGAAAGTTAGGTCATTCTGATCGAATATCCCCATTTTATTTTGTTAATATAAAAAGCAGGGCTCGAAACCGTCATCAGTTTTAACGGTTTCAGTTTTTAAATTGTTTAGGTTTTGGTTTTGAAACTTTTTTTATAATATTTTGGTTTTGATTTGATAAACGGTTTTTGAGTTAGTTTTTTTTTTTTAATGGGTATTTATATTATTAGTTATTTCTAGTTTCTACTAGTTTTTATTATTATTATTATTTCTATTAGTTACTACTACCAGTTTTTATTTGTATCAATTATTATTTATTACTATGATTGAATCGCTTATTTATGAAAAAAGTTTAGCCTAAAATGAAAACTTACGGAAACGTTAAAAATAACTGTTTTGCACGTATAATTTTACTTGTAAAAGATTAAAAGATCTTAAAAAATCTAAACTAACCTAAACTAACCGTGGGTTTAAATTATGATAATAATATATTATATTATAGAAATAAAATTAATAAAATAAAATATTTTTCATTGTTGTTATCGGTAATATATGTTATAATACAAATAAATATTAATTCAATTTTAAACGTGCATACTTTCTTGGAATAAAAATAACTAACTATTCTTTGTAAAACTGGGATTTTGAGAACGGTTTTTGAAAAAGTTTGATTCCGATTTCGGTTAAGGTGTTAAGAAATGGCAAAACCAGTTTCGAACCTTATAAGAGAGTGATTATGGTGACATTTTATAATGATATCCAACCCCTTTACGTACCACAAAAAGATAATTTGACCGTTTAAATTTTAAAAAATGTAGCATTTGCATAAGAATTTAAACATAGGACACACAATTATCTATGAAAAAAATATCCGGACAAAATTTCTTGTAAAATTAAAAAAAAACGTTTAAAATTGAATTTGAAAATATTTTATCAATTTTTTTAACAAATTATAAATTTACGAGAAACTCTAATACTTTGTATGGATAAATGTATGTTTTATATTTAAGATCTGTTTTATAAATGTAATTTTTTTAAAATTAGATTCGAAAAACGATAAAACTACCCTTTCTTATCATTGTTCAACTTTTTTACGGCACGTGAATGGGTTATGCTTACATCGCTAAATTACTCTTTTATACTTATGACCAAAAGGAAGAGCAGGTTGCTCGATTAAAATTATTTAACTTTTTTCTTCAGGTATAAAATAATGACCACCCTATAAAACACTTACCTGAGTTATCACTAGTTGATCCAGATTCTTTATTCTTAGAATAGCTATATCCCGATCTACTTCCGACGTACCTAGCCACAGGAATCGCGGAGACAACTTTTAAACTCGGCATACTACGTAGAAATCTTTCATCGGTTTGTACGTTAACGTTCACGCCTGGTTCATATTTTCGTGGCACCATTGACATAATAAATTCTTGTTGCCCGGCATGTTTACTTCTTAAAAACGTACTATGAGCAGGAGGTGTAGGTGACGTACCACGTGTGACTACTGACACCATGACATCGACTGGATTTTCAGTTTCAATTTCTGGTACATTACATACACCGAAAACAGTAACAGATTGTTCCTTAATTGGACTGCGAACGATCGGTGCACCAAAACGGCTAGCACTTCCAGATCTCAACGTGGGTTTTTGACCAAATCCCGATGATGCCACTCTCATTCTTTTGTCTGCTAAAACTGCTTTATCTCTAGCTATAGATGAAAACTTGTCTTTAAGTACTGTCACCGAACTCGAATCATTGTATGTACGAGTTGGTAGGGCCGAATTTCCGGTAAGAGCTCTGTATGAACTTCCACTTAAAAAACGGTTTGAACTTGTACCCTAAAATTAACAAAAATAATTTAAATTTGTAATAACACAAAAATATTAAATATTACACTCACTAAAGTAGTCGGTCGTTCTGGAGTCGACGGCGTGTAGTTTTGATTTGGAGACCTCCATGGTGGCTGTAAATTAATAAAGTAAATTCGTTTTGAACCATAGATATAAGAGTACAATAAATAAATAAATACACATAAATTGCAATAGATTACTTACCCTTGAGTTCCTAAACGACGAAGTCATGCTTACATTTGCATATTATCAAGACGTATAACTGCGGTTCGACTACTGGATACGAAATGTCAACAACGCAATGTGTACCGGAGTATTGAATGCGGGCCAACTCTCCACGTCCACTGATCCCGTAATGGTTATTTTTATATTCTACTCAAAGTGCCTAGTGCGAACTTGAAGCCAAATGCGATTTAAAAACACGAAAATTGGACATATGTAGATATCATACGGTTAATTGCTAAAAGGGAGTTGTAAAGCTTAAAAAAAAATTGAAAAAAATCATTAGTTCCAAATAAAAATGTGTGGGTATTACACATGTATTACTTTCGTATTGGTATAATTGTATTGTCGATTTATAACAATACGGTCTTATTAATAAGATTAATAAAACGATTCAATTTTAATTACACAAATTCATTATTAATATAATACAATTTAAAATTTAAAAAAACAAACTTTTATTGATAAACATTGATATTGCGTTCCGTTATTGAGATTTACATAACATTAAGAAGTTGCGGTCGCATTATAAACTGAAAACGAGGAATAGCTAACACGAGTCTGCGTGTCTGGTAAAACATTAAATTACATTATGGACCATTTAGGCTGCATTTGTAGAAATTTGGCACACTAGCAATCTGTCTATTATGAATCTCCTCTATCCCCAGACCAACGTGTATCCGTCCGAGAATACAATATGTTCTGTTCCGCAGTAGAAACTGCCAAAACACAATAATTACTGTACAACTACGCATATTTTTCTCAGCCAAACTGTATTTAATACGTATACTTTGGGTTTACAATTTTTTCGGTAATTAACACTTGAAAAAAACTCCACACGTGTATTCAAAATGGTTTTTAGTTCAGGGTGTATAATATTATAATTGTATAAACGACGATAGTGTCCAGTTATAGAAACAATAATTGGGAAAAAAATAAATACGCGTATATAATGTTATTTTGGTTTGATATTTATTCAAAGTTAAAAATAAAATTACGATTCTAAAACAAATAATATAATTGTATATAATTTGCATAAAATACGATAGGCAGTTTAAATATTAACTATAGTACAGCGTTTCATTTCTATAAAATATTCATTCTGACTTTTTAGGAACCATTAGTGTTATAAAATATTAGATTGTGATGTATTTTTATCATATTTTTTATTACGCCCGTCGTCAGTATTTACGATAGTATTATTAAATCCTATTAGATTACCAAAAAGTATTTTATTTATTATGCCATTAATATACGTATTTAGAGGGTTGTGTATATATATTTTAATTACTCAATTATATACTCTTACAATATATTGCCTACATGCTGTTATTATTATATAGGTACGTTGGTATTATATAAAACATAATATATAAATTCACTGTCCAGTAAACTTAATCTCCGTGTACTAGAAAATAAATTACCGTACTTACGGTTTATAATAACAACATTAAAATTTTACCACGGCGTGAAACCTGCGCGTTTCGTACATTTTCGTTTCTTTCATCCACTCACTATATTTAATAGATAACAAGAGTAACTTACACTGTACCAGACACCGAAGACCCCTTTTGAACGACCATACAATTATCTTTTACGCGGCCAATAATAAAATCATTAATCTATTTCTTTCGCCGTAATATATAATGTGATGTACGTTTCTTAACATTGATTATAATAATATTATACCTGCCAACAATGACAGGTTCAAACCATTTATTTAAAATAATATTACACAGTTATACTATTGTACACGAGAAAATGAATTTGATAAAAACCTAATTATATAGTACAGAGATTAATTATAAAATTATAAATGCTTATTATTATCAATACAAATAATGAATAAAAATATTTAAAAAAACGAATTACGTTTAATGGAACTTGAGAGTATATACTCGTATCCGTACATAATGAAGGTTAGTCAAGTATATTGCCGCACAGTGAATGAAATTCTGTAATGTTTTATTTAAGTATCATTAAAAATAAAGATAAACATATAAATAGAACATTTTACGGTCGCTAATAAATGATTTGGATGTTAAACACCTTACGTTGATCTGCGTCAGACGCTGTCAAATTTTCGTTAATTAACATTTGGAATAATACATGTGTATTTACGTACACCGAGCTTACGATATAACTTCTTTGAAAATATGAAAAAAAAACTTTAACCATCAATAATTGTTTAAATGCAAACTACATTTATCTACACTCAGGACATTATTGGCAGTGAATATTTCGTTGCACTCTATAAATTTTATTGATTTCCCAATAGGGAAGCCGTACGAAATTGTTGTATATAACGTAATAATAATATAGATAATTATCCATACAACTTCTGGTCACATATCAATCATGTTGAGTTACATACAATACAAATCAAGTACATTTGGTAAATTGGTTGCAATTATTAAGTCATTTTTATTATTTTTCAATAATATACATTTTGTTAGTCCAAACTTAATTAGAGTTCATGATTATATCTATCTCTGTGTTGACTTATTATACAGTTAAATATTAGGTTCTTATATAGCATGTACAGTGGAATCCACTTCCGCCTAATGTGGATACCGGTTAATATGGTCATCCGCGAAATACGGGCAAAATAGTCTGATCCCAATCCATATGTATATAAACAAGTTTAAAAAAAAAAATGCACAATATGAGCTATAAGTATCGGTTCATGTGGGCAATTTTTAGTTTATCATATCGCTAGAATATACATATATGTGTATTTAAAAAGGACTAATATAATTTAGTTTCTTCGTATCTATGAAATTGTGTTTATCGAAAATTATTCTAATAAAAAGCATTACCATTTAAACCTTAATGTGATTTTGTTGACTAATTATATAGACTTGGATGTGATTTCATGCAAGATTAACGAAAATAGACCGTCTGATAAGCTTGAAGCGTATGCCCATTTTGTTAACCAGATCCACAATAAACAGCTTAGACAACAAGCAATTGCAACGTTTTGTACACCTTCCATAGTATCTAAATAGTAATTTCATGTAGTACATTATATTTAGTTTTACTTGTGCAGTAATTTAACAGTAATTTTTCAATTGTATGGTTCACGTGTGCAAAATAAAAACATTTTACGAGCAGCCGCCCAAGGTCTATAATTTTTTATTGTTGTACGCCTGAAATAATTAGTACCTATGCAATATAAGTTACGTGTATGTATAGTGGCTCTGTCTACAAACAAAATATCAAAGCTCATTGATAATAATGACTGCTAAATAAAATAGTTATTAGATATTTGTAGAGATATACTGTTCGCATTATATTATTTCTCCGTAAATAATACTGGCATACTATAGTTGAATATTAAAAACCAAAATTTTAAAAAGAGCCGAAACTACCGATATGGGTGGGCCACTGTTGTAGGTGATATGTTAGGATAAGAAAAAAAGAAACGCACATCATAGTAAAATCAATGCATTCCTCGCTTCGCTTAGAATCTAAAATGTAAACAAAAAAATGCCTCATAATAATATGTGTAGTTAATTAATTTTTGTTTGAGCTAAAATTAATAATGCTATATTCTCGTAGTTACTATAATGCAGTATATTAAATTAAGTAGTAACTATGGAAACTAGGTAGGTAGCTAATAATTATATGATAAAACGTAATTTTTTATTCTGTACGCAAACATAAATATTATTGTACACAATATTATAACACAAATTCAGTTTTTTGTAAGATTATTCAAATAATACAAACAAAAAACACTACAATTAATTTGTATTCGAATTAGTTGCTTAAGTGTATATTCATTTGTTTGCCTTGAACTGAATACAAATTATTGGTTTTCAGTGTAAAAAACTAAAATGGAAAAACAAAAGCAATTTATACCGGAACGCCTTAACAACTATATAATCGACGGATGTCAACATTGTAGTAAAACTGATCGACTAGAATTAAAATGCTTGAAAGAAAGTGGCCCTAGAATACCATTAGCTGGTGTAAAAACATTCCTGTACAATCCATTACAACTTTCATTACGAATGTATGAAATTGAAAATATCCAAGGAAAATACGTTAATGAACTATCGCGGAAAACATTTCCACTTGAGCTAGGTAAATTCTATATAAAGATATAAGATAAATAAATAAATAAGTTTTGGTAAAAACAGCATATTCGTTGCTCGTTTAGAAAGCCACTGTATACGTATTATAATTTTAGAAAGTCACAAAAGCGACTGTATTCTCCATTTAATTGAATTTTGATAAAACAATTTATCGATTTTAGACATTATTAGATTAAAATATAACATAAAAATAAAATAATATTATGTTTAACGTGTCGAGTTAAATGCTTTAGCTACGTTAATTCAAAACTTGAATAAACCTATGTTTGAGTCGCCGAGAATAATTTATCCAGGATATGACCTATTGCCCTTGACAAAAATCAATCTGAACCAGGAAAATAATGATGAAGAATCATCATTTTTAAAGAACAGAGATATTTCTGATTCGTGGAAGACTTATTTGGATAATTTGCCGCTGTCCAAATCTAAGGTCTCAACTAATAAGTAATTATTTTCATCTTTCGTTATGTCAAATCAAAGATTCATTCATAAGAGTACATTTATTTTAAAATATTACATAAATTAAAGTTAAGATAATTTATTATTTGGTTTAGAGTGATTTATTATAATAATATTATGACATTTATAAATCGGATCAGTAGCAAAATAGCAAAATGTTAAAAATTGATAACATTTTCGGTGAATCGAGTAGAAGTACAAAAACGAAATCATTATAATTTTCTATGTTTAAAAACATTTGTAAAAGTAAATACTAGGGTGAACCAAAAAAAAAAAAGAGCTGATACTGGGGATGGGAGCGGCCACTGTTGTAAGTGAAAAATTGAGAAGGTAGGATACATAGGATTATTTCATTTATATCTGTAAGCAACGATAAACTATTGTTTGACGAAAGACGATTCCGAGCGCAGTTTGGTAATACATAATTTGAAGTGCCGTCATTTTTTTTGCGATTTTCGTTTAAATTTGATTTCAAAATGTTTATTAAAAAAAAAAGTCATCCGATGATTTTGGAAATTTTATCACGTCTAAGTAAGTCCAATATAAATTTTATTACCAAATTTCAGATCTCTACGTGTATTTATAACCGGATTGCAGCAAAAAGACTCTCAAAATTAAAATTCCTTAAAAGCTCAAAAGTTTTAACGATAATACCGTAAGAAAGTAAATTAAAATACAAATAATAAGATATCTTATGATTTTTCGATTAAATCATTTTTTCTGGTAGAAAACGTCGTTCGTGTTTTTATAAAAAAATGAAATCGTGAGATTGTACGTTTTCCCATTTTTTTCCCACTTAAGCTCTTTTATTTAAAACACGACATCAAAAATGTTGAAAAAATGACTTCTTTAAAGTACAAAATAGACAACTTGAACTTTCAGAAAAGTTGCTACACGTAAACATCGGAGCAAGTCCACAAGGAAAAATCGTGCCCACAGACTAGAAAAAGAAGAAAAAAAAATAAATATCTTAGTAAAACCAATAGCCCCTCGCTACACTCAGAATTTAAAAAGGTAAAAATAAAATCCTATAGTTGACCAAAAAAATTGATAAAGTTATTAGCCATGAAATGCAAAAGATTACATCAAAAATAATTGATCAATGATAATTTCATGTTGATGATTTCTCAACATTTTGTAAATTTTTACGTTTCGCGACTAATAACTTTGTCAATATTGATTTTCTCTTTATTAACTGTAGGACCTTATTTGTTCTCTATTATATTCCGATGATTTATCTTCATGTCATTTTTTATTCAACAATAATTTAAACCATACTAAAACATAAAATACATGCATCTAAAATCGCTGCTCGCAAACTGAATTTTTTTTTTCCTGAAATAAAATCGATTTCACTATGACTATACTATCTATACTACTAAATTATTAAAACTTTATAAGTTCAATTGCGTATTTAGACTCTGCGTGGAGCGAAATAGCTAATGGCTTTACAAAGATATTTATTTTTTTTTTTTATCTGTTGACAACTTTTCTACCAGAAATCCTGCTCCGGTTTACGATTAATAGCACTTTTTCTGATAGGAAATCGGACTAAGAAGGTACTTTAAGGAGGTTATTTTTCGATTTTCTCAGGAGATTTCTTATCAAATGTGAAAAACTGAAAATACGGAGATAAAACGGAAAAACCATAGGAAAAAATGGAAAAATAGATACAATATGTTTAAACAAATAATAATAAAGAAAATATATAATGCCTGTGTAATTATTCTATCGTGATATGGCAATGTTGACAAAGTAACACTGTCAACTGAACTCTGCTCAGAATCGTTTTTTCGGAAACAATAGTTTATCGTTGCTTACAGATATACATTCAATTTCCCTTCTACTACCTTCAAAAATTCTCACCTACAATATTGACTGCACCCACGTGTGATGTATGTATGTCTTTTTTAGTTTTAATATTTAATTACTTAAAATATATTTAAATCTACTAGTATCTTATGAAAACAGTTTTAAAAAAAAAGAACCAAATTTACTGTAAAATTATCTTTAGTATACTGATATAATTAATAGGTACCTACATATTTGTACAAATGTTTTTAATGGATCTAATACTATTTTATATTTTAATTTGTATAGTATTTTGGAGTATTTTACTATCTTATACTCTTATAGTCATTATGAATAGTTCAATTTTTAGTCATGACAGATCCATAATTATTCATATAAATCGTACGCCAAAAAAAAAGTTAAAAAACCTTTGCTATATATACAGTTAATATAAAACCATAATAAATAAATATGAAATTATAATTGTATAACAAAAACTAATCACTCCACATGAGTAAAATCTATAATAATATTACGAATGTTATAGTTAATAATAAAAAGAAAAAAATCTATTTTTATATTTCTCATTAATTTTATAAAAATTTCAAAATCTTTGACCAGAATAATACTCGAAACGTGAAAGTATTGAAATAAGGGCAAACCATATAATATTATTTTACACCAATAGGATGACAATAACAGTTGTTTACACTTTTCATAATTTGTTGAGTAATAAAGTTGTACTGTACATGAATTAATTATAATTTATCAATGTATAATAATATTAGAAATTAATAAGTATCTAATAATAATAACTATGAATAATTTTTATTACTTACAGAGATTTTGATTTCCATAATTATGTAATAAAATACACGAGAAAAAAATATGATGCGTGTTGTAAGAAGAAAATATGATATATTATTGTTTGTTTTAAAAATATATACTGACGCTATCTACTGAATTTACCGTGCGTTATTAATTATGTTTTGAATAGTCGTTTACAGATGGTGCATAGTTATTCGGGGATTATTATTTCAAACATTATTATTTCTTTGAAAATATTCATAATGGTTATTATAGTTAGATAGCTGCTTTATACTTATTTGTGCTTTGTATAAGTATAGGTGCATAGTATAACAGTATAAACTAATAAATAATAACGACTTGTATTAAGGTTAAATAATAAACATATTGATTTAAATGTTTACCCTTTAGGAAATATTTTAGTGATAACTTTTTCCCTACATCCGATTCAATATCTGAAATCGAAAATCTTAAGTTGATATTGAAATTAAACGATTTTTCGTTTTGAAAAATCGATTAAAATCCGATTTTTTAACGATTATTTTATATTCTACAGACATTCTTTTCTCAAAATATCGCGGTTTTTCAAAACCTGTCTCATATTTCAATATCTTCAATATCGGCTTATACCGATACTCACTACTAATATTTGTTTTGTGGTAAGTAACTACTTCCTAGTATAGCTAGTAAAAAACTCATAAAAAAAAAGATGACTATTTCATATTTATCTCGGTTTTTTTTTTAAAAAAAAAGTGTGATTGTTGGTATTACCTATTAATTATTGATTCAAATCAATATTCCAGAGTTACTATATTTTATAAACTTTTTGAGATTATGAAACGCCAGACAATAATATTTTTTTACGCGTACTTCTAATATATAAAAATACAATATTTTATTTAAAAAAAAAATACAACTATTTTCTTTATTCATATCGTTGGTAACATTATTATGATAAATTTAATAAATTATTGAACGCGCATACATAACGAGTCAACGGGGAAAAATTTCGGGAAATTTTCGACGGAAAATCATTAATACTCAATACAAATAACTAAACTCACTGAACCATACAACAGCTGACAGCATCATAGCGCATGCGCGGCAGGTAATTGCTAATTTCGCTTTTTTCATCACTGTTATCATTAAATAGTTAACTGTTGTAGAATTTTAATTAACTTTTTCTAGGCCTTTTTCTAGACCCCTGTGAATTATTCGCGGAACACAGTTTGATATAGGTGACTATAACATTGTCAGAAAAATATTCAGTTTCGCAATTTGTTAAAAATTATAAACATTCTTTAAACAAGTGTATAAACTACTAAAAAATCAATAAAATACAAATAATAAAAAATGCAGGGATTTAGTTTACAAAAATTTAACTAAGTCAGCAAAGACCGTCGTGAGCTACATGCTCTCATCTACAGAGCAATGTGAATAAAACTCAAAATTAAAATTATTTTTATGATAGAAATTTAGTATAATGTACACAAAAAGGAATTTTTGGAAATTTTCCTACTATCTACGTATATAATAAAATCCATTTTTAAACAACGACGCCATAGACGCTCTTAAAATGTTATACCACAATAGTGTATAACAATGTTATAGTTTTTCTTTTTGTAGTATGATAAACGAATCGATAAAAACAATTTAGAAAACAAGTAGGTAACAAGAAGGTTAAATATAACGTACTGTATACTAAATAACTTAGCATCTTTGATTTATCTTCATAGAGCAATACATTTAAGTATAAGTACTAGGCACTTGCTACCTACGTTTTTTTTCTTCTCTAGATAACGTATACAAAACACTTATCATATATTTTATTAAAAATAAATATAGTAGGTACTAACTCATTGAAGAATCACAACAAAAGGAAGTGAACCGTATGACATCACCAAATTATTATTTTTTTTTCTTTGAAGTTTAAAAATAAAATCGCTTACATAAAAGTTTAATATATGTATATTTATTTAGTGTACCAACCAAAAAAAAAAAAAAAAAAAAAATAAGAAATTAATATGAAAGAAAAGAAAATAACATTTTAACTACAATGTGTTATAATAATAACATATTTAATAACGTTTATTATAAAGATTCAACTATTGAAAACTTACATTAGTAATAAATAGTACATTAAATATGATATGTTTGATTATAATTTTTGCAATTTTACCAAGATTTTTAGGTAGATTGTTGGAAATGATCCATCAAATTGTGTGTATTTTTGTGACTAATGTCATATGATGAAGAATTTTCGTTAAGAATTACTCATGTTTTGAATAAAACTATTTTCAAATATTGCTATTTGTTCTATTTTTTTTTTTTTTTGTTATTTCGTGTTCTAATATAACTTTGTTGGTATCAAGTACCTACTATTGGATTCAAATAAGAAAACCTTTGTACATTTTTAAAAATTCTATCGTTCGAAATTTTAAACTTGGTTAGTGACCATGCGTTTAAGTACCTAATCTATTGTATATATGCGACTAAAGAACACAAAAATACATACACTGAATTCGGCTATGATGGTATAATCATCATTAATAATCACTACATTAGAAAAATCGATTGCTTAAAACAATGTTTTTTTCATATTTTAGAACTTAAATGCCCATAGAATTAAATAAAAAAGGACGATTAAATAAGTAACGATTTCCAAGATTTTGTTATTTCTGAACTGAGCGAGATAGCGTTACAATGGTTTACGTTTTTATTTATTTATTTATTTATTTATTTATTTATTTATTGAAAACTATATATTTTAAAAATGTTAACTTTTATAAACCTAAATGATATACCAAAAAAATATACAATATCTTAAAACTTGGTAGTTTTCCTAAAATTTCCTAAAAATAATTAAATTGTTCGCATTACTATAACTATAGAACTGTTAGAAGTCTGATTCTTTATAAACATCTTAAAATAAACAAATAGAAGTCATATGTTCAAGCTGTTCAATGTCAGACGCACGAAAACCAAATGCAAATGCAAATAAAAATGTATAGAAGATAAACAACAAGACAATAAGTTTGAAATGGGCATAATATACGTCACAAGTGGTGTAGGTCAATAGTTGTCAATAGTGCAAATAATATGTCCACCTCACTAAAACGAACGGTTTTTCTTAAATCATATAAGTACCTAAGTAAGACTTTTTCCAATTAATTGTATACTTAAATAAATTTAATTTCAAACTAGTAAAACTATATTATAACTCACAAATACTGTAAATGCAATAACCTGTGTAATATAGAAAATTAAAAAATTAGGCAGAAAAATAGAACAGAGAATGAGTATGACAGAAATGAGAACGCTTAAGTGAATAAAAGGAGTGACAAGAAAAGATAGGATAAGGAATGAGTACATGAGAGGTAGCTTATAGGAGTGACTTTGATAGTATAGAAAGAATTAGAGAAAATAGAATGAGATGGTATGACATGTCATTAGGGGAAAGAAATCAAAAGCAATGAGAATTATAATGAAAATAAACGTAGAAGAAAAGAGGGGGAGAAGAAAACCGAGAAATGAGGTGATTAGATGCGGTTGAGAATATCAGAACTGCGGGTGTATGTGAGGACGACGGTGTGAGGTATCGTGTCAAGTGGAAGTTTATGACTACAGTGGCCGACCATAAATATTTGGGAAGATAAGTATGGTTTAATACAATAAGTATCCAAAAAGTACATTAATTTTAAATCACAGTCAGAATAACAATTTTTCGTTCCCTGTACCAAGATAAATAAAACGTGATAAATACTGAATTCTTCCAATTTTTTATCTCATTTTAGATTCTGAGCCATAGTGACGAATGCATTGATATTACTTATTAACTATGTGTGCTTTTTCTACATATATATATACAGATACATCATTTGAGTACATTGAGGAGGTCATTTGCTAAGCATTTTTCATAATAATTTATAAAACCTTAAAAAAAACCTCATAGGAAAAACAGACAAATATTTATGGCACGCGCCGTTAACATTTTAAATTCTTACAAATTTTGCTCTAAACCTCTAGATTCTTTTTTTTTGTCGTTGTGAGTTGGTTAAAACTATTCACTCAGAGTATTTAATTAGACTTTCATAAACGTGATACATTTTTCAAAATATTCTACGATAATAAAAATCTCTTATTTTCAATTTTTTACCTATATTTTCGGCATTATTTAACATTGAAATTTTTAAATTTTTATTTTGTATACATAATATGAATAAAATTGTTCGGCTTTTCTTTTTCTTTTTTAAACTAGTGACAATATCAGGCTACCTAACGTCTACATGCTACACGCGAGTTGTTGTTATAATAGAAAATAATAATAATAATACTAATAATTTATTTGCCAAAGGGGCGTGTTGAGACATGACCACTCTCCAGAACATTCGCTAATATGGAGGGAGAAACAAACGTGTCTGGGTTCCCGAAATAATTTTGTTACGGGCCGCTCGGTTGGGTTCGTGTTACGTCGAACCTTTTATAGACACCTCCCAATTGACTAAGAAAACTCCTACCCCACTCTATTTTATTGGGTCCCATAACACCTATGTTGGCACTACTCCATAAGAAATACGGTGTACAGCTCTATAAATCCTGGCCAGAGTGAAAATACCAAAGTAAATTAATTTTTTTTAATACAAATGTAAAATAAAAAAATAAATAAAGGTTTATTAAATCGGTTTTATAAAAAATAATTTTGAATTGTATAATAATATGATACTGCTTAGTTTTTACGGGGATTTTAAAATAATTGTTTTTGATTTATTATAGGTAACAAGTAAATACTTATAAGTGTTGATCGAATTAACATTAACGCAAATAAAAAAAAAAAATTTATACATGTATATATATATATATATATATATACATGATAACTGCAATTTGCACTAATTCCCACACAGATACTGATACTTTATGTAATCAAGAAAAATTTAAAAATACACTAATGTTCCATGTTAGATCACGACCGTTGTGCGGCGTTTCAGTGAATATTTCAACGCCTACGGGTCTATCGAGCCAGATTAGGCCCTTTGCGCCCCACTCCGATCTATTTATAGAGATGACAATACTATAATGCTACCGTGTGTGTATATAGTGGACCCTTACAATATTTCAGGAATTCGTTATGATTATAATGTTTATTTTTAACAGTCATATCGATTTTGTTTTTTCATGTAGTCTAGAATGTTTTTAATTTAGTCTTTTTCCTAAAAAAACAACGATAAACCATTTTCTTTCTTCGGATATCTGTTTGTAATTTAAAACGAATGAAAAATTATACATTTTATTTTAAAAATATTATGTGTTTTTTATTATTATGGATTAACATAATACTATCATAAATCAAGACCATAACAAAATAAAAAATTTAACTAAATCGTATCATTATAAATGACAAATCGAAAATATTGTAAGTACAAGTTTTTAAAATGAATAAACAGTTCATTCACCAATAAACAGATAAATGATCGATAGTTAGATAATAGGTATTACTATCTGAACTATAAAAACTTTTATAAACTTAAGTAGGTATATATGTTAGCACTAGATTATGTACCAAGATACATAATATTATCGTGAGATAAAACATGTACATATTTAAAAAATTAAAGACACACTTATAAACAATTATACGCATAGAACGTAAAATGGGTATTAATTGATTTTGAATCAATTTTCGACATTAAATCTACATAAAAAATGCGAAGAACTCGCATATATAAATGACACATGTAATTTTTAACATGACAAGCTATCTAAGTGGATTCAGTCGAATAAAAATAGCTTAATCGTTTAAGAAATAATAATATTATCCAAAAGAAACATTCTCCGCATCATTATTCTTACGTACATTTCTTTATTTCAAATCGTGTAGAAAGAATAGAGAATGTTAGACGACAAAAAAAAAACGTTTTGTAAATCGTACAACTAGGCCATCACTGCTTAAGAACTCTTGATATTGTATTTGACTTATAAATATTATATAGGTTAAGGATAACATATCTATTAACTTAAAAAACTTAAACTTAAAATTTTGTTCCATACCTACTACCAATTTATACAAATTTAAGTATGTATTATTGTGTACTTAAAACTTATATAATATTTTTAATATACAAAAACTAACCATTTTATGATTTGGTAAGTAATAATTAAACAAATGAAAAGTAAAATATGAATGTAATACATTAATATTTATTTAAAATATCAATATATTATATGTATTACCCATTTATGTATTTAAAATTATTATTAGTTACTTAAATAATGCATTGCCTACTGAACTAAAATTAAACTAATTGACCCGTGTGGAAATTCAAATTCAAACATCAATTTATAACTTTATTTTTAAAATGAATAACATATTATACAGTTTCTTAAATAAAAATTCCTCAGAAGGGAAAATTAATCTTTAAAATTATACAGAATTTATTGATTTTGATTAAGTACAAAGAGAAAAAGGGATCGTACAAAAACTCATTTTAAAATTTAAAAAAAAAATCTGATATGTAAGATAATAGCTTCAATTTCTCTTCTGTAAGTTTAAAATTCTGGAACAATTGAATAATATATCATTTTAGTCCAGTCGGTATAATGAAAAATAGGGGATGGGGGTAACTGGAAAGTACTCCGAAGTTAATACAATTTTAACAGGTTATTTGGGGTTACTCTAGGATGTATACCATAAGTTTTCGACATCGAGGACCCTATGCTAAATTGGGGGGTGCAAAATCTCAAAATATTCGGACTTTTTCAATTTTTTGCTTATATCTCGTAAAATAAGCATATTTTGTATATCATAGTACAGTGCAAAGTTGTAGAGCATTAAATTTACTAAAATTTAGTTGGTAAAACGAATTTTTAAATCTGATATTACTGGAGATACAGCCGATTGAATTTACACAAAGTTTCTCAAAATTAAAAAAAATAGACGAAAAACGAAGATTTTAGCCCTATAACTATATATTATCATAATTTTCATGTTTAATAATATGTTAATCACTCATCAATATCATCTTGGAACATATTTAACCACCCTAAATAATTAACAAAAAGACGTTCTAGGATAACGGGGATGAGTGCAGCCACTGTTATAGTAATTTAATATATACCTCTAAGCAACGATAAACCATTGCTTACGAAAAAAACGATTCTGAGCGGAGTTCAGTTAGTAATGATGCTTTGTCAACAATATAAATGTCATATTATAGTAAAGTAATTAAATAGGCTTTATATATTTTCTTTAATAATATTTGTTTAATGTTGTACCGTTTTTCCCGGTTTTTCTCATTTACTGTAAAACTCTTAGAAAAATTGAAAAATGGCATCCTTAAAGTACCTTCCCAGTAGGATGGGTGTTCACCCCATTTTTTGGTTAAATTTTACATATATTAAAATTCTGATTTTTGGAATTTTTAAGTGTAGTTAAAGCCAATATTTTCGAATACAGTGGATTCTGCTTAATGTCGTTTTCAAACTAACCTAACCTAATCCTTCACACCTGACACATTCTGTGCGTACGCCTATAATTAACGGTAGTCGGTAATAAATAATAACTAATACATTGTGTTACTTATATATTAACAATTATTTAAAACTAAAACTCATTTAAAAATCAAAATCAGTCTATGCAAATTTATAATACTCGTAATAAAACTATAAACCTACCTATTATATTGTGCCTTTATAGAAAAATAAAACTATTTTATACTTAAATAACTTTTTTAAAAATGTTCTTTACCGTATAACTACTAACTTTTCTGCAAGAAACCTATTAATATACATATAATCGATTTTAATAAAAGTTTAATTATGTAAAGAAAAAAAAACCATTTGACTAGGTAATAAGAAATCAATTGTCTTCAAAATTATTTAATTTGTTGTACGAATAATTTGGTGCCGATACAATAGTAAAATAAAGATTAATGATTATATAAAATAATGATAATTTTCTGAGTTGATTAATTCTATGCGTGAAATAAGTAAACTTGAAAATTCAAAGTTAACTAAATATAATGTGAATATGCTTAATACTTGATTTTTTATTATAAAAAAATTGTTTTGATAATTTTCTTAAAATTGGTTAACCACATAGATAACTGTAGACGATTTTTTTTTTTATTTGGTTAGACATTAATTTAAATACATAATATAGTAAATGAAAAATAAATTTTCCTCAATTTGAAAAGTAGATTTTCATAATGTGCTAAAGCATACTTAGTAGCTATATACCACCTGGGACTGTAAATCCATAAAAATTAAAATATTACGTAATATATTATATCCTCAATTTTAGAATTTCGTGTGTAGTGTATCTAGACATATACTCCTTATACTTAACTTTTATTATAAGATAATATGAAAATTCACTAAACCCTGTATACAATTCATGCTTATATTTCTATGTCCACTATCCGCATTACAACACTAGCTCGCACCTATAGTATATAATAATATTATTACTTAAAATATAAACAAATGAAACAAAATTTCTAATGGTGTTGAATAATTTAAATAGATTGTTATAATTAGTTAATAGTTGTATACATAAAATAATTATTATTATTATCACAAGCATTGTTGCGTTTTCGACAGTAGTAATCAAATGTACTTAAATTTGAACTATTCCTTTCAAGGACACAAAGGGCCGACCTCAAATGTTCAAGTTCGTTACTCTCCAGCTCTCGAAGTAAACAAAAGTAAGTGGAGGGAGTAGTCAGTGAGTGGGCGTGAAAACGGGGGCTAGTACTGGTCGGATGCACAGCCTTCAGTTAAGTACGACAGCTCAGCTCGGTCCGTCCTCAGCGCTTGGATAATCTAAAAATAGTCACAACGTTTGTTGGTTTCAACCTTTAGTGCGATTTTAAATATCTAGTGATACTGAGAAAATAATTCTTTAACCGTTGTTTTATTTAGTGCAAACATGTCTTTATCCAAGACGACCAAGACGTATAGCTACCGTTCGGTAGGAGGCGGAAACGCTGACATAAACATCGACTATAGCCATGACTTAAGCGCTCTATCTCGACTTGAAGTAAGTAAAATTTAAATCACTTATTAACTTAACTGTAATCGAGTTATCAAAAATCCAAATTTACAATTTTCCCATAAGAAAACCACTCACAATAATTTTTAGGTACTATACAAATAGAATACATCACATTTTCCAGGTATTTAAATCATCTTCAGCTGCCAGAAGAAGAACGAATTTTATTCATAATGATCAATTAAGACTATCTACATAATATTTTGTTCAAAAATTTGTGAAAAAAAATGGAATAGGGAGTTATAACTTTTTATAGAGGTAGGTGGAGATAGGTTTCTTCTTCTTGACAGCCTGAAGGAAGCACGGTTTGATGCCACCTATCCTCCTTAGCCCTCACAATATAAACAATTAAATAAATTGACTGTTTTGAATTGATTAACCAAATCCTACGTTTGTTTTTCCCTTTAGGATAAGATCAGACTTCTGCAAGAAGACTTAGAATCGGAACGCGAACTCCGACAACGTGTAAGTACATAATGTTTCATTAATGTATATTGTGTTAGAAATCATATGATTAAATTATGAAAATCATGACTTGATTTATATCAAAAAAAATTGTATAATGAAATAATAAATCAAGTCGCAGGTAAAATTGTGAAATTTCATATTCAATAGCTAAATACCTAATTGAATTATTATTTAGGAAAAATATATCTGACTGAAAAAATACTTCGATAAACTACCTATTTAAATTTTAAATTCTTAACTGACAATTTATTTTTAAATACCTATATTTATTTCTGCATTCAACTATAAAGAATTATACACAACTTCATAATTTTAAAATTTTGTACCTAAATTATGTATTAGTTTATTTAAAATGTTACTGTTTATGTACAAACTCCAGTGTTTTAAATTGCATGACTTTTAAATAGCTCCCTTTACTTAAAATAACTATAATATATATTCTTTCGTTTTTGCTAGTTACCAATCGTAATCGGATCCAAAGTATGCGTAATGCTAAAAGTAAAATACACGCATTCCTTTAAATAAGTCAACACTATGTTATAAATAACTACAGGACAACTTAATTACCATAGTCAACGGTGGCAGGGTGAGGAAGTACTTTTCTTTATGGTTGCCAGAATTATGAGACAGTTCAAATCTATTTTCCCACTGTTTGCCATGGCAAATGACCAAAATATAAAAATGCTGGGAAATATTAACAGATCGTCGGATTCTGGCAACAGTAATTGCATAAATTCAAGTCACCGGTGTTATGCATAAATATTGCTTTATCCGAAATGCTAAAAAACCATCTAATTATAAAACAATAAAGATTTTTAGGATTATATATTTATCAAAAATAATAACATTTCTAAAATTTAAAAAAAAAATAAAGTGCCTGCCTATTACTATTAAATTTTGAGAAAATATTTACGTATGTTACTATTCAAAACCGATATTATTTCGTACATTTAAACATAGATAAAAATATCATGATATTTAATCAATACTTGAAAATGTTGATTTAAACTAATTAGAATTATATAATTAAATAATGAATGTACTCAAAAGTGCTGAGAATAATTGTTATTGAGGACAATTTCCTATAGTAAGAGATGACTATAGAACTTGAGTATAGTATTTAGTATAGTATTTATTTTTTAAATTACTGTAATGCTGAATAAAATTGAATCGGTGGCGTAAACACAAAAAAAGAGGGAATATAAAATATTATTGTTTTTATTATTTATATGAATAAGTAATAATACGTTTAGTATTGATAAAACACAAAATAAGTTTTAGTTTTAATTTTTTTTACTCGTCCAACTTTGCTAATATAATGCAAAGGTCCCCCGTTAAAAATAAGTATTTTATAAACCACTGTATTGAATTATTACAATAACTTTGAATAGTGGATTAAGTGAGTATATAACGTATTATATATATATATCCCTCGTATTTCAAAAAATAATATATTTTTTTTTTTTTGAAGTTTTACCTTAACATTATTTTGGAACCACTTATTTATTGTTATGAAAATAGATGATTATTTATTGTTATAAAAATAACAATAAATAATCATCTGATAGTAGCCAATTATTTTTAAATGAGATAAAATAAACCCAGACAATTAAAACTACCGTATAGATTATTAAAAAGAACAATAACGACCGATATAGATACCTTATTTGAAAAACCAAGCGATAAAAATAAACTAACCATCAAATTTTAATGACTTCTAAAAAAATTGTTATTATAAAAAATAAAAAGTAAACAAATAAATTTAAAATATGTATATTATAAAATTAAAAAAACCTACTCCGAAATTTCAGGTGGGATTTATTAGAAATAAGATTCTCAACCACAAAGATAAATTTAAAATTTGTATAGAATTGTAATAGGTACTAGGATCCTGGGATTATCTGACATCTTACTGTCAAAAACGATATTTAAATAAATTGTTAATTTTTAAGAAATCAAATTTTTTAGTTTTATTAATAACTATCATTATTCGAATTATACATTCATAATGTTAATTCAACTAATGTATTTTTCGTATAAACATATTAATAATACATACATAATTAGTAATAGCCTTTTAGATATTTATTTAGAAAAACAATTGTATTATGTAAACTTTTAGAAAATAAAATGTCAATAAAATCTATTCTAAAATAATAATTTATAAAATCATCAATTTTAAATGATTTATAAAAAAAAAAATTAACCACCTTGTATTAATTTTTTTTTTCATTTCATAATAAAAAATTTCACAAAATTATTATTAAAAATGTCCGAATATTTTAAAAGATAGTGATTTAAAATTATTTACCTTATATTACAAATGGTTATGCCTAAAAATTATTTTTAAATATATTTTTACGATTATTTGTATTTTTACTTGTTTACTGTTAATAATACTATATGTAATTTTAAAACCTCTCATAAAACAAATTGTTTTTTATGTACTGAATGTATTCAATATTTATTAACACATTTTATTTTTCATAAGTTTCATTTACGAATACTAACAATTTTTTTGGTTTTTGCCAACTTAAGACTATTAAAGATATGTTAACTCCATAAAAATTAAATAACTGTTTCTAATGCTGCTATATGATAAGAATAATATTAATATTATTTTATTTTATTACTGGTTTTCGACATTTTCAAAAACACTATTTCTTTTTTTTATTCATTGTAAGTTAAATTTCTTTGGCACAGAGCTTTGGAAAGGTACTCTAAAAATAAGTATAAAAAAAGTGATGCTATGTCGAACAGCTCGAATGAAGTGTGAACGGCCACTAAGCTAACCATTCAGTTATATTTTTACGAACGGAATTTAGCCTGGTTTCATTGACATGTGTCAATCGACACGTTTGATTCACCTAACCTAACTTAAATGTTTATTTTTGAATTTTGGCGAGTGCCTGGTATATATATTATAAATGAAACCCAAATATCCTATCTAAATAAATATGAACCGTTTATAACTTACTGAAATTGATTAAAATATGTACTATTGAAATTCCTAATTATTATTTTGTTATTACTATTTAGATTGAACGGGAAAAATCTGACTTGAGCGTGCAATTAATATCTCTCTCTGAACGCTTAGAAGAAGCCGAAGGAGGTGCTGACAGTCAAGTAATTTGTTATTATTTAATAAAAATGTAATGTATTGTGCAATTTTCCAAAAAAAAAAAAATTATTTTTATAGTTTGAAATTAATAAGAAACGTGATACAGAATTAACGAAACTCCGAAAACTATTAGAAGATGTCCACATCGAGTCTGAAGAGACAGCGCATCTTTTACGTAAAAAGCACCAAGAAGTTGTGGCTGATTTCCAAGAACAACTTGACCAACTTGCCAAAGCAAAAGCTAGGTATAGACAAATATACAATAAAAACAAAATACTATAACTATAACTATACATAAATAAAATTCTGTTTCCAGGACCGAAAAAGAGAAGGCTAAATTCCAACAAGAAGTTTACGAACTACTTGCACAAATTGAAAATGTTAACAAGGAAAAAGTAATAGCTCATACATTAATTTAATGCAGATCAATAATTTTTATTTTTTTTTCTATTTCAGTACACTTCCATTAAAACAATTGAAAAATTAGAGATCACTATTCATGAGCTTAATATTCGCATTGAAGAAATTACAAGATCTGTTACTGAAATCACCTCGATTAAATCCCGTTTATCACAGGTGTAAAACATTATAAGAAAATATAAAAAAAATTAATAATACAATAAATATTACTATTTTAGGAAAATATTGAATTAGTCAAAGAAGTTCAAGATTTAAAAGTATCAATTGAAAACTCGACGTATCTCAAGTCTCAAATTGCTGGACAGTTAGAAGATGCTCGTAGGAGACTGGAAGAAGATGAAAGAGTGTGTATAAATAGTTAATATTGAAATCATTTATTTTTACTATAATTATTGTGTTTATACTTGATATTATAGAGACGCTCACTTTTGGAAGCTAACTTACATTCAGTGGAAATTGAATTAGAATCAGTGAGAGTTCAATTGGAAGAAGAATCTGAAGCTCGTTTAGACCTCGAGAGACAGTTGATCAAGGCTAATGGCGAATCTCAAGCATGGAAATCGAAATATGATTCTGAAGCAACTGCTAGAGCAGAAGAAATTGAAGAATTACGGTGATTAGCTTTTAAAATACTTTAAATTAAGAAATATCCATTTATATTTAAATTATTTTTTATAGTCGTAAATACTCCGCACGTATCCAAGAACAGGAAGAACATATAGAAACACTTTTGGTTAAAGTTAATAACTTAGAAAAACAAAAGTCTAGACTTCAAAGTGAAGTTGAAGTTTTGATCATTGATTTGGAAAAGGTTAATATTCATTGTTAAATATTCAAATATATTTCCGTGTTAAACTTATTGTTTTAAAGGCTAACAACACTGCTAGAGATTTACAAAAACGTGTTGAACATTTGGAAAGAATTAACATTGACATAAAAACCCGTCTTGACGAAACCACTACATTATACGAACAAGGTCAGAGAGACTTAAGGAACAAGCAAACCGAGATTCAAAGATTAACCCACGAATTAGATAAAACCAGAGAACAAAAGGATCAATTAACTCGTGAAAACAAAAAATTAGCTGGTAAATATAATATAACATTGTTATGATTAATGACAAAATTAATTTTTTAATTTTATAAATTTGTTCAACGCAGATGATTTACACGACGCTAAAAACACAATTTCTGAATACAACAGGAGATTGCATGAATTAGAATTGGAACTCAGACGGTTGGAGAATGAACGTGATGAACTTAGCGCTGCTTACAAAGAAGCTGAAGCTGTAAATATCGAATTTCAGTTCTAAACAAAAAATTTTTGTATTTATAATTTCAATATTGATATTGTAGGGAAGAAAAGCCGAGGAAGGTAGAGCTTTCCGATTGTCTGCCGAACTTACTCAATTCAGACACGAAGCCGAAAAACGTCTGGCTGAAAAAGATGAAGAAATTGAATCTATCCGGTAAGGTTTTTTAATATATATACATATATTCAGATTTAACTAAATAGTAGTATTCAACTTTTAACTTTTATCTGCTGCAAATAAGAGAATAATTAAAACAATAATAATAATAATAATAAAATATTTGACAGGATACTATAGCCAAATGAGATACCTATAAAGTATACGATATGAGTATATATTAGTATATATTATTATTCAATAAAATATAAATACAATATTGAATAAAAATGCATTCAAAGTACACAACGATAAAATGTATCTAAACTATATTGTGCATTAATCCTAAAATATAATTTGGCTTCCATATAATAAAAATACAGTTTTGTAATCATTAGTTTTTCAATTCAGAAATACAAATACATAAATATATTCTAGATAAATAAGTATTTAAAAAAACATTATATGTTTTTAAATTTACCTACATAGCATATGCATTACACTCAGGCTTGGATTGAACCAGTAAGCTACCAAGAAAATCTTGATGGGCCATGAAAAATTATACTTGTTTTTAATTAAATTTATTCATTAATTTTATCTATTTTGTAAAATTTTTTGCCGGGGAAAATCCTAAAACTTGGTTAACCGATACATTCCCTATCCGGCACTAATTATACTTATTGTTAAAAAAAAGTGCTGTAACTTAACTCAATAAAATAACAAGATATATAGATATAAATAAAATACATACTTTAGATTATAACATCAAAAATTTAATATAATTTGTTTAAAAATTAATTAAAATGTATAAAAGTATAAATATAATGAAAATAAAGAAATTTTAATAATATTCAAAAAATACAATTTTAGTATTTTTAGATGTTTTTCATAATTTCAAAATAAATGATATTACGATATTTTTTAATCTGTCGAATTTAATTTTATAGTGCGTATAGCTATTTTCCTGATAGAAATAATAATACAAAAAATACCGAACAAAAGGGAAAAATTGCCTAAAATTTGATAATAAATTTAATTACAATTAGACCCTGTTATACTTTTTGTAGTGATTCATAGTATAAATAGCAAATGAAGTACGAGGTGTGGCTATTAAATAACGAGACTGGTTACGAAAAAGTGTTTTATTATAAAAGTTATTCTACATTCAAATGCTCCCCTTCAATATACTCCCCTCCCCTCACCACACACCGTTTCATTCGTTTCTTCCATTGCTCGAGGCAGTGCTGGAAGTCTGTTTTCGTAAGACCATTCAGGAGTTCCGCCGATTTTTGTTTCACCTCTTCCATCGACTCAAACCGGATTCCTTTTATGGCAGACTTTATCTTCGGAAACAAGTTAAAGTCGCAGGGTGCCAAGTCGGGTGAGTAAGACGCATGTTCGAGTACTGGAGTGCCTTAAGCGGCCAAATAACGTTTCACGCTTTATCCTGGTGCAAGATCCACGACTTGTTTTTCCACAATATCGACCGTTTCTTACGAACTCATTCGCGCAATGTTGCCAAAACTGTCAAATAGTAATGTTGGTTCACAGTTTGACCCTCCGGAACCCATTCAGTCATCACGATGCCGTTGATATCGAAGAAAACGGTTTTGAATTTGGATTACGACTGAATTAGATTCCGGTGCACTCTCGACGTTCAGAAAATAATTTATGCCACTCAAAAACACGCGCCAGAGATAGGAAAGGAGATTCTCACTATAGGCCTCTTTTAACAACTTATAGCACTCAGTTGGAGTTTTTTTTAGTTCAACGAGAAAATTTTACGTTTATCCGTTGCTCATGTTTTTCGTCACACATGGTTTTCGGCACGAGAAAAAAACACGTTCGTTTCAAACCACTACTGCACAAATACTATAATAGTGACGAAAACGTGTTTTGGTACGTGCATAGATAAGATATCTAGATACCCAACGAATTACTCGTTTTTTTCACTACCCATCTAGGGCGCCCTCTAGGCGAGCAGTCTCGTTATTTAATAGTCACACCTCATAGTATACACAATGCAGTAACACATGACATATATTATGAATTATATTTTTAATCGTATCTAAAGTCTGTCTAATAGTTATTTTGTTTTAACCAACAGTAGGTATAGCGTTCAGTATCTTTACAAGAATATTACATTATGTAAAATTTGTTTTTATTTATTATTATTATTATTTGTTAAGAGCCATTGCCCAAAATTATAACAGTTCTAATTTATATAGAAATGACCGTTTCAACAAATAAACAAAATATATATGTTCTCATACTATAGAATATAAATTTAGTAAACAAAAAAATGTATTCGGCAAAAATAGTTCTAAAAAGAATCGAATAAATACCGGAGAACGTATAAGTATTTCACAAAACCTAACCTTACCTAACTTTTGAAAGTCTAAGTAGGTATTTTACAATATTCATATAAAAACATAACATATACTAAATGTATTGCCGTTACTAAATTGTAGATAACATTATAAAATCAATTTTTTTAACCTATAACGTCATTTTAAATTTTATTAAAAAATATTGGTATAAATCCTGTTTAGCACCACCTCGTTTCAATTTTTTAATTTTTTTTAAGGCATATTTTTTGACGCTAAGTAGGTACGATGATATAATTGTATTTACATTTAAAGTTATAGCACTTCAAATTTGAATATTACGACACAATACGATCATAGAAAACAATATATTTGCCACAAACTTTTTTCACTTTTTTTTTTTTGAAACTTAGACAAATTTATTAAGTTAACTAAAAACAACTATAAAATTATAATTTGGCGATCGTATTATTTTTTGAGTTATCAGTGTTTTAAATTGTATGATATTGAACTTAACACACACAAGCGCGCTCGGGATCATACACACACTCGCACACGGATAAGCACATGATGGATAAATGAACAATAGTCTATAGGTGCAATTAGACCACCATCTTTAGGGGTACTAAAATTATAGACACATCACAGACCCGTGGGAACAAAACACGATTAAAATATTTAGTCGATACTATAAAAAAAATGTATTGGGTATTTTTGAAGGTGCTTATGACTCCCTAAAACCCCTCTATTTACACCTTTACAGAACACCCCCAACGATCTTTGTTTTTCCTTTGTTACTTACCCAATGTGGTTTTGCATAATAAATCGAGTGTTATTTTTGTTTACAATCTCGAGCAAGCGCAATGAACGAATGACCTCGTCGACTCTTTAGGTATAGGTACCTAACCAAAATTATACTTCAAATAGTTATAACTTCTTTAATAACGGTTTCCGCAAAAAATTCAACAGTTTCAAAATCAGCGTGGAAAAACACGTCTTTACAAAGAAAAATGTTTTGAAAATCGCGAGGTGCTCGACAAGATTTTTCCCGAAATATTATATTATGCTATTTTGTCAGATTTTTATAAATAATGGCATTATTATATTTTATTTTATTTAATTATTAAACAATATAAAATAATAAATAATAGCGTTATTTATGAAACAGACATAAGTCGAAATTTAGCAATTCAACTATCAAAAAAAAAAAAAAAAAAAAATTGATTCAAGTATAATTTGTTTGTATGTACTACCGATTTATTATTGATATTAAGTAAATAAAAAATGAGTTATATTTGATATCAACTGTTTTTTAATAGGTAAAAAACAAATAATGATTTTTTTTTTTTTTAAAATAAGGTAATTTTAGGACAAAATTTCTTCAAAAAACAATTTTATTGCGTTTATAATTATTTTGAATATGTAGGCATTGGTATAAGTACATAGGTACTACTTTTATGACATAAATTCAAATTTCAAATTTTAAACATAACATTTGTCTCTTTATTCACCCCACTAATATGATTATAAGTTATATGTTTATAACTATTTATAATTATAAGTATTGACCTACTTTTGACTCAACAAAATATATTTTGGCTAAAATCCAAAGAACCAAATTACTTTTAAAATAAAAATATGACTCATCATATTCATTAATTCATCATATTATTATAATTTTTACTAAACCAATATCTTTAACAAACATAATTATAAAACTAATAATTTTGTACTTCGCATATAAAATTTAAAATTCACAAACTAAAAATAAAATTGTTTTTAATGAAGCCACGACTAGCTATATATTGCAGAAAAACTATAACTAAAAACCTGAAACTAATATTATTAGTAGATAATTAAACAAAAGTACACAAATTGAACAGAATATTTTCATGGAATTACTTTTTAGTTTCCAGATGGATAGGTTGTGTTAGGTTAGTTAATCGTTGGTTCTATTGCGTACCTGTACATTTTAAATCTTCACTAATTTAGAATCCTTCTTGCTTTAGTTAAATTTCAAATAAAATTATTTTGCACTTATTGAAATTTAAAGCACAAAAAATAACTTTGGTCTAACTACTTATTTTAATATAATAAAAAATGCGTGTTGTAATAATTTGCTATTCAAGCATAAACGTAATGATTCATAAATAACGGAGACTAAAATATTCTGTATTTTCAATAATTCTGTATTAAAAGTTCGGTATTACATGACTTGGTTGTTAATTATTATTTATTTATAGAAAATAAATTATAATTAATAAAATAATACCATTTTAAATCGTATTATTATCCTTTTTTTTTTATTTTTTTTTACATAAAGTTTTAAATTCAAATAACTAAGAAAAAAATGGGCACCGTGAATTTTTGGCTCGATACTATTTTGTTACCTTTCAGTAACATTGACCTATTTTTCAATAAATTGTGAAATAATTGATAAAATAATCATTTATTATATTTTATCCAATTTTTTCCATAATTTTAATACCTACCTACAAATATAATTTTAATATATTATGATTATTATGGTTATCCAAATCCATGCATTCAATTTACATAGATATGATACACACTTTTTTTCAATACATATATAATCAAATAGGTACATAATATTTTTTGTTTAGAAGAAAAATTAAAAACAATTTTTAAAACGCTATTTTCATAATTTATAAAACATATTATATAGTGTCATTTATTGAATATATTGTTATATAATATATTTTTCATCCTAGGGAAACCATTACGGAAATATCGACATCTTAGTTAGTTGCCTACATACTCAATGATGAGTAACAATGGCGGATTTTCAAAAATTTTCTGGGAGGGGTTATGAAAAATCATTAGTATTTCAATGATCAATTATAAATGCCTCTATTTTAAACGACATTTTATTGACATAATGTTGATATCTGGAAGGGAAGGTAGTCTGAACCCCCCTCGACCTCTCTCCACGTAAATTATCCACCATTGAACAAATACGATTATGAGTGATTCATTGGATTTACTATACATTATAAGTAGATTAAAATAATGCATTCAGAGAGCCATATGGTTTTTAATATTTAGAAACAAGAGCTAAGTATTGATTAATTCTTAACTATATTCGTATTTATCAAACAATCAATAAAATAAAATTTACATTAAAATAATATATAGCTAATACAATTTGTTGAAAAAAAAATAACTAATTTCCCGTAAACGCTATTCAATAATTATCTATTGGAATTGTATTGTGAAAGAAAGTTTAAATACCAATGACGTCCGAATAACTGAATGATGTGAAATGGAAAAAATAGAAAGCTAAATAGAGTTTTTTTTTATACAAATTGACATTGGCGCAGGCCGAAGACCTTCGATCAGTTTTATAAATACACCCGATCGACATAATGGCTTAGCATTTATGAAAACAATTCAGTGAATATATTGACGAGCAGTAGTGAACACAACCAAATCCCGAAACTAGATTGTGTATTCGTGTTCAAAATTTATTTTTAAAATGTCGAAGAGCTTCCGGGGTAAATCTGCTAAGAGCATCGAAGCTTCGTTGCTTAGTATTGCTAATAAGAATATTGCTGAAGATTTAATATCAACAAGGGTATCAACAAAAGAAAACTACAAAGGTGAAATGAAAATTAAGAAAAAAACTATATTTGACTTAACGCATACGTATAATTCTTTGGATGAAACAAAATTGCTACAACCTTTGCATGAAATATCTAATGAACTCCGGAAGTTCTCATCTAAAAGTTCTCATTATTTCGAAGATGGAAGGTATAATCACGGAAATTAAAATTTAAAATATGTTTTTTTTTTAATTATTATTATTATTTCTTTATTTACCTAATTATAAATTAATATATTTTAATTTTTCAGCAAACAAACAAGTATTGAAATTGAACAATTGAATGCTCGTGTAGTTGAAGCAGAGACTAAGTTGAAAACCGAAGTAACAAGAATCAAGAAGAAGCTCCAAATTCAAATTACTGAATTAGAAATGTCATTGGATGTTGCCAATAAAAACAATATCGAGCTACAAAAAACCATTAAAAAGCAATCTCTACACTTAACGGTAAATTTATTTTGCATTCAAACATGCAAGAGATACTAATTCTATGATAGCATATAACACGGAGTTTAAAATAATACGGATAATTTTACTAATGAAGCCCCTTCCAAAAAATATACCAGTATTCAAACATTTTTAAACAAAAATTAATCAGACTTATTGGATACGTGCAAATTTTTGTTTTTATTTTAATTAAAACTATTTTTGTAACTAAGTAATTTATTATTTTAAATTACCTATAGGAATTGCAAGCTCATTATGACGAAGGTCAACGTCAATTGGCTGTTACATTAGATCAATTAGCCATTACTCAGCGCAAACTGCAATCTCTTACTGGAGAATTCGAAGAACTCCGAGGAAATTACGACTCTGTAAGTTATCCATTCGTTTAACAGTTTTAAATGTGATGAATGTACCAACAGTTAATTTCACTTGTTATTTCTTTAGGCATTACGTAACAAACGAGCTATCGAACAACTATACGAAGAATCACAAAGCCGCGTTAATGAATTAACAACTATCAATGTTAACTTGTCGTCGTCTAGATCAAAGATTGAACAAGAATTACACCAGTTGATGTCAGATTACGAAGAAGTATCGAAGGAGTTGAGAGTAAGTATTGTTCATAACCAATTAAGCTATATTTTAGATTCTGAGCTTATCGAGCTATTGGTTTTACAATGCTGTTTATTTTTTTTTTCTTCTTTTTCTTTGTTCTAATCTGTGGATAATACTATCTTACGGTATTTTTGCAAAAAATTTGAGCCACTTTTGAGCCTTTAAGGAATTTAAATTTTTAAAAGTTTTTTTGCTATAATTTGATTATAAATACACTTAGAGACTTGAAAGTTGGTTATAATTCTTATATTAGAATTACCTAGACGTAGTAAAATTTCCAAAATCATCGGACGACTTTTAAAAGCGATTTGAAATCTAATTTTAACGAATCATTAAACACTTCAAATCGTGTAATACCGAACTACGCTCGGAATCATCAAGCAATGATTTATCGTTACTTACAGATATAAATTAAATAATCCTATGTATCCTACCTTCCCAACTGCTTACCTACAACAGTGGCCGCTCCCATCCCTGGTATCAGCTCTTTTTATTATATTATGCGTACGATATGTACCTATATATTAATTTATAATTTTCAAATTTATTTTAAAGATATCAGATGAACGTTATCAACGGGTACAAATTGAAGTAAAACATACAGTGGAATTATTGCATGAAGAACAAGAGAGAGTGATAAAGATTGAATCTATTAAGAAGTCACTGGAAATTGAAGTCAAGAATCTTTCTGTTCGTTTAGAGGAAGTCGAAGCTAACGCTATTGTTGGAGGCAAACGCATCATTGGCAAACTAGAAGCCAGAGTAAGTGATTACAATAATTCACTATAACCGCAAAAAGGTACCTAATAAACATAATTTTACTTTATATAATGTTCTTTTTCAATAGATCCGTGACTTGGAATTAGAAATTGACGAAGAAAAACGCCGTCACGCCGAGAGCATAAAGATATTGCGCAAGAAGGAACGTTCGCTCAAGGAGTTGGTCATACAGAGCGAAGAAGATCACAACAATGTGCAACTTTTACAAGATGCTCTAGAGAAGGTCAATCAGAAGGTTAATATTTACAAGAGGCAATTACAAGAACAGGTATGTGAAATTATTAGGTATTGAAAAATAATTATTATTTATTCACGTATGAAATATTTTTCTATTTAACATTTACAGGAAGGCATGAGCCACCAAAGTGTCACTCGAGTAAGACGGTTCCAAAGAGAATTGGAAGCTGCTGAAGACAGGGCTGACACTGCTGAAAGTAATCTATCGCTGATCCGTGCTAAGCACAGAAGCTTCGTGACCACGCAAACACACCCAGGCTCCTCACAAGTGTACGTAGTACAAGAATCCAGGGCTACAACTACGACATCAGAACAATATTAATTCATTTAAATAACAATTCTTTTCTGTTTTTATTAATGTAACATGTTTTTTTTTTTTAATAATCAACCGAAATAGGCTACCTACATTTGTTCCATATGGTGCAAATCGTTTTTAAGCTTTAACCGCTCTAAAAAAAAGAAAACAATTTTGACCATTTTGTGTTTATAGTATATTCTCAACACAATAATACTAAAAACACTGTTAAATGAACCAAACAATTTATAATATTATTTGCCTTTAAATTTATCATAATATCCTTCGAATTCATACGGCGGTAAAATATCATTATACGATCAGAAGACCTACTTTTGGTTATTCATAAATAATTACATTCAGTGTAACAAAACATAATTCTAATAATATGTCTACATCAATAAAACGAATTAATAAAATAATTTCAAAAGCTTTATTTATTTTTATTTGTACTAAAACACCCTTAATTATTTGAAATTTTACTGTTTTAACATTTTAATTTGAACACTCAATTTTGTGTATCGTGTACAAATTGTACTAATACGAATTTAGTCATATAATATTTTAGATTAAGTATTGATATCGATGTATTGCTGATAATTAAGGTGCAGACTACAGTAGGGGCGTCATTTGAAGGATTCAAACTAAAATATGAAGTCTAATTTTTTTTTTATATGTATTTTTGGCCTGCATAAAATATTTTGATAGCGCTATCGTCGATAAATTGTAAAATGTGAAACTCGTGAAAGTTAACATCAAATCATCTTCACTTGATGACATCTTAAAAAATAAATCATGCTTAAAAAAAAATAAACACAGTTTTACTCAACAACAGTTTACCGATATGAGATTCGTCGCAACTTAAATTACATATTTGCAATCTAGAAGAAAAGACTGATGAACACAAACAGTGAGAGCGAATATTGAAAACGGTACGACCAAATGTCTACAGAATTATCGCTTTACATTCGTCCGTTCGGTCGTTCGTTCTTGTTCGAACAATAATCATTTTAATGAAAATACGAGATAATTGACGAAATATTAGCGACATTCTTATTTAGGTTCCCTGAAATTATATCATTACTCTATGGATTGTTTACGCAGTTACCTAATTATAATGCAAACAATCAACACATTATTGATAATAATTTGTGGTTTGACGTGATTTTATTATAAGTATTTCTTCGGACAACTTTAAAAAAATTTGATGGAACGAATTTGTAAAATATAAAACTGGAATCCAGGGTCTTATAAGCGAAACGATTGGAAAAATTGCTCAGATCCACAAAATAAACACAGTACATAAATGGCCTGGTGAAGAGAAAAATTGATTCAAATTTTTACATCACTATTGAAAAACAAAAAATACATCCCAAGTGTTGAAGTATGCACATTTTCTTTTATCGATGGACAAAGAACGCTTAACGGAATAAATTTACTTTACCAGCAGTGATTATTTATCACATAATAGTTTACCAGGAGGTAAACCGTGAATACCTTGGTCCTAAAGATTTACCTACATTTAAAAACTGTTTTATTAAATTTTCTAATTAATAATCACTGTGTCCACTTTTGTCTTTACGTAATCTCATAATAGCTACCAAATCTGAAACAAAATATAAATAACAGTTATACTGCTGTAATTCGTGGAAACACGTTACCAGTGGTGGATTTAGCGTCAGGCAGAGTAGGCAGTTGTCTAGCGGCAATTTTACGCCAATATTTTAATGAAAATACTAGTTTTTTTTTTAGATTTTGTAAGGTAATTTTTAATCTTTACAGTTGAAGGAAACTACCTACCTATAATTTATACTAATACATTTTCATAATCCAAAAGTTAATCTAATTTTACGCATATTTATCAAATGTTGGTTATTACACAATACGTGTACAAAAATAAAACTTTTTTCTATCCTAAAGATAAAGTTGTAATAATATTTTTCTTCGTGACCATGAAATAGAAGGCGGCCGAGTAGAGAATAAGTATTATCCATGTGTTTATTCTGATTAGACATTCGGTTATTTTCAACACAACTTTCAAAGCGGATAGACTTAATATTATGATATTATTGATGAGTAAACCCTATATTTTATAAACAATATTTGTTTGATTAGAACAATTTATATGATTTTTTTTTTCTAGTAGTTGTGCTAAATAAGCACTTAAAACTTCATTTTTTCATTGATAAGTTTAATGGGGCGACAAAATAAAATTTGCCTAGGGGCATGCAATAAGGAATAACAATCAGTATTAAAGCCTCCCCCCCCAAAAAAAAAATTGTTTATGGCTTAGACATTAATCTGTAATATTGATTTGTTAAAATTATATTACCATTTTTTTTTTTTGCACCCACTTGATTATTTAGATTATTGGTTTTATATTTATTTATTACAGATTTATGTTTGATACTGATTAATACTTGCACTTTGTACATGATAAAGCTTGTGGTAATTACCGATCGATTATTTTGTTGATAAATATTTTTAGATTTTTATTTGTTCGACCGGTAACGATGATAACAATAATAATAATAAATTAATAACTGTGGACTGTCAATGACATTTTGAAAATTTGAACGTTCAGTCCATTTGATTTGGCCGTAATGTATATAATTTATGGTTTACATATTCAAATTTATTTAATTGCCGAAAATGAACTTTTGAATGAAAAAACAATTATTTTGAGATGCACAAGTTGCCACTAAATAAGACTTCTCTATATCTCTACCTAGACTAACAAAATACCAAACTGTAATACACCAGCAGAAAATAATGAAGAATATGATAGACGTTCAATTTATCGTTTATTCCATTCATCTATTAATTTTCTAATCGATTTTTAAACATAGAACTCTACTTACAAATTTTGAATGTTTTCTACCACCAAGATATAACAGACGAACAAATTTCAAGTTTTAAAAACTGTTCTTAAACTTTGCCATTAAACACAATTATTGATGCTTTAAATTTATGTGATGTACAAATATATGAATCCGTATTTATAATTTTGAAAATATTTGCGATGTTTTACTGGTAAATACAAGTACAGCTGACTCAACTGATCCCTTTTCACCCTATGATAAATTAAAACTTATCTCAAAAATACAATATGGGACGATCAGAGGTATTATCAGTTCTTTCCGAAAAGGGACCCATAATAATTAAGTTGTTACAAATTTTACTTTTAAATTTTAAATTTGTACATATTTATTTATAGGTATAAGGTAACTATTATTAATAATAGGTATATTATAAATATTATGATAAAATAAATAAACAAACTTATATGATGACGATAATTGTAATAATAAACAAAAAATATATATTATTAACAATTACTGGTTGTTGCTTATTTGTGTGTAAGGAAAAGTAAGAAAATTGGTAAGTTAGCCCCCCTAAAAAGAATCCCTGGTACGCACCTTGGAGAGGGGAGGCAAATTCAAAAGTAAAAAATTATAATTAATTATAATACATTTTAATTTTTGGCACATAACAATAATTATAGAAAATTTTTTTGATATTTCAACTTGTCAATATTACATTTTTAACCTTTTTAAAGATGAAAATTTGTACAAAGTTTAAATACAAATAAAATTGGTTTGAAAAAAAAATGTTAAAACAGATTCTCATATTTATTTTGATATAAGACTCAAGTTTCTAAGGTCAACAGTCCAACAAGGTTTAAATTGGTACTATTTAAAATATGGGTGTCTGTTTTGATGGTAAATTATTTTTTATTACTGTAGCAACCTTCTAATTTATAATAATTTAATCTATATTACAGTAGAAGCTCATTAATCCGGACAGCAGTTTGATAACATGTAAACTATATAGTTTCTGTCATAAACCAAAAAACTATGAAAATGAATTCCACTAATTTCGCATAAATGCATGTTATAGCGGTTATTCATAAATTATGTATATTATAATACACACACAGTTTTTTTAAATTATTGAAGTCGGTAAACTTTTAAATAAAAAAAATACAAGATTTTTGGTTATTTTGTTTAATCCAGACTTACCTTAATTCAAATAACCTAAAGTCATAATTAATCCGGATTAATGAAAATAAATCCGAACTGAATTTTATTTGTTCTTAATTTATAAATAAATGTTTAAACTATTAATAACTAAAAATAATCATTAAAAGATGGCAATGTGGAATATTATATCACCATAATAATATGAGTTATAGGTACAAATGTTCAACGCTATTATTCAATTTTGAATGGATTTATTGTAATTTGTTTCTTTTTTTATTTATCTATAATACAGATAAATTAATAATTGAATACACTAAATTTGTAAATTAAAAATTAAAAAGTTAAAACATAAATATTTTTCACAGAATTGTTGCTTCATTAAAATCATTTCTAAATTAATTAAGTTAGACATTAGACTAAACTCATGTAACAAACCAACAATGTATTTACATACACACATTTATTATTTAAATGAACTACTTCTTAGCATTAACAATGTCAACAAACTCTGGTTTTAAAGATGCCCCTCCGACCAAAAATCCATCAATATCGCTTTCCTTAGCTAGTTCTTTACAATTAGATGCAGTAACTGATCCTCCATAAATGATGCGTGTAGTTTTAGAAACGGTTTCATTCACTTCATCAGCTAACCATTTTCTCAAGATTTTATGGACTTCTTGGGCCTAAAAAAAAAAAATTGTTTTTAATATACTTAAAGGATTCGAGTAAAGTAAAACTTCATACTTGTTGAGGGCTAGCAGTTTTACCAGTACCAATTGCCCAAACTGGCTCATAAGCCACTACTACATTTTCCCAATTGCATATTTTATCTTTGATAGCTTTAATTTGTTTAGCTACAACAGCTTCAGTTTGTCCAGCTTCGCGTTCTTCGAGTGTTTCGCCAATACATGCGACAACAGATAATCCAGATTCAAGAGCATAATTTATTTTTTCAGCAATTAACTAATCAAAAAAATTTATTTACTACATACAAACAGTAATTTGGTTTAGTAAGAAAATAATTAAATACTTACGGTATCAGTCTCATGGAAAATCTGTCGTCGTTCAGAATGACCTAAAATCACCCAATCAATGCCAATATCTTTTAACATGCTGGGACTTATTTCTCCAGTAAATGCGCCTTTTTCAGTTTTAAAACAATTCTGTGCTGCCACATATATATTACATGGGGCCTTTTCTTTGACATAATCCAAATAAACATAAGGCACTCCAATCAAAACCTCTACAACATTTTTAAAATTAATTATAAGTCTTAAACAATTCTAATCGTTTACTTACCAACATTAGGATCCAGGGGACCTTTTATTAAATTTCCCAGAAGTTCGTCAGCGATTTTCTTCGTGCCATTCAATTTCCAATTGCCTCCAACAAAGAATTTCCTAGACATTCTGGTAGTTGAAAAAGTTCTAAAGTAATAGAAAAATAAATGAAAGTTAAAAGAATAGCGAAAACTTCAGAAGGAAAATCAATGAGCAATGAACTATAACGCTCCCAAATACAATATTGACGTGACTACGTGAGACGCCTAATGTAAATGATGATAACAGTTTTAACAATTGACAAAGTGGAAGGAGCCAAGGAAGAACGTTGGGGGGTAGGACACTTACTTATGACCTCTAATGAGTAACCAAAGGTCATACAAATATACCATTAGATGAGTTAAATTGATAAGAGTTAATGATAATTTGATAACTTATCGTTATTTATTTTTGGAAAACAAAATAAGTACCTACTTTATAGTTATAAAAAAAATAATTGTAATCAAATTTCGTATTAATTAAAATATTATTACAATGTGTTTTGGAATAATATATTTTATAGTAAGTATGTATACTCCACTTATATATAGTATTATCAATGCGCTAACGACTCACTTTAAATTGTTTTAATTAATCACTTTTGTTTCCAGTTTCAAAATTTGTATTTAGTTATTCATAATAAATATTAAAATCAACAAACATTGATTGTCACTATTTAAGTTATTCTCATATTAAATTTAAAGCCAACTCATTAGATTATTATTTATTTTACCTAAAATAAGATAATAGTACATTTTTATGAAATACAGTAAACAATGTAGTCGTGATGTCATAGACAGGTTCATTATAGATCAAAGTTTACAATTCTATTAAATTACTCGTCTTACTGATCTTGTACAAAATTATATATATATATATATATATATAACTATATATACTGGAAATATGTTAACTAAAAAGTACTAAAAACACTTTTCAAAACAATTGTCAGCATAATGTAATTATTTAGTAAATTTAAGCTATATTTCTTTTTCTATGATACCTGTATTAGATGTCATTTATATAGTCTATATGCAAAGCTGAGCAGTAACTAGTAACAAAGTTACGAAAAAGTTATAAAGTTATATAAATCAATAGGTAGCTAACTCTATAACTTGTAAGAATAAAATGTAAAAAACAAGTTTTTGATAAATCGTAGGTATATGAATATCGATTAAATAACAATTTTTTATATTTTTTTAATGTGATATATAGTTGAAAAATAATAATTGATTTATTAAATGTGGATTTATCAGAATTGTGTGTAAAAGTAATATTTATAAGAAGATAATTATTTGTCTAACAATAAAAATGTGCTTGGTCGTTTTGTCTAATTTTTTTCTAAACAGACTGAATAAATCTTTTGTCCCCGGAATTTTCGACCGATTACCAACTTGTAAGTTACTTTTAATTTTTATGTAACTTGTAACTTAAGGAATAATGTTTTGTGCGTGTGTAAAGATAACTTATTGAGTTAGTTTTTAAATGAATTAAAAAAAATATAAATTTTCATCTTTTTGTCACCAATATCTTGTAATTCAGAATTTTCAAATTTAATACAATAATCCCGTCCAGCGCCCATATTTAACGATTATTTCTTGCTGAGGGTTTATTGTTAACTGAAGAGAATCCATCGCAGATTCAAAATTTGAAAAACATTGATGTTAAAATTCAGTAAAAAAAAGTATTGAAAAAGTCGCTATAACATATACATTTTTGGCAAATTACTATTAATTAAAAATAAAACATAACTTATTTTAAATGTAACTTAATTTGGTTACTTTTTTTTATTAAAAACCCATAAATTGACTAAGTTACTAAACTTGTGTAACTTGACCAGCTTTGTTTAAAAGGCACAAAACTTATTTATATTATCAAGAATTTAATTAATACAAAAAACCAACATTATGTTTTATAAAAAATAATTACTTTATTGTACTTGTTATAATATTGTTTAAGTAACTTGTTATCTATAAATAATCTCAAAGGTACTTAATTTAATTTTTTCCCGAAATTTGCAATACGGTAAAATGTAAATGGGTATCTACATAAATTTTAGATTACTAACGTAAATATTAAATATTCTAAAAATGTTGATGTATTTAAAATTAATATTGAATTGATGGTTTATTATTTATGTCTTATAATAATTTTAAATTTAAATAAAAAGTGTACTTAATAGAAAAATTATTTTATTCTGTTACCTACCTAATACTGTTTCATTATATATCACCTAAACTAGCGATTCTAAACCTTCATATCCGGGTACCATTTACACATTTTAAAATTTTTCACATACCACTTGCCACAATTATTTTTTTTTTTTTACTTATTGATTAAAACAAAAATTGTGTAAGTCATTTTACATGTATGGAACTTTTTATTATTAAATCTACATAATTATAAGCATTTAATAGACAAAAGTACAGTTATTATTTTTATTATTATTTATGATTTACATGGACATTATAACTAATTTATTTTTTTTTTCATTTGTCAAAAAATTTGTTCGCATACCACCTACAAACTTTTCGTGTACCACGGGTTGAGAATCGCTGACAAACAGATTTAGCCAATAATATTGGGCCTCAACAATTAAATTTATTATCAATAAAATAATACAAATTTAATAACTGCTTAGGCCTTGTTATATCAAAATTATAAAATATTTTATCATTATATAATTTTTATATACAGTCCAAATAGAAGGTTCAAAACTGCGAATTATCTTTGATAAATCGGTATATTTAATATTTTACAACTATATTTATATTTAGATTTAAAATAAATATATTATGTATATACACAAAGCTACCTTATACAAATAAAAATAGAAATCATTGACTCAAGATTTTAAAATACCTTCAACTAATAAAAATTACTGATTCATGTTAAAATAATTAATTATCTCTCAAAAAAAATAATATATAATTTTATGTAAAAGTTATAATCTTACCTGGAAATAAAATTTAATATAGAATTGTGCATTTCTTAATAAAAACAAAGATAAATATTGAGAGCAGTAAAAAAGAATATAAAAACCATGGATTAAACTATTACATATTTGTAATACTTACCTACATAAATTTATCAGTGATGCATTTTGGGGAACTAAGAGTATAATTCCCTCCAATAAATTTATAAATGGTAACACAAATCTAAACAATATCTAACTCTATTTATATAATTTTATGCTAAGTCTATAACTTTATAGTTTATTTAATATCTATTACAAACCATTAACTTGATATTTATTAAAATTTCTTTATTTATAGGGCTATGGTTTAAATTATAGTAACAATAAATAAGTGTATTAAAAAAAAAAAAAACTATTAAAAGGTAGGCGTATAGAAATCAACAAATGGTAGCGGTACAAATATATATATATATATATAAATAGAAAGAATTAGCTTTTTACTAGTTTAATTTAGTTTGAATTTTTTTTTTTAAGTATTAGTTACTACTTATAAGTAAAGGCCATAATATATATTTATTAAATATTTACTTATGTAAATCTATAACAGTTAATTTGTCCTATTATAGGTAATTTATAACTTTAACTCCTGGATCATAAATCTCTCCATTTCATTATTAATAATGGGAAATATTTTGTAATTTTACTTTTTTAAAAACAAGAAATACATGTTAAATTAAATTTTATTTAATTAATTTACCTGTATGATTTTTAAATATAATACTTTTTTATTTTTTATTAGATAGGTTGAATACTACGCGCACAAATTCTAAAATTTATGAACTTAAATTAAATTCATGGCAAATAATTCTATAGAAGAAATTACTCACAGAGAAGATAAGAAGCATGTGTTTAAAGACCCTACCTTCGACGTAAATATAATCTGGATTTAAAATTACATTATTGAATATTAATATGAACTTGTTATATTTTTGATATTTTAAAATATCAGCGATTAGTAGTGGACAAGATGTCCTATTTTTATTTAGCTAAAATTACAATGACTTAGATTATGAGACTAAAAAAATTATTTTTAATTTTGAGAAGTAATTCTAAAATACAGAAACTTAAATAATAATTAGTTTTTAATTTACAGAGCACCAAAACTTCCAATGGCAAAAAAAGAATCTGGCGATCTTTAAAACAATTAATAGCACAAGAAAGAATATTACCATGGGAGGAAAATTCTATTTATTGTAAATAAATCTGAATTACTAAATAATTTAGCATATTTTATTTGGTATTTATGATTACAGATAGCTCTATTTCTGCCCCACCTTCATTCAAACCAGCAAAAAAATATTCTGATATCAGTGGATTAATTGTAAGAATAACATTTAAAACTAATTTTAAAAACATGTTTATAACTTTTTCTCTCTCTTTATTAAGGCCAAATATAAAGATCCACAGACGTCTTTGTATTATGCTGGACACGAAGAATTTAGTACTGTAAGGAGCCTACCTAGTGATATTATAACTGGATATTTGACCTTACGTGGAGCATATAATCCTATTGGATAATGAAATACTTAACATGATCTTCAATATATAACAAGACTTAATAATAAAATATAAATATAAACTGTAAATATATTTCTATTTCAAATCATTAAACAATAATGAACTTTATAAATCAATGTTTATTAATCTGTTATTTCTTAATTCTATACTTGCGTAATTACATTACTACTTATATTAGTAAAACACAGAAAATGTAAATTCTTCAAACTTGGGGATCAATTTTTGTTTCTTGGAATTTAATTGCTGGGAATTTGGTAGGGTCTTCATTTGCGCCAATGTTAAATTGTTTGCCAATTTTTTCTAAATCGTTCTTGTAACCTTTATCAATTGAAGGGTCAAATGACTTAGTGTCAAATTTTCCTTTATATTCCCGAATTTTATCTAAGAATAGCTGTTGAATAGGATCCGAAACGTTGGCCATCAATACCGATGAGGCTGATATATTTCGGCGAATGAATTGGCCAGCCACTCTAGTAGCATTCAATTTTTGTAAGAAGTTGAATGACAACATATTTTCCTTAAAAAAATTCGTACAAGTACATGTGATATATGACAATATAATATAATTATCTACTTACGGTTTAAAAGTGATTCGCTCTGAAAGTAATAATTAAACTTCTTGAAAGACAATTAAATTTAATAGCCAATATCGAATTGCTTCGGAAAAAGTTAAAATTTGTGAATTTGTGAAATCATATGTCGAATGTCGAATCATTTTATGATTAAACACAGTGTGTCCAAAACAATATTTAATATCAAAATAGATGATTTTCATTATTGACCATTGTATATTTTAATTTAAAGAAAAAATTAAAATTGAAAATTTGGCCAGACATTTATAAAAAGAATTTCTGAATTGATATTTTATATATTTTTTTGAAATTTCAAAATAAATTATTCAATATTTAAGAGAAATCTTGAAACTTTGCTGTGTCATGATTTTTGATAAGAGTGTGGCCATGACAACAATAACAAAGAATGACTGGATAGTTTTCTTTATTTAAATAGGTACCTCTTAATTTATAGTACGTCGGTACTACAATTTACAAATTACATTTTACCTAAATACACATTTTAAACTTAACACTATATTTTATTAATTTCCTTTCAATACCTATTTAAGTTTAACACAATGAAGATTACTGTGACGACATTCGAAGATCATTTGTTTATACTTGATGTGAGCGAGGACTTGGAGCTTATTAATTTCAAGGCATTATGTGAAGTTGAAACAGGATTCCCAGCACAACAAATCGGACTTTCTCATAATGGTCAACTTTTGGGTGACGAATTTAAAACCATGAAAAATTTAGGTATCCACGATGGCGATGTAATTTTTATTGAAAGAGTTACAAACAACTCTGCTGGACGCTCATTAAATACTTCAACTAGTAGTATGCATAATTTTATAACATTAACAACAATGTAGTTGGTTAATATTTAATTTTTTTATTTTTGCATAGGTCTTATATCACAATTCGATTTTAGTCGAATTCAAGTGCCTGGCACATCTAATAGTTCCCAGAACACTGCCAGACAAAATAGATTAAAAGATGCAGAATATGTCAAGAATTTATTTCTCTCCAGTCCAGAACAACTAGCTCTCCTTAAACAAAATAATCCTAGGCTTGCTGAGGCTTTAACTTCAAACAATTTGGGTTAGTATTTAATAATTAGGTTATGAAATTCTTACACTTCAAAATGTAGGTATTCATAATATATTATAATAAATAGAATATATTAAATATAAACCCCCTTTAAAAATGTATCAATCATGTCTTAATACAATTTTATAACAACTGAATAATTTCATAAATTTTTTTTCACTATTAACTTAATTTACACTTATTTACATTAGATACTGTTACTTAATCTTTTTGGCTTCTGAAGTGTACAGTATTTACTTAGCATTTTTGGAATTAATCCAAAATGTGGTAGTTTTTATTATTATTATTATGATTTGTTATTATTGAAGTCAGAATAAGTCTATCTGACTTAGATTTAGAGTTACTAATGTTTAAACCCAAGTGACTCACCCGGTCTCTAGATCCACCAAAAATGCTGTTATTTTTCAAAGTTTATGTATAATAACTTCAAAATTAAATATGATAGATAAATTTTGTTTATATCAATGGATTAAACATTAAAAATCACACACTTCGAAAAAACAAATTGAAAATGTTCTCATTAAGACATAGGTGAAACAAAAAATCCAAATTTTATGAAGTTTTTCCCTATAACTTCTTAATGAAGTTTGTTTGACTTTTTTTTTAAGATTCATAATATACAGGCAAGAAAATACAAAAAAAAAAAGTTGGGTCGTAAATTAGATTTATTCCGGTGAATTTTAGCAATTAATAGGAAATTAGAAACTATAACAAATAGTATTTTAATCTGAAATTTCTAATTTTAGTCTTTAAATTGTTTTGAAATTATTAATTTGTATGCAATTATTTTGTAGAAGAGTTTTCAAAAATTATGAATGAACAAATGGAAGATCGAAAAAGACGTGAAGATCAAAGAATCAAAATGTTGCACGCTTCTCCATTTGACTCTGAAGCACAGAAACTTATAGCTGAAGAAATACGTCAAAAAAATATTGAAGCTAACATGGAAGCAGCAATGGAATACAATCCGGAAATGTTTGGAACAGTTGTCATGCTTTACATTAATTGTAGAGTGGATGGACATCCTGTGAAAGCATTTATTGATTCTGGAGCTCAGACTACAATAATGTCATCTGCTTGTGCAGAAAGATGTAATATAATACGTTTAGTTGATACTAGATGGTCAGGATTAGCTAAAGGTGTGGGTGTACAAAAGATTATTGGCAGAATACATATGGTTCAAGTAGCAATTGAAAATGATTTTTTAACCACTAGTTTTTCTGTTCTTGAAGATCAACCAATGGAAATGCTTTTAGGGCTAGACATGTTAAGAAGACATCAGGTAAATTCAACTATCAACATTTAGAACATGGATTACACTTTATTATTCATTTCAAATAAAAATTTAATCAATATTTAATAATAATTATTGTTCAATTTTATTGTATAATTAGTGTTGTATTGATCTTGAACACAATGTTCTGAAAATTGGAACCACAGGAACTCAAACACCTTTTCTGTCTGAAAGTGAGTTGCCAGATTGTGCCCGTTTAACTGCATCTAGTGATTATAACATACACAAAAAAGAAGATAGCGAATTAAGAAAAGCTATAGATGAAAGTAAAAAAATGAACCAAAGCGATGGTAAATATTTTAATTGTACATAAATTATTATGAAATTAAATTTTATATATTTTATTTATAATAGAGCATATAGGTAACCATCATTACTTTGTTGTGTTTAATGAATTAGGTAAACGAAAAAGGAATGCTTACTTTGTCCAGGTTCCACATTTCCTATTATTTCCAGGTATCCGTTGATTTCCAATTAATGATATATAGTAGTTCCTTTGTTTATGTATTTTAGATTTTATTTGCTATTATTCTATAGCATTCTTATCTAATTAATTGTTTCTATCATTTAACATTTATTTATTTTATTATAGGTAGTAACAGCAGTTCTGTTCAATCATTTAATGAAACTGATATCCAAGAACTAATGAATTTAGGATTTTCTAGAGAACAGGTATACATTATAATTAGTTGAGTATTTCTTCTTTATCTCCTATACCTTCATCCCAACTATTTGGGATCAGCCACCCTCGTTCTAAACTTCCACTTGACCTAGTCAACCGCTTGCATACACCAGCAGTCCTCGTATCATTCTCATTCACATCTAATCACCTCTTCTTCACTTCTTTCCTATTACGTTTACTTTCATTGTAATGAAAGTAAACGTAATAGGAAAGAAATGTGAAGCAGTAAAAATTAAAATTCTTACTGCTTAAAAAAGATAAAGTATCTAAATTAAATTATTAAATATCTGCCACATTATTTAGTTTGGAAAATTTAAATTTATAAATCAAACTTTTCTAAAGAGTTTGATAAGCATTTTAACATTCATAAAAAAAATCACATATGTATATTAATTAACTTACTGAACTTATTAATTCTAATTAATTAATAATTTAACCATACACTATCATATCTTATTATGTATGTAATTTTATTATGGTATTGTATATAGATATTATGATATTATATCGAACAGGACAAACTGAAATTCCATGTATTATATTTTTAAAATTTAAAATTATATTATAAATTGAAGACCTAGATATTCTCATCTCTGCCTACACTCATTCTCTGATATTTGTTTTGCCTACTGCCCAACTCTTCAAATCATATAACAGTCTCGCCATATTGTGGAACTTAACTTTAAGTCTCGTTAGAGTTCTCTTCTCACATATAACACCTGATAATTTTCTCCACTTAAACCTATATTTCTCATTCTCATAAAAGCTACGGTTCTTTTGTACAATGGGTCCTAGGTACTTGAAACTCTCAACCTCGCATATAGCCACTTATTTTCTTTAATTCGCCGTAATCTTCCAAACTCATAAATACTCCTTTGTTTTATTTTTTCTTATCCCTAGGTCCTTTCTTTCAAGGATTACTCTTCATTCCTCAAGCCAATTGTCAATTTATTCCAGATCATGCATTGTAGTCCTCTTGCATCTCAAGTACATTCGAGATCAAACTTTTCACCAAAGTCTCGTTTAGAAGTCCTCATATTGTTTGACAATATTTTATACCAGCTCTAAACCTGATGCTACGACATTTGTTGCCTCTTATGACAGGTAGAATTTACCGTGTATTTATTCTAATCTCCATTCAAAGAGTATGGTTTTTTCTTCTATAAAAGTGAATTCATCTACCCTATATTTGAGGATTTATAATTTTTTACATTATTATTTTGTCATACAGTTAAAATTAATATATAACATTAAATATTAGATAAAATTAAAACCTTTTGTACTAACCAAAATAATGTGATATTATCAAAATAATAGTAATTAATTAAAGTCAGGAGAATAAAAGTTTGGATAAAAAGTCCTTAAAATAAAATTTGTATCATATTATAATATACACACTGAAATAAAAAAATGTACAAACAATTATTAATTATATTAAAATAATAACCTTTTTTTTTTTTTTTATTAAAAATATAAATTAAATTTTTTTCCCTGATATGACAACATAACCTTATGTCATTTAAAAATTCATCAACTGTGATTTCGTCCTCATAAGTTTTCGATATTAAGTTGTTTAAACTAAACTTTTTCTCTAGAAAGTGGTTTAGTTTATTCTTTGCTAATTTGCCTAATTCACAAAATGCTATTTTTGCTTTATCAGTCCCTATTTCAGCACAAAATTTCTTTGAGTTTCCAGATAGTCTAGTGATCATTGCTAATTAAATGTGAAAACTAATTATTCCAAATCTCCTAAATAATGTTGGTTCAGTGTTTTTTTGTTATTATTGGTCAAATATCTTATTTTATAAAAATATAATAATTTTATCTTACAGATTCTTTGTCTGATAATCAATAAACATATCCAGACTTTTTATTTACATTTTTATAAAAAGGATTTTTTTAATCAAAATGACGATCTCCCCCATTATTTATACATAATATTTATGTAATGTTCTATGTACTATTCGCATTATATTATTAAGCACTGATTTTAATTTACTTCTTTTTTATTTTAGGTAATTCAAGAATTAAAAAAGTTTGGTGGAAATAAGAATGAAGCATTGGCCTCTTTATTCTCCAAAGCAATAAAGTTTTGACAGTTGTCAGTGAATTTATAAAATATGATTATGTATTCTTCCCTTTCGAGACTGTTTTAATATATATTTCAATAAATTTCATTTGTATTTTTTTTAATTTTTACTTGCATCTTTAAAAAAATTGTGTGGTTGACTTTATGATCATTATTATTTGAAGTATACATAATTTTAATATAGGTTCCTTTAAAAAGAAATTCATAATTATTTTATAAAAATTGTGTTAAATCAAAAGATTTTAATATTTTTTATTGAATCTTATATATTATTTTATTTTAAATGCACTTTTCTAAATTATTTAGTTTGGCAATTATGAGTTTTTTTATATTCCTTAGTAATAAGTTTTATCGCTGGTATCGTGTTGATTTTATATTAGAGACTGTATTTATATTGTGAAAACTATTTGTCTAGTATTTTATAATCATTAGAGGTAATAAGTTTTTTTTTTTTTTGTTAATGTTATTATTGTAAACTTTTAAAATATTAACAATTAAGGTAAGGTTTTGGATTATTGAAAACAGTAATATGTTAAATAATTAGTAGTTTCTTCATTACCTAAAATATTGTGTTCAAAAAATTGCGTGAAATTATAAAAAAAAAAAAAAATACACTACTTATAATCATATATACATATTATTTTTTATTAATATTACCCTTAAAATTGTAGTATAATGAAGTAATCAAAATATCAATTTATATTATATGTACATTATAAAGTATTGAGTTGGTATAAAAATATATTCATAAATTGTATTATATATTTGATTTTATTCTACAGCAAGATTAGTTGCATAAAATGAAATAAAAAGAAAATTAAATGCTAGATGTCTTAAAAAGGTATACTATACCCATTGCAATATTTTAGAAGTGATAACTTTTTTCAGATTTTATTTTTATTATATTATAAGAACTAAGTAGTTCTAAAATGTTACACCATCATTATTATTTATCACCCTTATTTTTGGGGGTGAAATAGCTACCTACTTTTGATTTTCAAATGGCACTGGTATTATAAATTCCACATTCAGATTGGAATATTAGTTTAAATACATTTTAGTATAGACATTTTTGATCTTTGTTATCAAGTATTCAAGTATTTCTGTTTAGTCTTAATAATTTTATCCATAAAGTACCTACAGAATAAAAATTTCGTAAAAACTAGCAAAATTTAAATGTCTATAAATAGCTCAAAAAAGAGTCAAATGTTTATACAATTTTAACAAGTATAGAAAAGAAAAATATAATTTTTCTATACAAATTTCAAGTCTACAAACATTTTTAACAGAATTACAACATAACATCAAAATTAAAAATAAAAGCATTGTTTTCTTAAATTTTCTTGTTCTTTCTATATTCTTTTTAGGTTTTACATAATTAAAGAGCTACGAGAAAAAACAATAATTCAAGAAGAAAAAAAAATATGATAATTACATCTTGTCATTTGTTTCTGGCCAAATTGATATGTGAATTGAGTTGGAGCTTAAAGATCACAGTCAATGATATAACAAAGGTTTAATAAGGTTTTAATATAGTTCTGAAGTTTATAACTGCAATGCTGAAAATTTAGGAATATTGACTATTATCGTTTTTTTCCCATAACATTTCAATTATTAAAAAATTAAATAAAAACCAAAAAAATACTTTCTAACTCATCAACTAGATAATATAAACCGTCCAAATTTTAAATAATGAAATCATAATGTAAATCTATCACTCAGTATTCATTTTGGTTTTTCCTGGTTTAAATAAAATATTCGGTTTTATTTTGTGGTAAAGAAATATAAAAAAAATATTCGTCGTCTGCTGTTCATTTATAGTTTATTTTTTTCTTTTATAATTTATTTTATTATATTAAATATTATACTTAAAAAAATAATTGACATGTTTGGATTATACAAATTAGAACACAGTTATTTTGTTGTTTCTGCAATAATTTGATTACCTAAATTAAATTTATTTCACTTATATTGTAGTAATATATCAGGATCTATAGAATTATAAAAAAAAAAAAATAGAGAGATAATATGTCAGGAGGACTAAGCCCCTGGACCCCCTGGATTCGTCCCTGTTACCTAAATTTTGAACATTAGATAATTTAATAAGTAGGTAGTAGGTAAATAAATGCTAGCAACACTATTTAGTATTTTATTGTCCATCTATGGTCATTAAACTAAATACAACATATAGAGTTCAATGTCTATAGCATAGAGTTAGAACACTCTAGTCTTTAGTTCGCAACCAGTGTCACTAGATTTTAGGATTTTTCTTTTTTCCAGGGATTTTTGAATCTTAGCAAGATTTTAATTTTTTCATCGATTTTCGAGGATTTTCAAAAAATAATGCTTCGTTTTTGTTTTCATAGTATTGTAATAAGTAATAACACAGATTATATAAAACATATATGTCATAATCTGTGGTTATATCATTATTAATATTATCATAAATACTAAAAAAGAGACACCAAACTGTGTATATTTTTTTTTTTTTTTTTTAATATAAAAGTAGTTCCAAATTAGGACATTAAGTGGTTTTTATCATTACAATCTAAATGATAAAAGTTAATGTGAATTATTACTATAGAACATTGTTTTAACTGCTTTAAAACCAAATTGTTCTCGATCGATTAGATGTATTTCCAAGAAAATACAACATCTACACTAAGAGATAAAATTGTTACAATACAATAATATATAGGTACAATAATATTTGCAGCCACTATCTTCCGGTGTTCGGTACAAGGAGCTGCGCTACTGATATAAATGTATGTACGTGTAAACGTGATCCGAATCTCTGAAATCTGAATCAATGTACCAATGATTTTAAAGATTTAATGAAAATAATAAAGAATAATATAGATGCATGTCTATGCAGATGTCTGTATAAAATACTATAAATGTACAATATTGCAAAATAATATCAATGATTGAAGTAGGTATATTTCAATTTAATATCATTAATCAACCTCCTCCCTTCCCTGGGAAAATTATTTGAAAAACTTCTATTAAAACACCTTCAAAATATCTCAGAAATAAATAAAATCATTCCTAACACAGTACGGCTTCCGAACTAACCATTCTACTATTCACCCTCTACATCGCCTTACCGATGCCATCTCATCTTCTCTTGAACCAAAAAAATACTGCTCGGGTGTCTTCCTCGACGTCGCTCAAGCTTTTGACAAAGTATGGCACAACGGACTAAATACACTAAACTATAAACTCCATAAACTAAAAACAAACTTTCCAACCCCATATTATTTAATACTCAAATCTTATCTCACTCATCGTTCTTTCCAAGTAAATTTAAACAACTCAATTTCAGATCAATATATGATTAACGCCGGTGTGCCCCAAGGCACCTTGGAGAAGTGACCTTTCTCCTCTCTTATATCTAATTTACACTGCAGGTATACCTACATCCTTTTTCACCATTCTCAATACTTTTGCTGACGACACTTGTATCTTAGCCTCCAATTTTGATCCCATAATAACAAGCTTCAAACTCCAACACCACCTTAACATACTCGAAAACTGGTTCACACTATGGAAAATAAAAATTAATACAAACAAATCTAGCCACATTACTTTCTCCCTTCGCCCGAACAATTGTCCTCCAGTCAAACTTTGCAACCAATTATTACCTCAAACCAACCAAGTTAAATACTTAGGGCTCATTTTCGACAAACGATTAACTTGGACCACATATTTGACAAAAGAAACTAAACTCCAGATTACATCTACTACGNATTATGGTATTCAAATTTGGGGTAATGCCGCCCCAAGTAACATACAAAAAATCCAATCATTTCAATCCATCTGCCTTCGCACTATTACAAAATCCCCCTGGTATGTAAGTAACGAAACCCTTCACTCAGACCTGAGAATAAATTACGTAAACCAAGTCACTAAAACTGCTTACCAAAAACTCCACAAAAAATTTAGCTCCCATAGTAACCCTAACATTAGTTATCTTGCTTCACAACACATCCCGGACAACCCCCCACGAAGACTTAAACGAAAATGGGTTAGAGACCTTCTCCATTAATAAATACCCAAGTAGGTAATACCCAAGAAGGTAGCTCCATTGGGAGCCCTCCTACATCGTGCCATTTTCATGTTATGTAATCCTTTTCATCATTATTACTTGTTGTGCTTAATTTTATAGTTGTATATTTTATTAAATAAAAAAAATATTATTATAGTATCAATGTTCAATTAATTAAAAAAAAAACGTGTCTTTATTATTTATGAATCTTTTATAATCGTAGTCACTTTTACATGATTCTTTTCGCAATCGAACTAACCAAACTTATGGTTATGATTAATAGAGATAAACTAATAAACTAAGCACAAAAGCTGCCGTGTACAAGGAAATAGTCAAGTAGGTATTATTCTTGTATACTAGTGGATATTATTAAATTAATAAAAATTGTTTGCAGGAAATCTGATGATTTTTCGGTTGACTGACAAAAAAACGATGATTTTCAATTAATGTTACAAGATTTTAATAATTTTAATCAGGCTACACTGTTCGTAGCATTTTAGGTTAGTAAAAATATATGAAAAGATAAACTTTTGTTGCTACCGTGAAGTGTACTGAAATGTATAAAATTTCAATTTCAATCACAACAGTCATAAGTTTCTAACGAATCTTCAAAATGGTAAGTGAAGTGTTCAATATTACTACCTATTATTTTATTTTATTAATAATATAAACGCAAAATATTGTTTGGTTAGGTTTTGTTACCTTTTTACGTCAAAACCACTGAACGGATTATGCTGAATTTTTGCATATATGTGGTTCTAGACTATAATTAACAGATTACTTTTTTTATCTCGAACTTACAACTAAAGAGGGTGAATAGTGTTAGTTGTATTTTTGGTACCATATTCGAACTATAATTGTTGATTTATGAGTTACCTTGGTGATATTAATGAAATTAAAAAAATTAATGATACGGCGGTTTATGTAAGGGCCATTTGTGAGGATACATGCATAGTTCATGGTTGGATTATATATCTATATAACATAGGCAATGCGGGACAGAATAGCTAGTAAATAATATAGTTCTTCCAGATGTTTGGCTCGAGGAGCTTTACTGACCTAACCTAACCTTTTTTTCTTTTAAAGTTTAAGATCAAATTTGGATAAAAATATTTAATATTATTTTCTTTCAAACCATGTATAAACAAACTTCACTCAGAATCGTTTGTTAGCAATGGTTTATCATTGCTTACACATATAAATTACATAACTTTATGTATCCTACCTACGAATCGGCAGTATCAGCTCTAGTTAGGTTTTACATTGTTAAAAATCCAATTGTGTTTGTATAATATAGGAAATATTGTATCGTTAAAATTGTGAAAAAAATATAATTACGTAGGATGGGGGTAATAATAATTTATTAAATAGGTATTGTATTACATGTGAAATTAAGTCAAGTTACATAGTAGGTATTCCTATAATGGCTTTGTTAATTTTCTTAAAGAACTAATAAATTTTATATTAACATGTACTGTTTAATAAAATCTAATAATTTATTGTACATAGTTAGGAAATACACATTTTCCAAAAAAAGAATCACCTGCAGACCTACAGAACAATGATGATGAAAAAGAATTGCCTGCATCTGAAAAATCACTTTTGCAAAAGATTGTCCGCACAGGTCTTGTAACATCCAAACATGACATTGAGGTGCAAAGGCGTGATCCAAAATCACCACTGTATTCAGTCAAATCATTTGAGCTTCTTAAACTGTATGTTTATTTATATAATTTTAAATTCTATTATTCTAATATGTGTATTTATATACTATAGTTTTATAGTTGATTTTTATTAATTGTATTATCTTTATGTGTAGTTTACACAAAAATTGTTTAAATGTTTTCAATGGTTTTTTGTATATTTTTTAGCCATCCAAGTTTGCTTAAAGGAGTTTATGAAATGGGATATAATGCACCATCTAAAATTCAAGAAACAGCATTACCTTTACTCTTAGCCAATCCGTAAGTATATAATTTAAATATTGTGTATAGGGAATTATTATATTTACAAGTAATTAAAAGTTTTTATACCTACACCTATACATAAAACAAATTTATTTGAAACATGATTTATTTAATCCTATCATAACTTTTGTAATATTATACTGCTTAGGTATATTTACTAAATAATTATTAATAACTAGGCACTTTATTATCTCTTGTATAAATGTGTTTTAAAAGGTAACATTCCTAGGTAAACATCACTGTTCATCATATTATTAAATTTTAAAATATGTATATTGTACATTAAATGAAAATATAAATGAATAATATTTTTTTGTAATTTTTGATACAAAATGTAGATAAAACCTGAATTTTTACTTGACTCATAAAATAATATTGGAATTGCTTATACATATCCAATATAATTTAATTATTTCATTTTTAACATTTAAATCTTATTATTTGTGTTTCAATTGAATAAAATATAAGTAAAGTTTATGACTTACAACCAACTAAAATAATATTATTTAGAAGAAAAATGGTAAAATTATTTTACAATAATTTATTGTGTATTTTAGTCCTCAAAATTTAATTGCACAATCACAGTCTGGTACTGGAAAAACTGCAGCATTTGTTTTGGCTATGCTAAGCAGAGTAGATCCGACATTGCATTATCCACAAGTAATTATAACTATTGAAATTTAAAATACTTAATAAATAGCTTAATCAAAACTTCATTTGTTTAGGTAATTTGTTTGTCTCCCACATATGAATTAGCTATTCAAACAGGTGAAGTTGCAGCAAAAATGTCAACTTTTTGTGCAAACATTAAGCTTAGGTACGCTGTCCGTGGGGAGGATGGTATGTAGTTTAATATATTTAAAAACTAGTTTTAAATACTTATACATACAAACATTTCATTTATTTTCAGTTGAAAAAGGTTCCAAATTACAAGAACAAATTATTGTGGGTACTCCTGGTAAAGTATTAGATTGGGTAACTAAGTATAAATTTTTGGATCCCAAAAAGATAAAAGTATTTGTTTTGGATGAAGCTGATATTATGGTTGATACTCAAGGTCATCAAGATCAATGTTTTCGTATAAGAAAGTAAAAAAATAGATAAAATATTCATATTTATGTTTGAAATTTAAAATGAAATTGTTTTTAAGGGTACTACAAGAATCATGTCAGATGATGTTTTTTTCTGCCACATACACAGAAAATGTTATGAGATTTGCTAATGCTATTGCTCCTATGTCAGTTATTATAAGATTAAAACGTGAAGAAGAAACCTTAGATAATATCCGTCAATATTATGTTACCTGTAACACCAAAGAAGATAAATATAATTCTTTAGTTAATATTTATGGAGGAGTCACTATTGGACAAGCAATGATTTTCTGTCAGGTAAATAAAATATACATGTTATTTATTTTAACTTGCATAGTTATTATTTAGTAAGAACAAAAGTAATTGATATCAATTCAATTTTGATATTTATTGTTTTGAATAGACCATAAGGTACCTATATTTTTCGTATTAAGTTAAACTTTTTTTTTTGATCCACATTTTGAAAATCGTATTCGAAAAGAGAATACTTTTCTTAACATTTTGATACGCAGATCATTAATACATATCAAATATTAGTGTTATGCTTGTCAACATTTGTGGAAAAGAATTATCTTTCGAATCTGAAGTAAAGAATATGGGTTGTTATTTGAAAATCAAAAGTTATTTATAATATAAGCATATTATAAGAAAGAATACAATTTGAAATTGAATCTAAAGTTTCTGTATCATTATTATTATTATTATTAGTATTCCAATACTATATTTGATACTAACTTCAATGAAATTATCAGTTAATAAAATATTATTTCAATAGAAATTACAATTTATGGGTATTCTTTAACTTAACATATTTTAATTAAATCAAAATTATTTTTTGATCCATTTTGGATATAATTCTATTAAAATAAAATAAACTTATGATACATTAAGTGTATAGAATATATAATTATTACATAATATGTGGATATTTAATTTTTAAATGACATTCTTATTATAATTATATAATTTTTATTTAGACAAAAAGTATGGCTCAATGGCTTGTAACTGAGATGATTAATCAAGGACATGCTGTGGCTTTATTGTCCGGGGAACTTACTGTCCAACAAAGAATATCTGTTTTGGATCGTTTTCGTGAAGGAAAAGAAAAAGTTCTTGTCACTACAAATGTATTATCTCGAGGTAAATATTATTATTCTTTAAGGTTTATAGGATAAACTATTATGTATATTAACTGTATCTAAACTATTTTATTATTATTTTAGGTATTGATATTGAGCAAGTTACGATTGTTATAAATTTCGATTTGCCTGTAACAGTCTCTCGTGAGCCTGATTATGATACATACTTACACAGAATAGGACGTACTGGTCGCTTTGGTAAAAAAGGTATTGCCATTAATCTTGTGACTGGTGATGGTGATTTTAGAATATTAAAACAAATCGAAGAACATTTTTGTAAACCAATTGAATGTTTGAACACAGACAATGCTGATGACATGGAAAAGTTGGGAGCAACAGATTAGGTTATAATTTTAATTTCAACATATTTAAGTATAAATAAAAATGATTAATGGGGGTATCATTAAAAGTCTGAAAGTAATATTGACTTTATACAATTTTTTAAATTTTGTATGTATTTTATTCAAATTCAGTTTAAGATAAGAAACAAAATATCTTAAACAATTATTCTTTAATGTTTTCACTGTAAATATAAAATTACATAATTATATTATATTGTCATGTAAATATTTTTTTTTTATTATTTTGATAATATTATTCCATCCAATTATTATGTACAACATAAGGAAACACAATTTGTTTATATTACACACATTTAATTATAAGTAAGTTTTTTGTTGTACATGATTTTACATTAATAGTGACATTATTTTTCTAGTTTTATTCAAATATGTACATATTTTGTTCTCTTATAAACCAATATTTCTAGATCTTATAATCATGAAAATAATTTAAATTTATATAATTGAATTGAATTTTTATTGGGAATGGTAAAATCAATTAAAACTAAACGAAAAAAAAATATTCCACTTTTTAAGTTTAGATAGGAAGAGAGTAGTGAAATACTATGAAAATGCTATTCTCCATACATCAATACAAATAATACTTTTTAGATTGTTATCTTTAGTATTTTAAAATAGAATAACACAGAAAGTTTTCATTTAAATATGATTACAATACTTCAAAATTTTCAGAAAAATCAAGTATTTCAAAATATTGGCTTTAACTATACTTCAAACATCACTCTGTAGGTATATAGTATATTAATGTTTAATTAATAATTATTAGATAACTGTGACTTTGACAGTCGTAAAGTTTCCTACTTGTGGCTTTAGACCAGAAGTTCTCAAACTTTTAATTTCGCGTGCCACTTGTATTTATTATGGATCTGTCACATACCATGTAAAACTAAAAATTAAACAATTAATAATGTTTTTACATTTATTTCAAAACGATAAGAGTATAATAGACAGTAAGGTACTTCAATATAATATATAAAATATAGTATTTTATCCATTAAAAAATATTTGTATGAATTAATTAATTATATTAATTTATTTTTCATTCTGTTAGGCCACGCGCCCTTCTGTATACCACCATGTTGCCTGTCACATACAGTTTGAGAACCGCTGCTTTAAATAGTTACAGTGGTTAAATTCTAAACTAATTTTGTATGATAAACCACCAGTATATTAAAAAATGGTACCTAATAATCAAGGTCAGAGTTTGAAAGCACAAGATTTCTCCCGCTGGTTTCTATAAGAGGAGCTGTAATAGCCATAATATTTGCTTCACATTAATGATAAATAATTAATGTAATGGTTATTAGTGTACTATGTCAAACTAGTATTCATTGTCAACCAGCATTATATACCACTATTCTCAGTACTCAATAAATAAGACAAATGTTTTTAGTTCAACGTCCAGGTTATTTTACTGTTTGTCACTAAATGAAGTTTATTATTTTTGGCATGGAAATATCAAAGAATTATAGTTTTTATTAAGTTAGGTAAATTATTATTATCTAAATGACTAAAAAAAAAAACCAAACAGCTTATATAAATCCACTTTAAGTGAGTATGATTTTTACTTCACAGATATCATCGATATGGATGCATTATTGAGCAAAAATTTAGAGGTCAAATATTAATATTAATTGAAACAAAACTAATAACGTATAAATATATATTATGTGTAATGCATTGATTAATACTATAGTTACATAAATAATGTAATGCATAATTTATAAAACAATAAAAACAACTTATCAAAGCATTTAAATATTTTAAATTCATACTATTTCAATATTAATAAACTGAGTGATACTGTGCAATGTTTTTTGTAGAATTATTTGATTATTGTCTAGAATAATAGTTTTAAGTGATTCACATTTTGTTAATTCCTTACACGAAGTTTCTTGAATTTGATTTTCTCTCAAATCTAAAACTTCAAGACTCGGTAGAGCTGGAAAATTGTTTAAATTAATAAGTTGACAATTCTTCAATGACAAATTTTTGCACATTAATAAATATTTTAAATGACTTAAATTACTATTTGATAAATTATTATCACTTAAATCAATGTTTTTGTGAAATAAAAACATATGCATATGATAAAATGCAGTTAAACCAAGTCCTTTTAAATGTACGGTGTCAGTATTATTATTATTAGCAATCCAATATTCAATTTGGTACCGGCTTTCAAGATCATTATAGTAATTTTTCCTTAATGTGTCTATTACTTTTAACAATTTTATATTTTTGAGACAATTTTCAATATAGTTGTTTAATTTTAATGTGTGAAGAAGTAACACATAAGTAAGTAAAGCCCACTTGCTTTCTGGTTCCATACTTAACAATTGACGCAAACTGTCAACTTGTGCATTCAAAACAAGTCTAAGTTGTTCACTTATATTAAGTTGAAATATATCTTGCCGAATATTATCCATCAATATTCCATCTATTACTTGATTAGTTTCATCAATAATCTCTACGCTATTAATATCCAAATTGTTTACATTTGTATACCATATTTTTGGATCTAATTGTTCCCAATTATTATTTCCTAATCCTTTAATTTTATAATTATTTGGTAAACTCTTATTAAGTACAAGATAAATTTTGTTTTTAATTTGAGAAACTTTGTAAATATACTTGGATGGTTCTAGTTTTCCAATTAGCCATCGTTGATATATCCAAGCACTTTGATCGGAAGGATCAGTGAATGCTGCGCTTTCAACCAATGATAGTTCTGATATTTTTGTACTTTCTTCATCTTTCCCTGCAGCGCTAAAAAGTTTGGATCGATAATGCCATGCAGAATAATTAGAAAAATTTGATTCTATCATTTCCATAGTAAACTGCAGTTCATTTTCATGTGGCTCTTGGCATTTTGATGCAACAATTTGTCTGTAATCCCAGCAATGGAAATTTCTTTCATCCATTTTCAAATATTTTGTACACAGTGATAATTCTTTATTCCAATCCGCACTGGAATCTATATTATCTAATACCCAGTTCCGATGGTACCATGCAGAGTATGATTTAGGGTTTACTTGTAAACATTTTTCAGTTAAATAAAGTTCATCATTTATTATTTCTTTTGAAGGATTCAAATGTAATAATATATCTTTTCTATAATTCCATAAAGTAACAATATCAGGATTGGCTCTTAAGAGTCCTTCAGATGATTTTAAGGCAAGCACATCATATTCATTACGAGTACGACGATTAAATACATCATTGATACTTTGTCGATAAAACTGAAGTTTTTTTTCCTTTTCTCGTTCTGCAGCAGCTTTCTGTGCTTCAGTAGTATGTACTTTTTGTCGATTATGCATATTTCATATAATTAACCTAATTAACAAAGTATGACAAATTATTACTATAATAAATTTTAAACAGTTAGCTATCTAAATGGTACCTAGTACCTACTTAATAATTTATTTTTAGTTATGAATTATATTTGTTAGCCTAAATGTTTATATTAATAATTGTACAATAATTAAATTTCTAAGATTTTCAATTTCTCCTCAAATCCATCTATTGTGATCTTATTTGTCACGTACTGAAGTATGATTCAGCCCTTTGGGACCCTTAACTCTTCAGTTATCTAAAGAAAGTTCTTCATGAACAACATTCTCTGCTCATCTTACGGCCATTCATCAGTCCTGTTTGTAGTGGACCTTTCAATACTCACTATTTGGAAGCACTTCTCAAACTTTCACTACCTCTTCAAATTTCTATACAATCAAATTGATTTTATTTTAGAGTTTCTTCACACCACGCCTGTTCTTTTGTTTCTTTTTATCACTCATCTTCCTAACAATGACTTCTTATTTCATTTCTCTTAATAAATAAATTATGTACGATAGTATTCAGTAACATACAAGTTGAGCAAAAAAAGGATCAACTGTTCAGTTACGTTCGTATGGAAATTATAAAAAATGAATTGCTCTTACCTTATTAATTAAAATATTAAACACTAGTAGAATTAAAACATAAAAAAAAAAATGATGACATAATATTTTTATTTTAAATGTAATATAAAGAGCATTATTCTTAGGGCCAGTACAGTGCTCGGTTAAACTGTGATTAAACTATAATCAATGATTAAGATCTTTGTTCTGTTGTATAGTGCCCGTTAACTCCTTATTTGATCATTGGTTATATGTCGGTTAGTTAACCACCAGATCGAGTCCGGTTAAACTCCAATTAGTTTGTGGTTTTTATCATAGTTTCTGTTATCATTTTTATTAACCTACATAATATTTTACGTAATTACAAACAAAAAATGGTGATTGTTATTCAAATAATCTGCCTTTAAATTTAAGGACTATTATTTGAATATAAAATATGTATTTTGACTTCGACGCATATTTTATTTAAAACGAATGGGACATTGTAGATGAAGAATTTGACAACATTGCCGTACTTATTGCATTTCCTAGAAGGAAAACAATTTTTAAAACTAGAGTGGACTATTTTATACTATAGAGAGACAATAAGTTCTTTGATAGATTTCGTTTATCGAATAATACAGTATTCTTTTCTATGATAAAGAGTATTAAGTATCAGTTTTCTGAAAACTGAGATTATTTTATTTGGTTACTGATGAGAAAATAATTTACTACTGTTAGCACATGTTAAAAATTTAACTTAATTTAGGTAGTGGTTTAGATAACTGTAATATTTATTACTTAAGATTTTCTTATAAATTTGATATTAAAATTTAAAAAAATAAAAATTTACATTACAGTCATTACACTCAATTTTTTTTTATCACGAAGTACGAATTATAATGAACCTCTTGTTAAATTTACAAGCATTTATGTTTGGTTTAATAATTTTATATACCGAATAAAAATTACCTAAAAAACTCGTAGAATTAAAATGTCTATAAATAGCTCAAAATAACTAAAATGTTTTGAAAATTTCACCACGTCTAGAAAAGGAAAATACAAGTTTTCTGCCAAAATTTAAAGTCTCCTCAAATTGAATTACAACAAGAAAACGAAATTGAAAATAATAAATTTATTATTTTCGTTAACTCGCATATTAACACATATATTTCGTATTATTTAATTTTCTCAATTATTAGTAAAAACATTTTAGGCATAAAAAATGATTTCATCAGTGGCGAAATTTAATCAAGAATAAAATCGATCACTTATCATTTTTGAATTGGAGCGATATTTCTAGTAGAAAACATCGTGTTAACATTATAAAGCAATGAAAACGATAACGTCGAGGCGCGCCGTAAGTACCTATTTGCTATTTTACCTATAATATTCTTTCGGGTTTTTCCTAATTATTTCGAAAACCCCTTGGAAAATCAAAAGATGACCTCCCTAATGTACCAGCTAGAGAAAATCGCCTTTCAGAAAAGGTGTTATAGTCTATACTTTGAATCAATTTTTCTCGTAGACAGAGACAGACAGAGAAAATACAAAAATACAAAAACACACATCATAATAAAAGTAATATTTAGAGCCCTCATTACGCTTTGAATCCAAAAGATAAATCCGCTCGACATCGTCAAATGAGGTTACTTACACCTCTATCTCACAAATGTTGAACCAAACGTAAAAAAGTTGGCTTTAAATCACCTAGCACAACCATCTGATTATCTGACTAATCTACCTATACAACTATTTCAAACAATTTCAACTATCCATTTAAATCATATTCAATCATTATATTTACATTTTATATTTATTATTCAATTATACTTTTCACGTATATTATATTAAGGGGATGGGGTGCGTTGACAAATATTTTACTTCTCAGGAGGGGTTGCAGTTTTAAAAAAGAAAGATAACCACTGCACTAAATAATATAGTTGGATTCGTAGAACTATAAACTAGTTCATATGAACATAGCACTGATACAAGCAATAATAGTTTTCGGCAGATTACGGTTTTTTGTGTTCCGTGCACGATTAAAGATATCACAAATAATCGTGGTTTCAGGTGAGTACTGATTACTGATATGACTGCACTGAATACTGACGCGAACACTCGCGAAACTCATACTGACGCACAGGATGTCGGTATCAGTAATTGGTGATTTATTTACACTGTAGGTGGAAAACGCTATAAGATAATACGGACTGGTAATCAAATATGCGGTTAGGTCAAAATTTAATATTGACTCTTTTTGGCGGGAGAAATTGTGAAGCTGAAACCTGTTGGACAAAACTTCAAAATTAATAATAATAATAAAAAAAAAAAAAATTATGAAACGTAAGTTTTGAAAGACAAGTGATAACTGATCGAGTAAAATATTGTAAATAATGATTGGAAACTGTGTTAAACTTGTAATGAAATTATAAAAGTTTGTATGAATACTTTGCATAGGTTAATAAATTTATTGCTTGATTTTCATCTGAAAAATTCAAATTTTACTTTTTAACTTTTACAATATAATAATTGATCATAATGTCTTTTTACCTATTTTTATTATTTGTTTTGTGGACAATATTAAATTTGTCATCAGATATAATTATACTTTTTAGTTTTCTTCGTACTATTTCACCAACCAATTAAATAATCATATCGTTAATATCTCATTCTCTCGTTTAAATTATGTTATTAGTATTAATGATATATCATGCGATACTATCTACCGTTTACCTATGGTAAACCACGACCTATCGTTGGTGAAATACAATTTGTTTTAATCCATAAGCATCTATTATTAAGCGGGTTCCAAAGTCGAACCTTTCTTTTGGGTTCCTTCACCGTGCACTACTACTTAAAAAATATTTTTTTTTGAGCCTCACATCGTACATTATTGTACATTTATTGCCTATCAGACGCCTTCAATTAAATTTTCACGCATTTTGAGAGTCCCTGCGCTCTCTTATCAAATATTGCTAACGGAACATTCGTCTGAGTCATGAACATATATGCGTCATTATTCTGTAATCACTTATCGGTAATCCATTTGATCATCGCATTGAGTAAAATTACTCAATGGGTCACCGTTACCGGTAGGCAACTGGCTTACTGGCAAATTAATTTCGACCAAAGTCAGCGTTGCCAGCTTAGATTATATACTATGGGTGGATCGGGCTATTGACTAAATATTTGAAGCAAACACAACTAAGGGGAGTTGGGACAAATGCGCATGCGCAAAATTTAAATCACGTGTGATGTACCTACCATCACTTCCTGGTGGTATTATAATGATTATACGATACATATGCGGCGAGTACTATACGCGTGCGCAACAGACATCAGTCCCCTTAGTACTCGTTAATAATGATGTCTTCAACTCGTAATACGCGTTTATCATGCAATAGATCTGTACATAGTACATGATCTAAGGTCGCCATCCTCCACTCTATTCATCCTAGATTACAGTCCGACAGAAATGTCGTTTGTCAACCAACGTACAAAGACGATATTTCCAAATATAAAACCCAAGGTGTATTGATATCAATACACATTGATAAAAACCAAAGAATTATTCTATCCACCTTGATCTGTTCTTTATCTTTTATCATTATAGACAAGTATAATCGTGCTTAAAAACAAATTTGATAATAGTCTACTCATTTATATGGGACATGGGTAAATATTATTAAGTCGAAACGTTAAAAATGTTTATTCAACCATGAAGTTTAATTTATTTAATTGTTTATGTAAAAAACAACATATTTTGAAATGTGAACTTCAAAGAATTTGATTTATTGCAGTCACAAACGAAAAAACAATGTTTGAATTTAATACTATACTTATTTGTATATTTTTTATCCTTTTGTATTCTTTAAAATGGTGAGTAAAGTATCAATTTGATTTCCACGATTCTTTAACTCATTAATGCTGTTAAACATAGGTTATTACCCAAAGCCATCAGTTTGTATCTTAAATACAAATATCATTTGAATGTGAAAATTGGCTCTGCTGGTATATTCTCATTACAAGATATAGTATTTCTAAAAAATGGTTATTCAGTGGTATAGTATAAGCAAACAACTTAATTGTATGGTAATACATTTTATTATTTATTTTTTTTGACAGCACATTGATAACATTGGTTTCCGCAGTAGCTTTATTAGCAGCGAAATTAATAAATTAGTATGTTTAGTTGCTCGCGATGTGAGAATTGAAAAAAATATTGAATGGAATGATTCTTCTATAGTAAAAGAAAACAAAATTAATAGCAAAATAGAAAATATATTGCCTATTATTATGAAATTTGCACAAGTACCTACATATATTTATTTTGGTAGTGTTGTGTAAAATATATTTATCATTTCTTTGTTTAGTTTTTAGCTGTTCGTATAAATCGAATATCCATAATGTCATTGCAGCCAAACAGCCCCGAATGGCTTTTTATAGTCTCAGTTATAAATCTTCATTTGGATGCATCGGTTATTGGTTCATCTAGACAATTATTAGCTAATGTTAATGCTCCATATGCTGAAGCCAAATTACTTCGTCATCCCATGAACCCAAATTCCTGTTGTTTAGCAAAGATCACTGTTAATATATGCGCTGAAAGTATATTGGATACACATGAACCTTTGTCAATCCAATCACTTAAGCTAAAATTAGACAAATCCAAAATTGTATTAAATAAAGGTTTATTTAGTTTTATACAAAACAATAGTTCTACTTCTGCAACTCATAGAACTAATAAAAATCAGGATAGTGTGAAGATGGCTGTAGAAGAAAACATTCCACTTATTATTCCACCTTTGATACCAAAGGTTAGTATTTAATCATTTAATTCACAATATTTATTTTAGAAGTATTTTATTTTATTTTAATCTTTTTGTAGAAAATAAAAATTAATTTAGAAGAATTAACTATTGTTGATGTAAAAGACAATTTAGTTACTGAGATGAAAGGAGAATTGAAGTCTTTGACTATAGACAATTTAATTATTTCTGATGATGGTGATCAGTTGTTAAAGCAAAGTAACATAATAATGAATATTATGTATAATTTATATGTATATATTTGATTGAATTATACTTATAGGTAATCTTTCGCTGAAAATAAATTTTGAAAATTTATCTTTAATCGGCCAAGAAGAAAAATTTGTATCATTAGAAAAGTTTTCATTTGAAGCTAAGGTATTAAAAATTAGTGTAAAATGAATTATTTTTTTTAAATTTATTTTAGTACCATAATCTTGTCTTAGCTATTAAAAAATATTAATTTTTAAATTAATTTTTTATTTTAGTACTTCAAAAAATCATTGAAACTAGATCTAAAAGTAAACAATGTATACACTTTGTATTCACATGATGATATTTTCCAATGGTATACTTCCTATACTGATCAAATATTGAAACCATATCAGGTACATTTTTATTATACAGGATTGCAAGGGCATCCACAGAAATTGATTGAAGGGGAAAATACTTATACTGACATTTACATTTTTATTTGTATCAACATTTTATGTTTAATTTAAAATCTTTATACACCTGGTTTATATGGTTGTTTTATTTGTTTAAAACTTGCTACAAGTCATAAATTATAATAAAACATAGTTTTATGGTCTGTCTCACTCCTTTATCAGCTGGGTATTCCTTCTATATTCTGAAGTTTTACATGTCTTTCTGTAATAAATTACCACCTATGGCATCTTCATTCACAGTCGAGTGTTTCATTTTGATTGAAGTACTCGATACAATCTCATCCTTATCCAAATAAGTTTCTCATTGCCACTGACTGACTCTGTCCTATCTTCAAGCTCTCTCCTCTATTGTCTTCAAATCGCAACCTTTCCCCTCTCATATGTGAATATGATAGTGATATCAGACATATTTTATATTCCTTAACAGAATCGGGTACTGACATTCAATTTATATTTATACCAGGCCACTCTGCAATTGCTGGAAATGAGTTTTTTGACAAGCTAGCTAAATCCTCTGCCTCCTACAGATGCCCTTCAAATGCAAAAAAATTCCATGGTCCGATTTTATCATCCTTAGGACTTGCACGTCTAATCTTTGGCTCAAACATCGGGGTTCACTCCTTCCTCATTTCACCACCTGGTACAAAAATATTTTTATGTTAAATAAACCATTCCAACACTACCCTGGTTCCACAACCTCAATATTTTCAGAAAATGCATAATTTCATTCTCCCATCTCCAGTTTGGCCACACATGTCTTCTAATTCCTTTAAACTGTCACTAAACGATTCCCCCACTGCACTCTCCACAACAATCCAATGGTTTGTGATATTAACCACCTACTCTTTATCTGCCTCAGTCTAGTAACACATTGTAACCACCTATTGTCTTTTTTGAAAGACAATATACTGACAATATACCTTTCAACACTATAAATATTTTCTCTAAACAACAAAAAAACACCATATTGAATATATTATCTTCTTTAACCATACAGGCTTTTTAATTTAGTATTTATATTGTTATTATTATTTTTGTATTCTACCTCTATATTATTTTTATTTATTGTTGAATCTAAATGTATCCAAACAATTTTAATAAAAAAAAAAAAAGAATGGCCTGTTAATTACTATTTAAATATTATGGATACATTTTTAATACTTTTTTTGACTAAAATGTAAATTAAAAGTTGATCATACAATTCTGACCATACTCCATAAAAGTATTTGAAATATTTATAAAATTGTAATTATTTTATTTAGTTAAAGTCAACTTCAGCTTTACCAATAAAGAAACCGTTACTATTAAAAACTAGTCCTATTGATGATATTAGTATTGATGTTTTGGTTCAGTTTTTGAATGTGACTACAACATTTAAACTTGGTACAGAATCTGCGTCTGTTAGTTTTAACAAATTCAAACTTATGTTGTCTTCTAATCCCATTATAAGTTTGTATTTACTATATTATAAATTTTACATACACAAACAAATTGATGTTGATTAATGTTATATATTTATTTTGATAGAGAATGAAAATTGTATAAAAACTTATGTTAACTGGCCAATTGGGTTGTGTAACAGAAAATGGTCTAGTGACTTGATGTTAGAAACTGTGCGTTGTTGGTTAAAACCATTTACAAACACTGAGTATAGCCCCGGTATGAAAAAATGTCATTCTTGGGGTACACCCTTGTTCATTGGTTTGGTTTTAGTACAGGTAATTTACATAAATCATTTTTAAAACTAGTGAATTTATTCAGTTTGATATTAATACCTAGGTTAAAAATACTGTTTCGTCAAATGTGCCTAAACTTAATGTTTTACTTGATACTGTACGCTTAGAATGGAGTCCTCCACTTTCTGGATTCATAGTGAAAGCTCATAATTCCTTACAACAGTAAGTTGAATTAAAATTAAGATACAATACATAATATGTTATGAAATAAATGTGTATTATTTTTGTCATTTACTTGTTTAAGAAATTGTGTGATTAATCATGTTTGATTATATTCAAAATAAATAATGATGTATATTTATAATTTGTTTTAATAGAATTTTTGTTGTTTTGGAAACAAATATGAAATCTAAAGATGATCAGTGTGATAATACAGAAGAAGAAAAAAATACAATACATGAGACTATTACAGCTAGTGTGTCATTAACAAATGCAAATATTTTCCTTATAACAGATAAAAAAAGTTTGTTTTTAATTTTGTAATTATTTATTTGCATACATTCAAATTCAAACGATTTTGATAACAATTTGTTATTTGTGTTATTTTCAGTTTGTGTCCTAATAAGAATTGATACAATTTCTACAGAAATTGGAACTGCAAAATTAATAGCTGCAATTGAGGGTCTCAAATGTGACTCTTTAATACCAACTAAATATCATTATGTTTGCACATCATCAGATGATATTAAGGTATTTATTAATTTATTTTTTTTATTTAAATTTTATAAAAACAATTAAGGGGGTATTTATTTCTTATTATAAATTATTTTAATTTGGAGAAATCACAGTTGCATTAAAGTAAAACATTAATACAGAGTTGGTGGCTTCACATAAAAGCATTGAAAATGGAAAAAGTTGTTAAGACCAAAGAAATTTTAATTGAAATTGATGAAGTATTTGAATGTCGATGGAGTGCTAATGTCCACCTAAAGCTTTTAACTATATTTGAAGACATATCTGATTTTAAAAATCATTTGGGTAATATTACAATTTAAAAATTAATTTGTTTAAAATAAAATTGTGTAAGTATTTAGTATTTATCAATAATACATATATTTGTATGGACAATTTTATTTTTATTATAGGCTTAAGTACGTTAAAACATCCAAAGACATCAACCCTTTTTAATATTAAATTGTGTGTCAGATCAAAATTCAAACTATTAATGAAAGTTTCTTCTGCCCATTATTTATTATTTTCAACTGGTAAAATTTATACTTCAATATTTCATTATGCTTATAAATAAGACTACAAATACATTAATTATATTATAGATGATTTGATGTATATTAAACAAAATGGCAAGACACGTCATTTAGAAAGCAAGAATTTTAAAGTAGCTGTTGACCAATATAATATATTTACTGTAAAAGGTTTTAAGATGTTAAAAACTGATTTTAATAAAGAAGTTCAATATGAGAGACAAAATTCTGATGGGTTAACAACTGAAACAAATACTATTTGGTATAAAGACAAATTTTATTTTTGTATTTCCAATTGTTTTATTTAAATTTATTGTTTAATATAGGGATGTAGCTATTGAAAGCATAAAAATGATATTTCCATATAGCTTTGAGTTTTATAGTATTTTCCAAGGAGAATTCTTTAGTATTGTTAAATGGTTAAAATTGATTCATGCAAAACCAAAACCACAACCTGAACCTTTACCAAGTGATATAATTTTAAAAGTAAAATCAATTATATTTCAATTTTATTTATATAATATAATTAATTAATACTATAAATTATAGATACAAGAATTCCTCTTTGAATTAAGTGATGATGACTTTGAAGTAAAGCTCAGAGATAATTATGAATTGCTTGAAGATGAGTATAAAGAGAGTTTAAAACGGCAGAAAATGCTTGAAACCAAAGTATCCGAATTAGTCAAAGATCGTTTACTTTTACCAGCAGGCAAAGTTGAAGAGTTGTTAACTAGTTTACAAAAAATGAATGCTCAAATATATATACAACGTTCAAAACAAATGAAACAACAATCACCTGTACGAACTCGTTTATTTTCTTGGACTATGTGTGATCTTTGTATTATCATTTTGGCTGATGAGTCCATGCATGGACCTCAAAAAGTAGTCAATCATATATGTGAAATGGATGCAGATAGTATATGGCCTGAGGATGGATTAGTATTTTGTATACTCTGGTGTCGAATGATTTTTGCCAGTTGTGCTGAATGGAAGTTTCAACTCAGAGATTTTCCTCAGACTTGGCTTGATATTCGGAAATTACAACTTTGGGGGAAGTTGGCTGGTGCTGAACAAGAACCTAATCAAAGAGGTAATACATTTGCTATTATTGCTAATTTTTTTTATCTTCATTTTATTTCTACAATAACAGCACAACAGTATAATTAGTGTTCATATAATTTTAAATTTAAATTGTTATATTTTAGCTAAAAGAACTGTGATCATTGAATTGAGTGATCCATTTGGTAATAGTCCAATTGAAAGAGGGATGACTTCACTTAAATACTATTACGATTTTAATTGTGAAATTGACAAATATACATATTCATTTGGTCCTTGTTGGGAACCAGTCATTGCACAGTGCAAATTATGTATGTTACAAAAAATTTATTTATTTAAAAATTTATCTAAAAATATATCATTTGTAATTCATAGGTTTAGAAAAGGTATTAGGTTCCAGTAGAGATCCAAGTCCACCATTACCATTTTGGGATAAAATCAGGTTAATATATCATGGACGATTGACAATGATGGTTAATGAATTAAAAGTAAAGCTGCATGCATCTCTTGATCCATACAATACAACTGAAGAGATGGAATTAAATTGGTATAATACTGCAATGGATTGGACCAATGGTAAATTACATTTAGTATATGTTTTTCACATTATTATTTATTATTGTTTCCAATTTTTATTTCTAGCTAAATTCATTTTCAAAGGTCATTTAAAAGTACTTGTACGAACAGCTTCTAAGTATGACGATGTATGTTTATTAAGTCTTCCAAATTTAAAACTAGGTATTAAATTGAAATGGTCTTGTCTGGGGGATCCCAATGATCATTATTCAGTCATGCCTTGTGCTCCAGATAAATTGCCAGAATATTCTAGTAATCAAGTTAGTATATTTTATATTTTTTATTAATGGTATTCAAAGAATCATTAAAAATTCACAATGTCTTCTATTTGCGGATGATACTAAAATTTAAAACTCCAAGACGATCTAATTAATTTATATCATTGATGTGGTGAAAATGGTATGTCACTTAATATAGATAAATTTGCCGTTATCTCTTTTTCTTTAAAGAAAAGTACGTTTTTTTTTCGATTATAGGTTAGATAGTGTTAATGTGTCACACAGAAATGTAATTAAAGACCTGGGTGTTTTATTTGATTTAAAACTCTCATTCAATCATCATATAGATTATATTAGGAATAAGGCATTTATGAAATTAGGATTTTTAAAACGTATGTGCAAGGATTTTAATGATGAGTCAGCACTTAAAATTGTATACTTCTCATTAGTACAGTCCCATTTTGATTATGCTTCCTTAACTTGGCACACTGATAATATTACTCATAATCAAAGTTTATCCTCTGTCCAAAATATTTTCCTAAGATACTTATCATTCAAATGCCATATAGAAAGAGTTCCTCACTTAAGATATGATACTGCTTGTAATTTATTTAGGATAATGTCTTTAGATAAAAGAATGAATTTATTGAACTCTAAATTTCTCTATAAACTACTACATAATATTATAAACTGTCCTGAACTTCTTGAGCATTTGAATTTTAGGGTAAACCAATCATGTTCAAGAAATAAATTTTTATTTTATCCTTCACAAATCAATAAAAAATACATGCTATACACCTCCGCAAATGTCCTTATGACCGCGGGAAATTCAATCCATAATTTAGATATATTGAATACCACTCTACGCAACTTGTCAATTACTATATCCAATTAATTTTATTTACTATCCTAATTTATTTCATTATGTTTTTAATTTATTTATTACAATGTTATTATAGGTTAAGATTATTTTATCTGATATGTTAATACATGTCTCGATGTATTAATTATTTTCTACTTTTATTTATTTTGTATGTTAATTTAATTGTTCAACTTAACTTTATTATTTATTATTATTAAATTATTTATTTTACCATGTTCATATAAGTTGCATACTGTCAATTTATTATTTTGTAATTGGAAATTTCCGTAAATAAATTATTATTATTATTATTATTATTATATATATATATAAATACATATTTTTTTTAAAGAGTTATTTAAAATCAATTTTTTTTCACTCAGGAACATGACTCATTTAGAGCATTTCGTTCTCAAAATCTAAATGTCAGCCTTTCTATTGAAACTAAACCAGAGCCAAACACTGGTTCTCCACATACAGATACAGACTATCCTGTTGCTCTATTGTATGGTAGTACATTAAAGTAAGGAATTAAATTATTATTAATTATTCTATATAAATATATATTAATAAAGAAAAATACACTATTATATTATATTCTTATTAAAATTAGAAATTCAATAAGATATGAAAACAAATTTTGAAATTTAGATATTTTTATATAATCTATTATTTTCACAAAATTTTTTCATTATACTTTTTCAATTTTAAAAATTAAAATTATTGTTCTTAATTATAAAATCTAAGTAATGTACATTTTTGTAATTTTTAGATGGTTTGAAAATTTAAAATTGATCTTATCTGGTGTGACGAGGCCAACTCGAAGAGGTCCATTATTTAATAATACCAGACATCGTAAATTAACATTGAGTAGACACTATAGAAAACTACATTTATGTGTGTCTTTACAACATTTCCAAGTTCATTATTGGATGTCATTCGCTTTACAACGTGGATTTGAGTTATTTGGACAACGTATATCCACTAGTTCAGAGCACACTCTTAACTTAGTATCAAATTTTGAAGATGATTTAAAGCATCGTTCACGGCCTATTTGGTCTGTTGGATATATGAATTGTGAATTAAGGGATACAGAAATATGGTTAAAAAGTGCTCTACAATCTGAACAAGAAGATGAAGAAATTGAAGTAGTACATTTCTCTTTTTTTAAACTAATAAATTAGTATTTTATTTTTTTTAACTTTTGTAGGCTGAAATTAAAGAAAAACCCATTGAAAAATGTTATTTATTGAGTGTAAGCAATGTGTCATATGGAAGAGAAACTACAGGTACATGTGAAGCTGATGGAACCCCAACTCCAATTCATAGATTAGTTGTGTATCATTTAAAAGGAGCTTGGACTACAAGAAATAGAGATGTAGCTTTTGCTTTATTTAACTCTTTAGTTAAAAATCAGGTAAACAAATTTATCCTTAATATAATATTATGTATTTATTCAAACTCAAATAATTTTATGTTGAAGAAATTAAAAAAAAATTTATCAACTGAAGCTTTGAAAGGGTTTTGTTTAAATGAAAATGGTTGTACGCCAATGAAGAACCGTACTAGAAGTACAGAAACCACTGAACAAAGTACACCATTATCGTCAGTTACATCTGTTGCATCATCTACTTGTCAAGCTAGTCCATCCCCAATGTCAAAACTTCAATGTGGTGGCCAAGCAGCTACTATGCTTCAACAACTTATATCTGAAGTAGGCAATAAACCTGTGGTTTTTAGTGATGACCTTTCAATGCAAGTAACTAGAGAACGAAGATTACAAGGTTTATCTGAATGCCAACAGGATGATGTTCTGTATAAGAATTGGCTGAGTATGTTTTCTTCACAATAATTTGATTTCATATTAATTAAATTATCAATAATTATTATAATACTTTAGTTGCATTGATCAATAGTCAAGTGTTAATGAAAGGATGTGAAACTAAAGGATATGTAATAGTGAGTGCTGCTAAAGCAGAAATATTACAAAGAGTTCATCGTCCAGTCTGGAAAGATCATTCATTGGTTTCGAAAACAACTTGGGTTGGCACATTAGATAGTATGCAGTACTATGCTACAGTTAGTGCAGGAAAAACTGATTTTATTGTTGGTAAAACTGAATATATAAGAAAATAATAATAAAACTGTAGTAAAATTACAAAATACATTAATATCATTATAGAAAATATTATGTGGTTGAATGTGGAAAATATACAAGAAAAAGACATTGACAGCACAGTAATATCGGATCTTCCTGATTTACCACATTTGGTTGGAAGCGGACATAGTGTCGGCGGTGTGGTTAGCGAAACAGTTGGTGCAAGTAATGTTGGTGAAAATTCTCCAATACAGGTAATTTGATATTAAAACAATTATTATATTTACTTATTATTTGTAATATATATTTTTCAGCTTCAAAGAATTGTTTCCCGGTGTAAATGTGAATTCTTTTATGCGGGTCATGGTGAGAGTAGTTTGAATCCCGCACATTTAACTGAAGTACCACTGCCTCCGACAGTTACACCTGATGTGGTCGGTGATCCTGATTTACACGAACCAGTAGATGCATTTACTCTTATGCATCATGATTTAGATGTTTGCACTAATTCTCTACAAGTAATAAAACTTTAAATCATTTGAATTGGTGTAACTTATAATAAATAACATAAATAAATTATTATTACAGTACGCTATGATCTTAGATATTGTGAATAATTTATTGTTATACGTGGAACCCCGTAGAAAAGAAGCTTATGAACGTTTGCAAAGAATGCGTTTTCAACTGCAACTTCAAAGCAGTCAAGACCATAGACAGCCCATTCAACAGTTGCAAAACCATGTTAGGTATATATATTTTTTTTTGAGAATATCAAAATACCAAATAAACAAAACTGGATTGTTATAGGTGTCTAGTGGCAAAATTACGAAGATTGGAAAAAGAAATATTTTTATTAAAAAAAGAAGAAGATTGGCAAAATGAAGAGTTGCTCTCTTCTGAAATAAGAAGTTTGGAAAAACAAGTAAGATAATTAAATGTTTCTTATATTAATGCGTACATTGTTGTATGAATACTCATAAAATTATTAATAGATGAATGAATTAAAAGATCAATTAAATTCTGAAAGTGAAGAGTTAGACATGATGGTTTCATGTTATAAAGAGACTCAACTTCGAGCTACTCAAAAATTGGCTACGCTAAGAGGTGATAAACCAAGTGTTGTACCATCAAGAGCCAATGAAATATGCTTCAAACATGCACAATGGAGGTTAACAGAAAATGATGGACAGCTGGGTATCGCTGATTTAGTGCTTAGTAATTTTTTGTAAGTGTAAAAATGTTGTAAATATTTTAATTAGTAATTTGAATGCTTGAACTATTTTTACATAGGTATACAAAAAATTCTAAAAGTGATGATTCTGTTGAGCATTTATTAGAATTAGGGTATATCAGAATGACCAATCTTCTTGCTAATGAATTGTACAAAGAGGTAATTGTGCCGACAGAAATTCAAAATAACATGCCAGTTGATGATCGAAAGGTTAGATAATTTATTTTAAATTTTATGTATATATTTTAAAACTTTTATTTTTAGAGAGCTGTAAGAATATTTTGTAGAGAAAAAGCTCCTGTGGGAGGTATATCAGTTAAAGAACATTTTGAAATTAATGTGGTACCATTGACAATCGGTAATTTTAGAATATGCCTTATTTATTTAAATAAATATGAAAATTTGGTTTTTATTTTTATTAGGTATGACAAAAAAATTTTATAATACTATGATGAGGTTTTGTTTTTCTGAAAGAGATCCTGAAAACATAGATGCTGAAACAGATGACAAAAATTCGTCCAAAGGGAAAAAGAACAAAGAAAGTAATTTTTATGTGCCAATAGAACATAAAGATGACGTTGAAAAAATGAAGGTAAAACAATTAATAAATAATGATAACTATAGATCAATATCAAAAGTAAATTATTTATTTTATTTCAGGAAAGAGCTGAAAAGAATAAATTGTTCATTTATATAAAAATACCAGAAGTGCCAGTGAAAGTCAGTTATAAAGGTAACAAAGAGAAAAATTTGGAAGATATTAGAGATTTCAGTTTAGTCATTCCTACAATTGAATACCATAATGTAACATGGACATGGTTAGATCTTTGTCAAGCTATGAAAGCTGACAGTCGACGAGTGATAGTGTCTCAGGTTTGTTACTGTAGTCTTGTTTAAAGAGCATAGTAGATATAATAATGTTTTAACAATATTAAAAATTAAAAAAATCTATTATTCCATGTAAATATGTATTGTTATATTTAAACCAGGCCATAAAACATAAGTTGCAAATTAAGACTAATAAAGCAATTGCAGATGGAGGTGCTTCACCTCAAGAAGAAGATAAAGCTCGAATGTTATTTGGCAGTAAACTGGTGGTAAATATGAAACATAATTATTTATTTAATTTTGTTAGATTTATTTTTAAATGTGTTTTTTTCAGCACAACGAAAATAGAAATTCAAAACGTGGTATCCTAAAATTTCCTAAATAGAATATATTTATTTTGTGTTTTTCATAAACTGTGATATTATTGAATTTAGTTACCTAAAACTTTAATTAAGAATCTTGTAAATATTATTTATTTAAAATTGATTACTTTTAACTACAACAGTTGATTGGGATAGCCTATTGAATGTGGTGGTTGGATGGAAGGTTCAGTGGCTTGGTGTTATCTTTAACTGTAGATACTTAAATAGAATAATGTAAATATAAGTTGGAATATGTAAGTATATTACTGTTTTTATTAATATTTGTAATTCACATTTTTACCATTACTTTGTCAAGATTTTTACACCGATAACATAATAACTCATCTTTTAATATACCCCCCTTAAATTTATTATACATTTCTTTCTTAAGTTTACTCCTTGAATGAAATTCTGTGTTATATCAAAACATCTTTAATTTTAATAACAAAAAGATACTTTTTTGCTATACCTGAACTTATAATTTCAACACCACTGTACTACTGTATTTTTTATTTCATTTCACATGGAAAAAAGTGATAGTTGTAAACATATTTTTATTGCAGTTCAATAAATTGATCATAATTGATCTTCTATATCATATTGAACAATACAAAAATATCAAGTTATTACACTTCAAATATCATAAAATAATTTTTAACAATTTAAATTTATATAATATAGTTTAAGTAATTATTTAAAATTAAGTAAATCTGATTTTCTAAAATAATAACAAATTAATACACTAATTTTATATTTGCAATAGGTATAATAAATTATTTTTCAGTATGCTCATTCTTTCATTAACCATAGAAATGTTAAAGGAATATATTTGTATAATACATTCATTGAAGAATAGATTTATAACTGATATTTTTTTTAGGTTTATCATATTGGTTTTCTAATATGAAAACCTTTATCCTGCATTCCTAAATAATAGCCTTTATAAATAAAACTATTTTATACTTGTTTGTATTACTGTTATCTGAAATATACTACATGTAACCATATAAACAAGATTTTAGTACTATATTTATGTAGCAATATAATGAAGTCATTACTTTATAAAATACTCTGTCTATGATTCTTTGAAATAACACATTTTTAAATAAATACAATTTGTTTCAAGTATAAACCATACAAATATCTACATTAATAGTAAATTTACTTAAATTAAGTTTATACAAAAATACATAAAATAAAATTAATACTTGGTCCTTATATGTTATCTTCATTTGAAAAACTGCAAGTTAATTTTATTTTGGGCTTATATTTTTTTTTTTTTACGTAGGAAAATTATATGTTTTGTGGAAATGATATTAAAATAATAGTAATAGTGGAAATAACCATAACATACATTTCATGAAAAATTAAAATTTGTAAAATTTTGTATGTTGCTTGAAAAATATATTTCCAGAATTCTTGTTAAATAATTATTTCAAAAAAACAGTAATTTTAATCTGTTTTACCATTTTACAAAAAATAATTTTATGATGTATGTATATTATACATATTTTTTTTTTTATATTTATTTTAGAGTATTAACCATTTTAATAATTTTGTTTTTACTTTATTATTTTATTAATCCATGTTTACTTAAAAGTCATTACTAGCTTAATAATTAATTATGGTTACCATAATATATAAGGACAATTACTTATAATTTGTTTCAAAAAGACAAATAATTAATTATACAAGATTAAATTTAGTTTTGATATGATTTATAAAGTGAATAAGAGCATATTTTAATAAAAATAACATTTGCACAAATTTAATGGAAATTATTATAGTTAAAAATGTATGTTCAATGTATTTATGACTTGTGTTATATTTGTATTCATTCAAACCTTACACCTAATTTTTAAGATAAATGATATGACCTTATGAGTAAAAAATAAGTTGTACAAGGCTGTAAAGAAATTGTAGCACTTAAGTAAATATTGTGTTAGTGTGTAACAATAATTACATTACATGTAATTAAGAAATTATAAATGAAACAATTAAAAATAATAATAAAATAAATATTTTGTAACACAAAAAGGACAACACAATAAAGAATATGTGACTATATTTATTATTATTATTATTATTCTAAAAATTATATTACAAATCAATCTTATAATCTATATATTTTTATAAGGAGATGTTGTGGTAAATCCTTTGTATTTCTTTTTGGTCTTTAATCCAGTTACCAGGTTAGAACTGCGTGGAAATGCAGTTACTCCATCAAACAATAAGTCTGTCTCTGGGTTGAATCTAGTATAGTTGGCTATTATATGAAGATTAGGGGGAAGTTCACGTTTTAGAAGTGCGTCATAAGGGACAATTATGTCTACAGGTGTTTCATAAAATTCATAAATTTCACCTAAAATAAAAATAAATTGAATTTAATATATATAATTCACAACAGATTCTTGATATAAAATTTACCTAAAGTGTTTAGAGTATGTAAAATTGAATTTGGTACTTTATGGTCAACAACTTCTTCGCATTTTTTCAGTAATCTAATTTTTTCATTTTTATCTAATTGATAAAATGTGTTTGTTTGATTGATAGTATTATTTGCTATTTTAATTATAACATTTTTGATATCTATGGGAGGATCATATTCCTTAAGTGGCCTTAAAAATCTTAATAAATAAACAATTTGTTTTATTAGTAAGTAGATATATTTTCAGAATAGGTAATGAAATAAAAGAAATCAATGATAAAATGAATTCTTAAATTGTTAACTCACCCCCTTGAGGCTATGGCACTAGTATTTCCTTCAAACTTGCTTCTAGGGGGTGTCCAAGGAATACTTCTTTTAACTTTTTTGTGTAATAATCTGATCTATAACAAATATAAAAAATAATACAAATAATTAATAGATTTAGTATGTAACACAATTAGTATTTAGAGAAATAATTTTGCAAAACTATGAACTAATCAATATAATTAACTAATAATAAATACCCTAACCAAGTTGATCACACCTATAATGTCCCATAGCCTCTATATTAGGAAAATTTTTTTTGTTTTATTACGATTATGTACAGTAATACATATTATATATTTTAAGTTTTCTTTTTAATTTTAAATATTAGTATGTCTTTCTCTGGCAAAAAGAATATAAAAATATAACTCATCATTATAAAACTGAATATAATATAAATAAAAATAATATACATTTTCTAAAAGTGTATAATTTTGATAAATTATTTTTCATACCAGCTTTAGTATTTGAATACTATTATCATCAGTAGGGCAGAGAAGTTGTAGAAGATAAAATTGGAAAAATTAAAAATATGTATTTAAATTCATTAGATATACATACAAATTTCTATTTTAGAAAATTATCTATCATTCAGTAGAGTTCCAATTATTACATTTACAGTATATCTTCCTTGTATATCTGTTGTTTCATCTATACAAATTCATATTTTATTTTCAATAACGTCTTTTCTAATTTTATCCATAGTTTCTAAATAGCAATCATTTGTATATATTTTTCTCAACGCAGACACACTAGGAATGTTAAGAATACATTTTTCAAGAAACGATTGGAATTAAACATTAGACATTTTATATAAAAGAATATTTACACACATCATAGCCTTGCATAAATCATGTGAAAAAACAGAATTTTTGTTTGACGGTTTTGATATAAATTGTTTATTTTCTGCAGGTACTTACGATAGTAGCCTACATATATATAGTTAACACGAGCACAGTATATATATGCAATACCATAGAATTTAATAAATTATAAATTAGATAATTTTTCTTCCAAAAATATGTAGAATATGTTTGAAATATTCCTTTTTGTCAAAATATGCAAAACTAATTTTATATTCAACTTTTGGGGCCTATGACATATATTTATAACTTGGTTTATTATGAAATAGAGGAGTAAAAAAAAACATGCAAATCCTGTAACTTCTCTGCCCTAGTCATAAGAATAGCATACAATAAAATGTCTCATGTATAAAATAAAAAAAAGATTTTAAATTTATTGAAAAATATATCTGTGATACAGAATATTTATTATTTTGCCACACTAGATTTAACTGTAAATAACATTAGTGTTTTATATTAACTGTAGGTATTAAAAGTAATATATTTTTACTTTTTAGATTCATTAAGTTTCTTATATTTTTTGTGATTTATTCATAACTAGTTGTTCCGCCCAGCGTTGCCCATGCTAAATAATATTTAAAAATAAGATTTCCTCCTAGATTTCATATTTCAATCTCAGTCACTATTACTGCAGTTAACGGTGATTACCCATAAATGTTTAAAAATGTATATTCTTTATTTCTATTTATCCAGCCCAAGCTACTGCAGATTAGGTTGTCTACTACTTCTACTGGTCAGACCATTGTTTTCAATAGCTTAAAACATTCTTTACTATATACTGTGTTTTATTTAAAAAAAAAACAACCCAACAATTGGATAAATAGTTTCAGAAATTACGCAGGACATCAAAATGGCACTTTATTTTATATATATATAAAAACAAAATATTAAAAAATTGATACTGACAACATCGGGCCTGTAACATAGCTTATATATATAATATACATATGCCAAATGTCAATTGTTCAATATTTTTTTTATCTATTATATTAATTTTTTAATCTTGTTTTTCATTACTACATAGACTGATTTACATTAGTGCCTTTTTCTTTCGTGCTTCAGATGTAGATCGACTAATTGATTTCCGTTTTGGGGGCATAATTGTAGATGATGCAGCATTTGAAAAATCAAAGTAGATAATAAGTACGTCTAATTGTGTCTTATAATATTGTATGTATTACGTATATCTTATATCATCAATGAACTGAAGTGAACACAATATTGATTACTTTGTTGGAAATTAAAATAAAATATTTTCTCTACAATTACGACATAATAAGAAATTGCTCATGACAACTCAGTTAACTAATAATATTTGGTTTTGCACCCGTATATTACCAAGGTAATCCATAAATAAAAATATTTTTTTATTTTTATACCAAAAATACTTAAAACCTAGTTCTTGTGGATGATAGTTGAGCTATCAAAGAATTACATAGATGTACTATGCCAGAAACCTTCAGGGAGTGTCCTCAACAACTTCTTAAGTTTTATGGCCATTGGATGAACGGTATAGGAAGACTTAGAGACATACAGACAAAAATTAATTTTGTATATATAGATAGATTATTTAAAGAATGTGCATACTATTGAATCGATGCCGTATCTGGGGGAGGTTGGAGTTGACTTCCTAAGTTGGCATTTCAATAGATAAAATTTTGACAAGAATAATCATATTGTTTATGCTATTAATAGCTCATATAATATAAACATTACATTATTATCTATATTAATTTATTTTGATGTACTAATTAATAACTATAAATCTGTTCCATAAAAATACAACAGTGAATAGAATGTAGATATCTATTACAGTCTGCAGTACTACTTATATTGGTATTATGTACTTTTAGTGGCTTTTTACAAGCATCTAGAAACAAAGAATCCAAACTGCTAAAAAATGGCCGACTACTATGTTATCATAATCACTTACAGTTTGTCACTAAATTAAGAATACATATTCTATTAGTTAATCTTAATAGTTTCTAAAGTATATTACATTTTATTTTTCTTGACATAATTGAAATATTTGTGAAAGTAAAACAAATTAACTTTTTAACTAGTTAATACCTTTGTTCATTGATATACATATATAATAATATACATTAATAAATAATTCAAAATAAAAAATATAAACATTAAAAAAGTAATATAATGTTTACATATTCAAAAATAAATAAATATCATGTTGTTGGTAACATTTGTGCATTTTTTAAAGCAGCTAAAATGGGTCTGGCCATAGAGAAACATTTCTTCAAAACATTAAGTTCTTCCAAATTTGAAATTCCATCAAACATCTTTTCAAAATTTAATTTAAATTTAACATTTTAATTTGGAAAATAAGATTGGTTTGATGTTGTTGAATTATTTAATTGTGATATAAATATCATTTTGTAAAAAGTTCACCTATCTAATATTATTTGTATTTAGCTTTAACAACATATTAATTTAACATAATTATTTACCCAATAAATTAATACTCGTACAATAATACATTTTATTAAATACCTAAAATGTTTCGTTTGATTAAAACACTCTGATTTTAGTTTGAAAATCAAACAGTTCGTAACATCTCTACTAAACGTACACAATGAATAAAGCCAATTACATAAGCAACAGTCTATTTTAAAAGAAAAACAATTCACTTACGTCACAAGTTTAAAATCGTAAAAATATAATGAAGAGCACAATAGTGGTGATAAGCTGTAAGTAATAATGATAATGGTTGTATGATAACGTAGTAATCGGCCATTTTGCAGCCATTCAGATTTTTCGTCTCTAAACCCTTGCTGCTTTTTCAACACAATATTTTAGGGGGAATGCACAATAGTATTGCAATTACCGTGTTGTACGGCACTGACTACAACAGCAGCGGTGACAACAATATTATTATTATTTTATCAATACATTAGACTTTGATAATGACGTTTTTCACGTAATCAACTAGGTGTACTATATTACTATCGTCTTCCGCACATACAACGTCAAATAGCCGAGAACTACGGGCGTCACCGTCTAATTATTATTACGTATGTTCCCGAACTGCTACAACAACAATAATAGTTTTATAATCATAATTATTGATGAGCTGAACGAAATAAAAAGCATTAACGATTTGCCGGCATAAGTGGTGCAATCATCGCTCGTCTGCAGATGCACGCGCATACTGTTCGAATATTACGGCCATAACCTTCAAAAAAATAAAAATCTGCTTGAACTTAATAAGAATACGATTTTTCACGAAAATTATTGGGTACCGACAGAATGACATAATTGCACGAGAAAAAAAACGACAATACAATTTGATTAAAATAACGAGTTTTTAAACCGTTTACCTGGACGCAGCCGCGGTCGTACAGATCGGTGGTCATAAAGCTGTTGTTGTTGGACGACAATAATAATTGTCTTAGCGGAGTGTTACTGAAGCGATTTAAAACGTACCGGGCCATCGTCATCACAATCACGTCTATAGGTAAACTCTGGCGGTGTGGCTACGGGTAACGGCTAACGGCAGCGACGGCGGCTGATGTTTTTACCGCAGTGGCCGCAATTCTGGTTACCACTGTGTTAACCATGTGACGGGTGTTGAGCCAATCGGGTGCGCGGGTCCTTCGATTTGTGCGTGCGTGCGAGCATGCGCGAGTGTGTGTGTTGGAGTGTCCGCCATTTTACGCGACTCGCTGTCGACGAACATGAACAACAACGCAGCTCCGGGCGCATCGGGTGATTATTGTCGCGTTTCCGGCCTGTGATTATGTCCGTACGCATTATTGACGCACGCCCGTCGTTCGGCCGAAACTGTTTCGCGTGTACCGCCGCGTTGTCGTGGTCGTGGTGTCCGCGGTCGTCGTCCACCGGCGCCTCATTTGTGGTGTTTGTGTGACGTCCGAGACGTCGTCGTCGTAACGGGCGAAATGTCCAATGAAAAATGACTCACTCCAGCCATCAGACCAACGGTGCCAGCTTGGAGGATTGCCATACAAACTTCTTCGCCCTGGTAAGTACTAACAACAATTGTTTTGCTGCACTTCTGTATCTTCTATACTAAACGTACTCGTCACAAACGTATCTCTTAACTATATACCTTTACTCTTCCCCTTATGGTAATCTGGTCATCCCCGGGTGATGGGTCTCCGAAACTCATAGTACTTCTTGTAGACCACTGATGCATCTTGTCAGTGACTACCTATACGGTGGTCCATTACCTTGTCTACCGCTATAAACTTAGCAAAATAGTGTTTACATGTTTGTTATGGTTTGACACCAATAACTTTCACCAACTAGTTGTTACTGTCCGCAGTTTATAAACATCTAATTCAATGTACCCTTTATACACTGTAAGCGTTTTAGGGATAAAGTGTTTGGTCTATGCACACATTGGTTTTGTATTCGAAATGCATGTTGACCTATTTAGAAAACACAACTTTCAAATATTTGCTGTTGTATTTGTGTTTCAATTTAAAATTTGAATTTTTTAATCTTACAGTTATAATAATGTTGGTAGAGTAGGTCAATTATTATATTTTTCATAAGTATATTTAATAGATATCAGTTTAGTGATAGGGTAGGTACAGATCCTAATTCTAAGTTAGTGTTTTGTTTGTTGATGCTAAAGATGCAAAATTATTTAACATAAATTAGCCCCATAGGTGTATGGTTAAGCAATTCTAACAAATATATTTATTTCATTATTTGACCCATCACATTATTATATTCAAACTTAAAAATCTGTTGTCAATTATTTTATTGAAATTAATAAAAAGATAATTTTATTTAAAATTCAAAAAGTGATTTATGTATTGCTCTAAATTCAAAACATAATATTTATGTATTTTTTGAGTTTAGATTTCATTGGTCTTGTGTGATAAACAGGTCATAAGATCTTAGGTCATAATTGATAAATTGTTTTTGAACTTAATATAAAATTTAAACTAATCAATGAATTTTAGTGAACACATTTTTAAACAATTTTGTGTTGAAGGAATTTGATTTGCCCATATATGTGTAAATTGCTTCACACATTTTACTTTCATATTACTTTTATATACATTGGTGGACATGATAACGTATGGACTTATATATGATATGACAACAAAACATTTTAAAAATTTAAATAGGTAATTTGATGTACTTATGAAATTTAAACAAAATTCATGAGTACGTAAAGTATCCTTAATTTACATATTAATTTATTTTAATTAAAAGTATATTTCATAACAATCTAAATTTAAAAAGTGATAACTAATTTATTGTTATGTAAGCAGCTAATATAAAGGTTTTTTTTAATAATTAATTGATGGTATATTTTTTGTTCTGTGATTTTAAGAAGGTATATAATATACCTTAGTATTTAATATTATTTTATAACAATCATTTAGTACTATTGCCAATTTAGATAAGATGTCAAACGTTTTATTTTTTGCATCATTAACATTTTATTGCCAAAATGATGTGATAACTGATATTAAATCTAAAAAAAAAAAAACTAAATTGAATTTATATAGTTAGATATCTAAATTAATTGTTTATATAAAAATGTATGTATTTTCTATTTAAAGAAAGGCTTTTTAGGTGTACGTATTGATTTATCATAAATGAAAACTGTTAGGTTATATTACATTGGGAGTATAGATGCTGAATTAACATGGGCGATGTCCCTGTATTTTGATTTTAAAGGAGTATAGTCGTTTCCTCCTTCAATTAGAACGGAAGTAAAATATAGAATTTTGCTTTTGTGTATAAAAAATTCCATCTACAGTAAGTTTTTTATTTGCCCCCATGTTAAAATCTAAAAGTTAGCGCCTGTGATTGGAAACCAAAATTATTGTTCAATTTAATTTTACTTTACTAATCAAATAACTAAGTTAAACTTGTTTAATTTTTTTTTTTTTTAATTGGATAGGTAGGTTACCTTTTTAATTAATATCAGTATTAATAATATAAGTATTAATATCAGTTTGATTTAGGTACTAGATAAATATATAGAAAAGTTAACGTTTTGTATAGATAACTGTTAGAATATTAATTCAATATTCTATTTATTTTGAGAGAGAACAGATTTTTTTTTTTTTAGACCTACCTATACCTATTATAAACATTTTTATTAAATAATTAGATAAACAGGTATACATGCTTAATTGTAAATATTATGGTCTATCAAATATAAATTTGATTAGGTAAAAATAACAAAGTAATTTGCATTAAGAAAATAGCTTTTCAATTTTTAATTTCCATTTTTTTTTTTCTTGTTGGTAGGTAACTGACAGTAATTGAAATGTATTTATTTAGCTAACACAGTAGGTATCTATATTATGTTTGTGGTGAGGGATTACCAAGTTGCTTTGATAAAAATTGAATTAGTAACTAGAAAATGTATTTCATTAGTTACCTATATATTAAATACCTATTAAAATAAGTAACAATTGAGTTTAGGTATATACACTTTGATAATAATGTATTAGGTTTTGTAGCATTACTTATTTTATTTTATTTTAAAAAGAAATAAAATAATAATAATAAGTATTAGATTTTTATTTATTTGGTACATTGCAGTTTACTGTTTGTTAATTTTTTAAAAAAAAATCTTTATTGTTCTAAATAGGTAACAATTCTTTAGCATGTTAATTTTCTTAAATAATAATTAGTAATGACTAATAATAAGATACTTGTATGTTGTTTTATTTCTTAACTATAATTTTCTTAAAATCTATACAGTTAAAGCAAAAAATAATTCATACAGGCTGAAGAATTTTGTTTACATGAATGTTTGGGTGGGTATACCTATATAGGATATAGCTACGCAGGTTCATTAATTTTAAATAGATATACTTATTTAGTCATGTATAAAATATTTACTTTTTTTGTTTAAAAATGTATTTATTTTTAAAATTAAAAGAGTAAATTAATTACTTTTGCTCAATACCTAGGGGGTATTTGGAAAGATAAGATATACACAATAATTTTTTTTTTGTATACCGTATGTAACGATAAACAATTGCAAACGATAAACTGTTCTGAGTGTAATAGTATTAGATTTGTTTTATACCTTTTGTTGCCAAGGAAAATTAATGATTAAAAACAAAAAAAAAAAATTACCCAGGTGTGTGATCTGCTGAAAATGTCGATTTATGTTTCAAAGAACCTAATGCAATATTAAAAAATTTCGCATCTTTTAAGGTACTGTGTAAAAAATTTGGATCATTTACCCAATCTAAAATTAGTATATTAATTGGGTAATTTTGTTTTTATAACATTTGAAAATCAGTACCTACCTATATTTAATAACAAAACCGTGTATACAATTCGATATTATACAGCTGGTGTTGGTATTGTGCACACATTATCTATTTATTGGCAAACCGCCAGAGAGGGTTAAAATATGTTTTGATTTTCATGTTTTTGTTTGACCATTTGACTTTCTCGATGTTAAGCGTATTATTTTACGTACAATTTTCGCGTATACATTTAACCGATACACATTCGTTATCATAATCAAAACAATAATTTGTTTGGTTACTCATTATTCAAATGCATACACCACTCGCACTCACCATCACCTTATCGCCCGCGCGTTCTATACAATACTAATAATAATCGGCGGTTGAGAACCTATTATTTGAAATCTGGGCACTCTTGAGTTCGATTTTTAATTCGCGATATTTTTGTTTTGTTTATCGTCAAATAATAGTAATATAGTAAACCGCCGCGTGGTGCGGCTTTATTTGTTGTTGTTGTGTTATTATTATTATTAATAATAATAATATTATTGAGTGTTTCTTTATCAAAATGTGCGGCGACTGGCGAGACTACAACCTACTCTTATCACAACGAATACAGTAGAGTACAGTAGAGAGCTGATAGATAAGCGGGCCAGAAGCAGACACGCATGTTTAAACTTAGTTGTTTCCTCTTGTGGTGTGAAAATACTATTATTGTTTACACACCAGTATTTTTATCATTTTTTTTAATAAATTAATGACATAATATTATTATTTTGTTTGAATGCAATAAACAATAATAATCTGCGACGGTGTAAATAAATTTCCCGCAAAATACACAAGTGTCTGTGTTTCCGCAGGATCCCATTTTGTATTATAAATATAATATTATGTTTTTTATATAATAAAATAATATATAAATACATATTACAATAATATACAGTATGTACGTGCTCTCGTGTACGTACACATACACAGAGGCATTGCCCTGTGTATTGTCAAACCGCTTTCAATGGTTCCAAAAATGCGGACGGCCAACGTTATCGTTGTTATATTTTTCAATTTTTTCTCAACTCCCTAACCACGCCAAAGAACGTTTCGTCTGCTGCCGCGTTTCCGTATACCGGTTAAAATAATATAATATTGATTTTTCCCGCGTCCGTCATCGCCTATCGACGTGTCTTTTTCGGGGGGAAAAGGAGATTTTACTAGACGACGGCGAATCCGCACGCCGGTCATAAATATGATTTGCACACACACAGACAGGGGCGTCGATAATATTGTTTGACCGCCTGCGGGTGTGTGTTTGTGTGTGCACAATACAAATCGTGTGATCTGACCATGATTTCATTATTTATTATGTTTAACAGGTTTGTCGATATCGCACTGTTGTCGATTTTCCCGGATACTTTCCGTCCGTCTACAGTAATAATAATAATAATGATACATTCTAGTATCCATTACCTACTACTGTTTACTATTATCGTTACTATTATTGTTATTGTTCGGTAAATTATTCCGTCGTAAAATTTAAGTTTTTTTTTTTTTTATCTAAAAAACACATATATACATATGTATACGTATGTAATATAGTAACGCGCGTCTATATTATAACGTATAGTCGCGGTGAGTTTTGCCGCATGACGTTAATCGGCCGCACGGCCGTCAATTGATTTTTTTTTTTCCTAATAGTTGCATAATAACAATATAATATAATATGTGTTGTATTTGTACGTGTACGTATGCGCGCTCTCGTTCTATTTTTCGACCGTGTCCTCCCTCTCGATAAAACACGGAACGGCGGCGGCGACTAGTTGACACACGCAAGAATTCCGTGCGTCTGCTGTTGCCGCCGCCGCTCAAGGTGCGCATACCGTGAATATGTGTGGTATATAGGTACCTTTGTGTGTTAAATATTACATTATTGTACAGTGCGCAATATTATAATACTGTGCCCCCCCGTGTGATTGTTTATAATAGAAAAAAAAAATATATATATATTTATATGTAACGATTTTTTTTTTTTTCTAGATTGTATTTTCGATGAAAAACTGGATTAGTGTAGACGGGCCGGGGTGGGGTCGTGTTTGTCGTGAACGCGCGAGCCCACCTTACGGTGACGTCGTTTCGTCGATTTAGGTATTACTTACCCCTTTCGCGCGGAAAACGTGTATGTGTATTCTATTCGGCGGGGTGGCGATAAACGTCGGCGGCGGCGGCGGCGGTAGCGTTTACTCGATAATAAACACGTATGTGTAATATTGCGTGTTACGGTGAACCGCCTCGCCACCCCTGTCCCCTCTGCCGCCGCCCGTAGTATTAATACGCGCCGCGTTTAATGTGTAATCGTTTGGCCGTTCGCTATCACTGTTCTGCGGCGCGCGCGATTAACCGCGGCTGCTTCGAAACCGATCCTGTGTTTTATTACAATAATGGTTGAACTCATGCGACGGGGGACGCTATAACCCCGAATTTCGGGGGATCGAGAGAAAATCGGTTTTTTTTTTTTTTTTATTATTCGTTTTGATTTTGCGTGTCGCGGTATTTACGATCGTTTTGGCGGCGGCGATGAGTACGGGATTGACGGGGTTTTCGCGCACTCACCCGCCGCGTCTTCGGAGGGGGGTTGTTTGCGGCGACGGCGGTCGGTCACGGGGAGAGGGGGGAAGCCAACTCGCTGTCCCCTCGGTGGCGTGCGTATATTATTATAACGTACAGCATGTACATACACATAATATATATTGTATTACGTGTGCGCGTTCCCTCGGAGTTTCACCGCCGGCAGATGTTCTTTTTCGGGTCGACGGGGCCGCCATCGTGCGGACACGGCGGGAAAACTCCGCGTCTACCGCGTTGTGTGATACGAGGGACGGCGGCAGTGAGAGTCGCGCGCGTGTCGTTGGCGGGGGGCGACGTTGCCGCGTTCGGTCACGGTCGGCGATCGTCTTGCGCAAAAATCCGACCGGCACCGACCTCTTTCACTTCGGCCGGTGTCGTTACGCCGTAGGATTTACATGCAGTTTCTTTTGATCGTATTGTTGTGTCGCGGTGGCTTTGGTGGAGGGGACTTTGCCGCCACTACCACGGCACCACCACCGACACCTCTGTAATTCCGCGTACCGTAACAACCGGACGCGTGCAGTGGTTCTCAAAATATTAGAAAACTCATTTGGCTTTTTACATTACTTTATCATTGGATCATTTTTCTGTGTTTTATCGTTTCGTTATTTTCGGTCCGTTTACCCATAATATGTCCCCGAATAGGCTATTCCGACGCAAATAAACCCAATAGTATTTTACATTTATTTTGTTTTCGTATCGAATGTTCTAAATTATTTATTTATCTTCCATAAGTATTTTGTTTTTACAAACGAGGTCACGTACTCTCTTTTAGTATTTATTATGTTTTTTTTTTTTTTACTTCATCCCCACTTTATACCGCTGCACTGCAACGACGATTGTCGTACCCGGTGAAAACGCCGAGCGTTGTAATAATATAATAGCAGCAATAGATATACCAAATCTTTTCCCGTACCTACGCTTTTTTTTTTTTCCCATAACCGCGAATCCTCGGTAGTCGTATCTTCACCGGATTTCCCCCTCGCCTCGGTGTTGCCAACCGTTCTTCTTGGGCCGCCGAACCCTACGATCGTGGTGTTGAGGTTTGTCGTGGGTGGCCACCGTATCCAATAGTGGGTACGACGACGTCGGAAAAGACGAGGAAAAAAAAACAATCGTTTCCTCTCCTCCGAGACACGTAGTGTTCGGGTTATTAACACCGGCCGGCTGCCGTCCGCCCCCGCCACCTGGCCCCTGGTCACCCGGGGTTAACGGTGTCTTCTTCTTGTGCAGCACTCCGGTCGTAACTCGTTTACACGGTGCGCCGCGTGCATCTAGATCACTCATTCATACTATTATTATGACGCGACATGCTCCGGCAACTACGGGAAAAAGGTGCACGCACTGTATAATATTATGTTCTTGTTATTGCAATATTCACTAACCCAAGGGGGGCCTCGCGCGTAACGAATTATTCTCCGTGGAATACAAATTCGTACCGCGCGTTTTCCAAGAAAATATACGGTATTTAGGTAACGGTATTGAAATGGTAAAATGCTCTACATGGTGTTTGGTTTTCTAGGAAATGGGAACGACGAGTTCTCCTCGTGTAGACTCTCCCGCGTGTTAAACAATTGTTTTACTTTTGAAAACGCGCCCGTGTCGTAACCGTAAGCACTTGTCGGAGCTCCGGTTTTTCGCATCGATTTTCCTACCCTTCTCGAAATTCGTTGGGTGGCGACGGGGGTTGGGGGGAAAGGCATCATAATAATAATAATTAATGTAAACTATAAACGTTTAAACAATTTTTACGTACACGTTGACGGGCGGGCGCGACGTGTGTACAAACGCCTCCGCCGCCCCCGTTTAAACAATGTTTAGTATTGGTTTTGGCGCCCACTGGAATGCGATGATGAACCGACTGTGCGTTGTATGTGGTGTCCAGTGGCCACCGCAACATACACCGACCGCGGCGTCGTCATCGTCCGACGGCTTCTCCTTCGCGATAACCGTGCGTAGTGTTACTACGGTCTAATTATTTAACCGGTCAATCTCGAAACGTTTTATGACATGCCTCTCTCTATCCTTTGATTCGCAAGTGGGTTTTCATTTACGATAGACAATCTATTATTATTACAATAATAATATTAAAAATAAAACATTCGTTCGGGTGCCGTATAAAGGGGTCGTCGTTGTCGAATAGGACAGTAGTAGCCTACGATGTGGGTGCGTACAAAGGGGGCACAAACGGCGTGACGCCACAGGGTCGTGTCTCGGCCACCGGCGGCGGATATTGATTTCAGCGAAACACGCGGAAACCGGAGCGGCGCGCTTACGGGGTTGACGGCGGGTCCATTCCTTTGGGAAGAGACGAGGATGAATATAGTCGATAATGCCCCTGCCCCCCATTCCCTCCTTTCCATTTTTCCCGCCGACGCCTTTCGTTCTCGCGCCTTTTTTACTTTCGAAATTGTTTTATTAATCCAGGCGATTTTTTTTTTTTGTTTTTACGAAACAGGACATAGTATTTTAGTTTGCGATATACATATATGTATATTTTTTTTTCTCCCCCCCTCCTATTACGACTTCCCAGTGTTATCGCTGTCGATATGTTGTGTTTTGCGTCAAATATTCTGACGAATAATAATAATATTTTCCCCGTTGAAATATTGTTATCAGGACCACCGCCGCCGCACGTGCGTACACCGTCGTCGTCGGTGCAACTGACCCTCGCCACTAACCCGTCCGTCGCTGCCGTCGTACCACCCTTTCGTACGTTACCACCGTCATTGCTGTCGTCGTCGTTCGGTATAGTCGGAATTCACCGCCACGTGCCTTCTCCGTAACCGCACGTAACCAACCAGCCGACCCGACGGCACGATATGGCAGACGTCGCCGCTGTACGGTATACGTACACTCGACACCACCGCGCCGTCGCCACCACCGTCACCGCCGTCTTATCCCACTCGAGACGCGCACTCGTTCTCTTTAATATTATTGTTGTTTTGTCGTGCCGGGCATGTGTCGTCGGCTAAATTTTATGTATATATTATTATACCTTCGGTAAAACGGGGTGTGTGTGTGTGTGTGTATGTTTCCCGTCGTACTTTAACGTACGACGTGTACCCAGGGTTGGACAGTATCTTCGATAAAAGTATCCTAAATACGTATATCGGATACAATATTATTATTATTATTGTATCTCGTATTTCTGGAAAGTATCGCGTATCTTGTATTGCAATACTTTTTACACTAGTATCTTTTATCTAGGTACTCTTTTTGAAGTATCTTGCCCATCCCTGGAAATAACCTAAATAATCGAGATAAAAATAGGTAGTTAATAAGTAGGGCTATGAATTCAATGCGCTAACAAATCGTTTAAAAACATGGTTGCCATGACTTACGGAAACCTGTAAAAGTTGAGGCATTTGTATTGTATGAAATTCTGGAATTATTGTTCAAAATGTATTATTTAATATGAAAACAAATTTTTTTTTGTAATATTGATAATAATAAAAGACTGATATGCGAAACGATTAATCATTGCTAATGAAAAACAATTCTCATCAAAATGACGTAAAAAATTTGCAAAATTAAAATGTTTAAAAATAGCTTAAAAAAGGCTAAAATGTTTTGAAAATTTGACCACGTCTAGAAAAAGCAAATATTATTTATCTTTCCAAATTTGAAGTCTCTACCAATATTTTTAACTGAATCACAAAAACACAAAATTGAAAATATAAATTTAAAACATTTTTCTCTTTAAAGTACCAACGAGATGACATTTTCTTTCAGAATAGGTGCTATGCATGATACAGCGAAGCAAGGTTTTTGGTAGTAATTTTGAACACAGTGTGTACATATATATAAAACCAACACGTTCCTCATTTCGCTCAGAGTCTAAAACAACCAAACAAGTTATTTTAAAGAGATATATTATTATTAATTATTTAATAATCAAATTTTAACACCTATTATTTATTTACAACAAATCATCTTAGAAAAAACTATGGAGAAGTCCGGGAAAATTAAAAATGGAATTTTTGGTAACCATGAAAAATCACTTATAATTCCCTTTAAAAAAGCAGCTCAAAGTGTATTTCAAAAATCCTAAAACCCATAAAAATATGATTTGTTTTGAAAATATTACAATATAAAATAACGTGCCTTATTATTGAGTAGGTATAGATACATATTTACTTAATAATGTATCTATTTTTTTTTATGTGTACATGTATCGTATTTAAAGTTTATATAACAAAAAAAAACATCAATGCAAATGTAAAAAAAAAAAAACGGATACACTTCGCACGTTGGTGCAACCACTTTTGTAGGTGTGAAGGTAGAATACAGACGGGAGTTTAATGTATATCTGTGAGCAACGATAAACCACTACTAACGAAAAAACGATTCTAAGCGGAGTTCAGTTGATAGTGTTGATTTGTCAACAATGTGCGTTTTCATGACAAAAATTATTGTTTAAAAAAGATTAAAATAATAAAAACTTGATAATAACAAAAAAAAAAAAACGGTTTCCATTGACCACCCTCATTATTAATCTTTCAATCTTTTATTAACCTAAAGAAACAAGTTTTCGTCATTATCTCGAATATTATGGCGGCATTCCATTGACATCGTGGGCTGTGTAATATCTAACGATATGATTGAATGAGTAATATCATAACCGTAATTTGGGTACCACGATAATCGATGTTGTTATCGCTTGTTACTATAAAGTTAAAAATATTCAACTATTCGCCATGTGGTTATTAACAGTATCATAATATCCATGGAAATTTCTCATTTTGACCATTTTGCTACTTGTGACTCGTTTTATTATTATTTATTCGTTGTTGATCTAAAATAGCTGCTAATATTATAGTTTTTCTTTGATGCATTTTTAAGTGTTCATGATACATTTCCATAGCTACTGAGTAATGACTAGTGAATATTCAATATAAATTTAATTAAATTATTATTTTCTGACTAAGTATTTCGAATTAATCTGTAATCTACCATTAGCTTATATTTGATTTTTTTTTTTATCAGAGGTTCAATTTGGTTAGGTAATCACATATTGCGGTAACTTGGTAAAATATTGTTAGATATTACACGGCACACAGTGTCAGTGAAATGCTACCTTTAATGATATTTTCAATAAATGACCTCTCTAAAAAAAAGTACCATCCAGAGAACGTTTCCTTTCAAAAAAAGTGCTTACTTGATAATCAGAATATGCTTTCTGATAGATAAAGTGTTTGCATTAAAAAAAATTAAAATTGTAAAACCAATACATTCCTCACTCCACTCAGTATCTAAAAGAGGTGGTGGAAATCGAAAATGTTTTTACGAAAATGATCGTTATTTTTGGCTTATGTATAAAATCGTATTTATTGTGACACATTAATTTGTCTGTACATTTTTTGAGTACCGAATTCAATAATTTTGATTTAAATTCTAATTAAATGATCTTTATAGAAAAATACTGCGAACTTGATTGTTAAATATCGAGCGAATCTTTTTTTGTTTGTAAGAGAGTTTTGAGGGAAATTTTGCGGTATGGTTTATTTTTATTTTTCATAGATATTTTTTATGGAATTATACAAATAAACCCAGTAAACCAAAGATTTTGACATTAACAAAAATTTCAAAAAAATCTATTCTGAGAATCACATGAAAGTACCATGCATAGAGTTGGTTATTTGTTTTTGGATCACTGTATAATGTATAATTATTGCAAACAAAAAACGATTTTGAGTGTACTATAAAAAAGCGAGTACCAGTTGTGTTTTTCCCTTGTTATTAAGGGAATCCAGAAATAAAAAAAGAATAATTAAAAAATTAAAAAAACGAACTCATGTAAACAACTGAAAATGTCAATGTATGTTTCAAATAAGTACCATCTGGCAAAAGTTCCACTTTATGATATGATATGAAAAAATTGGACCATTTTTTCTTATTGATAGAGTGTTTTCCGGGAAGAAAAACCCTACATCTTTATAAAACCAATAGTTTCTCTGCTAGACTTAAAATTTAAAATGTATATTAACTTATTAAAAAACAAAAGAGTTAATACTGAGGATGGGTGTACCCATCTCCAGTTTTATACAAAAAGTTAGAAGATGAAATACTTATGAAGTTATTTAATTTGTAAATTTGTATTTGTACGCAACGATAAATTATTGTTGATAAAATACGATTCAGATCAAAGTTTGGTTAAACATACGTTTTGAAATACCATAATTTTAAGGTTTTTGTCAAAATTATTGAGCTTAAAATGATTATATATATATAAAAAAAAAACTACTACATTAGCCTAACAATTTTATCTGTAGAAAACCAATGTCGTTGAATAACTCAAAAAATTCCAATATACTTGACCACATCCAAAAATAACTAATTTAATATTCTGTGATAATGTCATGTCTTTACAATTATTTTTAATCAAATTACAATAATCAAAAATAACCTTTAGGTTTAATGTCACATACTTTTCTGTTTTTGCAAGTTTTTTCCCAATTATTAAGGAAATACATGGAAAATCAAAAAATTACTTTATCAACTAAACCAAATATTCTTTAGAAAATGTGCTACTTTTGAAATTTAGAATAAGGTTTGTAGTAGAAAAGTTGCTTACAGATAAATAAAAATAAAAGAATCTCACATGCAATTAGTCCAATATATTTCTTTACACTCAGGATCTAAAAAAATTTATTGAATATATAGTTACATATTGAGACTGAATTATGAAACACTTCTGTACAGCTATTCAGTCACTAGGGTCCGAATTCCCACATATTTAGTGTTAATTATATATTCTTTGTATAAAATAATTACAATGTAAAGGTAATACTAGAATTATGATCTATTTATGATCTGTTAAAGCATTCAAAGTTAAATAACCTTCTACTCCAGCAACATGATGAAATTCATATAAATATTCAACCAAATTGTTATCACTTCAATCCGTCTATAAAACAACTTCAATTCCCAAGTATGAACTAATTGGGTTTAGATGCTGGCACTAAAAGTATTCAAAAATAGCGGGAAAGATATATCATGAGACATTATCTAGTGCAATAGTCTATATTTTTAGTGAAAATTCCACGATAAAAAACTAACTCTTTGTAATGCTAATAGTTCGAATCATAACTATAGATGATATTTATCCAGTCAGCAAAAATATTGAGGATGATATCACCTAATTAGTTAAAATTGGAGACGTAATTTACCTATGTGATAATACAAAACTTTTTTTTTTAGAAAAAATTCATTGAACAAGGTAATTCATTTCTTACTACGCTCAGTTTATGAAAAGTATTTTTGGTACAAATTCACAGCTCTATATTTATAAATGATTGTATGCGATGTAATAGATTAAAAAATATAATATTATCTATAATTATCTAACCCAAGTATGCTCCTTCCATTTGAGGAACAGAGAGGCAAACCGCAAATTAAACGTAATCTGGGACGGTATGGAACTCAATAATGCCCAATATGCTAAATATCTAGAAGTAACCCTAGATAGGTCCTTAGCATACCGAGCTCACTGTGAGAACTTAAAGAAAAAAATAACGTCACGAAACAGATTGTTACAAAAACTAATGGGGAGCTACTGGGGAGCCCAGTCACATACATTAAGAATTACTGCAATAGCTTTATGCCTATCAATAGTCGAATACCCATCACCAGTATGGGGGAGATCTACCCTCTCAAAACAAATCAATGTCACATTAAATAAAATGTGCGGACTGGTGACTGGTTGTCTAAGAAACTCTAAAATTTAAGAAGTATATGTACTAGCTGGAATTGCACCACTGGCGATTAGGAGGGCAGTACAAGCAGACTGGGAAAGGACTAAAATGACGAAAGACAATAAACATCCAATGCATGGAATTGAAGCAAATAATTTCTGGCTAAAGTATAGAAACAGTTTCCTAAAAACAACAAAATGCCTAACAACAACTAAGGAATAGGAAAGTGTTATGCAATGAATAAATCAAATTAGAGACAAAAAATGTGTCCCCATCTAAGCGTTATCATCAGGTAATCAATTAGAATGGTCCACCGGAAGAACATTAAACTGAATGAGAACAGGAGATGGACGCACCAAGGATATATGAAGAAATGGAGACTACTTGAAGGAACTCCTACAACTTGTGAATGTGGGATGGAACAATTAATGAAACATATTATGCAATGCCCAATCTGTTCTTACTCCTCCACACAAGACGATGTCATAAATGCAAATGACAACGCCAAAGGCGTAGCTATTTTCTGGGCTGAAATTACATGAAGCAGAAAACGGCATTTAGTTACCTTTTATTTTGACTTTGAATTATTTGAATCTGTTTTATTAATTTTATTATCTAATTTATTTTTTGTTTGTCTATTTTATATTTATATTTTAATTTATATATATATATATCTTTCATGTTAAAGATTGTATCCACATAATGGTGTGCTTGACACAAGAAAAAAATCTATAATTGACTATTAATATTATGCCCAAAGGAGCCTTTGGGCTTTGAATGTAATTTTTTTTGTATGTTGACCAGTTCTATTAATTGTATTCGTTAAAGACGCCAAATTTAAATGGTTGCCAGAACAAGGTGAATCAAACTATAAACTAGATAACAACTCGGGGTGATAGATTTTATTTTTACATATATAATATGTAACGCATATCTACTTATTATATTTTCATAGTTGTAGAATTTGTATATTTAATGGAATATTTTGACAAAAAGTACCTAAGTACTTTTACTAAGGCAACAACTGCTTACCTTTATAACAGTTATAATAACACTGATTTTGTAGACCGTGAAATAATTATGAAAATAGTTTGTACAGAGTTTAGTGGGTACCTATAATATTGAATCATATAAAAAATAGTGCCTTAATAATATCTTTTGGTTCATTATACACTGTTTTTTTTTTTTAAACTAACTGTACGCTAGTGTATTCATTAACTCAAAAGTACTTATATACAACTTATTAAATTACTCATTATTTTTAACTAATAATATTATTCAAAACTTATTTATCTGAACCAATGTTATATACTTAAATATGTATGAATATAAATTATTAAAAACCGCTTTAATTATTTTTTGATTATCATTTAAAATAGTTTCACTACCTAAATCAAAACCTAACCTACATACTCTATTATATTTTGTCAAATATATGCAATTTAATCTGAAAGTGGTTAATATTAAAATGATATTAAGTGCTCTTTACTACATACTGAGATGTGATTTGTTTATCACGTCTTTTATGTAGGTTTTATTTAAATAAAAAGAAATTATTTATAATCTAAAAATTTAATCAAATTTTCTATTAGGATAATTTATTATAACCATATAACAAAATTTTGACCCAGTTGCTTCATTACTTCATTATTCAATTTAAATTAAAATCAATTTTTAATATATTATTTATGTTTTCATTACAGACTGACTTGTGCGGTATCAAATGGCGTAAGTTTGTTCATTGTTCAGCTGGTCCAGAAGGACCTCCTGACTGGGGAGGTGGTCCTGGTGGCGGAACCAATGCATGTGGCTCAGTACTTGAGGATCCAGTGTTATCTAGTTATACACGATGTTTAACACATGATATGTTAGCTGTATGGCGGCGTGTTTCATTACCGTCTACCAACTCTCAACAAGCATCACTTGATCCATTGGTTCCTGCTCCACCGACACCTGTACCTGCTCTCCCACCTGCACTCTCGCTAAAAGCTTCAAAAGAGCTGTGGATATTTTGGTACGGTGAAGAACCAGATCTGTCTGCACTTGTTTCTCCCCAACTTTTTTTAATTGGTAACATTTAGAATACCTTTTATAATAAAATATAGAACAATTATTCATAAATATTGTAAAATGTATTGATTTAAAGAAGGTGATAATGGTTCATGGGAAAGTGGCCTGTCTTATGAATGTCGTTCACTTTTGTTTAAAGCGCTACATAATTTAATAGAAAGGTAAATTCATTTTATAATGACATTTTTATAGATATATTTATTATAAGTAAATTTCAATTTTCTTTAATTTAAAACATGCACATATAATTTCAGGTGTTTAATGTCTAGAGACTTTATTCGGTTAGGGAAATGGTTTGTCCAACCTTATTCATCTTCTGAAAAATTAGACAGTTCGAGGTGAGATTTCTTATAAAACTAACAAGTTAACTGTGATTTAATATATATTTTATTTTAGTGCAAGTCATTTGTCATTTTCGTTTGCATTTTTTGTCCATGGAGAAAGTACTGTTTGTGCTAGTATTGATGTAAGACAACATTCTGTTGTAAGAACTTTATCAAAAGAACACTTGGCACAAGCATCTTCTCAACCTCAAAACGGAAATAATATTCAAGGTAAATTTTATGCAAAATTATTGGTACTCGTATGTTATAACATTGACTAGTGAATCTAAGACTTGAGATCTTAATCAGTTATTATAGGGTTTGTGTATTATTTTGATAAAAAATATAACTACTGAATTAATATATTAGTAATTATGTTATAGTACACACATACTTAGTAGTTACTAATTTTTCAGACATAGTGGACAAATTAAATACATAATAAATAAATAGGATAAATTTCAATGCAATAAATTATTTTTCATTTATAGTTATGCTTGCACCATTTGGTCTTGCTGGGACCTTAACTGGCCATGTATATAAAAATATGGATGCTGAAACTAGCCGTATGATGGATGAATGGAGTCATTTTTATCCAGTTGTTAATAGTAATGGACCAAATGAATTATCTCCTGCAGTAGAAGTTTTAGTTGGTAAGTGTTAATATTTTTTAAATTAGTTATATTTGGTAACAAATAAATTAACTTTGCAATGATTAGTTTTCAATCACTATTATTATTATTACTTTTTTTTTTTTTTGTGACCTAATTTTTCTATATTTTTTATAGGCGGGGTTAAGATGAGGTATCCATCGTGTTATGTTTTAGTAACTGATTTAGATGAAAGCACTGCTGAATTATATAAAAACCTCAACACTCATCAAACAACTCCCCAACAACAACAACAACAACAACAACAACAGTCACAACAATCACTGCAGCATCAACAACAACAGCAAAAAAGTATGCAATTTTTCTATTTTATTAATTGAACAGAAGTGTTTGAACACGGTTTTAATATTTTTATTAAAAATCGAATACAGCTTCTAAGCAACAAATATTTGCCACTAAACATCAACATCATACAGATACAATAGTTTATGCTTTGGATAACGCAATATCAGCGATTCCAGAACGAGCATGGCAAGATTGTGTATTAGGACCATTACATTCGGAACAGAATCCCCCATCTAGACCTGAATCACCAACTCTGGGTCAATGGCACTTATCTGATCCATTGCAAAAGTTAACATGTTCCTGTACTAGGTAAGATAATTTTGATTGTTTGTGTGTAAGAAAGGAACTGTGTGGTGTGTGTTTTGGGAGCTTTGGAAGTCGATCGGCATTTGTTATCCAGCCGGCTATTTACAGGTGTAGAAAAACGAGTTCCAAGCACCAGACACAGCCAAACAGCACACCATTCCATAGACGCACTCCCCTCCCTGATATTTTCGTCGCTCAGCAGCCGCCACCCGATGCAAACAATGCCACCCTCAGGTTTGTGTCTATTGATGAGACGCTTGGGTGGTGAAATGGTGTTAAAAATAATATTATGTGGGTTGTGTTATGTAAAATAAAACCTTCTAAACAGGATTCTAACTAAACAAACAATTAAGGCCTGTTAATAACAAAAAACGGCCTTTTAAATATATCTAATCTAAATTAAGTATTAACAATATTGTTAATTGTTATGTACAGTTAAATATTGTGTATATTATTTATTTATTTAATTTTTTTTTAACTCAATATTTTAAAATTGAATTAATTTTAAATGGAAAATATAATATTTACATGCTGTAACACAATGTTCTGACATCTCATAACTTTTCTGTTCAATATTTTTAAATAGTTCTTTCTTGTAATAACTACCAAAGCCTTGCAATAAGATGTTAGGACTTAAATTTGTTTAAATTAAAACTTGTTTTTACACTATCCAAAATAGCCATTTTTATTTTTATAAATTTATTTTGAAACATAATTTAGGTAAAAAAGTTTAAAATCAAAGGTAATTTAAATTTTTTTCATTGCCCCTTCTAAATAATATCAATTAATTCATAATTTTATGAACCTCAAACAGTTATGAATTTAACAATTCTTCATTAGTAAATATTTGTAACATAATAATCATTTTGTTACAAAATATATTTGTAATATGATTATTTTTTAAAATAAAATTTTTATTTTTAGTTTAAAAATAAAAAATAAAGGAATTATACAGGTTAAGGCTCCAGATATCATTACAAGAAAAAAAAAAAATTTAATTATTGAACAGACAAAAAATCATTTCAGGTTTCAGATTTTTGTGATACATTGTGTATTATGAAATTGGTTTTTTAATTGTGAACGTTCAAATTATGTAATATTTAATAATTATTAAATATTTGGAATAATATGTAATAACATTAAATTATTATATAAAAATTATATGGCATGCAATGGTGGTGGTGTTGGGTTATAATATAATATGATAATTAAGATGTGTACATAATTGCATGAACTATTATTTTAAATGACTAATAAAATGGTTTTGTCCCTATTTTATAATATGCTTTTTAAAATTTCATTTAATTAAATTTGATATATGTGTAATTTTTTAGGTCAACGCGTCTTGGTCCTACCGATAGCCCTTGTGGCCTGGATTCAGTGCCGCCTTTATCTTCAGTACCAACCCCTCCATCTGCTGGACAACCAGCTCCACTTTCTATTCCTCCACCAATGCTTAGTCCGCATGATGAAAAAATCCCTATCACACCTCTTTCAGTGGACTTCCAGCCCAAATCTGTTTCATCTGTCAATAATCAAGCATTCTCACCTTATCCTTCCTCTGCCCCTGCTAGTCAGGAACCTAATAAATCTGGCCGTGAAAGTAATGCTGGAACACCTGCACCAGCTAGTAATACTGTTAGTATACCGGCAACTACGCCAACAACTACTACAACACCGGTTCCAATGCAATCCCAAAGTTCTAGTGCTTATATTACGTTAAAAAGGCCGCAGTTCTCATCTAAAGATTACGAAGGAAACTTGGTCGAGGAAGATCTAATGCCATCTAAACTTTTATATGACTATTCATCCATTGATGCTTGGTTATATCATCCAGTAAAAAAATTTAAGCCAATAGTTCCAAAACAAGAACCAATTATGAGAATAAATGTGACGGATAATCCATCATCCCCTCCACAAGTATACATTAGAAGGGATATTACTAGTGTTCCCATTCTTCCAGTAATTTAAATATTTTTTTTTTTGTTAATCACAATATTATAATATTTTAAAATGTTTTATTAAAAATATTTTTCTTTAGGTTGAATCATCTGAAAATCCAATAAATAATTATAGCAGTTTTGAAGAATTACGAAATAATGCTCTTAGGTTTAAAGGAGGTCGTTCAGATCCCTATGAATTTGATGAAGAAAGTGGACCTTGTTCTAGTAATAATATGTTGGGTTCTAATGATTACAAACTAAATACTTCCATGTCCACGATAAAGGTATACATATTATTTATACTCCCATAATTTTTTTATTGAAAACAAATTATTGGATTTTTTGTTTTATCATATAGAATGAAGATATCAAAAAGGAGTATGATCCTGGACTAATGAATGGGAATAGGTGTACAAGTGATAGTATGCGAGATCTTGATCATATGTTTGACAATTCTGATGATTTATCAAGTGACGAGGCTGTAGCAGCTGTAAGTATTGGTTATGCTTTAACCAAGTAATATTTAAATTATATTTTTTCATTAATACATTTTTAAACTACAGTTACAAATGCAAACACCTCCTGGCTCAAATAAACCTGATGATTGTCTTGGTGGAACTTTAACAACATTATTAGTGCGACCCCCAAGAGGTAGTGGTGGTGGCAGTGGTGGTGGTGTTTTAAGACCCGAGGAATTAGTAAAAATGTTCCCAACTCCCCCATCGTTAGAACATAACCCTATAGCATCCCCATGTCCAGACATTGATATACTTCCACCTCGTACCTACCAAACAAGTTCGTATATGGGAAGTCCTCAGCATGATCACATAGATGTAAGTGTTAAAATTAGTAAAGTACTGAATAAAAATAGCAATATATAATAATACATTTATTTGTATTCTATAGGATTGGACGTATGTGTACAAACCCCCAGCTATTGCGAAAATGGTTGGTTCATCAAAATACGCACCACTCACAAATCTTCCGAGCCAAAACCTACCCCCATTAATAGTACCTTCCAATTGTATTTATAAGCCTTCCTCTTTTGTTTACCATACATCGTCGCAGCCTCAATCATTTCAACATCACCCACCACAACCTGAAAAACAAATTCAGTAAGTAAAACAATTTTCTCATTCATTTACATATTTATCAATAGTCCCCTCCAAGACCATTTTATAAAATAACTTATAAATATGTATCTAAATATTAAAAGTTATTTATATATTTGTCTATTTAAAAAAAAAATGTTTTCAATAATATTAATATATATATACAATATCTCTTACTATACTTTGTATATGTAAAGTAAAAAAACAGCTTATGGAAAACTGGTTAGCTAAGGTAACATTTTTTTTAAAATCATAATATTCTAAAATGTAATATTGTTATAATTTTGTTCACTCTTATTTTTTATGTATGTACTTATGATTTTCAAATAAAATAATATTTTTTAAAAATCATAAGTATATGTAATTTTGGTTTAAATTAATTTGGTGTTTTTGACATTCAGTTCTGCCAACCCGTTGATAAGTTATTCCAAGTTTGAGTTGGAGGAGAGTAGTGATGCATAATTTGTGTGGCTGCTGAATAGTACTTTACTATTATCCCTATATAAAAAAAAATAATAATTTTTATAGGCTGGTAAAATAATATTTCAAAGAAATGCTTGCCCATGATTTGTTTTTATACTTTTTATATATTGTAACTATAAAGTTCCTAAAGTGGTTATAATAGTGACAATAAATGTTATTTTAACAGTTAACAATTTTTTTTTTAGGATTGTTCCTCCGCCAGCGTCTTCAGCAAATAGTAATTTAATACCAAATGTGAATCGGAATAATCATTATCATCCAATGATGGTGATGAGTCCATCACCTCATAATACACCTTGGCCTGGAGGAGGAAATCAGTATCATCATCGACCACCACAACAACAAATACAACAGCATCAACAAGTGCCTCCACCCCCATATAGTCCTGCTCTATCACAACATCACAATATGAATGTTGTACCAACTAATATGTCACCACCTGTACCTGAAGCTAACTCAATAGTTGTTAATGTTTTATTAACGGACTCACTACTAAATGTCTTCCGAGATCATAATTTCGATAGCTGCACATTGTGCGTATGTAATGCTGGTCCTAAAGTGGTCGGTAATATTAAAGGCACTGATGCAGCAGTCTATCTTACCCATACTTTGATACCAAATGGATACTCCTCACAATATCAACAGCATCACATGTCTGTTGGAATGCCTGGTACTAAAACATATTAAATAATTTGTTTAAAGAACAATTGATTAATTGACTTTTAATAAATAGGTGATGAGGATGGAATCCGTTGTAGTTGTGGCTTTAGTGCAGTTGTTAACCGCAGATTGTCTCATAAATCTGGATTATTTCCAGAAGACGAGGCAGAAATAACTGGACTTCTTGAAGATAGTCCTGTTCGTGTTGATGATAATTCAATGAATCCAGAAGTTTTAGAGTTAGTTAGGGAACAATGTGCTGCTGTAATTTATAGCACTTGCAGTTCTTTAGTACGGGCAGCAGCAAAGTATCCTTTAAATCATCCACCACAAATATCACCTGTCAATATGTTAGAATTTACTGATACCAACCAAGTGGCTTTACTAGCACTCGAACAAGGGAGATTAGCAAAGGTATGTATAATGACATATTTTTACTTCTAGGGTATAATATTAATTTATGCATATGTGTTATAAAATTTATTAATTTGTTATTATTTTCTCTAAATATATGTATAGTTGGAAGGTGGAATGAATAATCATTGGCAAGTTGAACATCATCGTTGGCCCGGTCATCACCAACAGTCATTACCTCCCCTAAATAATAATTCTCCACCTGTCCATAGATGGGCTTATAGTCAAGCGCCCGGTCCGCGTAGCAGTAGACAACTTATACGAGTTATGCGAACATTACAACCACTTTTACAAGAGGCCATTCAAAGAAAAAGTGTAACAAGATTATGGGAACCTTATACTGTCACAGGACCATTAACTTGGCGACAATTTCATAGATTGGCTGGCCGAGGTACTGATGATAGGTGTGAACCCCAACCTATACCTCCAATTCTTGTTGGGCATGACAAAGATTGGGTAGCTGTTGCACCTTTAGCTCTTCATTATTGGGATAAATTACTACTAGAACCATTTTCATATTCACGAGATGTTGCGTATATTGTTGTTAGTCCTGATAATGAATTTATTTTACAAAGAACAAGATCATTTTTCAAAGAATTGAGTGCAGCATATGAAATTAATCGATTAGGTCGACATTGCCCAATTACAAAAGTTTTGCGAGATGGTATTTTAAGAGTTGGAAAATCAGCTGCAGCAAAATTAGCTAAAGAACCTGTTGATGAGTGGTTTTCAATGTTAGGCGAAAATCATCAGTCATCTATGTTGAAATTGTATGCCCAAGTTTGTCGTCACTATTTAGCTCCACAGCTTTCTCAATTTTCTATGGATAAGACTTTATTAGACCCACCAGAAGGTAGTGTACCGAGACCTCCACCATCACCAATGCCACCACCATCATCAATGACTCCTAATTCTGTGGAATCACCTGTTTCGTCCAATGATCGAGCTCCCACTCCAAAGAGCGATTGCTTAGATGATTCTGGTGGATCTCAGGCTGATAAAAGTTTTAACACTAGTGGAGATAATCATTGTGAAGAAGATGATGGCGAAGTTCCTGCTATTGTCATCTATCTAGTGGAACCTTTTTCCATTGGCAAGGATAGTAGTAACCTAGCGAAAATTGCTTGTCATGGTCTTTTACGATGTTATAATACAGTTTTGGCCACACTTCCAGAAGCTATACGATCAAATATATCAGTTCAGGTACCACCGAAATTACATTTTTTATATCAAATATATATTGAGCTGGTCCTTGATTATAAGAAAAAAAAATTGTAATTATTATTTTTGTTTCAGGACCTCTCTATTTTTCATTACTATAAGAAACTAATTAAGATTAAATTTGGTGATGACTCAAACCCTTCCTGTGCCTCAAGAGGGTTGAGAATTTGCAAAAGCTGGTTGTCTTATAATTTTTTTAGGTTAACTGAAAATATACAACATTTATTCCATAAATGTATAAGACCTCAATAAAATTGTAAATTATAATGTCCAAAAAAAATTTTTATTACAAAATTTCTCGTTATCCAATTTTTGTTTCAAGAATAATGCGGCAAATGAATTTAATTTTCTTAAATTGAAAATATGATTATAGTTTTATGCAAAACATATATAAATAATATGTTTAACATTAATGTTTCATTGTTACAGTAATTCATATTCAACTTATAGTCGGTTATAAATTTACCACTAGTTTTATGAATTTAAGTTCTCATAATGATTATAAAATTCAAATTCAGTTTTGCAATGTCAATTTAATAATAACTAGTATTTTTGCAATTAAATTTGTCTTCCGTAGTTTTTTTTTTTTTTTTTTTTGTGTAGTTGTATTAATTTCAATACTTATAGATAAATTAAAAACATTAACAAAATTTAAATTGATCAGAAAATATAAAAATATATATATCTTGTAATAAAAATATCTGGTTTTTATTCCTCATGAATTTTTCCGTTAATTTTTACACATCTCAACAGTATCATTAACAATTTGTTAGGAGTTATAGGTTCTTGCCCGATAATTATGTAGAAGGACTGCTTCATATAGTTAGGTTCTTTTCCAACATATCTGGATCTATATTAAATAGTTTAAATGAGTTTAATGATTTGATTTATTTACTTAAATGATACCCGTGGAACTTTTTGTCTTTTTCTTTTTATTCATAATTTTAAATTTTAACAAATATTTAGCCATTTCTTTTTCCGAATATCCTACAAAATGCTTTCATCAAATATAGAAAATAAAATAAATAACAGTTTGAAAATAATAGATTGAGCAATTTTGTTAGTACATTTTTTACAGATGATTTTATAACTTACAATTATGGTCTTAAAAATGTATGTGAAGTGCTATATATTTTCAGTTGAACTTGCAAAACTATTAAACAACCTTATTGTTGTGCGGGAAGGGTATGAATCATCATCACCAAATCAAACCTTTATTACTTTCTTATAATAATAAAAAAAATAGGGAGTTTCAGAAACAAAAATTAGAATCAGCCAAATATATGTATATGGGATATAACAAAGATCTGATACCTTAAATAACTACAAATCAATTTTTTTTGAAGTTTTTGCAAATATGAATACTTTTACTTTTGCAATCATAATAATTATATGATATTAACTTATAGTAAACAAATTCTTGCAATTTGGTATGTTGTAACTACCGATTAAATATTATAATAGTTTATCAATAAAAAGAATCGCCTACCAAAAAAATTCTGAAAAGTATATTGCGTATTTTTATTTTTTGAATACCAAATCTATTTGCAGATAACTGCTAATTATTAAAAAATATTGATTAAAACAAATTATTTCAGGTGTTAGATCTTCATATTACACTTTGTATACACGGTGTTATACCCATTGTAATAACTTAAGAGATAATAAAGATAATCAAATTCTGTTGTTTTTTTTTTATATTTATATTACTAACAGAGATAAGGACTACAAATTTTTATATTGCAATTACTTTTTAATGCTTTGAGAAAAAATTTAAAGATAGCCATTTTATAGTTATTTTTCTGAAAATTTTGACATATAAACTTTTTATGTTAAATAAATTCATGATTTTTAATAATATTTGACGTTCAGAGAAATGTAGCTGTAATTATGCAGCAGGCAAATTTTAATCACATTCTCTAATTTATTATTATTAATACAATTAATTGACTGTACACTTCTTTTTCCTGAACTTCAAAAAAATTATTAAAAATAAAAAGTTAATACATCTAAATGTAAATACGAATAAACTCTAAATTTTTCAAAAATAATAAAATAGTTATTTTTTTTTACTTTTTAACCAAAACATAAAATATGTATTGTATTATAAATATTTGTGGTCCTTATCTTACTGAATAATATAAACTAAACCAGAATTTGATTATCTTTATTATCTAAAGATAAGAATGTAATATCTCTAAAGAGATATTAAAATGGGTTTATCTAAACTAAATATCTATATAATTTTATATAAATAGCTTCTTATTACACTTTATACTAAATTAATTATGTTATTTAAAAATTTAGTTGATATCGTTGGAAAGTGTTTTGGAACTTGGCCGATCTTCTGATCATCTTAAAATGAGTGATAATATGAGAACTTTATCATTATCAGTATTCAGTCAGTGCAGGCGATACTTAACTCACACTTCTAATATTAAAGCTTTAACCGGATTTGGCACTGCAGCAATGACTGAATTGTTTTTGAAGAATAAAGATGTATGTGTAATTTTATAAATTTACTTTTTGTAATTAATGGGTTAAAATGTATTTAATTAATATATTTACAAAATATATATTATTACAGGAAAAAAGTCGAACAGCGTATAAAGCATACACTCCTCCTTTTATATTAGCTGGCTACAGGAATAATAAATCTGGCAGGGCAGACAGCGGTATAACAGGTGATAGTAGTAGTGGTGGTGATGGATTATCAATTCTCGGTGGACCTAATGGGACTGGATCTCCGTCCGGTACTGATCAACAATGTTCTGTACTTTATGCTAGTTATTGTATTTCGGAAGATCAAAGGTGGATATTAGCAGCAGCTACAGACGAACAAGGCATTTTATTAGAAACAGCTACAATTAACATATACGTACCAAACAAGTAAGACATTTGTTTTCAAAATAATTTTATAAAAAAAATTAAAAATGGATGTAATGCATATTTTATGTATAGTAGGCGAAGAAAATCTCCGGCTCGAAGAATTGGTTTACAAAAGTTAATGGATTTCATCTTGGGTGTTATGAGCCAAAGTGTAACGCCCTGGCGATTAGTAGTGGGTCGAGTTGGAAGAATTGGTCATGGCGAACTTAAAGGTAAATAGGTTAAATAGTTATTTATATGTATGATTTATATAATTACATGTGTATTTAGGTTGGTCATGGCTATTGAGTCGCAAAGCATTGTTGAAAGCATCACGTCACTTGAAAGAATCTTGTGGCCAATGTAGTTTATTGTACCAAAAGTCTGATGTACCCTCTGTGGTTAGTGCTTGCTTAGTTTCCCTGGAACCTGATTCTTCATTAAGACTAATGACGGATCAATTCACACCTGATGAACGTTTTAGTCAAGCATCTGTTGCTTGTCAATTGTCTACACCTCGTGATGTTTCTGCAACTCATATATTAGTATTCCCAACATCAGCAACAACACAAGTAATTACAAAAATGTAGAATGTTATTTAAATTACAAATAAGTAATACAAATGTTGTGTTTCAGTCTTCACAAACTGCGTTCCAAGAACAACAAATTAATGGCCCAGAACTTGGTGATGATGAACTTTTTGGTGCATTTAACGAAGAAGATATGCCAGAAGGTATGGAGGGCATGGGTGATTTTAATGATATATTTAGTACGTGGAACGATACGGATGCTGTGGGGAACACCAGTTTGGGACTTCCTAATAGTGGGGTTTCTGGTGTTATGGGCGGTCCTAGCAATAATGTCATAGGAGGCAGCATGGGTTCTGGATCTTTAGGTGGTTCTATTGGAATGGGACGAGGACCAATGGGACCCAGAGGGGATTGTTCTTCTCAACCGGGTAGCCCGCCGACTTCGCAACCATGTAGCCCATTCACTTGTGGATCATCGTCCTATAGAGTAAGTTAAATATTTCTAGCTAAATATTATAGTTATTTATGTTCCATTAATATTTAGAATGGTGGAAGTTGTTTGGATGGGCACGAAGAAGTTGGAGCATTACTTCAGCAACCATTAGCTTTAGGTTATTTAGTATCTACAGCACCAACTGGACGTATGCCCACATGGTTTTGGGCATCATGTGCGCCAGACATAGAGAAATGTAGCCCGGCATTTCTTAAAAGTGCATTGCATATGCATACTGTACAATTGCCTAATAATGCTGATCCAGCAGCAGCAGATCTTCTCCATCCAACATCTGCAGTTTCAGCGCATCCACTAGATTCTCAATATACTACAGACGTCCTAAGGTATTAACCAAAGCACGTTGTTCTTTCATATTGGTATTAAACATTAATTATTTGAACAGATATGTTTTGGAGGGTTACAATGCATTATCGTGGTTATCATTAGACCCAAATACCCATGACCGGATGTCTTGCTTGCCAATACACATGCAAGTACTTATGCAGCTGTATCACACAATGAATGCTCTTATATGACGGTAACATGTTTTTCGGAATAATTCATTTTTCGTGAAACATTTCCTTTTGGTTACATATAATATTAGGTCAATTAAGGTGATAATTTATTAGTTAATGTACATTTTTAGAATTGTTATTATAAGAAAAAAAATGTAAAAAAAAAAAAAAAAACAAAAAAAAAAACAAAAAAAAACACAAAGAAAAATAATTGGACACCATTATTTAGTATAGACAAATATTTAACATATTATATAATAACATGATGTAATTTGTAGGTACCAATGGATAGAAAATTATTTTAGGGCAATTTTATTTTATACAGTGCGTTATAGGCGAATTGTGAATATAAAAATATTATTCTTGATACATTATTTATTTATTTTATTTTTATGACAATTTCTGTTCAAATTGTCAAGGAACGAGTTACCATAAAATATTGTGTCGTTTTAATGGTTGTTCATATTTAAGTTTTTTTTTGTATAATATTTTATTTATTTCACCTTTTTTATCATTCTAAATTATTATTATTATTTTTTTTTTTTTAGTAAATGTCAATTTTAGTTACATTAAATGTAACTTGTTGTTTAATGTCTGGCTTTATTATTATTATCTATTATTATTATTATTATTATTATTATCTATTATTATTATTATTATTATTATTATTATTATTATCATCATTATTATCATTATTTTGATTTGGGCTTTATTTCCCCTTCCCATTTTCGTATTAACCGAAATACTTGTACAATATATATTTATAAATGTCTTTTGGTATATTATCACATATTATCTTTATTGAATTGTACATATATACATATATACAAATTTATATATATTTTATTAACTATTTATGTAAAATATTTATTAAATTGACCAAAAATAAAAAAAATGGAAAATAATACAAAAAATGAAACAAAAAAAATCCTTTAGAACTTTTGATGAAATTGTAGCCAATTTGAACAAATTAAATTATATATTTATTCTAACCAAAGTCAATATTTATACATAAAACATCTTTGAATAATTTTGCAATTAATATTATGATTAAAACTTTTTGTTTTTGTTTTTCGTTTTGTACAGCATGTGTAGCATGTAAAAAGTAATATTATTAAATTATTAATGTTACAAAAAATTATTATTACAATACATGTATTAAGGTTTGTACAAAAATAACAAAGGAATACAGACGGTTTTTAATATTATTTCTGTGAATATTATATAATATATTATGAAAGAAAATAACTTGTACGCAGGCAATGTTAATGTTATTCCATGAAAAAACATTTGAAAAAAAAAAAAAATATTTAAAAATTTAATTGTTTTCTTTATTCATATCAAATATTACCTTCCTTAAGGCTTGATTACATTGGGCGAATTTACTCGCTTGGTTGTCAGCTATCAAAATTGTGCCCGATTGAGTGTTCTGTAACCTGTCCGATTACATTAAGTAAATTAAATTACATTAAATTTAATGTAATATCGCGCATACGCATTGCATTTTACATATTATCAATAGACAATTGCTCACTATAATTTTCCTGACTTAAGTGACATACTAAATTGCTTCCCGATTATTTGAATTAATAATCGATAAAGAGTTCTTATCACAATTGAAGCTATACGGTTGTAATACGTGTTTCGATTGCGTGTCCGTTTATCGTCGACTGTTCCATTTCTATTTAATTCTCATAAGTTAAAACATAGGTAATATATTAATTTTTTCAACAATAACTAATTTGAAGTTCTTAGATCAAGTTGACACAATACTACTTAGTTGATAGAACTTACAAAAATTGTCCTGTTATTTATACAATTGATCACGTTTCACGATTTTTCAAATGTTAATTACATACTTACCATTAGTTTACTTTTAATTAATTGATAAAAATATAGGAACTTACAAGCAATCTGAATTTAGAATGCATAAAAACAAAATAATAATTTTTTACCGAAAATGGTATTTGCTGATTTCGAAAAAGCAATTGTCTCGGCAGTATTATTTGTTTGGCCGTCCTTCGAATTAAAAAAAAAAAAATGCCTATTCCATTTAGGCCAGAGTTGATTGAGAAAAATAGAAGCTCAAGGTTTGAGACGATATCGGACGCGATTAGTTCAGTTGTTAAATACACTGACTATTAGATAAATAAAACAGAAGCATGGATGTTATTGGACTGGATCGCAGTAGGGGCCGCGGTCTCATTCTGGATCCCACGAACCTTAGCGGGGCCCACACACGATACAATTAATCGTACTGCAGGTTGTACAATTTGGTTTGATACGATCTCACCAACGATTAACGTGTTTAGTATTGTTGTACAACAAGCTCGCCATACTACTAATCCTAACGTGTGGGGCCCCGGTACGATAGGTATTTGATCGGTTTAACATTAATCGCGTTCCTATCAATATTTACAAACGATGAGTTGTAATGCTTGTAAATCGTATAAATGTGTGATAATACGCGTACTGCAAGTTCGTACAGTAATAATCGGTGTACGGTTTAATTATATCGTGTATGGGACGCTGGGAAACCGACGGCGACAGACAAAAGACCGTTCCGGACATATTATCAGTAGACGAGGAGAATAAAACAATTTGCACTCCATGCATACTATAGCATTATGGCATGACCCAATGCGAAGTTACCGGTTTGTGGTTCAGGACCAGAGGGACGGCTTCCGTGGATTTCCGTTGTATTTTGAACATATTATAAAACAAATAATAATAATCTTCCGAACTGCAGTGGCGCCGAACCCTGTAATTATACATGTATTGGGCGAGTCACCTAACCACCTACCCGCACCCGCAGACAATTTATAATATTTCAATTAAATATAAACAATTCATAGAACAAATCTGGTTTAGCGCCCACGCGAATTGTTGAGTTACTATTTGAGATATTATTATGTTTTAATCTGTCTAGTCTCACCTAATTGAAATAAAAATATACAAATAAAATTTTGGAAATAACCTGGACAAGTTGTGACTTGCATATTGTGACAATATTTGATATGTAAAAGGGAATTCTGAGAAGACTACTGCGAGTCGGGGCATCGACGAAAAGTGTCGCTTGTTAGTCGTCAATCGTTATCAGAAAAAAAAAAATGAAGTATTTTTTGTTAGGGAGGCGCATTTTTTTAAACATTGAACTGCTTGAATTTCAGTAGAAAAAAAATGACAAAAACAGAATCGCCAATATTAAAAAGTCCCTTTATTCTAGTAGAACCTACACTGGAGACATGCTCCAATGTTCCATAACCATAGGTGTGCGCAGGGATTTTTCGCGGGGTATGCAGAATAATTTTAGTAGGGACTTTACTACAATCCAGTAAGATAATAGCCTCTATATTACAATAATTAAAATTTAGTTTTTAATTTGTATTTGTATACATTGTTGCATTATACTGAAAAGAAGAAGAATATTAAAGATATAAATTTAATATCATTGTTTAAAACTTTTATTTATGGCCTGTATTTTTTTTCATAATTTAAAAACAATTATTAATTTGCATGCGACTAATTTTACATAAGTGTGATTATTTTTAGGCACTTATACAGGTGGTGGTTTGGGGGGGGGGTTAACCTCCCCGAAAATGAATAGTTGTGCAATTTATTCATATCAATTCAATATTTTTTTTTTATAAATATTGATTATTGTACATTTTTTATGAACCCCATCCCCTGAATTTATTTTTGTGTCCGTGCCTGATTATTTTACACCAAAAACGTTGGTTTTGAACTGAAATACCAGTGTACACCAGAACGCAATCACGACAGTACGACGATTTAACACTTTAGTGTACAGACTAACTTTTTAAAACAAACAAAGCTAATGACTGGCGGGTTATCAGTTTTTAATGTGTACATTTTTTTTTTTTTTATCTACCTATATTAGATTTATTATACATTTTCACCACAATTAATAACTATAATAGTTACAAATAAATCAAAAATTTAAAGGAGACACAATTGTTTGCAGGGTGTACAGCTGCTAACCCCGCACAGGGTGTGCGCACGTCGATGTCCATAACATATTTTGTTAGATATTTGGCTAAAAAATGTTTAGTAAAACATATATGCGATGTCTGTGAAACTAATTCAATAAACAATGATTCATACTGAAGTGATTCACATTAACTTTAATGTTTTATAAAACTTATGATTTTGTTGGACCAACTCAGGAAATGAAAGCTCCATCAGACTTAATATTAAAAATAATAATTATAATATGTTAAAATGTATTTAAAGAATGGTTTAATAGAATAAAAAGTCAATAACACATACTCGTAAAAATCAATAAAAAATGTATATATAAAAGTAAAATAAATAAATGAATGAATGCTTTGCCTGGAGTATTATGATAAGTAAATATACTTATCATAATATTATACGATCGGTTTTTTTTATGATTTTCAATTATACATATATTTATACAAAATATAATATTATCTAATTATGGACGTTTTCAGACTTATTTGAAACAATTTATGCAGATTTTGTTGATAATAAGCATGCAAACTGCTTGGAAAATCAAAAAATTACTTTGTTCTTCAGTAACTAGATCTAAAACGCAACAAAAAACGTCTCTTGTCATTTTCTGATTAGAGCAAGTTTTTCTTCGGAGAAATTTTGTACACAGTATGAAAAAAAGCAAAAATTATCATTGTACCGTTGTTCAACCGTTCTTCGCCTCGCTCAGAATCTAAAATTATAAATGAAACGAGTATAAATTGATAATTAATTAAACGAAAATAAATCCGATAAGAAATGTATTAACTGGTGATAAAAATAAGTCATAGTAACAGGTAGCGGTGAACCGGATTTTCCCGAATGCACTCGACCTTTATGATGATCAACGAAAACGTTAATTTATTTAATTTAATATAATAATAATTTATAATCTAATCGCCATCTTTCGGGTGTTAAATTTTACGCCGTTGAAAAATCGGCCGGTGAGCAATTTAGTATTTACGGTATTTATTTCATATTCAATGATGATAATAATAATAATAATAATAATATTATTTATGTGCCTACAAATTACTGCTGATTATTGAATCAAGGGACAAGGATGCACATCAACCAATATTCTTTTATAATATACATTATTTCCGTTGTGTTGGTATGCTGCGCGTCGTTAAGCTGTATCACATGCGTTTTGTAGTTATACCACGGGCACGACGCATTGAATAGATCAACTCCCCTGTAATACCCGCCTGGCTATTGATGCCGTACTTGAGAATCATTTTTCAAATTTGAAATTGTTTCACTCATTTGTAAGAATAACCCGTAATACTAATAATATTTTCCTTATTAAAATGAATTAAAGATTTATTCTGTTATGCTTAATATATAATATAAGTTTAAGATCTTATTAGGTGCGCACTATCTAGGGATGTCAAAAAATTGTGTAAGTACGGCTTTAACGCTGAGCGATTTAAGAAAGGAACATGTTCAGATTGTCAAGGAACCATTCTACTGCCCCGTTTCAAGTTGCAAGTACAATGCAAATTACAGTCCGTTACCGAAATCGTTTAAGAATCTAAAACTTCTTAGACAAGTAAGTTAAGCATCAGTGTTAGGAAAATTCCTTTTAAAAATGAGTTTGTTCCTGTTCCCCACTACAGAAAAATAACTCGTGTTCCTATAAGCGTTTTTAGTACCTAGTTCAAAATACTAACTAATTTTGTTATATTCTCTACTTGGAAATACTGATATTAGTGATACTTAATTTGCTTTGGAAATAAATACTGGGTAATTTTTTTTTTTATCATAAACCAGCAATTTTCTTAAAGTATTTAAAATTAATTAGATTTTTATTGTGTTTTTTTTTTTTTTAATCACTGGAATTATTTTAAAACTATTTTTACTTTTTACCTCTACTCAATATACTCTGAATAACACTGTATATACTTTTGTTTTTGAAATAGAAACCAACCCCCTGTTAGAACACTGATTTGAATAGAAAAAATTTATCTAGACATTTTTGATATACATAACGCTAATATCAGATTTACCTTTTATGAGATAACTGTTTAAAATTAAGACCACAGTAGTAAACCGGATTAATAGACCGAAGTAGTAGAAAAGAAAATTGTCGATTCATTATAAAAAACACTATACATGTAGGACCCACTGCTGGTTTTACAAAATTGTGTAAAATTTGACTATTATTTTAAACATGAATCTTATCATTAAGTTAAGATTTGTCCACCAATACTCCTGATACGATTTAAAGGGAAGTAGTGCTGCCTTTTTTTATAGATAAAAACGACCACAGGAATTGGGATAACTATTTTTTATTTTAATATAAATTGGTTTTTACATTTTGAGATTAAAATATTAAAAACTGAGTTTAATGCAAGCAATCTAAAATCTTTCTTCAACTTAAAAATAACTCAAAAATTAAACCATTTTGTAGAATGTTATGAGAATTATTAATATAATAGTGTATGGATAATTGAAATGAAAATAGGAACTAAGATTTGCGTACAGTTGACGCCTAATAGATTGGCATGGCGGTGGCGTCCACATATAAGGGAAACCAAGAGTTCTTCATAATTAGATGTTATTACCAAATATAATAACAACCAATCATTTTCATAATAGATGTTAAAACTGATATTATGCTATTAAATTTAAAAACAGTTCACAATTACTGATAATCACCGTCGCCGCTGTGTAAATCTATCTGGTGCTAATTACTCATTTTTTTTTCTATTTCTTGTTACTTTATTTTAAAAGTATATAATAATTAACCATAAACCTTTGGGCTGTGGCATAATAAACATTTTTCTGTATCAATTTATTTAACTGTTGATTTATATATTTTTAGCACTGTATTAAAGTGCATTTAGATAAAAAACACAAGTGCGAAAAGTGTGATAAAGGCTTTCCTACGGAATCCATATTAAAATCGCACATTGTAACTTGTGGAGTAAAATATTCGTGTTATTGCGGAATTCAATACAAATCTCCAGAAGCATTCCTTACACATACAAAAAGAAAACAGCATAACATTGGACTTAAATACACAACTATAATGAAGTATGATTTTTATTTCATAAACTAAGTATATAAATAGTAATTTTTTTTTTTTTTAATTTCTTTGTTTTATATAGGTTTTTAAAGTCAAGAAAATTGGTGTCAAACTTGGAAGATTTACCTGATTTAACAGGATTGGAAGAACTAGAATCTAGTAAAAAATCTGCAGAGACACAAACTATTACTGACATTCAAACATCTTCAGATTCATCTACGCAGACAACATTTGAAAATAAAGATTGCATGTTAAGACATAACGATCCAAAACTATCTTCTGCAACATCTAGTCCTATAAAACGTTTATGTGCACAAACTCAAACAGATCCCATGGGTGGTTCTATCAATGTCGAAAATGAAACTGATCCATTGTTTCTAGATTCAGAAACACAAACAAATTTTGACTTTTTAGATATTTATACACAAACCGCTGAGTCTGAACGTCTATTTGGCGATTTAGAATTCACCAATATTCAAACACAAACTCACTGTAGCTCTTTGTTTAATGACAGTTCCATTAACGTGCATAGTACTGATGATTCAATAGACAATAACCCAGATATCGAAGCAGATATCTATAGCTCTTTGTTTAATGTTGATTCCATTAATGAGAATCGTTCTGATGATTAATTAAATATTAAATCAGATATTAAATATAATATTATTTAATACAAATAATAACTAATTTTTGTGTTTAGTTCATGAAAATCATATTGTTTATATTATTTAATTTTGTCTATGCAAGTATGCCGACTGATCCATTTGAGTATCTATACTTGATATTTTAAAAAGTATTGAAATTTTTTTTGGTAATTCAAGAAATAACCAGCTCTAAAATCTGATATAAATATAATTTTTGTTACTTGTATTTTTGGGTGTGAAACAAATATCTACCTTTTAGTAGTTTCAAATGGCAACTTAATATTAATGTAACATTTTAGAATTCTTTGCTTCTTAAAATGTCAATAAAAAAATTTTTTAATGTGTGCCTCTTAAATGGACCACCTTGTAGTCAGAGTATAAGTAGTATACATTATTTACATGCATATGGTGTTGTGAAATTGGTTTAAAATATATTGTTCGCTATATTATACATTGCTTATTATATTAATTATTTATTTTATTTAAATGGTAAATTACTTTGCATTTGATACATTTGACACAATAATTTATCTTATGATCAAAATGTATAAATGATAAATCATGTATAATATCTTATAATAACTCATTATTTTTTTCACTTTACACTGAATGGAAAAATTTACAAAAATAATGATTTTATTTTTAATTTTTTGTTTTTGCTGTAACATTTTTAAATTATACTTAATGACTTGAAATTTTAATGGAAATCTTAAATTTGCTATTTCTAGAGTTTCTAGGTCAAATTATCAAAACGTTTGAACAATTTCTGAGCTATTTACAGATGTTTTAATTTTGCGATCTTTTACATAATTTTTATTTGATACTCTTTTGGATAAAATTGTTAGACTAAATAGAAATTATTGAAAATTCAACAGGAAGTTCATTATAAGTTATACTTTTTGGTAAACAAAATTGAGGTTATCGTATTTTTTTATGATATAAAATTTTGACAAAAATTGTAAATATAACCTTTTAAAACATGTATAGGTAATCAAATTTTGCTTCAAATCTTTTTTCATTATTAATGGTTCATCATTGATTACAGATTTAAATTAAATAATTTAATGTATCCTATCTTCCCGCTTTTCCACCCACCACAGTGGCACACCTATCACCAGTATCGGCACTTTTTTTTTATTGTTGATAATTTAAATATACCAAATATTTTGTATGCAATACTTCAAATGCATTAAGAATAATGTCCTTATAGATTTAAATTGTAAATTTTATATAAACTGTTGTTATTTTCAATAAATTTAATAAAAAATCTTTACATTATGTATGCAAGTAATAAGAAAAAAAAATTGCCGTTAAATTGAAGATATTAACCAAAATAATAAGTTATTATATTTTACTGGTGTTTAATATTGCAAATGATTTCATTAGTTATTATTTTATTATTAAATATTAAGTTGTGTGGATTATCTCATCTTGTTTGTATTTTATAATTGTTTAGAATGTATGTGACTATTATTATTATTGGATAGATATAGACTTAAAAAAAAAATAATGATGTAATAATATTACCTATATAGTTAGTCGTTATTTATTTATCTATTTATAAATGTTTTAATTGTTTTATGAATATTTTATTTTAAAAAATATTCAACAGTATGTAGTTTTCCTAGTATTACCTACCGAGTTAATCAAAATGTTTATTTTAGTGTTGTTTATTAATTATATAAAGCTTTGTTTAAACTTGCATATAACTTTTTTCAACTGTAAGCTGTACAGTAACTAGGTATTTAAAAGTAGAGAGTTCTTGATAATTAAATATTTTTCTAGTTTTCCTTGTCAAAAATTATAAAGTTCAATCAAAACATTTATATAATATATTATGCTGGTTTTAAAATTGGCTATAGAATTTACCAGTTATTTTAATTGAGAGCCTAGTCGCTCTCTTTTAGCCTTAATATACTTTGAGCTAGATTTCCATCTTAAATGCTGATTATTTTTCTAGTGTATATGTTGAACCTGTCAATTCAAATATCTCGAACTAATATTCCAATAATAATAAACTAATAATATATTTTATCAACTAATATTTTGAATTTATATGGATCGATTAGTGAAAATGAGATAAATTAATATTTAATCATTAGATATTAATTCTGGATTAGGTCCTGATGGGGTACCACCTATATTCTTAAAAAACTGTAGAAATATACTTGTCAAACCACTATTTTTAATTTTCAACAGATCTCTAAAATTGGGTATATTTCCTAAAATTTGAAAAAAGTCCTATGTAACCCCAATATTTAAGTCTGGTTATAAGTCAAATGTATGTCTATAGACATATCTTAATTGTCAGCTATCTCCAAAATATTTGAATCTATTGTCACTAAAAAGCTGTCACTCTTATTGTCGCAACAGATCATTAGTAATCAACATGGTTTTAGATAAAATAAATCTATACTTACTAATCTAGACTTATACCAATCTAAAATAATTTTTGCTTTTAATGAGGGGCACCAAGTTGATTCTATATATATATAGACTTTCAAAAAGCATTCGGCAAAGTTAATCAGCAAAACTGGAATATTTTGGCTTAATTAAATGGCTTATATTTAAATTGGGTTAGTTCATATTTAATAAATCATACTCAGGTCGTAAAATTGCTTTCTGTAGTTTCCTCTGATATTAAGTTTACTCTGGGATACCACAAGGGCCTCATTTTGGTTCGTTATTATTCATTTTATTTATAAATGATTTGCCTAGCATCGTTAATGCCCCTATAAATGTTCTTTTGTTTGCTGATGATGCTAAAATATTTTCTATTATAAATTCACAGAGTGATTGTTTGAATTTACAGTTTAATATTGATAAGCTTAATGATTGGAGTATTAATAATTGGTTACCTTTTGACGTTAATTAGTGTCAGGTAATATCGTATTCCCGTAAGAAAAAACCAATATTATTTGACTATAGTTTAGGCAATTCTGTTTTAACAAGAGTTGATTTCATTAGACATTTGGGAATAATTTTTTAATTTAATCTTTTCTTTTCTTGCCATATTAATTTATCAGCAAGTAATGCTTTCAGGATTTTGAGTTTTGTTAATAGAAATACTGAAGATTTTAAGAATATATATACTTTAAAAATGTTATATTTTTCTCTTGTTAGGTCCAAGCTCGAGTTTGGTTCTTTGATTTGATCCTCTAATTATGCGATTTTCATTAATCTTATAGAAAATGTTCAATACAAATATACTAAATCCATGTTTTAAAACAAATGGTATATACAGAGATTCTTATCATTTACACTTATTTCAGTTAGGTATAACATCTTGTGATCTCGGAAGGAAAATTACTGATTTAATGTTTTTATTTGACTTGCTGAATGGAAATGTAGATTGTCCAGTGTTACTTTCAATGGTTGGCTTTTACACTGGTCATATCTGCTTCAGGATTAATAAAATGTTTTATGCTCCATTTCTTTTTCCAATAGTTATAGCTCAACATTATATTTTCTTCGTGTTCTAATGTTAGCAAATAAATTAGTTTTTTGTGTTGATTTTTTTTTTAATGCTTCGTGAAGTTTTTAAGTATAATGTATATAACGCATTAGCTAACTATATTCTGTAATTTTTATTTTTGTTCAATTATTTATATTATTTCTTTAATTGTATTTTAAATTACTTGTGCAAATCATATCACTTTTTTTTGTTAATGAGTTCTGCACTCATTTATAATTTATAACTGAATAAATGTGTGTTTTTTTATGAATTTTCAAAATCGTTCCCACTTCGTTCTTTACTGAATCCGCCACTGACATTTGAAGAGCTTACTAATTGTCAACAAATGTAAGTAAATTCAAATTGATACAATAATCTACTGTCATGTTTAGTTTGTTCATCTAATTGTGATATTTGAGATTGGTGTATTTTAAGTTTTTTTTGTTCAATATATTTTTAATATTAATATGAAAAGTTTAAAATGGTTCAATTTATTTATTGAAATAAACAAATGTGTTATAAATAAGTTCAAAAACTGTAACCCATATCCCTTAAGAACCCAAAATGTTATATCTTATATTTTTAATTTAAAATTTAACACCCACAACAGTGGCACGCCAATGGTGCAAAGCCATGTTATCTTTTTGTTTATGTGTGTAACCAACTTGTCTAACGTCAAACTTTTTCTAATCATCATCATCATGGTTTTTGGAAGAAAATTGTTTAGTTGGTACATTGAGGAAGTCATTTTTTGATTGCCATTGAGAAAAAACAAAACATTTTACACTATTATGTAATAAATGTATTATACATTTCTATAGTTATTTTTGATTTTATTTTATTTTTAGTTATACATTTAAAAATAATCATAGACACCTGAAATTTCCACTGAATACTTATACAATATTAGTTATCGTTGTAGATGAATAGTATAATCATTCAAAATTTTCTGTCGATATTTAAGTTATTATACAGCAATTTAGAATTTGTATTACTGAATGTAATGGAAGTATTGTACCTATACTTATATGTAGGTACACAATTTTTTTGACTTCTTAAAAATATCCAAAAATGTGAGATGAAAAAACAATTTTATATTATTTTGTGGTTGTAAATTATAATACATTTTAAATTAAAGTTTATCCGCTTTCCTTTTCAGTAGGTACCTATATGCAGTGGTGTTTTGTCAAAAAAACTAGAGGGTATATGCACATTTAAGAATTTATGACAATGACTATTGTGTATTTATTAGGATCAAAACTTATCAGATTTTACTACTTAGAACGAAGCTTGCTTCGCTTGCGAGTATTCAAGTCTTTTCACAAGTATANACTTTTATATCAAAAAAAAATGTTTATTCATTTTATACCATATTATTTCTTGATTTATCTAAGTATTTAAAGCTTCCATGGAAAGTTCAATAATTGCCTGATTTTAAAAGCAAAAAATATAAATATAATTGAAAAATAAAAGCATAATCATGTAATAGTCAAATAGGTAATTACAAAAAATATAAAATATATACAATTAACTTTAACAGAACCTATACATAATAAAAAATATCATTTTTTTTAAAACAAGTTTTATATTAAAGTGTATTAGGCTTATATAAATAAAAATGTTGTATTAGTGAATGGAAAAGGTTTAACAAAATTGAATAGTATTTTAATAAAAATAATAAAAATAACTTTCTTTTTTTAAATGGGTAACAAATCAACAAATATAATATGATGCTTATATTGTACTTAACATTATAAACTAAATAATTTACAGAATTTGCCATAGACTCTTTTTGACAACTTTGCTCTCATTTTTGTCTATGTTATTTCTTGCTATTTTGGTCCTTGTGTTTTCTGCATACCTATGATTGAAGAGCCAACTTTTCACATAATCTTCAGGATTCCAATCACTTAGGGGAGGTTCATTTATGATAATAAACATTAAATTAGAAATATTATTTGTCGTTAACCGTGAACGAAGATACGTACAAATGTTATTCATAACGCTGAATCCTCTTTTACATTCTGTTGTTGAACATGGAAATGTTTTAAGAGAGAGGTAGAATGCAGACATCACGTTTTAGGATCAATAGTTTGATCGTAAATAATTTTTCTCATACCGCTAATAGCTTCATCTTGGTCCAGTGAAAATCTTTTACAAGTATTTAATATTATCTTCTCCATATCGAATATCTGGGTCCTCAGGCCAAGTTGATTTTTCCAACACTAAAATATGTTTCAAAATAATTTTATTTTCACCGTCATTGTCAAGAAGTCTTGATTTTAAGTTATTTTCAATGCTTGTCAAAAACTGATTTTTATTTATGCTTATCATTTTTTTATTTGAAGTTAAATCAATATTTTTGAACTTCATATCTTTTATTGCAACTACAGCTTGGTGCATATAATCACCATTATTAGTTTTAAAAGAAATTATAACCCTTATACATCTCTTTATAGATTGTTCAAATTGCATCAATGTAATAGTGCGACTTTGAAGTTCAATTGATAAGTTGGATAATTCCTGAAGAACATCACACATAATAGCTAAATCATTAACAAATTCAGGGCTAGCTAATTTTTTAAGGAGTCCTAGGTATTTATTCTTAGTTTTAGAATCTCTATTGGAATCATTGGATGCAGTATACAAATGCTTATAAAGTGCAGGAAATATTTTCAATACAACATTTACTGCTCTAACTACTAGCAACCCAACGAACGCTAAGAACCCGACCAATTTTTAAAAACAAAACATCCAAATCATGAAAAATTTCTCTTTAATTCAGTTTGATTTTTAGGGGATGCATTATATAGAACATAAAGTGAGTCTATAAAACATTTGAAGTGATTTGTAGCGTTTTCATCTTGTGAGTGAATCATTAATTGCTAATTCAAGACGATGATTCATGCAGTGCCAACTAAATATAAGTGGGTACTTATCCTTGAGTTTTTTAGCAACACCATTATTTTTACCCAACAAAATGCTTGCTCCGTCGCTTACAAAGGACACCCAATGTTGTTGTAAATAGTTTTCATCAAGCCCTGATGTATGTAAGTAGTTAATTAATTGACTTACAATATTTTTTGGCAATTTCATTTTTTAATTCAACCAAGTCTAAAAATATAAAGAGAGGTTCATTATTCGATATTGATACTTTTAAATAAGCAACCATGCTACATAAATCACTGAGTGTAGTTGATTCATCAATTAGTATGGAACATTTTGCATTTGTGTCAATAATATTTTTAATAATTTTGTGTTTCATTTCTTTAGAAATATACTGAAGAATATTAGTAGATGAGTATCTAGAATGGAGGGTAAACCCTAATTTTATACCATTTAGTTCCTGTAATTGCACTAGTTTTAAATGATCATCAAATGGACGGTTATATTTGGCTATATAATAAGCAATGCAGAAAATAGAATGTGTAGCTTTGTTTATCTGGTAATCCTTTTCATCCATAAGCTTGGACAATATATTCTTGTCTTTATTGTCTAATATTTGAACAGCAGATTTGTGTGCGTTGGATTCAAAATGTTTTTTAAGTTTATTTCTTAAAACAGTGAGGCGAGTTTTCTTGTTAGTATTTGTTCCTCCACCAATTTCACATGTTGCCCATTCTTGAGATATTTCAATCTTTTGAGAGGTTTTTAATTTACTCACTTTTCTGCATATATCACATCCAATTTTTCCATCAGCACAGTAAAGTCCTTTAAATTTTTCTTTTTTTTCTGTCCACTGCACTGATGTCCACTCAGATGGCCACAGTAAATCCTGACAGTCAGCTTCAGAAGACTCAACATTGTCTAATTTAATATATGGAGAAGATGGCTAGGAAAACAGATTTTCATTTACATACATCAAATAAAACCATTTAAGTATATAGTTAAATCAGGTACCATTCAGAATTTCCAGTATCTTGAATAAGAGATATTTTGCACCGATATAATTTTTAATTAAAAATTAATTAATATATTTATTAAAAATAAATTAATTCAAATTATTTGACGATAGTTGTAACTTTTAATAAATTACCACAATTAATAATCATGAAAAAGAAAATATTAAAATTACGGTTTCTAATTTGTATGTGTAGTATAATATACAAATTAGGTTAGTACAGTAGGTACTACTTTGACTGAAATAAATAATAATTGAAACGTGAAGTGTTTTCTATTAACTTAAATTCTACTGAACGGTTTTAACCCTTTACTGCATTCATTTTTAAAATTAAAACAAATAATTATTTTTAAATTACTTTTTGCTCATTAAGTATGAGAAAAATAACTAAAAATGTAATTTTAATTTTATTAAGTCTCAAATATGCAACTATATGTACCTATATGAACTACCTAAGCATTGTATAGTACTAGGAGTTTTTACATTTTGTTATAGAGCAATAGGTACCTATATTGTAAAAAACAAAATTTAAAATGCATTTTTCTATAAAAATGTATACCTACCTATTTGAAAAAAAATAGAAAATATATCTTTAAATAGAAAAATAATAATGCAAAACAATTGATAAAAAAGAATATAATTTTTATATAAATGTGAAAAAAAAATGTATATGAAGTAAACAAATATAATAACAATTTTATGAATACGTCATTATGTTTTTATATTATAAACAAAATAATAACAAATAATAGAAAAAGAAAACAATATACCTTATACCCTTATTTACGAAATAGATGACAATAATTGAGCTTCTACTTCGTTAGACGCCACCTAAATAGCGCACAAGTAAACGAATTAATAAAATAAAGACAATTTAAAATGTATTACCTAATTAGTTTTTATAGTTACTTATCTCAACATTTTCTAAACGGATTTTTTTATTTTATATTTGTAGAAAAATAAGAAAATAAAGTGTTTTTTTTTTTTCGTGTGTGTGTAGAATCCATATTGTAAACACTTAACACTTCACTTCACAAGCCACAGATAAAAAAAAAAAAAAAATTATAAGAAACAAAATGTAAAATAAATAATAATGGAAGACGAGCAACACCGCAGGAAGTCAGCACTCGGAATAGCGCTCGCCATACTATCTGGAATATTCTCGTATAGAAACGTCCAATGGCCACCTGTAGATATTATAATTTGGTACCTAATGAATACGGCCAGACGATAATCGATAGCTATAAATAATAACCAATTACCAGTGTTATTATTAAGCAATATTAACCTACCAATAACAAATTTTCTAAAAATAAACGTGTGCCCTATGGATTTACCCTTCATGTTTATAATTCTCTTCATTGTTGATAGTGTGTTTTTTTTCTTTCTATTTATGTAGTAGGTATACGAGCGTATACGTGGTTAATATTGGTGTTACTTTTATAAAGCACACGCTAAATCACCATGATGGTTCACGGGTACGCGTCGTATACCCGCGTGTGCCCTCCAAAACGCCACTGCCCGTATGTTTTTACTAATAGCTAATCTAACAATTATACAAACAACAGTAGTACTCGTTGTCCGACTACGACTATTGCGCGGTTTATTAATAATTCGTTTTATTTATTATTCCTACTAATTTATTTTTATTCGTATTTTATTGCAATTAAAATAACGGCTTTGCCATTCATAGCGGTCCAATAATTTTTGGGGGCCCACCGTGATTCGTTCAGTAACTCGCTTGCCCGATTCGCGGGCCTGTGGTTGTTCTAGATAGGTTTTAGTGTTTTTATAGTCAAATAATTCACTCGATTTTCTTTACTTTGTGATGGACATTTTTTTTTTTTTTTTATCGAGTTTACAAAATAGATAATCAATTATTAAGGTCTTTGCACCGATTAATTTTCACTGTTTGCTATTAATCGAACGATTTGCGCAGTACAGGAGGTGCCGCTGTAAAGAAAAAACAACGGACTCGGAATGAGCAGAGCGAAGTAACGTTTTCTGGTTAATATAGAATAATTATAGTATATAATATTTTATGCATACCACGCAATAAACATTAATCGTTCTTAGCGGCATAAATAAATTACTGGTCGTTGGTTTACTGCGTTTTACTGTACCTGCCTAAAGTCGTTGTCCGTTATTAAGCCAACGGGGAAAAATATTACTGTTCGCGTCTAGAAAGTGTCCGTTAATGACGGGTTTGAAATATATTTAAATTTTAAACACCTACCTATCCTAACCTAACTTTCTGCCTTATTATTTTGTCCATTATAATATAGGTGTCCGTTATGGCAGATTTCATTGTACCTTCCCAATTTCCACCTGAAACACAGCGGCACACCAATCACAACGCGGAGCATCCATATTTCGGTATTATTTTTTTTCGTTTTAAAAATCTGTCAAATATACAGACAGGCAACTGATAGGTGTTCTTTATTCCTTGTATCATTACAATATTATACTGATATAAGTTTCATATAGCTATGCAAATTAATATGAATTATGAGTTGTAGTCGTATATATATAGAATTTACAAAAAGGAAAAATATATTGGCTGCTATTTCGACGTATTTGTATAAGTTTAATCGATGAAGTATGGTGACAACTGACAGTATCTACAGAATTAATGGCTGATGCCCGCCTGAGGTGGCTGGTTACGTTTTCTTTTCGTATTCCTTAACAAATCTCATGTGAAAAATTTAAATTAAATATTGGTAGGTTTTTTTTTTTTTTTGATACTTCAAATTTATGTTGGATAAAGATCGATCGATATTAAAGTATTTGTATGTTTTATTTATGTTGGGTAATATGGCGTGATGAAAAAAAAAGCAATCTAATAAATCCTATAAATATTTCAAAAAAAATAAAAATATTTTAAATTTATATCGATTATATTTCATACGAAGACGAATATTCTTTTAAAAATAATATAACGTTATTAAGTATAATATAATTATCGAACATGATATAATTTCTAACTCTAAAGTTATTTTTCGTGTTTCAATAAATTTATAAGCATTTTTTTCTTGTCATAATAAAAATAGGTAAAACAGAATACCGAACGCCAAATGAGCTTTTAATTATTAATTTCGGGTTAAGCAGCGCTTAACGTTCTTGTGCTCAACATGTTATAGGAATTATGACATGTCCACCAATGGTTTTTATTTAATAAAACATTATAAGTTCCACAATAATATTAACTGTATAAATAGAGTGGGTATATACCAATATAAATGCACGAGTTTTAAAGCGGTTTGGAATGATTGGTTTTATTTTAATCTCCATTTGCTTACCGATTTTACTCATAGGTTAGTATAGACGATACATGTGTACAATAATGTTTTTTTGTTTTAATTTCTGAGCAGGTTGAGGAATTTATTTGTTTTTATTGTCTGTATTTTAAAAGGATTGACGATGGTGTTTATTTTAGTTGATTCAGACATATAGATCAGATAATACTGTAGATGCTTATATTGTGTTTGATGGGTTTCAATTTTGAAAACTAATTATGATTCTTTATAGGTTTTTTACTATTGTATGTACTACTTATCTACGTCTACTACGTACTATAGTTGTTGGAAATGGATAGTTAATTTTCCTTTTTACTTTTCAGGCGAAAATTTAAAAACAACAGATTAACATTAAATAAAAATTAATACTTACTAAAATAACAATGTAATGGTAAAATTTAAGTAGTAATATGGGTAGGTACTATTGACCTGCAAGGGCCATCAATTTTTAGTCCAGTCCGGTCTAACAGTTTTATTTTTAAGCCCGGTCCAAAAAAAAAAAAGCCCAAGCCCGACCCAAAAATAATGCTAAGCTTTTTAAAAAGCCCGAGGACATTTTATTTAAACCCGGTCCGAAAAGTTCCGTGTAAAAAAAGCCTAGGCCCGGCCTAAGAATACTTATTTTAAGCCCAGTCCGATTCGGTTAAAAAAACTGAACTAAAAAAAGTCCAGGCTCGGCCCGGTTTTATGTTTCTATAAGGCTTTGGTCCGGTTCAATTTATTACGGGCCGGGCTCCACAAATACACAATTTATTTATAATACAACATAATACATTTTCTATACAAATAAGGGAACCGAATCAAATTTTATGTTCTTGGAATTGTTTTAATTTTTATTAGTATTGTGTCTACATAGTATATATAGGTACATACCTATAAATTACTCTGAAATAAACTGAAATAAATACCAAATTTTGTGTTCAACAAAAATATAATATATTTATTTGACTAGGTACCTATTATAGGTATGCATAATAATAATAATAATCGCGAACAATGTTTATAGGTAATTATATAATATATCAATTCCAATTTAATATTATTATTTTAATGTATAATGTAATCCACAACAAATTTGTAGGATACATTTTCATCATTGACTTAATATAGTATTATAGTGACATATTAGCGTATATTTGTATAATATAATAATAATTAGATATTTTATTAGTAAATATAATTAGACAGTGGCATCCTGAGACTCTTCTTGTGTGTGTGTGTGGAAGGGGGGAATATATTTTAAAAAAAGTCATGTAATAACTGTACAAGAAATATTATTAATAGAAACGGCAATCTAGTATTGCAAATGTTTTAATTTATGGATATTTTAATTTAAAATACAGCATTGAAATTCATAAAATAAGCAATTTTTAATTTTTTTAAAACGATGCGTTACACACTTACATACCTATATTATACGGACCATGGAATTAAATGTTTCCCTCTCAGGTACGCCATTGTACATAGATAAATATAGATATAATATAATAATAAAATAGGAGTTCAAAACCAGCGTTTATTAATAATAATATAACTATAATAATAATTACAGACGAAATCTATTATAAATAAATATGGATAAAACCCATCTAATATAACACTTTTTATTTTCTCAAAGTACCTGCCTACCTACCCATTCAAAATAAATAATATAGCCTGCATAATAGTATTATTATTATGTTACTATATTTTGGTATAAGTGTAAGTAGGTAATGGGTATTCATTTAATGTATAATAATACGTAAATATGCAAAAATTTCTAACGATATTCACGAATATATCATATGCTTGTGTATAAATATTTCGGTAAGATAGGTGTCATATAATATTATGTTGGCATATTATTATACGGAGTCAAATCAATAGTAACCATAAATACTTATAATAATAATATTACATATATATATATATATTTTTTTTTTATGCTGGATATTTATTATTTCGACACATCTAGTAGAAAGAAAAAAAAATGAAAAAAGGGTATAATTTATTTATAGATTTATAGCTATAGTTAATATTATATTCGTTTAGTTTAGAATAAAACAAATTATCGTTATTAATAGGTTATGTATTCAATTTTCAATAATGAATGAATGAACCTTCGTGAAGGTAAAACATTATACATTTCTATATTATCATTAGTATTAAATTATATTTTGATTTGTTTATAAGGCTATACGAATTATTTTTACCAAAAGAAAAAAAAAATTATTGACTTTTCGTATCAGTTTTACTTTAGAAGTATAAGTATGCGCTAAGACGACGTTAAAATATATTATGTTTTTAGCTTTATTAATTATTTTTTAACAATATTATAAACAGTAGGTACCAGTAACAAAGTCGCAAAGAGGATTATTTTAGCTTAGGATAAAATAATAATAATAATAATAATATTTTAATAATATGCGTATATTTGAAAAAAATAATTTTAAACTAATACTGGACGTCCAGCTAATATAGCTACAGAATTTCACATATTATAAAAAAGAAAAGGGAATTCAAATTTTTAATTATATCAGCTCCTTATTTAGGTTTAATATTGTGTTATAAATTGTAATTATTATATTGAATTTTATATATTTAAAAAAGCAATGTAAGTTAAGGATTTTGTTTACCTCGGTCATTGCAGTACCTCTACCTATTGTTTATCAGCGGTAATATTTTATCAAGTACCCAGTTGAACCTATTATTATAGAACCTATTATATTATATTTCGTAACTATATGTGGTTCAAGATTTCAAATGTTTCACATTATATTAGATATTATTCGTTATTTCACCGAGTAGGTACAAACATATTAAATTTAGTATTTCGGGAAAATTTAGACAATGAATTATTATATTATTTTTTTAAATTATCCGGTCACTGCACTCGCGGTGCTCCATTTTAAGAGAATACGAAATTTGATCTAGAGGACGAATAAGATGATATACGATATTATGAATATTCGTTAACTTTTAATTGAATGAGTCAAGAAGGAATATATATCTGAGTAGCTGGAAATCTATTATTAAAAAAAATAAATCACATTGAATCCGAATGTAAAACTCGTTTAAATGTCATTAGATGTGGCATAATATATATTTTAATGAAAAGGGATCGTATGAATACTAAATCGTATTGACGAGTTGGACAAAATTGAGTTATTCGCATTGTATGGCACCCAATATATATATATTTTTATCTTATGCGGTTAATTATTTGTTATATCTACTGAAGCTACATTATTGCAACGATTATATTATACTTAGATACCGTTGGTAAACATTATTATTACATAATAAATGCAAAGATAATGCCATATGTGTACGTTTTATTTAAAATTAAAATTGATTTTTTTTTTCCTATATGCACATTTTAAGTAAATTTTAAGAGTTAAATCAATATTATAATGAAGTATATTATTTATGTATAGTTATAAATATTGTATCTGTTGTTTCGATTTATAATAAAGAGAAGGAGCTAAGTATATACTGTATATAGTTACGGGTCTTATGTAGAAAAGCTTCAGAGGCACCGCGGAAATAATTTCAAATATTTCGGTTCGTTTTCAAAATATAATATTAATTAAATGCATCAGTATGTTGTTGTAATATAATGTGATGGTTTCTGTTTGTACATTATTAATAATAAACGTCGATGTGTGTAGGGGCAGATCCAGAAATTATTCAAGAGGGGAGGTGATAATTCAAATTTATTCAATATCAAATTTAGTCTTATTATTCCACAGGGAAGTGATGCTTATACTAATATTGTTGTATAATTATCGGTTTGAGTATCATTCATTTATTAGTTGATATTATTTGTTATTTTAATATATATTCAAGGGGGTGTGGTATAATTAACCAGGTAACTCCCCTTGTATCTGCCCTCATATGTGTGTGTGTATGTGGATATAGTTTATTATAATATTGTGCACGGCGAAGAAAAATCGACTGATGAACGGATAGTATTTTTAAATTGAAAAGTTTTTTTTTCCTTAAGTATGTATTATTAATATAAATATGTACGTATGTGTGAATAATAAATTATGTGTATTTTAAGTAAGGCCGATTACGGAAAGTCCATTGATTCTTCCGAGTGTTGTAGCGCCAGTTGCAACCGTCTGTCGATTTCCGCGGCAGCCGCGGTAGCCGCCGCCACCGACGACGGTCCCCCGGTGGCCGTGGCCGGTGGCGTAGACGCGGCACCCCCGTCTTCCTGTTGTTGGTCTTTGAACGGGTCCAGTTCGCCTCTCATTTCGCATATGATCTTGGTCAGGGCTATGATGTAGTTTTTGGCCAACGTGAGCGTTTCGATTTTCGATAATCGTCGGTCCTTTTTGACGTGCGGTATCACCTCCCTGAGTGACTGTAACACATCAAAACGGTACTTATATATTTTAACATAACATAATGTAGCAACAAAAATAAACAAACGAACGAACAAATAAAAACCAAAACAAACGTAAAATTAAAATTGCCATTGCAGTCTGCAGTAACTTTGGTCGAACGGCTCTATTCAGCACCTGCAAAAAGCGCGTGGGACACTATATTAATATTTGTACTTATATCCCAATTTACAGAGTCCCTTTCAGAATACCAACCGTCGGTCCCGATTGGATATAACAAGTTTGGTTTGTTCTGTTATGATGGTTTGGTTTGGCGAAACAATACGACGGATTAAGTTATTTGATTAGGTTTGAAAGCGAAGAAAAAAATCGGGGATAAATAATTTTCCAAAAAACCACGGCAATGCTGGCGATATTGTATATTATGATACGAATTCTGCAGACAGAACGATGGGATGAAGAAAACGGGTGTTTTAGAAATGAGAATAATTCTAATAGATGGATGAGTGGATTCGCCAGCAAAGAAGTAAGAATGAGAAATTAATTCCTAAGGAGCAGCGCGCATAGGCGTTGTTTCGATTGACAATAAGATGGGAGAATAAGTACAGACATTTGATGTAAATTAATGCGTGGAAGAAAGCAGGCCTCAGAAGAGAAATGTTATTGATAAGTAAATGGTTTGATATATTATTAAAAGTGATAATATGAAGATTGCTGATGAGGTGTGTAATATTCTTATACGATATTATCATTATAGAATACGATGTTAAGTGGAGATTTAGGACTGACATGACTGACCCAAAAAATAAACGAATGTGACAAAAAAAAAAAAACATAAAATAACCCAATATAGCTACTTATATAAACTACCCACGTACCATTATTTCCTACTACATCCAATATATATCCCTATGGTTCCATTTATTTTTACCAATTTCGTAGTATACGAATACTAATATTTAGTTATTTCATATTGAGCAACCAAATACCTCTAAATCATAAGCAATTGCTTCTCAAAGACCGCATTCTTTTCACCATTAAATTGTAAAAAAGAAAATAATTTACAGATACCTAATATACAGAATGTCCCACATTGCGATATATTGAAAAGCATTAACTTTTGTTCGATTTTTCGTTAGACACCTTCAGAAACAAGTAGCTCTAAAATGTTACATTTATATTAATTTTGGTCACCCTTAATCTCGAGGATAAACAGACTACCTACTATTGATTTTTAAACGGTAAACTATAGCAAAAATATCATAAATATACTAAGTAAGTATTAGTTTAAATTTATTTTAGTGTTGACATTTTTAATTTCAATTAATCTGTTGATGATATATTTCACTTTCAAATTTGGGTAGGTAGAAAGTAGAGGATCACTATTAAAACTCCACGTGCTGTACCATCATACAAATTTTGCTTCATTACTCTTTTTCTACCGAAACTTTAAAATGTAATACCTCGTTAACGGTTTAATGGAAATCAAACATTTCAACACCAAAATGTATTGAAACGGTCTATCTTCGTAGGGCACTGTATAAATTATATAATTACGTCACATGAGACGATAGAGATATTAGTTTTGGTGTCTACGCGCGTCGAGTATTTGCGATATTGTTTTACTCAAATACTACAGTCCGTAATTAAAATATGTCTGTATATAAAGATTAAGGAGTATTCATCCGGAGAGATTTCCGCGGTTACGAAACATGAGCTGTACCTGCAGTTATTTTACTATCTACTATTCGGTTACATAATACCGTCACATTACGTTTATGGCTACAGTAGTTTAATCTTTTGTCTATTGGCTATTCAGTGGCTGATTTATGAGAGGGGCGGTCCAAGGGGTCTGTGCTACCTTCAGACACTGATATAATTTTAATATAATGTTATTTAAAAAAGTAAAAAAGAGGTATCTATTGATAGATTAGAAGATACCTTTAAAAAGTATATATTTCAGGATCCCTTCCAGAAAAATGTTGAAAATCTCCCACTGGGTCTATTTATATCTATAATATATATTACGAGGTTTCAGCGAATCCCGTAGAGAAGTTAATGTTTGAGTGTTTAGACTATACCTCCTTGAGTAATATTTCCACAGAATACGTATTAAATGGCATAGATATATCGGCCACAAAAAACATTAATTACACCATTTTAAATATAACAATGTATTTGTTGATAAACTTGTATTATATACATGGCAAATGCGTATAATTTATTGATTGTAAGTTGTAATATTCAAGTTTAAAACGCAATATTATCTATTAATTTCGATCAGCTTTTAGCCTGCATATTGTTATGGTTATTGATTTTATGTTCGTAATAGACGAAAACACTTCGCTGCACGTATAATATATTATTATACTTATTGAAAAATATGTCACGTTTTATATTTATCAAGTTGAAAGGTCAGCCAGATGTGAGATCGCTAAAAAGATTTAATGTCCTATTTGTTTTTTACGTGTTTTCCAGTCCATCTACTATGAAAAAATCCTATAGTTGCTTTACTGGCTCCAGTGTTGAATCCAGACAATTTATCTGGGGGGGGGAGGGTAAATAAAATTATGGTAGTGACATTTTTTTTTTGCTTATACAATTTATCCACAACCACATTTAACGGGGGGGGGGGGGCAAACAAAACATACCTGTAGATTCAACATTGACTGGCTCCATATTATACACGTTTATTAAAATAAAATCATCAGATTATAACGTAATATTTAAAATTTTTTTATTTTCCAGTTTTTATTAAAGCACTTAAGTGTTTATATATTTTTAGTAACTGTTGAAGTTCATATTTATCGATTATTATGTAATTATATTTATTTATTTTACATTTTTAGATTCTGAGTGGAACGAAAGTATATTGGTTTTTTGATTTTACAATGAGGTTTTTTTTTTTTTTTTTTATGTGAACACTTTTTCTACCAGAAAGCTTACTCCGATTATCAAGTATAGCACCTTTTCTAAAAGGAAATGTTCTTTGGGTAGTACTTTAAAAAGGTAATTTTTAGAAATTCTCATTAATATTTGAGATAATGAGGAAAACCTGGTTCTTCAGGTTAAAAAAGATTGAAAGATTTAAAAGGACGGACATACTTCAAAGGTACGTGCAGTCACTGTTGTAGGTGGGAAGTTGGGGAGGTAGAATACAAACGGGAATTTGATGTATATCTATTTAATAATAATTATTATTTAATATTAGTAATAATAATAATAATAAAATATGTTCTAGAATAATGGGGTTAGCAGTGGGGTGCGGCCACAGTTATAAGTAATTTAATACATATCTATAAGCAACGATAAATTTAATTGCTTACGAAAAACCGATTCTAAGCGGAATTCAGTTGATAGTGTTGCTTTGTAAACAATATATATATCATATTATGGTAAAATGATTACAACAGCGTTTCCATGATATCAATGATTGTTTAAAAAATATTTAAATAATAAAAACTTAATAATAACAAAAAATAAATTAAAACGGTTGCCACTGACAAACTTATTTTTTATCTTTCAATCATTCAATCTTTTTTAACCTAAAGAACCAGGTATTCCTCATTGTTTCGAATATTCATGGGATTTTAAAAAAAATGACTTCTCTAAAGTACCACACAGAGAACATTTACTTTGAAAAAAGATGCTACACTTGATAATCGGAGTAAGCTTTCTGGTAGAAAAAGATGTTTGATTATTAACCTTAATTTTCTGAATTTCTGAATTTCATTTAAAAAATCTGTCCTAGGATATTGGAAACGGGTGTAGCTACTGTTGTAGGTGAAAAGTTAGGAAGATAGGATACAGAAAGGAATTTAATGTATACCTTTAAGTAACGATAAACGATAATTGGTAATGAAAAACGATTTTAAGCGGAGTTCAGTTAATATAGTGATGCATTATCAACAATGTATATGTCATATTATAGTAAAATAATTAAATAGGTATTATGTATATTTTTTTAATAATATTTGTTTAATGTTCTACACTTTTCCCGTTTTTCTCTTCTTTTCCTTGTTTTTCACATTTGTTGAGAAAACTTCTGAGAAAATCGAAAATATTCAATATCAATTATATATTATAATACTTATTTAAAATCATTATCTAATATATATGTATATTATATTTTATACGTGTACCTATTATATATACATATACATATAATAATTATTATTTTTTATACAAATCTTAATTAAAAATTAATTGATTGTAGGTACCTGTAAGAATGTACCTTGATAATAAATAATAAAAATAATGCAAATTGCCAATTTGATTAGGTACTTAATTTCAATTCCAGTCGCATAAAATTACGTTAAATATTTTAAGATGTTCACCTCAAATTATCTGTTTCGTAATACCCGAGTTATAAATTAAAAATATTTTTCATTAAGTTTCTCATAAAAAATATTTAAAAAATAGTGCTGAAATATTATTGTAGGTGAGAAGTTGGAAAAGTAGGTTATTTAATTTATATCTGTACGTAACGATAAGTTATTGCTAACGAAAAACGATTCTCAACATATCATAACCTTTGTCTTTGGAATATATTTTCTGTAAAATTATCGATTGGAAATACGAGAATTTGTGCTGTTTTTATACTGCAACTGAAACACACTATGCACATAATATAGGTACTAAAGAGCGCAAAATAAATATTATATATATATATTTTTTTAAATTATGTACAAAACTCGCAAAATTAAGATGTCTATAAATAACGAAAAATGGCTCTAAAATAAAATAAACATCTCAATAAAATCAATACATTCTTATTTTCTCAACCTACCCTATCCTAACCCTACACTCTGAATCTAAAATATAATATTTTTTGTATATGTATGTTATGTATATTTTTCTTACATTAAAACATAGAAACGATATACTCTTACACAACGCAATTTCGATTTAGGGAAAAAAAAAAATCTAAATTTTCGACGTTGGCGTATCGTTTGGAGAATCGTTCTGTTTACCTATTGCTTACAGCTTATTGTTTTACAGCAGTGTATGTGTCACTATACTATGTCTTCCGTCATAATAACTTCGTTACAATCTGATTATATAGAGTTTGCGAACCTGCGTAAAGAATGTAAAAAGTTATCGTTACTTTGTAACTCTAATTATATTCTTAAATTAGAAAATAACATTTTAACTAATATCAAACCATTTTAAAAGTACATTAAACAGCTTAAATCTAATAAATCTCCCATTCCTGAAAATATGCCGTACAATAATATTACTGCCAGTAGTTTCGATGAGTCCGTTCAATTATTTGCTCAATTTTTTTTCCAGTGTATACTCACCTCTTACCTCAAATACTAATGTGATTACAAATTATGACGCTCTAAACATGAATACTAAATTAAATCTATCTTCGTGGAATATTAGTGAGGATGAAATTTACGATACTTTATGTACGTTTAACGTTTATAGTAGTGTGGGTCCTGGTCGTGTGCCACCTATTTTTTTTAAAGAAATGCTAAAGAATTTAAAAATGTTCATGCATTTAAAACGCTCTATTGCTCATTTGTTAGGTCTAACTTAAAATTTGGTTCATCGATAAAGGGTCAAAATTCCACTGATGAACTTGTTGACAATATTCAATATCAATTCCTTAAGTCAATTGCCTTCCGTTTAAATTTACCTATTTCCAGAGATTCAATGCCATTAGTAGCGGATTCTATTTATATTGTGTGGTAGGCTACATAAGGTAGCAGACGTCTTATTCGTTTATGATCTCAATAATAATATTGATTGCCCTGATTTATTATGTAAGATCGGTATTTATATGCATAAATTTTCGATTAGAAATTCAAATTAATTTTTTGTATCTTTAAAAAAAAAAAATTGCACCAATTCTTTTTTCTTGAGAGCGCTTTTACTTAGTAATCTAATTTGTACTAATGTTGATTTCTTTTTCATGTCTCGGGAATGCTTTAGGTCAAAAGCTTTAATTATTTTTTCAAACTAAAACTAACTTTATATTTTTTGTGTCATATTACTTTATCAATGTACATTTTATTAATTTATAATATTACTGTATGTATTTTTCTTTCCCTTTTTTATTCTATTTTTTTTGTTATTCTTGATATTATCATTATTTATTGTATTTAAAAGGCTATTGTCTCGTAAAATGTTAATAATAAATTAAATAAACAATATATAAACATACAATACGACGCATTCGTGTGTCACGTGCGTTTTATCCTTTCGAAACGAACAATCGGTAATACAAATATACTCGTTTGCTGTTCAACGACTCGACTAATTGTTTTCATTTTTTCGTTGTTTTTGTTTACGATAAAATAGGTTGTTCTGAGTTTCATTTTTAATTAAATGCTATCATTGTCTTGTTAGTTAATAATACTTAGTTTTTATTACCAACTAGGTATAGGTATGATAACGAACAAATAAAGTGATGCATGTTAAATTTAACAACTCGATAGCCAGTCGGTATAGTTTATTATACAAGTTAAGAAAGGCCACTATAAGCGTACTAAATTCCTGGTTTCTAAACGTATCTATTTTAAACAATAAATTATAATTCTATACAAAATCACATACATCCGAATTAAAAAGACTCGCCATTTTTAAATGACATGATTTCTTTGTATTATTTACAGGATATTTTATTTATATTTGATATTTAAACGTTAATGTGTTTTATTTGTTCCTAATTGAAACTGTTTACATTTTTCGGACCTAGTATAATTGCCGTGATATTAAAATTGTTCGTCAAAATTTGAACTTTATAAGCGCTAATTTCCGAAACTCTCCTCACTAAATCGTCTACACTTAAAATATTAGGATATGAAATAATTGGAGCAGATTATCCTGATAGAACAGCCCATGGCAAAGCTGCACTAATAATCTCCAATCAAATTGAACACTCCCCTAGTCCACCACGCAGGAGCATCAATATTCAATCAGTTAGCACAACATTAAAGATAAATTCGGTTAGGTTCATAACCACCATAGCTTCCTATTATTTCCCTCGAGAATATCATTTCCTAGGCTTGAACAAACTAATTTGTCTAAGAATCACTAATAAGAGATTTACAAGAATCACTTATCTCTTGTAAGAAATTTATCATGCTTTATACGACGAGATATTTTCGCTGTGTAGTTAGTAGCAAAAAGTAAATTTTGTAAAATTTGGGGAAGGCTTAGGCTCCCATAAAATTGACTATGTATACTTAGTATTTACTTGATAAGGACTTTATTTGAGGGGATTTGTGTTTCGGGGGTAAAGTCTCCTGTTTATGCTAATGAAACCTAGTATATAAAATTGGCCAAGGGTGTCATGGAGGGTAGTTATAACACTGCATATATATCAGCAAAATCAGTCTTTTTTTTCATCCCGTACCAATATGACCATTAGTATAAAATCAAACTATATTATTCTAATTGAAAATTAATTTGTGCCGGTATATATAATTTACACAAACTTCATTGTTATGAAAATTATATTAATATATATTGTACAATAGGTATATTAAATTTTTTATAACACAAACTTGCAGGGTTATGAAACTTTGAATTGAATTACAAATTACAATAGTAGTCAGCTTTAGCCTAAAATATTAACGCTTTCTAATTTTAAACACGTGACGAGACGCAGTACTTATCCGATAATTTTCCACGAACATTAATCATCGCAAATAGGTTCGGTATCAACGGTGAACGGCCACTTAGATTCCCAAGATACAAATAACACAAAAAGTTCACTAGTTGATACGGGATCTAAATTACTAGATGGGAAATTAGTTGACCGCAGCGGAACTAGTCGTCAAATGGATTTAAATTTAAGGCTGGATCCCTGACTAACTAAATTTTCGTGGTTATCTAGACTCCCCGTAAATCCCTGTGAGTCAATTAGTTTCCCTGTCAACTATATTGTCTTAGGCCATTTAGATCTATTTGAATAGTCACCTTAATTCCCAATATCTAAATGACATGGAAAGCATATAGTTGATATGGGAAATAATTTACCTAGATTCTGAATCTAGTTAACCACTGAAATTTACATAATCATGAAAATTAAGCGATATGGTCCCTATATTATATTATAGATATTCTAATCTAAGTTTTTTTTAATAAAGTCTAATCCCGTACGAGGTAGATAAGTATCATAGTAGATGACCGCAGAAAATTCACAGGAAACAATTTTCTGCTGGAAAATTCATTTCTTGGACAATAAAATTCATTGATAGTACGATTCACTGTGAATTAAATTTTTGTCTAGTATATTATGGTAAAATTTTTTAGTAAATATAATTAAAATAAAGTATAAATCAATTAACTTTATTTTTTAGTATGGTGGTAATTTTTGTCCGAACCGAATATAGAATCGTACAAAATTCAGTAAAAAATATTTATAGAGATAGACATTTTGACCGGAAACTTATATTAGCCATTAATAAATATGGTAATATTTTCAAAATATATTACGGAGTTTTTCCAAAGTAAGTACTATGAGGATACAATTGTCATTTGTCTGACCAAACAGAAATGCTGAAAAATTTAACAAATAAAGTTTTATTATAAGTTATAGTTGGTAGTCTAAAATACAAATTTTAGTTAAATAAATTAGTTTTTTTTTTATAAATGTTTTAAGATCAAATTTTGTTAAAAATCGTAAATATTACGGCATTTAAAAATATCTATAACTGAATTTCGTTCTGAATCGTATTTCATTAACAACGATTTGTCGTTTCTTATAGGTATAAATTAAATAACTGTATATGTACCTTACTTTCTTAACTTCCTACCTATAGGCTACAATACTATCAGCTTATTTTTTTTTTTTTAGGTCTTATTTTTACTTTTTATTTTCCTTCCAGGAATAATTACGATCTTTTTTTCACATACGATTTATTATAAATATTACAGTTTTTTTAAATAGAATTTGTAGTTTTAGGTATTTTATAAGACTTAACGCTATAATACTAAATTAATCGATCAATATCTATAAGTGTATAAAATATAAACTATAAAACGAGGTGAATATAGAAAGTATTAAAACTTCAACGTTCTGTGAAACTTTTTAGTCTAAAGTTATTTATTTTGTAGAACAACTGCAGCCTATATGGGTATTATACCCTGTGTTACACGCATATTATACACATTGGATTTTATACTAACGGATCTTGCAACATACTTTTGTAAGTTATCCTAAAATCGATCGGAGTGCGTCACACATTAATTTCATGAAGCTTAAAACCAGGGATTTTCAAACGTTAACGTGCCGGTTTTTGAGGATCGGACGAAAAATAAATTTGATTCATTTGTTCAACTGATTTTTTAAAATCAGTAACACGTCTTAACCAGCATTAAATGCTAGTTAATATAAATGTTGTATTATTTTCGTAACTCGATTTCCATAGTAATTTAATTCTACGTTTTTTCATTAGAATTTGCAAGTACGTTGTTTTAATATAAATTATTAATTTTTTGTTTTGTTTTTTTTTTAATAACTAAATTTTTAATATTTTGTTTGAATAAATTATGGGAAACAAAAATAAAACAATTTTAAAATATATTTTCTTTTGTTTATGCATATTTTAGTGCTTTGAACAACGATGTCTTAAGGGCAATAATATTATATGTTCTGAAGCCTGATAATTATTATATTGTTATATTTTTTTCTGTTTGTATTGAGGAGAATAGGGAGTTAATTTATTAATTATAAAAAAAAACTGTAATAGTTTTCGAGTGAAAATGTTTTTAAATACAAAATTATTTGCACGATTAAAAAAAAAGTCGAATATTTCAAAATGTGTAAAACTATAACAGTATAGCAAAATAAAATATAACCGCCATCACGCTCGGTTAATGTTATTTGTGTCTACGGAAGCGGAAAAAATAAAAACATTTTTACGCGTTTGAATAATTCCATATTTAGATTTTGGTTAATATTTATAATGAATAATGAATTCATTAATAGGTATAAACTTGCAATAAATTATTATAGGTACTGTCTGTACTAAAAGTCAATCGCGGGGAAGTTATCTAAAAAAATAACTATATTATCTAGAAAAAATATAGACTTCAGACAATTTTGTTTTATGAATGTTAAATTTAATTGCATGATTTTAATTATTTCGGCAAATTTGATCGACTTGTTTTTAATGCTTTCAAAATTGAATGGTTTTGGGTTTAAAAATAAAAAAGGCGGAAAATCTTTGATTCGCATTGGGTCACTATTGTTGGTTGAAAGTTTGAAATATGTATACATTATACCTATAATATATATGTATGATACAGGGAAATATAGTTTATATTATAAATTAAAAAGCGTCTACAATTACGATAAAACATAGTAATGAAAAAAAAAAAACCGATAATTTTAAATTATCGGTTTTAACTACAATTAAAAATTCCAAAATCAGAATTAGAATCAGAATATATGCAAAATATAACAAAAAAATGGGGTGACCACGCTTAGTGAAACATTCTGTATATATATATATATGTATGTATTTACATACCTACATATTGTAGTAATTGAATTTTCCTGGGTTACCATAGCAACCGGTGCGAAGTGTACAAAACACCGTTTATCTCGAACATCTCCACCATCTCCGTTGTGCATAAAATAAACAAATCATCGTTATTCCTTTAAGCCTGTAACCTTACGCTCACAACTGCATTCTTCAGTCTTCACGCGTTTACACAACAAATTTATAAAAATGTAATTTTACTCTTTTCGTTTTTACTAAAAGCCTTCTAAAACAATTGCCTCATTTCACTCTCCAAATATACCTGTAGTAATACGTATATTATGAGTCATATAAAAATTTAGAGGGCAAAGGGTATTCATAAATATAAAAAATTACATATTTTAAACTATGTATTATATAAAGTTAATATGATGCATTTGAAGTGGCGGTTTTTAAATTTCGGGGAGAGGGATTAACCCCTACCCAGTATACACGTGCCTCATACGAGTTGATACTTCTCTTCTGAAGTATATATTTTTATTTAGAGCTGGGATTTCAAGGTACTTTACATTGTTTTCTAAAGATTGCTATACGATGCTTGTTCTGTTCATACCGTTTCGTGATGTATTTTTGAACGACAATGAGATATTTTATTTTGCTTTATTTGACATTTGTTGATTTTAAATTAATTTTTTAATTTTGCGCATTTTATAAGTGCATTATGTTAAAATGTTAGGGCATAAAATTATTTTTGGGGTTTTATAAGACTTACATTCCCAGCCCTAATTAAAATACATAATTAGTCGCAATCAATATAAACAACGAGTTGTCAACCTGCAACAAACGTGCTACACAGTTCGATATTTCGATTTATTTTTATGCAATTTTGTCTATAGATACCTATAATTTATAATCACAATATATTAAATGATAAAAGTGCGATTGAATATAACTTACAATTGACATACAATAATCCTGTATATTCTAGAAGCTTAGTACATCTAGCAACCTTATTAGCTTTATTTTATATACTTTTTATACACACGAATTCGATATTTTGTTTTAATAAACTCATTTTCTGACACAATTTTACATTAGGTACCTACGTATATTATTATTATATTACGGCGATTGTGTATAGCTGGTATAGGTACTGTAAACAAAGTATATTAAATTGCAAACTTAACGCTAGGTTTCAGTGTAGCTGTAAAATACGATATAATAATCGATTCGGGCGGTTTCGTGCATTTATATTAATTTTATATTCTATAAAGGCTTTAAACGATATTACTTGTCTAGAGTGGATCTGAAAAAAGGTGCAGGTTGCGAGAAACACATAAGCTTACTTTATAGACCGGCGCCTGTAATTTATTATATATTGACTGCAGCAGCAGCAGTACAGTGTCCTGGTGCTTATATTTTTAAATTGTCACTATAAAACAAATCGTGTTTGGAAACCGTCTATTCGAAAGAATAATTTTTTCAAATGGATTCGAGGTATATACATTGATCACTTTTTGATTGGGATTGTAGATTGTGTACGCTGATCAACAATTGAAATTGTTATTGTTTTTTTGAAATTTATTTGAAAAAGATAGTATATGATAGTATTATTTTTCTACTAATTGCGGTTTGGACGCGATGGGTGGTATAGTTTTTTGGCAGTACAATTATAGAACAATTATAAAATGTACAAAAAACTATATCGAGTAACTTATGGAATGTGCGTCAAATTTATTCAATAAGCCAAAATGTCAAAATTGTCTGTTCCTGAAACCTTAAATGTTCTTTCGATAACATATTTTAGACATCGGGATAAACATTAGGGTCAGGTAACGTATTCTATAGAAGAACAATTCTATAAATTATACGGTTGGATTATTACGGAGGTTAATTTATCGTTAAATTTCATGAGGGCAACATTTTTGAATTTTCACGGACTCGTAGAATAATATTGCAAACTATTATAAATTGACATTTTTGTATAATAAACCGTTTTTTAAGTTTTTTAGATGTTTCAGCATATATTATTTTAAGATACCATAATAGGGCTTATAATTATAACATAGAGTGGATGCAGTTTATTTATTTATGAATTAAAATCTGTAGTTACAAGATGATATTATTATGGTCAGTTATGAGTTTATGACATACTCGTATGATCCAACACCTCATACAAAAGAACTTAAAATTAATGTTTATAATCGTGGTTGACCAAGTGAAATGATAACCGTAAAATTTAGACAATATTATAATCAAGCGCGTATACAAAGAGGTTTTTAGAGATTCAGCCTTCTCACACTCGACATTTTATAAATATTTTTTTGTAGATTACTTTAATAGTGGGTTTTTCTGTTGGTACTAAATGCAATAAATTTGTTTTTATTATATGCCCCTGATTATAATATTATATATCATTAACTAAAAAAGATTAATTTTACTATATGAAGACAAATTTACGTGTCGTACTGGATAATAAGGTTGATTATAGTTTTTAAGGTACAAGAACTTTCGATGTAAACTATAATAAACTCCAGCTAACATACAAAACCTTTAAAGCTTGTATTAATTATAAAATCTATGAAAGATATTGAAAATTTGTATGGCCTTACGGATTAGAAACTATTTTATGAAGCCAATAAACAGTTTATACTCATGTTAATGTATTTTTTTCATATTTTATAAAATAAACGCATGCAAGTTTATTATATGTTGTATTCCCTATATAATATGATTATCATCCGTCATCCAAATGAATCCAATTAAATAAGGGATCTTTGTGATTTATCTATTTCAAATATTCAATTATTAAATTTCATAATTTTTAACCGTAAAATGTGTTATTTTATGTACCTATTCTCCATTCTCTTCCAACTTTCCTCCTGAAATAGTAGCACATCCGTCAGCAATATCAGCCTTTTTTTTTTATTCATTACGGGTACGGGTATTTTTATAATAATATATTGCGTTTATCAATGTTATCACAATGAATTTTTTTATGTTTACCTAACCGTATAGACCAAAAAATATTACTTAAGGAAATCGAAGAATCGGAAAATGATTGATATCAACCAATGATCGCAGCGTCTCTTGCTAAGTAGATCTATGCATGTCGAGTAGGTATTTTCTTATATTTACATGTAGATATATTATAATAGCAGTGTAATCCAGTATTGAAATATTATGTACCTGAAAGGCATCGTTGATGCTGTGCATTCGTAGTCTTTCCCTCTCGTTGCTTTCCAGTCTCCTGACGTTCTTGTCTTTGCCACTGGACTTGCGCTTCCTCCGGTTACCCGACCGTACTACTCCACTGCTGTTGCGGCCTTGTCCGTCCGACCCGGTACACGTATCGTCACTGATCTGCCATAGATGAATTCCACTAAATATTCTATATAGCGTAAACACAGAACAATATGTTCGAAGTACAGAGTAAAACAAATGGACTCACCGACGACGAGTCGGTAAGTTCGAGTTCTCGTTGGCAAGACGTTCTGGAGGATTTGCGGCAAGTTGTCAGCCCGGCTGTAATTATCCCGGTTCCGAAATTCGACTCCTCGACAACATTGTTCCGTGAATCCGAACGCATATCTGTTTACACAAAAATAATATTAATAACTGATAAGTTATCTTAAACTATACGACGTATATATGTTTTTTTTTAAACATAATAGTTAATTTTCAAATAATTCTGTTGATTTTTGAGCTATTTACAGGTATTTGACATTTATTTAATTTAGTTTTTATTTGATTTTATATTGGTAAAATAGTTTTAAACAATAAAAATGATTGGACATTTAACAGGGGGTTCATTATAAGTATTCAGTGGGGAAAAAATAAAAAATAAGAGCCACGTTGATTATTTAAATGAAATGCTGTGGTTCAAAAATTTAAACGTCTATAAATATCTCAAAAATTGCAAGTATGTTTGAACAATTTTATCATTGCAATAACAGACTAATTTAAGTATTCTATTGTAATTTTAGATCTCTATGATTATTTTTACATTTTTAAAGAATTATGACAATAATAGAATAATAGAATATCGAAAATAATGAAACCGGATTTTCTAGTTTTACTAATTAGAAAAATTGAAAAATTATCTCTTCAATGCACCTATTAGATTTAAAATGCAGCAAAAAAGGTCACTTTTTGTTTTTTGATTGGAACAAGATTTATAGACAAATTGTCTATAAACAATAATATTTATAATAAAAAAGTAAAAATCATAGCAAAACCAATCTAGCTATACGCTCAGAATTGTACTTCGTTAGTAGTCAATTATCGTCACTTACAGGTATAAATTAAATAACTCTGTGTATCCTACCTTCCCGACACTTCTTCTCACTAATAACAGTAGTATCGACTCTTTTTTTGAAAATGATTAAATGTCGTGTAAAAACCATAATGGATACAAATTTGCGGCAATTTTACTCATAATAAATTGATAATGAGTATTACCGCGTCACACTCCAGAGCCAATATTTATGGTTACAGTAATAGCGATATGCGAGTGATGGTGTTTTTTGTGACATCGTTATCGAGATTTTGTTTTGTTAAAACAATAATAATACAAAATATATCGTATCAACTATTAAGTATATATATATATGTGTGTATAATAAACGTACAGACGAATTTGTTTCTACATATATAGGTACTTATGTTATAATCAGTTTACAAACAATACGGCTCGTAATTAGTTTAACCTCGCAACCCTCGCATAACGCAACACTAGCAATTTGTTTGGTTCTTTTGTGTTCGTTTCCATAAAAAAAAACAACCCTTTGATGTCTCAAATGTAAAATGATATTATATACCATCAGCAAATGATGTAAAACTTTTTCATCTTTTATACGTTATAATGAATGTTTTTATTTTAACTTTACTAAAAAAAAAAAAAAAAAACATTCGGACTCCCTTATATTTACACGCAATTTCGGTAATTGCGTGTTGAAACAGGGTACTACACAAATATAACGGCTTAGAAGAGTCAAATTTTATTAGATTCTCAGTAATACGCGTACACCGCCACCGTTTTTAATAATTGAAAATGTTTAACGACACGCTTCGTCCCCCGCCTAACAGACAAAATATTACTTTTAGTTCTATTTTTTTTTATACAAATTATTGTATATCAAATATCATTTTATCGTTTTAACGATGTAACGTATACACGACCACAAAAAAAGAAGCACAGCTGGAAATGCAAAACTGAAACGAAATTGAAAAGTATTATGTAACGCAAAAAGACAGTAGACGTGAATTATTGTATTTATTATAAAATAATCTAATATAAAATATTTTGCGAGACTTTATAAAACGTCGTGGTCGGTATTTTTTATAAGTTTCTATTCGGGATGATTAACAGAGTATAGCTAGTGCAATTATTTTAAGGAATACATATATTATACATAGCACATATGTATAGATCTTCTGAATATTGATAATAATAAATTAGGAAACGAATTCATATACACTTAAAATTCACAAAAGAGGCTTAAGACATAAAAAAAAATCCGAAAAAAGCATTGCTTAAAAAATAATTTAAAAATCAAAAATAACAAATGTTTAAAATGCTTCCTTCTAACGGATCTCATTTATCAAATACAATTATCTACACCTAAAAAAATGACTAGAGTGAAGTAATTAGTTTTAAATAAAATCGTACATATAATCAAAAGAACCAATAGATCCCAGGTTACATTCCAAATCTAATATTAGTATTATTAAGCTGCAAAAATAAATTAAATAATAATATTTAGTTTTAAATTTTATTCTTTGAAAATTATTATTTTTTTTTTGTTAAATGTTCATTTATTTCATTTTAACTATTTCAGTGGAGATAATCCAGACACCACTATTTCTAAACCCATTAAATTTGTACTTATATCTATTTATAAATACATAAATTATAAAACATTATGTATTTATTTTAGCGTATTCAAATATCTAGTCTAAATTTTTAGTAAGTTGTTTAATGGGAACTCAGTCATCTAAGTTTTGTAAAATTTGACATTTTTTTTTACCTTTCAAAGTCCATATTAATGATATGACTTTTTCACTAATCAACTGCCTGATATACATAAGAGGAAAGGGTACGGCCATTTTTACGTTATTTATGAATTTAAAGTAGCCTGACAAAAATGTTAGTACTTATAATGTTAGTACTTTTATACAGTAGTTTGATTCTGAAAGTAGTTTGAAAATGAAAATATGTTTGAATTTATAAATAAGTTAAATTTGCATAGGCTGGAACACTTTTTTTCAATTTTATCAATTTTTTTTCGAGAATAAAACTTAAACTCGTATCTATATAGATTTGTCAATTTACAATGGTAAGTAATTAAATAAAAAATATTATTATGAAAAATATGCTTTAGTCAATACATTGTAAACTTGTTTGTAAACTCCATACATGTTTACATTTCCAAATCAAACCACAACATTAGTACCTCAATTTTTGTTAGATGTTTAAGTGTTTTTAACGAAAATGGTGTTTGCAAATGGCCTTAATAATATGTGTATAAGAATTGTAGATATTAAAAATACGTACAAAGACTTAGTCGTATAAAGGCATGTATTTTTAAAATTACGATGTATTTTTAACTATCTAACGTATACAAATAATAATTTTTTTATCACAATATAAAAATAAATCAACGTTCCAAATAGTACCGAGTAATAGGTTAGTATATAACATCACAGCTTGCAGGGTATATGTATACCGGAAAACAATAAGGGAAAATGTCCGTGGGGAGAAAACGTCCTAGATTCAACACCGCGACAAATGAGTAGAAATAGAGTGTCCAGTGTCCTTTTCCCATAGGTGGATATTAGTATTATTATTATTTGGTTATATTTGTGGACGGCTTGAATTAAAAAAATAATAACATAATACGAAGAACCATAATAACATTATTATATGTGATTTCCCACAGGCTTCGTGTCCCTTCGACTGTCACAATAATAGTATTACGTGTATTTCATTCCTATGTTTATTAAAAGCTGCTGGTGTCTGCGCAAGAACATATTAATACAAACATGTTACAATAGTAGTCTGTAGTAGTAGTGAGTTCGTGGATGGGCTCGAAGAATTTTCGAGGGGTCTAAGTAAAATATATATCCGTTCAAATTTTCCATTTGTCCCTCCTGCTATACTGCTGCGGTGCCTTGACGTTTACTTCATAAAAAATGAAACTTGAATTTAACTTGTTTGTCTATATATTGGACTGCATACAGATCCAGGTTCTTCAGTCTTATCCCATTTGTTTCCGTTAAACACGCTACACTTTGTTTAAACAGTTGTTCGCTACTTATATTATAGTATGGGATGTTGGGATGAATTCAAATTTGTGTACTTATGAGAACGTCACATAAAATATAACGTTAAGTTATTTTCTATAATGTTTACGATATCGTGAGACCATTAAAAAAAATTGTTCAATAAATAATTTCCCGGAGTTATTAATTTACTGGTATTTTGTGATATTATATGATTTTCAATAAGGATCAAATAATGTCGATGGATAAAACATATATATTATATGAGTATTTTTGATTTCTATTCTAGTCTAAAACTAACGAACATACTCCATACACATATTATATTGCCTATAGGTGATCAAATTTAATACATTCAACGTAAAACATATTAAAACTTTAGGTATTAATAACTATTGATATCTACAGTAAACGGTTTAATTAATTTAATGCCATTTAAATAATAGTTATTAATATTAAAATTAATAAATTGAAGACATAATCTAATTGATCAAAAGGGATTAGTTAGTAGGTTTCAGCCAATTGATGACATTATAATGGTTATAATTTATGATATTAAAAAAATAAAAATAAAAAAATTAATAACATAAAACCAGACATGAGCAACTTAATTTGCATCAGATAGACCGATGCAATGATTACCTATCTATCTGCGTCTCATATTCTTCCTCTTCTCTACTCGTATTTTCCATTCATCTTTATATAAAAATAAATAACGCTTACATAGTTCAATACTTCATTTATTTAGGTAGTAAAATAATAGAAGATGACCGAAGTAAAGCAAATATAGTTAACAGGATAGCGCAATAAAGATGGTTTTTCAGGGAAAAAAATCATCCCCTAAAAGTGTAGGTATGTGTGGAATGCGACTACTAAACTTTAATAAGCAGCACAAAAGAGAAAATAAAACTAGAGGCTATTAGAATGTGGTATTATCGAAAATGTTACAGATTAAATGGACAGAGAAAATAACAAACGAAGAATTACTGAACAAAATAAAGGAAAAACGAGAATTTTGTGTAAAAGTCAGAAGGAACAAACTAATAGGGCATCTACTGCGTTATGATAACTTACCGAAATGCTTCATAGAAGTTATATCACTATTTTCATTATTTTACTAATAAATTATCTTAAATTATTTTACTACGATAAACTTCACAAATTTGAGCCATATATTTTTATTAAAAGTTCAGAAAAATAATCGCGTTACTTTAAGATTAAATTTATCTCTTGCGCTTGATATATTGTTAAAAATTAATATGATAAAATTTGAACTTTATAAATCTTCGTTAATTCGGTAATTATAATATTATTAATTATTAGGAAGTTATACAATACGAGTATATACTAGGTATATAGCACATTCAGATTTACCATCTACCCACTTTTTATAATATAAAAATATTAGATTATGCAGTTCAAACCCCCATGAATAAACATGAGGTGTATATAAAGTTCTATAGTAAACCAACTGCTGTCAAACAGAAATGTCATAATGTCGAATAACACGATGCAGTTATATGAAGTTTGTTTTTTGTGACTGTGTATTTATACGACACGTGTCTGATGATTTTTTTAGGTACCCGTATAATGTTTTATCAAATTATATAAAAATAACGTTCGATTATTATCTGTCTACATTCGCGTAACATTTATTATATTATAATTTCACTATTCATTTTTAATAATTATTGAATATTTAACATACCAGCATGTTATTAAAATGTATATCTACTCGAATTAATATTCTGCTCGTCTCACCTGAACACAAGCCAATATTGTATTGATGTTAAACTTTTTAGGATATTTTTTAGCGAATAGCCACTGCGTGTCTATTACCCCTACCTTAAAAAAAACTCCACGAGCAAATAGATTAAATCTTCACCTTAAAATTCGGACGAAATTATACGTAATTATTAATTATACCTAATGTTTAAAATACGCAATTTTTTAATTTTATTTCGTATTGTACTGCATGCATGAGCAGTAATTACTGTTTTGTGATGTCGAGTAGTTTTATAAAAAGAAAATATTTTTAATAAATACTCATCTAAAAATAATCTAATTTTGTACTCCAATTTATATATTTTATTTCTGGAAAATATATATTTATCTTGAAATTAATGTTTACCAATTTTTGGTGAAACTTATGACGAGGACAAAGTTTTTATATATACCTATACCTATACGGCTATACGCATGGTTACCTATATCTATCAAAAATATTTCGTCTGACAAAAAAAAATTGCCGACAAAGTATATATTTTATTAAATTATACCATTAATCAAAGTCAAAGTTCAGTGTGTAGTTAAACATTTTTATTTTTTGATAAAGTATATATAAAAGTATTCTGCAGCAAAACGTCACGCATATATTTAATTTTCTCCCTTATATGCTTTTTCAGTTAAGTATACAATATTTTTAATGTTTGTGTTTTCGGGGTTTTTTTTTTCTACTTTTCAAAAAGACACGGAGTTATAAAATAAAAAGTTATTACGCATAGAACTAGCTGTATTCTACTGTATAATAATATGATATATAATTTGTATATATACCTACGACCTACCTAATACTGTATTGTGTTAAGCGGAATATTTTAAGACAATATTCGGATAGTAGAGTATATTTAGTAAGTAATTGACAATATTTGACAATGAAAAATCAGTTGTTGTTTTAAAATTAAAATTATTAAATAAGTATTTCGAAACAAGAATATTTGATTGAAATTTCTTTATACATAATAATATATTATACTATATACCGTGTTGTATAACAATATTTTATTCGTAATAAAGTTACTTGAAATTGTATATTAGAGAGGAGAATATCGCGTGAAAAACGTACCTACGGTGATTATTTTATAAATTAAATTTGACCGTCCGCTGCACCCGCGAGTTATTGGAAAAAATAATTGAAATCTTTCGATTCGATACCCTATAAATTGTATTTATACATTATATGTTGACAGAAGATTTGTTTTAATCCCGTATAGAGTTGGTCAACTATATTATATTATTATATAATGTATAGGCTATACTTTAACCGTACCCAAAATAAAATAATAAAACAAATTTATATTCAATATATTGATGTCGATTAATAATTATAGTTCTTTGCAGCAGTAGCAGCAGCAGCAACAGCTATTATAACGAATTTTGATTAGGTACTATACATCCTACAGTTTGTGTCCAGTTTGGTCGATTATTTTTTATTTATATACATATATATGAGTATACTGTACTTTATATTTATATACAAAGTGCGACTATAAATATCAAACCATATTAATTAATCAAACGCACTATATATGTACGATATGGGGGAGTTTATAATAATATATATCTGTATATTTTTTTTTTATTAATTTATCGTCCTCTAGACCTCATGTTGAGTATTTTTTTTTTTGTCAGGGGGTAAATTGATTGAAAAGGGTACTATATGTTATTATATACGCGCAGTGCGGAAATTCGGTCGAAGGACGATTGCTGGGAGATGTCTGCAGTTGTTGTCACGGCAACCGATCTTTTGGGTATACAATACTATTATATCTCTACTAGGTAGTACCTACTACTATATGTATAATGTATATAAAACACGACAAAAAGAAAAAAAAAACGGACCTTTAATACGGAACTATCATCGGTGTTGTGCCATCCACTGTATGTGAAAACAAATTTTCTATCATGACTTTCACTACATACATTATATACACTGCAGCAGTTAAACCCCATGCGAACTTTTTAACCTACTTAACGGGGCTATTTGTCAACGTGTCACACGTTATTTATCCTTTATCGTAAATATATATACATTATACGTATACAATAATAATATATTCTTCAATTTATACAAAATAGCATTTGTAATTTGTATATACCGTTTCTAAATCATTATAATATTATATTATGTATATTATTATGCATGACGATGGCCGATGAGGGACATAACTGTATAATAATAACACAGCGAATCATATTTTTAAATAAAAAAATAAAAAATAAAAATATTCTTATATTTATATGTATAGCATATTTTATAGTTGGTATAATTTAGATTAAAGTTTTTTCTTTTCGAATACCCTTTTAGTGGGCAATATTTTGAAATGACGTGATTTATACTTGAATAAAATTCTAAAAAAAAGTGATAATAATATTTTATACATCTATTATACTGGTTTATTTAAAAATTGCATTAATATATTATTATATATTTATATAACATACTTATAAATTATTTTGTCAATTTACTAGGTATACACAGATTTGCATATTATTATAAAAATAATTCCCGTAATTTTAGTTTGTTTTAATATGAATCGAATACAAAAAATACTATAGTATTATTATGATCGTGAACAACTTTTTTATGAGAAATCTTGTTCCAATAGAAAATTGTATAGAATTGTGCACTGAGAAGGTAATATTTGATATTTTTTGTAGTTTTCTTAATAAATGAGGAAAGCTGGACATTTTTTTTATAATTATTGTCGATTTCTGAGTTACCTTGGCAACAGAGGATAAGTAAAACTAATAATACTTTATTCGGAATCGTTTTTAATTACCAAGCATTTATCGTTGCGTACAGAAAGATTAAATTTTATATATTAAAAATATATATCATATATTAAAAGTATATATTATACACTAAAAATATATATATTATATATATTTAATTTAAAATTACCCTATATGCGTTCTCTCTTTTAACTTTCTTCCTAAAATAGTGGCACATTCACAAGCAGTATCAGCATTTTTTTTTCATACACGGCGCATTGTCATAGTGAATACAATTTAAAAAAAAAACGATATTGATTAACAAGAATTTTATCAACCAAATCGTTTATATAGGGATACGTTTTCATTATACAAGAGTCAATAGTTTTTAAGACGGTATTTTTTCCTTCTACGGAAATACTCGTATGATACTCATATATTATAATATTTATACTTATTACACGTATAAAATTAGTTATACTGTGGTGTGTTATTATAATTCATAATGGGTTTTGAACGTCGTACTCTGAAAAATCTCGAGGAATTAATTTGTATCTATTAAGCATTGTGATTTTATTCGTCACTTATTAATTATTATTACCTATCTACTTTATACATATTTCAATTCATTGCTGTTAAAAACATTTCTTGTTATTACTCATTATTAGTACATTTTTAAGAAATCTGTTAAACAAATAATTTTGTACCTCTTACATAATTTAATTTCAAAGAAACATAATACATTTATAGCACATCGGTACCAGATGTTGAGATAAAGGTACTTGATAAAATAAACTTCTTTCGGAGGTTTTATTACCTTACACTAATATCACACAAAGGAATTTCAAGAACACATACAGTTAAAAAAGTATCCACTAATTTGCTAATTTTCTTTTCTTTTTAGGGGGTTTAAAACTTAAAAAGGCTTTGAAAAAAAGTTAAGTGTCCTGTGACACCAATACACCAGTAATCTAAAGTCACCATCCCCGAGAGCAGGGCTGGACTGGGCTAGCAAGTTATCAAGCAAAACTCGATAAGCCAAAATACATTTTTTGTTTGCCAGTCGATGAAAATACTTATATATACGAGGGCTAATCAAAAAGTATCAAGACTGGTAGTATCATTCGGAAAAGGAGCATCGAAGAGCAGTAGGACTGGTATCACTTTCTTCTATGCCTTTTTCTGAGTACATTTGTTTTTATTGCTTCTCTATAAAACTCTTCGGTTTGATTTCACTGATATTTTTGTAAAATATATTTTTCGAGTTTGGCGATTTTGTAATAAACCCAAAAGAAGAGTAACTTGACAGATTTGGAGATTTTAGAAAATTTGTCTGCATTTTTTTCCAGTTTCAGAGGGATGCAACATTTCATGGTTTTTGCCATTAAATGNAATTTTAGAAAAATATCGTCAAATCAAAACGAAGAAGTTTATAGAGATTTTATACGAATAGATGTGCTCAGTATAAGTCAAAGAAACTAGGTTTACAGATCGTTTTGCTCTTCAACGCTCGGTTTCCGAGTAATATTATCAGTCTCGATACTTTTTGATTAGCCCTCGTATGTTAAAAATATGTTGAAAATTGTTCAATAAAAGACGAAATGGTTTAAAATAAATGATAGTTTTAACGAAATTAACACAAAATATAATATCAATAAACATTATATTGTTAGACACCACATTTATAACAAACGTCGTTAATAGACATTTACATGATCTATAGAAGAGGCTACATCGATCGATTTGGTTAATTGTTTTTGTTTTAGATTCTGTGAGTAGCGAAGAATATATTGGTTTTACAAAGATGTTTAATTTTTTTTTTACGTGAATACTTTTTCTAACAGAAAGTTTACTTCGATGTATACAATGTAGACACTTATATTTTCTGGGTGGTACTTTAGAGAGGGCATTTTTTTAAATTCTCATTAATATTCAAGATAATAAGAAAAACCTGGTTCTTTAGGTTAAAAAAGATTAAAAAATTAAAAATAAGGTTGTCATTAGCAACCGTTTTAATTTATTTTTTGTTATTATTAAGTTTTTATAATTTTAATATTTTTTTAACAATCATTGTTGTCATGGAAACGCATAATGTTGTAATCGTTTTATAATAATATACATATACCATTGTATAACAATACTATTGTATTGTTGACAAAGCAACACTACTAATTGAACTGCGCTCAGAATTTATTTTTCGTTAGCAATGATTTATCCTTGTTTACAAAAATACATTAAATTCCCTTCTGTATCCTATCTTTTCAACTTCCCACCTATAACAGTGGCTGCACCCGTCCTCATTATCCTAGCACAGCTTTTTTTGTTTGTTTTTATAACTCAATGAAATTTATCTGAATATTTATACATTTATCTAAGAAATGTATTATTCAAACGCTTCAAAGAAAAAATTACTGATTTAAGAGCTGAGCAGCTTTAAATATTACAACTCAGACAATCTCAAAATGCCAAAAGAATATCTTGTAGTTTTATTATTTGGTAACCCGTCACTATCTTACAGAGATGTTTGTTTTAGAATTCTGTATTGGTTATGAGAAGAAGATTCTTGATCCAGTCAAAAAACATTAGATGAGGGTTTCGAGTAGAGTTTTATTTTATCTAGATAGGACATTCGGTAGTTCATTTTATTAAAATTTCGATTTAAATATAGGCGTTTGAACTTCAGACTTATCTTTATTTTTTTTCGTTTCAACCTTCAGGGCTCTCTTGGTTATATTGCAGAAAACGAAGCACTAATATAATATCGATGTTTCATTACATATCGTATTTTATAAAAGTCTGAACTAAGATTACTTTCGAAAAATGCAATTTTCATGTTGTAGAAAATAGAGATCAGTTTTGGTAAACTACTTACGTACGTGTATGAAAATAATAACCAAATCTAAAAATGGAGATTCAATAAATTTACGTTGAGAACCTGCGGTGAAATTATGAAAACCATATTTTTGTTCTAACTTTCTAAATATACATTGATCTATATCTGGATATTCATAAATTATTAGAAAATTTAATAATCGCTGAGATATCTAATTAAAAACCATATATGTGAAAAAAGAGAAGAAAAAAAAAATAATATTCATAATGTATGATTTATCATCAAAATGGTAGGTATACTTTAATAAAAAAAGTATTGAAAAAATCGATAAATAGACTTATTATACAATTAATATAGTGTTCACTTTTTTAGAAATATAAAATCGTCTAAAAAAACTACTGATAATTATTAAGCAATGTATTTTCTCTTTTACTTTAGGTAGGTATTGTAAAAAAAAAAAAACAGATGCTGACTTATCAACAATATACACTTAAGGGGCCCGGTGCTAATGTATTTTTTGGTTCAAAAAAATCTCTTACGAGAAAAACTTGCATGCTTCTTAGAGTGGTCTGATTTTCATCATTATTTTTGGGAAAAGAAAAACTTATTCTTACAGCCCTTTGTTTTTCAATATTTTAAACTCAAACTTTAAAATATGTGATTTGAAAAAAAGATAATTTTAATATTTTTTACAATTTACAATGAGTATTTCTTTCGCAAAGTTATTGTTCATCCGTAATAAAAACGATCGTATCTTTTTTTTATATAGATTAGTAGAAAATTCTTGGTGACTAAAGGTAGACACTATTAAAATAATTGTAAAATTTAAAAAAAAAAATGCAAATAATTTGTAAAACTGAACAATGTATAACCTGTTCCTCGCAGGGATAACTTTCATCGAAAGTTTCTGTTATATTTTATACGGATGAGCTTAGGTGAAATAAGCTCTATTCTAACTATAGCAACTATTGTCACTTTGAAATAATATGCGAATTTTCTTCCCCTCCGGGCTAGTCGTAATGCATATATGTTAGCCTATTAGCACGAGTGTGTGGTAGTACCTATACAGGTACACATATCATTAAAATATTATCTATGTGTACACGTTGTAAAATATATAATCGGCCTACTGTCTAAATACGAAACATATATTTATGTTGTATATAAGTATTATAGGAGATATAGGTGTTTTATGAATTTAACCTACAATACGTTGTTTTTAAGTACACGCCGTTGATTTGAACGCCCGCGATCCGACAGCTGTTCAAACGCGTTTTGGTGTGGAAAAAAAATGCACTGAGATAATACCGAAACGAATACATTATAATATTATTAAACTACGTCTGAAAACATCTATAATTATTGACATGTTCATATCGTTTGTACCTACGTTTTAATATTATATTTTGCTGCAGCCAGTGAAATGTATATCCCTAACCTTAACCGCGTATAATGTGGTTTGTCGAATGTCATTTAAAGATGCATAATTTGTAGCCATAATATGTACAATATAATTCATAATTGTATACATTTTTGAACATTTCGAGTTATAAAACGAAATAAAATATTGTATTTTTTCTTTATGAAATACAGATATTTTTTTTCATTTAATATTAAAAACGCATATTATGCGTTTCATTTAAAGAAATCAAGTGTTCGTATATTCTTCTTGTTGATATTTAATTGTATTTAATTTTTCTTCGTTTAGTAAAAATATAACTTGTCCGCAGTAATTCGTCATATTTCTTTCGTTTCCCTGTCTTCTATATACCTCGGACTCACTCTCTCTGTGTCTCTTTCACTCCCTTGCTCTCTCTCTCTTTTGTTATGATTGAAATTTATTAGACGACGTATAGAATATATTTCCCCAAGGAATAGCATTTGATGTCGAAAATCCCCGTTCCTTATATTATTATATAGTTTTATATTATTTTATATTATATTATAGGTAATAAAAATATCAACTTTATTATTATGACGTCCCTAACCACCATAATGTTTTTTAATATTCAACTTCCAATTTATTCACTCGTATAATTCCACGTTGTTACCTGAACAGGTGACAATAAATATAAATCAATAAACTATCGTACAAACAAAATCCTGTAAAATTTAATAGTTAGCAGGCATATAAAAATTGAAATTCAAAAATTCGCGTTTCAGGTCTTATTAAACCCTCATGTTCTATAATATGTTCAAAAATTCTCTGTATTTCATAGATTTGGCCGTATAATTTTTTTTAATATGTACAGTGAAATTGCTATATAACGGTCACCAAAGGGACCAGAAATAATGGCCGCTATTTAGAGGTGACCGTTCTTTAGAGGTGTTCTTCTAGGCATAACACTTGATGGGACCAAAATAAATTAACGTTGATGGAAGTTTTACTCTATTAAAAAAATATTTTTTACAAACTGTACTTTTTTATTTTTTTTTAATAAGTAAATCTCTAAATAACAAGTGTACCTAAATAAAATCTAAAAACGTGAATCTAAACCATATCGTGTATATATAAGAACGTTTTTAATGCTGATGCAATGGAAGAAAATATAATTTAAATCTATATATATATATATTTGAAAGTCTAACCCTTTATGTTAATTGTAAATATATTCATTTGTCAATTTCATTAACAATAGAGAGTTTTTAAATATTTTTTTTTTATATTTCGGACATTTCTTTAATAGAAAATAAAATATAGATTTCACTAAGTAAACTTGACTATATGTGTCTATATGTAGGTATACTACAATAATTGCTAATCAATTTAGTATTGCTTTATATAGTTAAAGTTCTTCGGCGCCGTCTCGCGTCGTTGTCGCCTCTTTTCACGTAATTCCGAAAATGTACCCCTTACGAAAAACCAACCAGACTAACAAAAAGCATAATAATATAATAAAATCTCGCACGTATGTATTATTAATCACAATGTTATACACGTATGTATAAGTCTCGTATAAATTTAAATGACCGTATACAACTATATACACTTAAATATAACAGTATAATGATAGGTAGGTACATCGTTGTTATGTCTATTATAATATTTACATACCTAATATATAATATTATAATCTAACTATATATACCTCTTCAACAGTTGAATTATTTTAATTAACTTGTATGTCATGCAGGTACATTTCATAACAAAGTAAAAAAAAAAAAATGTAATTACATTGAGGTATACATATTAATTATTTATGTGTATAAGTAACCTTTTCCTTTGAATAAAATATTATTTCATAATGAATTTTATAAAAATTATATGAAGCGATATTTACAGAAAAGGGAACGGGACTCAGCCAGTATAAGTATTATCAGTGGCATGTTCAATGTTTTTTAATGGAGGGGATCTAGTAAGTAATAATCATGAAACTTAACCTCATAATGAGAATTTAAAGCCACATCCAAAGAAACCGATTTTTATTCAATAAATCAAGCTATTTTCTTGTAATTTGACTAAAACATTTAATTTCAAGATAAAATTATTAAATACTCATAGTTTTTTTGATTTGAAACCAATGGGGATATAACCTTCACCCATTTTGTAGACGCCAGTGATTATTATTTAGGTTTGAAATTTATTTATTGATTTATTGTAGTACTACTTAAGTATTTTTCTACTCTATTTATCAAACATTACATTTAATAAAGGGCCATTATTAACATCAGTGAGGGAGTGTCACGATGAGGTGGTTTCTATTATTCTTTAAATAGTTAAATTATGTTTGGGTTCATTAAAATAGTTAATATCATATTATCATCACATTATAAATTATTATATGACATGAATTATTACTGCTATAATAATTGTAATAAGTTGAAAACATATTTTGTGTTTACTCAACCTATAATTATTATAATTTAGAAAGTAAATAAATTAGTAAAAAGAGCTAATACTGGAGATGGGAGCGGCCACTGTTGTAGGTGAGAAGTTAAGAAGGTAGGATACAGAAAGTTATTTCATTTATATCTGTGCGCAACAATAAACCATTGCTTGACGAAAGACGATTCCGAGCGCAGTTCGGTAATACATAATTTGAAGTGCCGTAATTTTTTTTTGCGATTTTTGTTTTAATTTTAATTCAAAACGCTTTTAAAAAAAAAAATTTACCACGTCTAGGTAAGTCCAATATAAGTATTATTACCTAGTTTCAAGTCTCTACGTGTATTTATAACTAAATTACAGCAAAAAAACTCCCAAAAATTAAAATTCCTTAAAAGTTCAAAAGTTTCGGCGATGATACCGTAAGAAAGTAATACAAAAAAGGAGTCTTGTGATTTTTCGATTAAATCATTTTTTCTGATAGAAAATGTCGTCCGTGTTTTTATAAATGGCTTCTTTTAAGTACCATTTAGACAACTTGAGATTTTTGAAAAGTTACTACATGTAAAAATCCTAGCAAGTTTCCTAGGAAAAAATGTGTCCACAGACTACAAAAAAAAAATGAAAAAAAAAAAAAAATCTTAGTAAAACCCATAGCTCCTTCGCTTTGCTCGGAATCTAAAATGAGTTAAGAACTAATATATTAAACTAAAATAAATAAATATCAAGTATACATAAAACGTTGAAGACATGGGCAAAATGAAGATAGACAGTTTAAAGACGAAAGCAATCAAGCTCATAGAATTAAATATTGTTAAAAGATTAAGACTAAATGAAAAATAACCATTTAGTTATTTAGATTCTGAGGTATTATTTTTCTCATTGTAAACAAATTTTCTACCAAAATCTTGCTCCGATTTCCAAATGTAGCATTATTTCTGAAAGCAATTTTTATCTAGTTGCGGTGATTTAATGAGATTTGATTTTTCTATATGTTTTAAGGTATAAAATTCTCGTAAAATTATTTTAATGGTTATTTATATCAAGAGTTAAAATACTCAAATTATTTGAATAAGAGTGTTTAAATACCTAGTTGAATAAATATATAAATATCTATATTTAAAATTTGCAATTCATATAATCGTCGAGTATCGGAACGAATGAAAACAAATGTTTTTATTATATTATTGAAATAATAAAAAAGTATATGTATAGGTAATATAAATATAATTTGTATGAATAAAATTCGACCAATCTAATGTTTTGTTTTAATTATAAAACAAGTGTTTAGTAAAACTACAATTCCGAAATTGAATATAGGTATTATATTATTAAATCTAAATTATATATGAAAGCCGATACAGTTTTACTTTATATTTAATTTAAATTCAAACTAAAATATTTAGGGCATTTAAATTAAATCTAAAATTGTATATGTTTTATACATAGGTACCTGCCAAACGTATATCCAATTTTATTTTGCATTAAAAAAAAAAAAAAAAAGAAACCTTAGTTTTGAATTTATTCATGTTTTGTAATATAAGTTCGGTCATAAACCTTTTCGTTTTGTCGTAAATGCAAAAAAAATAAAATAAAATTAATATAAACTGGTCTGATACAATAATATAGTTCAAAAGTAAAACAAGTTTAACTATAAAATTATTTTCTACTGCACAAAATCACAAGACCGTATTATAATATTTTTTTATTTATCAAGCATTCTTAGAATTGTTATATTAAATCTATAACATTTCGTTTTTATCGTATGTTACCTACCCACCTATACCGATGAAATAAGTGCCTACATGAGAATTTTATTTTTGTATAAATTATATGATAAAATTATATCCTCAAGGGGAAAAATTAGAAATTAAAATTGTGAACGTTTTTTTTATGAAGGTATAAATATTGGCTTTTTCCTCAGAGATTTATAATTAAAATTTTTAATTAAAAAGAAATTAACTTAAAAATGAATGAACATAAATATATTTCCAGTCATAATACGTAAACCTTTATTGTCATTTTTACTACCGTACTAAATTGCATTAATTGCATTAAACGGGTTGGCAAAAACATTATTCTAATATATTGTAGATAGTGTTTCTTGACACAAAGACTAATAACAATATCATGTATACGAGATATATTATGACGCTGTTAAAATGTGAAATAATTCATAGGAAGCAGACAATTTAAATGTAACATTCATCGTTTCGAGTATTTCACTCGATTTGAAACTATTTAAGAATAAAACTTAATCCAATGAACTTTGTATCAATATAAGAATAATGTGTAATTTTGTGATATATTAGTAGCAACAGCTGATAGCTGATACTACTGATGCGTGTACCACTGTTTGAGGAGGAAAGTTGGAAGAAAGAATAGAGTGATTTAATTTATATCTGTATGCCACAATAAAACATTGCTAACGTCAGTTATTTTGAGCAGAGTATTTTTCGTACTTTTTCCCTTGCTGTTAAGATAACCCAAAAAGAAATCTAGAAAAGAAATCAAAAAACAACCTTGTACAATGGACAAACTAGATTAATAATATTAAATGAAAGTTCCTATAAATAGTTTAATTGGAACAAGTTTTCTAGGAGAAATGTAGTTAATTTACATGAAACAAAATAACAGATCATAGTAAAACTAATACATTTATCACTTAGCACAGAATATAAAAATCACCCAAAACAGTCGCCTTGATTTTCTTCCTTACTATTCGCTTATTTCTAGAACTAAACAAATGTATTCAGGAAACTTTTAATCACACTACGCCAACGCACCATTGGTAATGTTGATAAACGCGTAGGTGTATACAATGGTTTAAAATATTCAGATTTACGCGTCACGATTACCAAAATTCAACCAATAATAATAATAACATAGTGATATGTTTTTGATTTGATGATATGATTTTATTTAATATCTATCATAAATGATACAATGAAATACTCAAATTTGTGAATGTGTACTAGATGTGGTACACATCAATGATCTAGATTTCAAAAAGGTCGTGTCGTATAAATTAAATATATTATCTATTATTTCTTATAAACGTATCATTAAAATCGGGTTATTGCACCAAGCCCTTCAATTAATGGTTTAAAAAATTGTATCTATATTCATTATTACCTATAGATGATTCATTTTTTTTTTCATTAATTTAGATAATATAAAAATAAATATGTATCTATATCTAGATAAAAAAACAACACTATATAGCAAAGATAAATAGTGACTAGTTTGTTCTCTTTGACGCGGAAACTGTCGCCTTAATCCTTATTTATTTTTTTATATAAATATTTATAAATATTCAAATTCTTAAAATGTTTGATTCATTTTTAACGACTTATTTCAGTTTAGGTATATACTTAATTGTATCAGGGCACATATATTACAGGGGTAGGGGGGATTTTGGAGTCCGATACTATTGTCTTTTTTTTTATTTTTTCATAATATAGGTACCTATGCAATTTGGTGTATACGTTTAAAACAATTTTCTCAAAAGGAAATTATTTGCCACTGATAATCATCCTTATACAAAAGTTATGAATGCACCATAGACATTAAATATTTGTATACATAGACGGTTAAAAAAAATGTTTCATGCGAAATAACTATTTTAATTACTTTTTAAATTATAGAGTTTAATTTTGTTGTACATAATATTATACTCCAATCAATCTTTTGTACTGGATTAATTTATTATTTTTTATCCATTAGTGCTGATAAAATATGAATTGGCTGACACGCCGTGACGTGTAGATATAGGTATATTGCCATTAAGGTGATAAAGGTATAGTACTTCTATTGTATTTGTTGTGACAAGTATAAAATTATTCAGTTTATAATATTTTTTAAAACGGATCTTATAATAGTTATCAATAAGTATTTCTTTTCCAAATATATCTGGAAATATTGTATTTTCATTTCATTTTGGTTTCTAAAAACAAAAATGACCGTTTGTTATTTAATTGTTTTAAATACAAATAAATTTCACTGTGCTCGTATATAATATTATGATATCGTTATTCTCTTTAAATTGATTTTTCATTATTTCATTATATTTTAATTATTATTTGTGTTACCTGGCCTAACCTAATCGTATGCCGTAATAATGTAATAAGCGCTATATTCAAGTGTTTAAATCAACCACCAACTACCAAGACAATTATTTAAATTATTTCATTATATTTTTAGTATTTATACTGTTGTTTCATTACATGTTACATTTATATATAAAGTGTTTAGGTATCAACATTATATTTTATTCACGTTTAAATGAAAGTCGTTTGCATAAGAAAAACGTGAAATACATAATAATTTTACTTTCTAGGTACCTATATATATATATGTACGTATTTAAAATAGTTAGGTAAATATATCGTAGGATTTAACAAAATCTCTCGGATGCTAAAAAAAATTAAAATTCAGCCATCCACAATTACGAATTTAATAATTCTGATTTCTTATTTTAAAAATTTGTTTTTTTGTTACATCAACAGTCAAATAATGATTTTTAAAAAAAAAAAAAGCGCAATATAGTTTTGAGTTTATAGCGTATATTTTAGATACCTATATGCACAATAATAATAAATTAGCTTCTATCGAGTTTCAAACATACCTAATAATGTAATAAAAAGAGCTGATGCATATACCACTGTTATAGGTGGAAAGTTGAGAAGGTAAATAGAGTAATTTTATTTGTAATTGTTGCTATAACTATTATTGTTAACTAAGGAAGATTTTAAGAAAAGTTCGATTATATATCGTAATTTTTATGATTTTCGTAAATATTTTATCTTAAAACGCTTATAAAAAAAATTACAACATTAAGTTTTACTTTTTTTTTATCACTTACCTAGTTAAATTTATAACGAACCTTGTATTTAATTTCCAAGAATTTCTGTTTGGTCACATCATTTTATCCACAGTAAACCAAATAAAAATAAAAATATATAGATAATGTCAAATGCTTAGTTTAAAAAATGTCTAGAAAATTTTTAAAACTATACCACGCCCAGAAAAGGCTAACTAATGTAGTTTCAGAAAATTTTAGTTTTCTACAAATATTTTTAACCGATTAAACAACGGAAAACATTTTTCCGATTTTGCCCAATTATTATGAAGACCATATAAAAGAATCAATAAATTACCTCCTCAGTACACCTACAGGTCCAAAAGTGCAATAAAAGGTCTCTTGTCATATTTTGATTGGTGCAAGATTTTTGGTGGAAATTTATTTACAGACAGAAATTTAAAAAAAAATAAATAAAAGCAACATAGTAAATCTAATACACTACGCTACTCTCAAAATCTAAAAATAAGATCGGTCAACAAAATATTATAATAAGGTATACTCTAACGAAACTTTAGGATTAAAAAGTTGTAACTTTCTCGCTCCACACTAAGAATCTTAAAATAAAATTAATAAAACATAATATTACTTAACAAACTTCGTGGAAAAAAAATCGCCAGAGGCAAAATCTCATGATTAAACAATACGTATACAGGGACTGGCCAGCTTTTGGTAGTGAATGCTGCGCTAACCTAACCTTTACGATTTGAATATCGTACATTTCGTACGTTTTCCCGTTTTTCCCCCGGTTTTTCCCATTTAATATGAAAACTCCCGGGAATATCAAAAAACAATCTACTTAAAGGACCACCTCAGTCAGATTTCCTTTCGGAAAAAGTACTTTAATTGTAAATATTATAAATCGGAGTGAAAACGCTGGTAGAGAAGTTGTCCACGGAAAAAAAAAAAAAAAAAAGCCATTATTGTAAAACCAATAGATGCATTTCTATCGCTCCGCTCAGAATCTAAAATACCCAATCGACGTGATGTACACTGGTCTACACGCGTGCGTAGTTCGCCGACACCTATGACGATAATGATTTTCGAATTTATACGATATTATTATCATAAGGAGAGGACACTATGTAGGTATACGAATCGCCCGGACGTTTGTTTACCGCGCGGAACGGTTGTACGCGAAACCGTTCGATTCCGATATTCACTAATCCCCCGTCGCCGCCACGTCCTTCCGGCATTCGGCGGCGGCGATAGCGACAACGGTAAATAATGCCGACTTACCATAATATACCTACAGAATGTTGTTACAGCACTGCGCAGAGTGTACCCACCGGAGTGTGTACCGTATCATTATTATAATTATTAATCGTACCTACGATATAACTTGTAATCATCGGAGGCTGCGATGACGGGCTGCAACAATAATGCTCGGTAATTAGCGCCGTCGCCGCCGCGCCGTCGGCGAACGCGAGGATTCGCTTTATTGTTTCGGCGGCGGGGAGGCCGAAACCGTCTGTGTAGAGACGGTCTCGCCCTCCGTCCCGGCGGCCGTCGAGAAGAGCTTATAACAACAAGTACGACGGCGACGGCGATGTGATATTATAAAATATTGTGTCGTCGTTATTTGTATATTATTATTATTATTATTATTATTATTATTATGCAACTGCCCCGTCGCTGATAATAACATAAAGCCACGGGGGATTACGGGATAAACGCCGGCGTATCATATTGTAAATTATGTAATACAGTACGCGTGCCGCAGAGCGTATTTAGTATTTCGCTGTAATATTTCCGCGCGAGCCGCGTAATCCGTCTGGATACATCCGAATCATTCGATGTAATCCGACGATCGGCGGCTGCCGTCCGAAATGATAATTTAACCGTATATTTTATAACATAAAGCGTATGTTATGCACAGTGTACAACACCGGTGTACAGTAATAATAACAATCATCATCGCCATCGTCATCGCCATATACGTGTATACGTCATCGTTATATTCCCGTATTTCGGGCCCGTATATTATTTTATTTCGATATCATATTATTTATATATATATATATACACGCCGATTGCGCGGGTGTACGATGTATACGCACTACAGAGCGCGTAGCTGTATTGACCCGGCGGCGGCGCCCCGGCCGCGAATTAACGTTCCCTGCATTCGAAACGAGCCGCGGACTCGGGGACGCCGAAATCTCCCGGTCATAATCAGCCGGTTAAGTCTTTTTAAACATATGTCAGGCGCATCTCCGGACCCATCGGCCTTAAAACCGTATTGATAACGTAATAATATTATTTAATAGACTGCGCTTCCCCCTACTCCCGACTCCGATGTCCGTGAACGACACCGAACGAGAAGAAGACAGCGATATAGTCGGGGAGACGATCACGGTTGAAATACTTCTATATTTTGATTACGCCGCCGTGGAACTGGTTGTGAATATCCATAGTAGCGACGAGCAATTGTCCGAAAATGATAAGAACTGTTTTCGTGCCGTTATCTACATTGTCGTGCCTAACAAAATCAATGCCCGGTGCCAGAAAAATGTACCGATAAGCAAAAGAAAAAGAAAAAAATGTCATCGTAACTAGAGCATCCGTCAGCATTCACTCATACGTTTATTGTGAAAATATTAAATTTCAGAACTTTAAGCATTTTCATTGGCGCCACTCTGATATCTGTCTCGCACCCTCTTAGGCACTGCTGTAGTAGTTAGTATTCAAATATTACAAATTTTAATATAGGTATAGAAATATCCGACCGAACCTATCCTTTATCCTTATCGTGTTCAAACTACTGTCCCTACCCTATTCATAACACGATTGTAGATCGAGTTGATAAATACGTATAATGACGATTCCATAATGTAAATAAACATATTGAATCATTTGTCATTTTGTTCTATGACTTGTTCTTAACTCGCAGTACTAGCTGCACTATCCCTCTCACTCAATATCGGTTCCCTGTTTTCTCCTTCCTTCAGCGCAATCCATTTATTAATATGACATCTGAAAACGCGGCGTCCTGAATATTAGGTATGATTAATATGTTGTCAGGTTCGATTCAACCTGTCACAGATTAAATTCGTTGCGGTTTTTCCTCCCATTTTATCTAAACCTTCCGTGGTTCTTATCAACTAGGTTTTAGGTTTACACCTATGGGACATTAAATTCCGTAGATCATTCAGGTTTAGACAAACAAGTAACAGGTATTCTTAGATCAAGTTTTTCTATTTCTCCTTTGCGTTGTCTAAACTCGTAGTGGTTTTTCATCGACTAGGTAGGTAGTAGGTTTTAAGTTTTCACTTAAGATACTTTTATAGCTTCCTCGAGTGTTATCAGATTTGAACCAACAATGAAAAACACTCAATAGGGAAACTAACATTTTATTATTATTATCATTGAGATCATGTTATTAATACACATTTGTGATAAGCAATCAAAGAAGATTTCGTTAGCGTCTATGGCTCGTTTCAAGTTTAGAGAACGTTAGCACACGCCCAGAATCGAGAATGATGACGAATGTTTAAGAACGATAATATTATTGAAACCAAGAAAAATTTCATTATAGATAATATGAATTCGACGATGATATCGGATTTCTCTCTTGATTCGGTATACAAAGTTTAATAACGAATTTCAATCCCTGGTTCATTGTTTTGGAGAGAGCTCTAGGAAAATTCATTCTAATAGAAGCTACGTAATACGATTCGTGTAATTTTAACTGCAAACACCTTGAAACTGAAACTTATTATTTTTTTTTTGGTTTTGTAAGCTTTTTTTCTATAATTCGATCACTTTTTTAGGAGTTTTTGCCGATAGAACTTTAGAGCTACTTTTGGTAGGTTTGTTGTGAGCGAGTCCAATGATGGATTCAAATTTTCATTTTAAACATCATTTTTGCATATTTACGTTTTACAAAAATGTATATTAAATTGTTAATTTCATATGAATTATATGTACTAACGGGTAGTATATTTTCATGTAGTAACTTATTTATATGGCGTATTCTAAATTCAGCTAAATATATAGCTCCACAATAATGACGTGAATTTAGTCCCACGTTTCTAGAATTCAATATGATTTATTGTGTTGTCTTGTATTTGAAAATAATAACAGAAAACTGTGAAATTAAGCCCCTTGTGACCCACTCAAAACGGTCGTATTTCCGAGGATAAAAGTATTACATAGTATTACATAAAAATAAAAATATCTTAATAAAACGCATGGAGATGGTTCCATATGTATTTCTCTACTTTTTTTTTAGATTTAGGAGTTGGTGGGTTCTCAATTTAAAAATAACTAAATATTAATAGGTACTCGTTTATTATTAATTCAGTAAAAATATTGGAGAATATTGGTGGTTGAGTACAATATAGATTATTGGTTGCTTTTGGATTATTTTCGGATCGTTTCGCTACTGTCTCCAAAAGTTTAAACTTTAAACGCGCATTATTATAACTATGTTTTATTTATAATACATTTTACATTTTTTATTTTGATTATTCTTTAGAGTTTTATTAGCTCATTTAAAAATTGTATATCTGTATAAAATTATAATATTATTGACGGTAGCCATTTCAAAATAAGCATGGTGTCGGTGTTAATGATATAATAATATCACGATTCGTGACAATATTATAGTAGTGGTAGTTTGAAAAAATCAGTATGTTAAAAATTAACAGTAATTACAAATAATCATTATTGACGGCGACAACCACGACCAGACAACTTGTATAAATATATGATAGAACTCTGAAAAATCAATATAACCCAGATATCTGCGTTCCATCGATTTGTTTTGATTATAATTAACCGTCGGTTGTATATAACTGCAATATTTCAATAGGTAGGTACCTACATATAAAAAAAAAACTTTAACATGCACGTGCATACACATATACAGACACACACACGATTATTCATATCTACAAGAAAAATCTTTTGAAAAATGCCATTAACCAATTAATATGTACGTATTTATAATAAATATATATATAAATATTATGTGTACCAGGTACCCGCACAGTTTTTTTTATGAGAATTGCGTTACTTTTGGCTTTAATCACGGTCATTTAGATAATGTATTGCATAATGTAATAGAAAAATGTTTGGTCCATAAAGGTAAATGCATATTTACTTTTTAGAGATAGATAAATTTAACGTTTAATAAAAAATGTATATTTGTCTGGATCTTTTTTTTTTAGTTATTTCAAGCTTAAGACCTTTTTAAATATTTATGTAGGTATATACCTACTCAATAAGAACTAATCAGTTTTATTTTAATTGATAATACATTAGTGATTTCAAAATAATCGTATATCTGTATAAATTATATGCAAGTCGAAATTAAATATTCCTTAAGTATGCAATATGTGAGCTCGAGTTTTACAGTCAAGAAAAAATTGTTTAAATATCGGCGTTAAATACGCTAAAAAAATACGCACACATAATGTTTACCTACTTGATTATAGTTATGTATTTTTTAATTTTTTGTTTTTTGAAATGTAGCTGTGATATTGATAACTTTTAACGAGTGTTGTCTATTATTTTACCCTCTTCGTGGGCTCGAGAACCCTGCACTACATGGCTGTCATAGCACGCATAGTTCTACGCTCTTATTAATAATCCGGAAAAGTAAACAAATATTAAATTAATTCCGTTAATACGATACGTGTACTAATGATTATAATATATATGTATATAGAACTATATTTTAAAGTAATAACAAACTATAAAGTAGATAATATAGTAAAAAGGACAAAACAATATGAGCAAGAATATTTTGGAGAAGTATCTATATAAATATAACAATACACGATGTCCGCAATTAAAGGGTAAGTGAGTATAGTAACTACTCGGTTATTGTAGAGAGAGCATTGATACGAAGAAAAAATCGAATATTTTTCGTTATTTTTCTCCAAAACTTTGGCGAGAAACGCGAAACGCAGTCGCTACTGCAAATAGAATGTAATAAAATGTATAACATTTCGTCGAGGGCGTTGAGCGTCGTTCGGGTCAAGTCCCAAAACGCAACAATATTATCAAAAAAAAAAAAAAATTAAAAAAAATACAACTTCAACCTTAACAGAAGTTTTATGGACTCTCTGACTGAACGGTTCGTATAATCGAATCGATTTTAATCTCGAAAAATATTTGTTCGTGATCGGAAAATACACTGCGTACTGGCAGTGCCGTAAAATTAATGATTGGCGAAATAGGCAGTTGCTAAGACGCAGCAAATTGGTCAAAAAATTTGGTTAAATTATAGTAGGTATAAATTATGATTGGATGAATTTTTAGTAGGTAATTGAACTTTCTACTAAGCATCGGAATCCTAAAATTATTTAATGTATAGTGTATCCCATTGTGTTCAACGGATTATTCTAGTGCTGTTAATATTACTTTTTTTTCGATTTTTTTTTTTCAATCGGTTTGTCTTTGAAGGGTTTGTATTTGATAGTCAATTTAGAGAAAAATTAAATTTTTATTTTCATCTCACGATGACAAAAAAAAAAAAATAAAAAATACCTTAATTTTATTAATTTTAGACAATTTTCAAAATAGCTAATTTATAAAAAATATTATTCTAAACATTTTAATGTATCACACATTCATATCCAATGAATAATATCTTAAAACAATTAATTTTCAATAAAATAACACGTTATGCGATTACAATCACCATGGTAATTCTTTACCTTCTATTGTTTTCTATCTAATTATTTCCACACCTATTTTTTAGAAATTAAAACGGCTTTTTATAAGAAACTATTAATCGAATATGTAAACGCATGATACGTTAAAATTTGTAGGATAATATTTTTTACAGAATGGTTATTTTGAAAATTTTCTAAAGTGAATAAATAAAATGTTTTTTTTTTTTTTGATGTTTAGGGAATGAAAATATAAATGTAATTTTTTCCAAATCGATGTCCCCCTCGAAGAAAAACCGATTGAAAAAAATGTAATATTAACAGCTCAAGAAAAATCCGTCGAACATGGAAGGACACACTGCATAGGGACTTGATGATGCTTATTGATTAGTATTTATTATTTGTACAATTTTTATAATAAGTCATTTTTGAGTTTGACAAGGAATTTTGGCTAAAATTAAAACAATTTTATTTTATTTTAAGTTAAACTTACCACAATCTCATAATAAAAGATACAAAATAGCGTAATCTGACTAGACTTATACTTTTCAAGTATTTCCAAAAAAATAAAATGTATCAAATACTTTTTGGAACGTACTCCATACGGTGGTAATATTTTTAATGTAAAATTCGGTGGCGATTGTAATTAAATTGCATTTTGTAAAAATATTGAGTTAATAATGGAGTATTAAAAAAAAAAATCAATATTAATAAGTAGTATTAAAATTGATAATTATATAATACATGCTATTTTAAACACTTTTTAGACACTAAAGGTCCAAGAGTCCAGCAACTTTTAAGGGGTTAAGCCTTCATAATATTGATTATATATATTAAGTATTAATTGATAAGGACTTGATTTGGGGGTAGCTGTGTTTTGGAAGTAATACTCTCTCCCTTTTTGCGCTAACGAGCTGCAGTATATAAAATTTGTCAAGGGCGTCACTGAGGGTAGTTACGGTACTACATATAGAGATACCCACTAGTTTTTTTGTATATCTATGTTTTAATGAATGTACAATTCTTTTTTTTTCAAAGAAATATATCAAATAAATTATAGGGAAGTCTTGTTGGACATAAATCAGTAAATTATTTATCTTATCGAACAATTCTGTATACACATCAAAACTTGAAATTACTACGCTCCTTAATAGAGAGAGTGAAGTCCTCTATACATAAAAACTCCAAGTTTATCCAAGTGTAAAATACATTTTGAATAGTAATCTGAAATAGCACTTTCTAATAATAAGTATGGCCAGAAGAGTTGCTACGATTTGAGAATTTAAAATATAATTTTTCTACTGTTAGATGCTAGAATGTAACAAGAGAGGAAGCAGTGTTTATCTCCGGCGTAAAATGTACAGATGCGTTTTCGCGTATTTTTATTTATTTAATATACTGATAGAACTGATGTTTCTTTAATTTAATTTGTCAGTATATTATTAAAGAACTAAAAGAAAAATAGTAGTAATAGTAAATAGGTGAGTAAATATTGTAATACATTATTAACATAATGACAAAATGTGAAATGAGTCGATACTCGTTTTACATTTGAACTAAGACCAGAAAGGGGCGAGGAGCATCTTATAAGATGTATAGTATTTTTTATCACCGAAAGAAAAAATGCCTAGTTTTGTTTTTAGTAGATAAGCACTGTTTGTAATTGAAAAAATAATAAAAAACCGAAGATATTTAATATTGTATATATACTTGAACCTACTGGAAAAATTGTTTTTGCTTTTATTATGTGTGTTTTTTTTTAACTGTAAACATATATTCATTAGACCTTTATCAAGAGACCTTTTTTATTTTGTACTGTGAAACTATAGTTGGTGCATTATTGAGGTAACTGTTTGATTTTCCAATTAATTTTTATAATAAAAAATCTTGCTCCAAAATTTTAGGAGTAATAATTTTTTCTGAAAGAAAGATTTCTCTAGTCGGTGTTAAAAAGGGTTATTTTTTTAGATTTTACTTTTAGTTTTATTTTTATTATTGGGAAGAACCGAGAAAAACCTAGAAAAACAGTTAACTTTATTCTCGATTTCATTATTTTCGATTTTGTTTTGTAATTCGGTTAAAAGTAATCGTAGGGACTTGAAATTTTCACAGGCTGCTTATATATAATCTTTTTTAAACGTTTTCTTTAACACTACCAGTGGCCAGTTAATGAAATGGAAAAATTTTCAAAGTCTAATTCATGAAATGAACAATTTTTTGCACTTTTATGAATTAAGCAACTAACTTGGCCATTTTATGAAGTGGGTAAAAAACTAATCATTTCATGAGTAGGCAAATTTCACAAAAAATAGCGTGTTACATATATACTAATTTAAACAAAAAATATAGTATCTACATTCAAACTTAACATTTTGTACTAAAAACCTTTTTAAATAGTTTATTAAATATAATTTTTATTTGATTATCAAGTATTTTCGAATTAAATATTATGGAAACAGAATATTTTAATACATTAACTTATTAAATATTTTACATTTTATACATGTAGGTGACGTTATATACAATATAATACGAAAAATAAAACATTATGAATGTTGAAAATCTATAATATCCTCGAGTAATATTTGATCAAACTGAAATGTTTAAATTTGTGGAATATTGTTTCACTGCTATTTGAATTTATTTCTCTCGCTTTCGGATGTGGTATTATTGATATCAGTTTTTTACGCTCATTAACAGAATTTGTTGTCTAAAAGAAAATTACATCGATCAATCCGGCGAGTGAACAATTTCATTGGTATAATTCGGTTGTGTTTTTGTACGACCGTTTACCTTTAATTTATACAAACTAATAATATTAATGAACTCTCTATATAATTATGACCAATCTAGTTATTATTGATAATGTACCGCTCTAATTATATTATTTGATTTTTGGGCCTAAAATGTAAAATATAAAATCCAATAGTTATTGTCGTTGGGTATATAAACTATTCTATACGTTACATATAAGTGAATGCATTCACTACATTATTATGGTTCGTAAAACAGCTATGTTTTGGCCGCATGCGGTTTATATACATTTACAATTTAAGTAGGGAAAGACAACATCGATTTGAAATATTTTAATATATTATTACAAATTGGAACAGGAAATTCACCATTATATCGATATTATCGGTGATATTTTGTACTTTAGACTCGTTACCATATTGCGTATTATCGTATATAATAAAGATTTATACATATAGATTCAGAAATCAAAAATATTAGTATTAGTCTTATGCGCATTTCATTATTTTCAGTTTATATAATACTTTTTTTATACCTAGGGAGTGGGTGTAAAAAAAAAAAAATTCTTAGCGGAGATTTGTGTATAGTAACATAATTTTATCAGTTACTTATATATCTAAAATTTTTGTTTACACAAAACGCATCTAATGCAATAATGAATACCATCGCACGTTTTGTGTTTGTAAATTATTATGAAAATGGTATATTTTAGATAGGTATAATGGTTTTTTAAAATTGATATTGGCGATATTTCGTTTGCTTTAAAAGATAGATATCTACATTTCGAACACCAATCGTGCCAGTTTATGAGTGTAACTGGATACAGTGCCGAATTTAGACTTTCGGATGCCAATCTTCGGACAAATCAATCGGCAAATATTTTTTTGAGGCTCTTAGCAAAAAAAAAAATAAAAAATACCCAATATCTAAGTAGTAAACACCTTTGCACCTTTCCCTTTTTCATTAACTATACTCATTACCGTTTTCCACTGAACCTGTTAGTAGCTTAATTAAATTTTTTATGTAAGGTGTGTCCTATGATGTTTTCCGAGTATTAATAATTCTGTTAATAATTAAATTTTTTTTTTCAATCAGATTTTCTTTTGAAAGACATGTTTAGAGAAAATTAAATATTCACCCCTTAATCAACAGAAAAAAATAACTTTTTCTGTTCACATTTTTAAATTTTTAAAATATCTGATTTGTGTTAGATATTATTTTAAACAATCTAAACATTTAAATTTAACATGAATATTGAATACATTGCCGATGAATAGTTTCGTAGTAATAGCAATTTTAATTTTTAGATAAGGGGTTTTAAAATTTACATTCAGTAAACTACCATAGGCAATTGCAATCGTAATACAAGTGATAAAACTGTCAAATGATAACTATTTTTACTACAAGTGGGTTTTATTTATTCTTTGGAGACACCACAAGCAAACCATTTACCTAAGAATTACAAATTATTATTTATTTTGTTTGACAATTAAAACGGTTACTATTAAGATGAAATCGATGAAAAACATTATTGATCCAAACCTGATACTTCTTTCTAAAAGTTATTTAAAATCTTAAGTGTTAACCTAAAAGACATCACGGGTTTAAATAAAACGGAATAAAAATGACAAAACTAAACTTATACTTATTTATTTGTCCGTATCTGACAATGCATTAAGTAATGTGAATGTAAAATGTGAAAATATCAAGGAACACGGTTTGTAAAAAAAAGAAACGATAATTTTAGTGGAAATAGTTCACGTCGTTTATATCTCATTCAGTTATTAATTGTTACAATGAAAATGTTATTAAGTATATTATCTATGTTGTAGTATTCAGTACAATTGGTTTTAATATTAAATTATTTTTACAGAATTATGTATTTTCAAAGACAGATCATAATATTAAATTTGGAGATTGCAAATAATAATAATTTAATGTATAAATTGAATTACTATATTATCATATTTCATTATATTGCAATATTATGTCGAATCATATTTTACATAAATAATAGTTGAAAATATTTGAAAAATCGTATTCTGAATATATTTCAGTATATATATATATTATATATTATTATTATAGTAGACTACATCACAATTCAATACAAAAACGAGGTCGTCATTTGGTAGACAGCTTTTTATTGATTTTGTTTCCTATATTATTATTATACGAAAATTCCATATTATTTTAATATTTTAGCCCCTATAGTATTTTGACGAATTCTGTATAAGTGTACTACTGGATAAATAATTATACTTTTAGGATGAAGCTGACACTAATACTAACTCCCCTGCTATATCTACCGTCTATGCTGCAGCCATCGACTCTCTGTCATTATATTATTATTATGTCAGTTTTAACGTTATGCAGTCTCTCAATAAATTGGTTTTACCTCCTTAATCCATAATTTATTTTTACTATTATGAGGTTATTTTTTTAATATTATTATAAACCTCTTACACTTAATAGAACGAAGTATGAGTCATCCGTACATACTATTAGCTAGGTTAGGTATTGGTATTAGTATTAGCTATTCAAATATTTCAATTGAAATTAAGGTTGATTAAAATGGTAACCATCCTATCCTATCTTATTATATTCATATATAGGTATAAAAAATACTAAAAATTATCTAATTTAAACTACTATTAAGCACTAATATAATAACCTATTTGAAAAAAAAACCTAACACTTACATTGGCAAAATTTGACCTACATAAAGGCAATGAATAACGAAATTTGAATTGCTATACCTATTCGTGTCACATAATTCTATACAGAGGGATTCTATTTTATCATGGATCGGGTATAAAAATATACATGCTTTTAAATTTAATTGAAAAAAAAAAATGATATACATTTAAATTTCCGAATCCTATACTACATATTGAATGAATTTTTCAAATGTCCGAATTCCATATACCGACCACGATAAAATAAAAATAAATTAGCTGGTTATTTAATTACAATTACGATATGTATAAAGTCATTTTTAAGCATATAAAAAAGTAAAAAAATATAAAAATTGTATAGTTGTTAACTACCAAATAGAAATATAATATTATTTTCAAAAATACGTGTGCAATAATGTTGAGAGGTAGGCATACTAAAAACAGTTGTCTAAAACATATATTAAATTAAATATCTAGTAAACATAAAATTATATTTGATAAAATAAATCACAATCCTGATAAACACGATCAACAAAAGTTAAATATGCGACAATTATGTAAGAATCTAAAAGGTGAAAAATTAGGATTAGATGAGCATTTTCGAAAGACCAAGTAAAATATTATTAAAATTACATGCAATTTGGTCAGACCCTTTTGAAGTATAATATGCAATTCGAGGATTTTTTTTTTTTTTGGCATACAATTTGGACGTACCAAAAAATATTAGACTTATAATATATGCATTTATATTTTAGGATTTGGTTACTACAGTTTACAAAATAGGATTTTATGCTTAAAATTATATGTATAGTTTTTTTTTATAATTTCGTGATTAAAATTTGCATACCAATCTAAAATCCAAACGCTGATCAAACGCAGTAATTATTTCCATGCCTACATCCAATTATAATATTTTTGTTTAATATATTATATTCAGTGCCGGTTTGGGTGTAAGCCTTAGGCCTACAGCGGAATTGTTATTATTTATTTCCAAGGGTGTCATATTTTTATTCAATATCAAAATATAAAATAATCTTGAGATCCAGTTTTTGTATATAAGTAAAAACATTATGAGAATTAACAATCAAATAATATAATTATTTCCGAATATAATGTAGCGCTGAGAATTTCACCAAAAAAGAAAACCAACTTTTCAAAATTATAATAGACATATAATAAAATACTGTTGTATGTGATATAAAATCTACAAAAACTGTTTGATAGGGTTGAAACACTATATCAATTTAAAATTTAATTTCCAACAACCTGAACATCAATGATCGAATACCCACGGTTTTAATTTAATATCCTAAATATATTATTATATTTTTACTCAAAAACATTTTCGGTTAATAAAGATACTCCGATTTCTGGATTACCTTGGCTCCAAGGAAACAACAACCTTACTGGCTTTCTGAACTCATTTCTGACTTCATCTACAATATTTTATTTTCACTCTTAGTATATAAACTATATTACATTATGTATAATATCTTTCAAATATACCACTTATAACAGTAATCTATATCCATGGTGCAAATTGCGAGTATGTCCAGCCTCTTAAAAATTTGTATTCACTATTTATTTTGAACACTCAGTTATATAAAATTGCATATAATAATTAATTAAATATTCACAGAATTATAAGAACTAATATCAGTATAAAATTCATTTTCAGATAAATCCTCCTCCAATAGGTTTGTAGACTAAGAACGAAGATGCACTTTCAAATTTTAAAATAATTTATTAAATGCGCAAATGCTCAAAATAATTTTTTTTGCTCATTAAGTTTTTATACTATAGGAGTGACAAAATATCTTATCTACGTGTGACAAATCACTAATGCTGGCCTATGATTAATGATTATATTATTTTAATTATTATTTTTCACCCCATTTTGTCGAGCCAGAATTTAAATACGTGCATAACCCCTATCGTTGTTATTGTGTATTATTCCTGATAATAATAATTATACGTGGGTTGAGTACCTATATACCGAGTATTTATAGTGTTTGACGTGGTAGTGACATATTACATTAAAATGTATACGTATAGAATAATTTATGCTCGCGATATTTCGGAACGAGGCGCCGGATGTGTTTTATGAAGTGTGCAATTAATCGAAACGACGGCCGAAACTATGGGACTGAGGGTAGCTGAGGTCGATCGATTGACATTTTTAAATAATTGGCACCACGTCCCCGTGTAGGTATGAGAGCAAAATGTCTTAAATGTCTATAAATAATATATCCCGTAATGTCCGGCTTGCATCGCATCTATTGACGGATTTATATTACGCCCGACAAACGTCTATAGGCACAGAAGTGCTGTGCAATAAACGTCCGGTCGATGGGCAAACACAATTACACATTTATTACACTATATAATAATATAAGCGTGTATATAGTCATTGGAGCGATTTACGACACAGTCCGAAACGTTTCGGATTTTCGATAACTCGTCAGAGAAACCACGTATAACGCGTGGTTAAAAGTATTTCAGTATATTCAAATAAAAGACATATACGGTTTATGTCTTTTAATTAACAGTATTTTAACGATCAATTTGAAGATTGTCAAAAATCGTCTCAATCGAAACCTATTTATGTACTATTACGTTATTATGCAGTGCGAGAAATGTTCAATATATTATATTTTACAGATAATAATTTCGATCATATATAATAATATATAATATAATATGCAGTTTTATTTTAGTAATTGAGTGAAGTTTAAAAATATATAAGTTTTTTCCATACAGTTACTCTTAAAAAAAATTAACTCAGTTAGAGTGCTGTATATAAGTAATAGATGTTCATTAATATTTTATAGTTAAAAATAAACATTTTACTTGATAACCAGTGTTATAATTTATGTAATTACGAGTCTAATAAAAAATGTGTTTTATCAATAACGATGGGTAATAATAATCTTATTTTACAAATTTTAAGTTACATGCTGTTATAGAATTAGCGACGACATAACATTACAGTAAGTTACTAAATAGAAAAAAAAAAGTTTCACATAAAGTTATTGAATTTTGGAAATTATTTAATCATCATTTTTATATGCGGTTTCTGCCCAGTTTAATATTTCAGTTCCACGGGACCTCGTCGATAATATTATTTATCTCATGTTCACGAGACAATGATTATGTTTGTTGCTGCGCGCGTATATACTATATAGACTTAAAAATATTATATACATGAACAACGCGATGACAATACATTTCAACGATCGAGACGACATTGTTACGTAAATATATATTATGTATATACATTTTTTGTATAGCTCTTTGTTTTATTCTATATAAAATTATATAGGTATATTAGGTATAATATAGGGTTCTATAATATTACGATCATACGATATTACAGTCTGTCAAAATAAGAAACTTTTCAATTAAAATATTTTTTAAAGTTAAAATCTTGCATCTATATAATATATTAGTATTTTACTGCCTACGCAATTTCATTATTATAATAAACTATCGAGTTTTTTTTTTTTTTTACGAATATAAAATGAAAATAATTGAAAATATTTAGAATAAATTAGTTTTCTTTAAGCGGTATATAGAGTAAGTACAGTGTATAGCGATTACTTATGTAAATGTATTCAGTGGACACATGCAGTCTACGATAAATGTCCGTTATATTTATTTTTATAAAAGCCGTTTGTTTTTTAAAAAGTATTTTTTTAAATAGCTTTACCGTGTGTATAAGGGTACTTAGTTGGTGAGCCTATATTATTATATAGTAGTGACCAACTCGGCTCGTTAATATTGAACCAACATTTTGTATACTCTGATAGTGTGGCTTAGAAAGAGGGACTTTTTTTTTGAAACTGCCATTCACCATCTTTATTTAAACGACAAGTTTTCTTTATAAATACAATGAAGCGAGTATAAATTAGTAAATTATACATAGTATAGGAGCAATGTATTCAATATACAGTGTATACCTAAACATGTTTGAGGTTATTTCTCCAATGAGATTGCCCCTTAGCCTAAATTACTTAAACTAAGTCATAGGGCTTCAAGCGTTTAAGGTGCCTGGTGTCTTGTGAGTTATCAAGCAGTTGTTTAGCAGCTGTATTGGTGTGCAACTCTAGTTTATTCAGATGTTTGTTAGCAAATTTATTGATTTCGCCCTGAATGAATAGTATGTTGAGATTACGATGGATGACGTCATTTCTGTCGAATCGGTATGCTGTGAAAATGGTCCGAAGGGTAATATTTTGGCAACGTTGAATGATTTGGATGTTAACCAGTGATTGAATTATAACAAATATATTTTAAACTATTTTATTAGAGAGGGATCTATTGGTTTTATTATGTTTTTTTTTCTACCCATGAACAACATTTCTACCAGAAATCTTACTCCGAAGTTCCATTATAGCACCTTTTCTGAAAAGTAATTTTCTCTTATTGGTGCATTGGGGAGATCATTTTGGATTTTTCAAGAGTTTTATGAAATAATTCGGAAAAACCAAAAAAAAATTATGAGTAACGGCAACTATTTACTGCGCACCACGGCCATACCATTTTCATTGTTTTTATTGTGTTAACATAATGTTTTCCACCAGAAATATTGCTCCAATCAAAAAATTACAAAAGGTCGATTTGAAACTGACAAAGAAAGTCGTTTTTTGATGTATAAAGTATTTTTCATAATAACTAGGAAAAACTAAAAAGACTAAATTTACGATTTTTTCCAAATAACGGCACAACGATTTCATTATTTTAAAATTGTATGGCTTATGTTTTCTACCATTTCTACCATTGCTCCAATAAATAAACAACAATAGACCTTTTTTGTTTATTTTTAATCTATTTCGCGAGTAAGTTACTCGTTTTTTGATTTTCTCTTTAGTTTCAATAATAATTAGAAAAACCTAAGTAAAATGCAGAAAGTACGGGAAAATGTACGAAAATAATTCTTTTTTTTCAATTTTATTTTTTGAATGTAATTTAGTTTAATATATTCATAAAGATAAGACATTTTGACAGAAAACTTATATTTGCTTATTCTATACATGATACTATTTTCAAAACATTTGATCCATTTTTAAGCTAATTATAGACATTTTAATTTTGTAAGTTTTGTACGCAATTTTTATTAGGTAAGTACTCTGTGGATAAAATTGTTAGACTAAATAGGAATGCTTGAAAATTTAATAGGAAGTTCCATAAATGTCGTACTTTGTGGTCAAAAAAAAATTAGAGCTTTATGTAGTATTTTTTTTTATAAAGGAATTTTAATATCAAATTTTGAGTAAAAAATTATGTGGAACAAATCTACTGGTTCATGAAAATTGTTCAATTTTTTTTGCCTTGATCATGTGTATACCTATTGCCGATTAAAGAACAATGGCGAATTCAGAATTGAACGGATTAACTTAGTTGTTATATATCATAATAGTCCTAATCTAAACCAGCCTTACCTAACGTATAAAATGTTATTACACCATGAATGTCCGAAGTTAGTCGATAGATGACGATCGTTGATGAATAATATTCACCAAACCAATTTTCGAACGTTCAAAATGTATACAATTTTTTTCAACGATTGGTATACGACATACATTAAAACAAAAAATTTAAAAAAAATCGGACAGTACAATAGTGCCAGTTGGCCATTTCTATGTGACTGCTATACATAATACATTTTAATTTAACTTCAATAAATCATGTTTGATAAAAAAAAAATCAACAGTGTTTTATATAAAAACTATAAATGACGTGCAGGGGTTGTTAAAAATTAAAATATTTAATAAGATGATGTAATATTATTATTAAAAATAACTCTATTTCCATAAACGACCGATTTTAATTAAATTGCTGTAAACATGCATAATTTCTGGTTTTAATAGCTTTTACACGATAATTTTATCGGTAAACCATTATAATAAAATATACTAAAAATAATAAAAATTGCAGTACAATATGTCAGTAATAATATTTAAAAAATTATGTACATATAAAATCATAACCTACTTTACATGCGGGAGAACGCAATTATGTCGAAAAACAAAATGCCGATAAATCATACGTGCGTGTAGCCATCTCCCGTTACTTATCCCTATACGTACAAAACGCAACCACCCCTATAAATCGTTTTTAACGAGAAAACCCGAAGCATTTGCTCAAATTAACCATTCAAAACCGAGGCGAATATTTTCCTCTCTCGCGCGCGCGTTCTTAAAAACGTAACAATTTTTCATCGGAAAACGCATTTCGTGTCATATATTTTTTATTGTCGACGGAACCTTAGATATTATATTTTCTAGTAGGTATATAAAAAAAAACACCTCTTTAAAATATACATCAAGGGAAATATTCAATGGTGTTTTATAACCTCTCGCCGGGATTAAGAAACTCATTATAATGCATTTTACAGCAATATATTATTATATATTACGAAAAAATAACAGTCTTATTTGATGCTGCTATATACTCGAAATCTAAAGGGTACTTAGATTACTGCAGTAGGTAGGTGGGTGCGAGTCAAAAAAAAAAAAAAGCGAAATATTATGTTTAATTAAAATGCAGGGACTAAAAACTGTTTGAGTTTTTTTATTTCTTTTAAGTATAATATTTTGGTAATTCACATTAATTTCAAGTGTTAATTTAATCGAATTTCACGCGGACGCGTATATATTAAAATTTTTTGTATAGTTGTGTAATATTGTATATTTTTGTTGACAGCTATATATTAATGTAGACTAATTATATTTTAAATGTTTGTCATTTGAATAGAATATAATATATTGCCAATTTGATTTTCAGGCGCATATAGATAGTTTAATTTACAAGCCTGTACATTCATCGTGGATTAAATAAGTAAATGTACACCAAAGAATTTTAGTTCAGAATGTAGGATTTACAATCAATGTAGCTAAAAATATAACCTCCATTTTATTTTAGAGGTATATCATTATAGATTAAATTCAAAATAGGCATATTATTCGTATATATCTTACATAATACGTGCATGCAATTTAAACAGTAAAAAAAAAGACGTCCTAGGATAATAGGGACGGGTGCAGCCACTGTTATAGATAATTAATGTATACCTGTAAGCAACAATAAATCATTGCATGAAAAAACGATTCTGAGCGGAGTTCAGTTGATAGTGATACTTTGTCAACAATATATAAGTAATTGTATAGTAGAATAATTAAATAGGCTTTATATATTTTCTATAATAATATTTGTTTCATGTTGTACCGATCTTTTCAGTTTTTCTACGTTTTTCCTGTTTTCCCATATTTTATCCCGGTTTTTCAAATTTGATGAAAAAACTCCCGAGAAAATCAAAATTCACCTCCTTAAAATACCTTTCCACGCCGATTTCTTTCAGAAAAGGTGCTACACGTAGAAATCCGAGCAAGTTTTCTGGTAGAAAAGTTGTGCAGGTAAAAAAAAAATAAACATCTTTGTAAAATAAATAAAAGTCGAATATAGCAACTGTTGTAGATGGGTTATTTTATTTATAGGTTATTTATGGGTTATTTTATTTTATTCGTATAATAATTAAACACTAAAATCGTCGATAAATTGTATTTCAATAAAAAAAAAAACGATACTGAATTAGCGATAGCGAATTTCGGTTATATATGTTTTAAAAGGCCACAATATTTACGATTTTTGTCAAAATTTAGTTTTAAAACTTTTATATCTAAAAAAAAAAATACTACACTGTTCTCGGGGTTTTCTCAATTATTTTGAAAATCTCTTGGTAAATCAATGACCTTTCTAATGCATCAATTAGACAAAGTTTCCTTTCAGAAAATATACTACAATAATAAACAATAACTGTTTACAGACAGAAATAGAAATCACATATCATAGTAAAACCTATAGATCCCTCGCTACGCTCTGAATCTAAAGAGTGGGCTTCCAGTTCCATGGACTAAATGGTAAATTGAAAACTTCGTTGATAAGTAATCTATAGTTGAATTGTACATATAAATATATGTGTGTAGTACTGTAATCGAAATTCACTCTACTATCATGTCTTCTACTCTCTAGTGTGCTATATCGTATGCGTGTACGCTCTGTACTATATCATAGCGTATGGATGATGTTCGTGTCTCTGTGATGGTTATTACCGTAATAGTTGGTGTTTACTTAACTATCACGATAGGAACTGTACCGTCATCCCGTGGACCGGGCTTAAAGCGGATATAAAAAATTGTAACACGTTTAATATTTTTGCGTATACTTATATCTGGTGTTCGAATCGAGAATATAAGTATACAATATTATACCTATATAAAATATCATAATAATAATAACAACAACCGTCTATGATGGTATAGTATGGTGGATAGCGTTTATATATACTTAGTGGAAAATCTGGTTGCCACGGTAACCCCGCTGTCCCACCATCGCGCTCGACTTATGTACGTATATATACACGCAGCGCGACATAACATCAGTTTCCACTATTATTACCCGCCGAGATAAATGAGAAAGGCTTTTTAAGCCCCTAAACGCCAGGACCGTATATAGTATACTTATATATATATATATATATATAGTCGTACAAAGGGTTGTGGGTTTAACGGGTCGGTTTTGTATTGTTCCGGGAGTAGAGAAGCCACAATGCGATGGTGGTAAGTGTAATATTGAATAGAAAAACTGGTGTCGAAACAACCGCGCGTGAGGGAGTGAAGTTAATAGCTACAGTATGTCAATAATCTTCGCCGAGCTCCTCATCACAAGTCATCGTATTATAATAATGTATAAACCAAGACAATATGATGTGCATATGGAAAACGAATGAAATTACGCAGCCTTATATTTCGATGGATTTGCTGTTTTCGTTTCTTCAATATAAATCATAAACGTTATTTTTGGTATACCTAACCATACACGTATATTATAATATTATGATATTTGATACGCATTTAACGTTCTATAATATTATTTTATTGTCTGTACATTTTTTTAAAATATAATTTTTTTTTTTATGAAATGAAGTGCCTTTTATATCTATAATAATGTTTGTAGGGTTTTTTTTTTTTACAAGAATTTTAATAAGGAATTTTGATGAAAATCGTAAATATTACCGTCTTTTAAAACATGTATAAATAAACTCCGGTCAGAATCATTATTCGATAGCAATAATTAATCGTTGCGTAAAGATATATATTCAATTTCCCTCTATATGTTACCTTCCTAATTTCTCACCTACAACAGTGGTGCACCCAACCTGCGAAATATATCCGTATTTTTTATTTTTGAATACGATAAATGTTAAATTATTGCGTAAACAATATTCTTTAAACGTGCTTAAAGTTAATAATATTCAATCTACCGAAATAGAGCCATATATAATCATCGATATTTTTCCACGCTTGAAATACTTATATAATCGATTACAATTCTTTGTAAAATGTCAAAATTATTCACCGTTCTATATAACGCAGTAGTATATACAAAGGGTGATTTTTTTTTCTTTTAACTTAATGTATTCATTATTTAAAAAAGTGTAGTAATTTAATATACTTTTATATCGGCATTTTGTTTTTGTGAAATTTAGGAATTACTTATATGTTAAATTCTTAAACTTCACATTACTTATAAGTTTATAACATTATATCTATATATGCTCTGATAAGAATGATTAATATTGTTTTAATGCATGTATAAGAAAAAAATAATCTTCGGTGAACAGCCGAGCTCCGTCCTATACATAGTTTCAAATAAGAGCCACTATTATAATAGTTCATTATTTTTTACATAACTGATCTAAAATACTTATAATTGTCAGAGTTGTATTACATTTTAGTCTGTAAAGGTATTTAAAACCCTGTGTATTTTCTGTGAAAACATGAAATGTTGACACAAAAACGGTTGAAGAGGGTGTTGAGATGGAAATGTGAGACTCAAAAAAGGCACATCCTTGATACTTATACTATGTATAAGCAAAATATCTTAATTCTGATTTCTATTTTGGGGTATATAGGGGTGCAAAAAGCCAAAAAACACCATATCGCAACAATATGGTAAAATTCATATTTAAACTCAATCAAAATAATTTCATCACTTCAACCCGCCTATAAAATAACTTTTATTCTCGCGTTTCAGCTCATTTGGTCCAAATAAAGTTTCCAATAGTAGTCCAGGGGGGGGGAGGATAACGGGCATAATACAGTACAATAGCCTCTAATTTTGGGTGCAAATACGACAAAAAGAGCTTTCAGCTCCATATAAGGGCGAATAAAAAATAACGACGAGAAAAGTTGTGACTATATATAAAATGTAAATAACAGTTTTTAAACACGCAGTATAAGTAAGAGAGTAAAATATTGCATTTTGGTATTTTTACAAAATATGTTGTCTCGCGCTTTATAATAATATTATAACGACGATGTAGGTATAGGTAAGTATTAAAGTACGTATGGTATTGTGTATAGGTATATTTTGTTTCTCATTCTGTAATGTAAACACGCAAGGTTTGCACACATCGTATTGTCGGTACATATCGCTGTTAATTATTCGAATACACGGACTGCGGATTTGAAACTTAAAATTATAATATTATTACTATTTTTATTGACCCAGTTAACTGTTATACATGAATGTTAAAGTATAACACTCCCGAAAATACGTTCGAACATACAAACGTCCACGGATCGGGTTCAGTCCGAATACCATAAAAACTGCTTATAGCACAATATTCCGAGAAATACTAAAGAATAGTTATTAAATATAGAATATAAATATATATATTTTTTTTTTTAATTTTTAATTTTGGTGTACCCAAACTTGTAAACAATACACTATTGCAATCGTTCACTACTTATATATTCAAATTCAATATTTCAAAAATGAGATAACCTACCTAAGCACCTACTATATTACGAAATCCCTCCTCTGAATTAAAGGGACAAAAAATAGTAAAAATATAAATTTATTTCCATATAAAAGTAGTAGTTAAACATAATATATTGGAATTTGGAAGGTAGTCTAGCCATAAAAGTAGACAGCATCTTCAAAGAAACCAAAAGAACCACCGAGGGGTGAATTATTAAATTTTACAGTAATTTTTTAGTAAATTTATACGGCGCCTAAGTTCACCTAAAACATAGCAAGGAAAATAATATTGTAAACGTTGTAGAACCTTCTGTTAAATTGTCAAGAATTTATATTTGGTCTAACAATATTTCATTTACATTGTCTACCGAATAAAAATTACGTGAAAAAATAGCAAAATTTAAATGTCAATAAATAACTCAAAAATAGTTAAATATTTTTAAAATTTGACCACGTACTATTATAAGTTTTTTGCCCAAATTTTAAGTACATATCTACAAATATTTTAACTGAATAACTACAACAAAAATACAATTGAATATAAAAATAGCATTATTTTTGTAAATTTTCCCGTTTTTCCTAATTATTATGAAAACTACGTGGAAAAAATAACCTTTCAGAAAAAATACTACACTTGAAAATTGGAACAAGATTTCTGGTAAAAAAGTTGTTAATAGATAAAAAAATAAAAACAAAAAATAAACATCATTGTACAACAAAAACATTCCTCGCTACGCTCCGAATCTAAAAAAACATCATTGTAAAACTTCCTCACTTCATTTAGAATCTAAAAATACTAATATATAAATATATATAATATTATTATTAACATAATCATTTAAAATTATATTTGATTTGTTTTCACGTAATGCATGTTTTCAGATGCAGTTGTTTTTTAGTTTTTTTTTTTTTCATAAGATTTTCTACAAAATTACCCATATCGTATATGTACGAGATAGCTATTTCTAGATTATATAGAATTTTTCAAAGATTTCTTCAAAAGAGTCTCAGTTGTTCTTTTCTTACACTCTAATCTACAAGCACTTAAAGCTTAACGCTTCGTTGGTATAACAACTCTCCTATTCCAGTATATATATAGGTAGTGATACGTTCCTATATACTTACAATTCACTTACTATATATAAGTACTTACCCATTGTCTTAATCTTTTTAGATTTCTCGACTTTATCAACGCTTTTCCACTAAGTAAATATAATATGTATTATAGTAAGTGTGTATAATGATAGTGATATGATGGAAATTAATTTCAGACTTGAAACGACGACCATACGTGAGGTATGGTGTCTGCAATATAGACAGATGATTTAACTATAATTATGTAAAACGTGTGAAATATACATACAGTATAACCAAATAATTATTATCACATATTACACAAACGCGCTATTTTTAATAAAAACTTTTTTTGTGGACGAATTACGAAAATCAAAAAATTAACCTACTAGATCCAAAATTTTACAAACGGAGTTTTATATCATTTGTTTGATTTGAGAAAGATTTATAGTAGACAGTTTATTAAAAAAACCTAAAAAAAAAGTCGCTCCACCCAGAATCTAAAAATAGGTAAATTACACAAAGTAGTAAATAAATAATAAGTAATCAAAAGAAAATAATAATAGGGTTACTAGGGTACTAAGCGGGATAATTGTAAATAGATAATATAATATTTATAAAAAAAATTGAATATTATTCATATTTTTTGTACTTAAATTGATTAATAGTTTTTTAAAAAATAAGGTTTCACATGAAAAAATGCTAAACATACATTTTTAAATTTTTAATTCAATTTTTGCAATTGCCTTATTTCCCTAAATTATTCAAAAATGTTTGGAGATTATTGTAAATGAACAAAATTGAACGTATTGAGTACTATACAATTTATTATAACAGGGGCAATATGAAATAAAATAATTCCTGGTCATTTTAAGAATCTTAAGTGTGAATTATATGAATATTTACAATTACTCTATTGTCTTGTTTAAAACCAATGCACAATACCAAAATACATTTTAATACCTTCATACAATTGTGATAAAATGTAAAAAAAAAATATTACATTATTTTCCATTATTATTTTTTTTTTATAATTGCCCCAAAGTACAAGGTAGTCTACCTTATTTCATCCTATACAATTACATTGAGATATAGATACGATTATAGAAATTAGATTAAATATACAAGTAAAGTTACATTTTGTTGAGTAAGTTAAAGCCGGGAACGATGTATTTAATTGTAATTAATTATTAATATTAATATCGATATGTATGAGGATGACTATTAATGAAACTTATTGTCTGTATGTTAAATGTTTCAGTTGATCATCATTGAGATCACAGCGAACGATGAAATCTCAAAAACCCACGAGACACTGTATTGAAATCTCAAACAAGAGTGTTCATTAAAGATATGATTTATTGTTTATTTTATATATTTGTATTTATATTTTGGTTTTAATTGTATTTAATTAACGACCATTCTGTAGAGCAGAGGTAAGTACAGAATAATTAAACAAAATGGTTTTTAGAAGAGAAAAATGAAAAACGGAAAAGTATGATAATAAAGATTTATTAGTTTAGATTTTGTTTTTTTTTTTGTTGTAATTCGGTTTATCCGACCGATGAGATATCGTTAAGATGTACTTTCAAGAATTTAGAAAATGTTTAAGCGAATTTTAACAATAATTTGAATTTAATACACTGATATAAATTGAAATTTTAAATACAATATTTGTATCCACATAAAACAAATTAAAGTCTAGACAATTTCAAATAACTAAAAATAAACATCAGAATATATTAAAAACATGAAATAAAAATTGTACTATGACTTACGAGTGTCATAATATAAGTATTCAGTGAACATTTTGAGATTCTAATATTATTTTTTACTGAAGTAAAAAAAAAGAATCAAAATCCAAATTAACAGACAAAATACCGTGGTTTTTACAATTTTCGTCGAAATTTAAACTTCAAAGTTTAAAAACACGAACAAAAAAACATCATAAGTTCAAATTTTCAATAAAATCACGCATATCGTCAGTAAAATCAATCAAAAGAAAATGAATCAACTTTATCAATGCGAAAAATATAAAAACTATAACATTTATACGCATTTCGTCTTGGTGCAGGAGTGGGTAGGAAGAAACTAATAATAATATTGATAATTTAAATGCCGAGATGATTAAAAAACGTTGATAAACGGCGCGCAGGTGTGTGTTTAATTAAGTCCGATATAACTTGATTTAAAAACATACCAGAGTACCTACCTACATAGAAGTTTTAGGTACGATTGGTACAGTAGCAGTAGTGCCGGGTTTCGGATTTAGCAACGCGATTATTAAAAGCTCACCGAAATGTAATTAATTCTCGTGTTCCGTGGCATGACGGTGGGAGCAGTATGATGTATAATAATATAATATAGTATTAGCAGCACGGTTATCCGGATATAAATTATTTGATTAAAAAAATTAAAATGTCATGTTTTTTTGTTTTTTTTTTTCATAGTATTCCTCTCACGTAAAGAAACCGACCTACCTACTAGCTTCCGCCAGCTCCGTCTTTTTCGCCTCAAGGGATACGGCACGGCGCTATGAGACATCAGAAATTCATAACGATAATATTTTAACCACGCGATTTATTAAAATAAACGTGAAAAGTTTGAGCATCGCGCGAATATATAATTATAATATTAAGTTTAAAATACGCACACAGCAATAACGCGTGTTTAAAAAAAACATAGATTAATTAAAACCAAGTCTCGTTGGACATGTATGTATAATATATATATATACATAAGTGTGACTATAGATTTTACTTAAATGTTTTATTATTTTTGAATTAAAACTTGCACGGATTTTTTCAAAAATCCAGACATACTTCGCATCATGGGTTTAGGCCAATGTTGTATAATCGATAATTTAATTGGAGATGATAAATTAGTTTACACAATGAAAAATTCACTATGACGAATCATTGCAATCAAAAAATGATTCTGAACAAAGCTCGGTAAACTGGTAAAGTTACAGTATAGTAGGTATAGAATATAATTATAGTTTCTTTCGACTATCCTACAAAGTAAACCCAGAAACAGTGTCACATTGACAATGTTTATGAGAAGCCTCGGCTCCATCAGCATTACAGTTACCGCGTGGGTAATTTAAATTATATTTTGATTTTCAGTTATATTGCAAGGCAGATATTAGATATATTTTATTTTAGAGTAATAATACTTTGAAAATAGGTTTAATGAAATAGGAAATTTTATGTTAAATACAAATACAGATTTTAGTAAATTTGAGTAGGGTAAAATTAGTATGGTGGGTGGTATATAAACATCTTGGCTCTTTATAGAAATATAATTCAACATATCACCCATAAATTATTAAAAATAAAATCTAAGTACCGACATATTTTGCTGTCAGTTTTTAAAATTATAGAAAAACTTTGTGTAAAAAAAACTCTTGGGAATCTAAAAATTCTTTTCAATTAAACTACCTGCTGATAGACGAAAGTCCGTATATTTTGAGCAATAATGTGAATAATTTTAATCACTTTTACTAACCGAAAAATAAAAAAAAACTAAGTGTGAAAAATTGAGAGTTTAAAAAAAAAAAATGCTTTGAATAAGTAAACAGCAGCCATCTGGAAGGAATTTCTGTATCTTTTTAGGTATTGTACGGAAAAACTGAGCATTTCATACGCCAAAAAAGTATTACCCGAAAGAAAAAAAAACACGCACATTTCAGCGAATCTAATAACTTCTACGCTACACTCAGAATCTAAAAGTGTTTGTTCGGGCATTCATATTTTTTATTCGAAGTCATCCGGACTTGTAAATATCTCTTGGTAAATAGGTTTCATATTTTCGTAACAATATTATATTATATTTTCGTTTCGCCACGAAGGCATAAAAATTATCGCGACTAAACACTACGCTTCACTACTCTGAACGAGGATTATATAATACCCTCCTATAACATTAATCTACCCGGTAGCTATAAATTCACCCTATCTTTATTCACGTGTAATACATACAACGCGCTTAAGTTATACGCCGGAACACCCACGCCCCATAGACGATTTTATACGGTGTTTTTAACACTGTTATATCTTGCACGCGATACGATTTAGCGGCGGAAAATATTAATTAATTGAATTATTCAATTTATTAAAAAAAAAAAAACACACATTTTTCATGTTATAACGGCTCGGTATTTAAAGGTATGAAGAATAAAGTAGATTTCAACGAAATAATTAAGAGGGGGGGGGGAATTAAAAATCCGTATCAACTCGAAAATATGTTTGACGGTATTTCTACATCTATGAAAATCGTTTGAAAAGGGTACTTTAGTCGGTCATTTAGCATAAACGTGGATTTTTTAAATTATTATCATCTTAAAAGTAAAATTATACAAAAAAAAAGATAAAATTTATATTTCTTTGTGTTACAATAAAGATCCTATATTATTATCATTTCAAACATTATCGTTTAAAGAAACGAAAATATAGAAGCTTTATCATATTTCAGTCGAGAAGAATAAATATTTTATTGGGAACACATCATATACCATACAGCAATGCTGTATATTAATTTATTATATTAAATGTATATTATGTATTTTTTTCTTACTAAAAATCATTTACGTTGACTGTTATAATTATTAATTATAAATATAATAAATGTAGAAATAAAAAATGAATGAATGAATGAATGCGTCGCCTGGAGTATTATGATAAGTGTATTATACGACCGGTTTCGAATTAAAATTTCATCATTAGGTATATCACATTCACGGTTAGGTTAGGTTAGGTTTTACATTTTGACTGTGATATATCTGATCAAATTTTAATTCGAAATCGGTCGTATAATACACTTATCATAATACTCCAGGCGACGCAATAATCCATTCATTTATTTTTTATTTCTATATTTATTTAAGAGTATTAACCATTTTAATAATTTTGTTTTTACTGTATTATTTTATTATTTATAATATCATAGATATTCCAGATACCTAAGTATATTCATTTTTTTTTTTTCGGGGTCTGACAGCTTTTTTTGCATATATACTGTTCCGAGGCTTTTGCGCACCCGCCCTACTTCTATTTAATTATGCTATTTACCAGGAATATCGGGGACCTGCATATTCCCCCTTCCCCATAACTACGGCACCGAGATATTTTGTATGTAGTTCGTACAAAAATTATGCATAAAACAAATTATGTTATTGAAGGTCAAACAAATGATCGAAATTGATATTATTTTGACTCTGACTTTTATATATATATAAATACAAATGAAAATTCAGCTACATGAATATTTAAATTAATTATGTACTGTGCCAATACGAATTTTCCATACTAATGCCACGTTAAATATTTTAAATTTACATTATTTACGTACCCCTAACCTAATCGTGAACAATTTTCTTAACTCGATTTCTATTTTGTCATCGATGGTATATAGCGAATGGCAGTTTATTTTTCTCGCCCGTAGTACAGCGACAAATTTCCATAAATTATAGGTGGATATACACTGTTCGTCGGTTCAAAGATGAAAATATTGAAATTAATGCGGGATATTATTAATTATACGAAAGACATAATTGGTAATAATATTATAAATTCAAGTTTACATTATGACCTATTCAATAAAAATACGTTCGTATTTTTTCAGTGATGCTATTATTTAATTGATAATTATGTATATAATATACTTTTTTTTTTTCAAATTAAATAAAGTTATAAACGAATCCTTACAACACGAAAATTATTTTTATTTTACGTGTATAAATAATCAAATTGAATTTATAGTAAAATTGTTTCAATAAAATAAATAATAATAATAAAAGGTTTCGAACACTGCAATTATACTTAAGTCTTATATATAATATTGTTTGAACGACAGTGATGAAAATCGTTTTTTTTTTTTATGTATATTAATTACATCCACGACAAAAAATACGTAGTTTTTTTAGAAACACATATTTTTTTTTTACTAATTTAAATTTATACACTCGTCCCCATTGTAATCCCAAAATTATATTTTAGATAGCTACACACCTATACGTTCTATATTGGTTTGTTTTCCAAATAAATATTTGTTCAAACTGTGGATTTTCATGTAGTTTTTTTTTAATAACTATATAATATATATACATAATTGCATTATTCATTTTTCTCGTGGAATCGATTGACAAACCAAACGAAAAAATTATGATTTCTTTTATCGATAATAATACTATTACCTGGCTGTTTGATAATTTATTTAGAAAAAAAAAAAGTCTATAATAATAACCGTGACCGCAGTATATTGATGACGGGTGTAATATCAAAGGAACCTCGATTTTAATATCAAAATTAAAGCTGATAACATTGCAACTGAATAATATTTTTCGCACTATAATATTTTATTATTTATAATATATTATTATCGTTAATACTTACTTGCGGTTGCGGTATACGATTGCAGACGCACACGTACACACACGCACGACGATCTGCCCGCAAACACACAGCGAAATCCAACAAGTGGCGAATTCTCGGCCGAGCGTCCGGGCTGCGACTATATACGCGATAAAATAATGTTATATACGAGTGTGTATACGGCGCGCGGCGCGGTTCTCTTGAACAGGTGGCAAACTACGACCCGCCCATCCGCCCACCCACGCGAAAATAAAATAATAATAATAATATAAAGATACGGACCGTGACGTCACACTTCGGCGCCCGACGACCGTCCGCGACTACACCGAACGCGATGGCGACGCCGCGAGTCGACGCGGACGCGGACGGCGCGGACAACGCAGACGACGACAAACTCGATAATAACGAATTTGGCGCAGTGTGTGTGTGTTTCTTTACGCAACGGCGGCGTGACGTGTGTGTGTGTGTTTGCGTGTGTATGTGTGTTTACGCGACGGTGGCGCGACATGTGTGTGTGTGTGTGTGTGTGTATGTGCGTACGTGTTATATTCGTATATTATTATTGTTGTTATTATGCAGTAAGTATACCTATATACTTTTTTCGCCCTCATGATTTTCACATCGTCGTCGTCGCCGCCGTGTAACAAACGCCTATAATAATATATAGGTATATTACCTATACGAGGCGACTTAAAACACGTATAATACAGATATATCCTCGACAATTTTACTATTACGAACAATTTATAAAACGACTAGGTCTAAAATGTGTTCAATTTTCGTAATTTTTCGTCAACCTTAATTTTAGGGGTGAAATCCGCATTTGAATTTCAAACAGCATCCCATATTAAAAATGATTTTTTTTTAGTTTTTATTTAGTTTTACGTGGTTAAATAAAAAAAATAAAAAAATAAAAAAATAAAAATAAATTGGCCGAACAGAAATGCTAAAAAAATTTAACACCTAGTTTATTAGACATAATATTTGGTGGTAAAAAAAAAAAAAATGTAAGCATGATATTAATGGATTTTTTTTTATAGGCGTTTAAGTTCATACATTTTGGTAAAAATCGTAAAAATTATAGGATTTAAAAACATGTATAATAGAACTTTGCTCAAAATCGTATTTCATTAGCAATAATTTATCATTACGTACAGTTATAAATTAAATAACCCTATACATCTTATATATATATATGCAACCAGTATCAGCTCTTTTTTTCTTTCTATCATTGTATCTATAGGATGAAAGTTGCATACAAATCGTAAAATTAACAATAAATATGATCACTTATTAATATTAATACTATTGTATTGCGTAGACACCGGATATTAACACAAACGAAAAACGATTCTGAGCAGAGTTACGTGGAAGTCTATAAAGGACTAAAGTGGTGGTGTTAATTACGATCAAACTTCAATTTTGTTTTACCACTAAATAAAACTTACGATGAACGATGTTCTGAATATGACTTTTAGATTGAACTTATAGACCTGAAAGTATTTGTATAAAACTAGAAAAATTAAAATCTCGACAGTTTCAAATAGCTAGATAAATATAACTAACTTAAATAACACCTGAGTATTTTTAAAAATAAACCACCTCTATAAAATGTTAATATCAGTAGGTATCCAATAAAAATTAATTTTCTTTCGATTGTTTTCACTAAATTTGTATAACATTAATTAAAATAACACAGTGTATACAAACTAACATAACACAAACTATACGTTGTAAGAATCTAGTGAACGAACGGTCTTTAACGCCGAAGCCGGATTATTAATACTATATGCCACACATTGAGACTACCCAAATTTTCCTATTTTAAGCCTCTCAAAAGGTCAAAACACTTAACAATAAGTTAAATACATAATAGATTCAGCATCAGCGGTATCCTGAATGATGAGCGAAGAATGTTTCACGCCTGGTTTTATATTGACTCACAAGTTACAGCTAGTTATTATTCTAGCTATTTTATTAAAGCTAGACAGTAACTAGTAGAAAAGTTAAAAGTTATGGTGTAAATTACTTTCTTGATGATTATTAGTTAGTTTTAAAAAAACAATAGATTGCTATTATATAACAATAAGTTATAATAGTTCACTTTCAATTAAATTATTATTAATTTTGTGTAAATATTGACAGTTGACACCGTAAGTAACTGGTAATCTCAATTATCGAATAAGAGGTATGTTCACTTAAATATTGGTAAACTTTTTATCTTCTTCTTTTTACATATAACGTTTAAGTATATATATTATATATACTAAACAATTAAAATGTAACTTAATTTTGAAAACTAATGAAATCTGTTGATAATTTTTTTTTTTTGTTACATTATTTTTTAATACTGTTATTATAAATTATAATCAATATCAAAATCGAGTAATTTATAACTAGTATAATACAATAAAAACCAAAATAATGTGAACTATTATTTAATATACCTCATTGAGTTATAGGCACTCAATTATTTTTCGTCAGTGATGTATTTACGAGGGGAGGGGGTCCATTCATTCCGACCCCTCCCTCTCTCATCTCTCATTTATTGATATCTAAATATCTAATAAATTCTTTGCTAGTATAATTAGTAATTATAACCACATGGTTATTTTTTAAGTAATCACGAAAAAAAAAATTGTTATCACAATTATTATGCATGGTTGCCATTTGTCATTTGAAAATCGAAAAGATGCCCGTTGGCCATTATAAACTATAATAATTATCATTTATCAGTATCGTGATTATTTTATTATTGATTTGGTATTGACCGAAAATCTCTTAACAGTCGACTCATGTTTGTTTTTGACATTTTAGAAGTTTTGTACTTATTTGCTTTTTTTGTAAAATAAACTAAAATAACACATTTTTTTTTAACGAATCTACCGTGTCCATGTCTACACCTGATAGCAGTAGCGGCATGAAGTATTTTTACTATGTATCACAGATTTAATTTTCCACCCACCCACCCCAACCAAAAATAACCCTACCCTACAACAAATTATTTTTATTAACATTTCAGCTGTCTAAATTTTTTTGACGAATTTTGTTTTGTAAAACCATAATTATTTTTGTTATATTTCTGAACACCTAGGTTCCCATGGACCATAACCCACCCACCCGTTTTTTTTATGAATCACGTGATTCACATACACCTCCTTCGCGTCGCCACTGACTGGCAATACGGAGACTGTAGAGACTGTGAATGTAAAAAGATCACTCAATGACGACGACAATAATGTGTAAAATGTGAATACAAATTAATCACTATGGTATGTTTCATCGGTCTATTCTAAATCTAAAACTATAATATTATTGTTGAAGTCGTTATAGCTACATTGTAGTTTATTAATTATGTATTTTATTTACCGTTTATTTATAATTTTTATAGTGTTGCAATTGATTATCACCAAATGTTTACGAAGTATAAGAACGCAACTTACATATTTCAATTCAAAATTACGAAAAAATGACGTTCATTATTGCATTACAAATTATTCAAATATTATATACTTGTAGACAATACATTATCTCAAATTTCAAGAGGGGGGGGGATTATTGCATATGAAGTACAATATTTTATATTAAATTTAAATTTCATTATTTTGTGATTACAAAATAAATTTTAATATTGTTTTAAACACGATTATAGCTATGCAGCAATCACCACCGAGCTAGGGAGAACCGCGTTAGCATTACATCCCCCGGTCCGAAACACATATCTTACCGGAGCCACCGGCTTAAGGGAGAGGCAGCGCTACAGAGTGCCCACGCGGCGTCGTCGCCAAACCGCCGGGTCAGTAACCTGCCTCGCCCTCTCATTTTTCTCCTTCCTCGCCATAATGACTTCTATCATGGCGAGGAAAACCGCTATACAGCGGACCACCGCGTCCGCCATCCTAGCGGCGTCGAAGGGCGCAAGACCGTCCCGCAAACCCACCGGCCCAAAAAGAAGTCCTCGGGGTGAGAGCCCTCTGACATCGCTTGCAGTAACTTAATCTACCTTAACCCAACTTAACCAAGAAAACAAAATATTTCGTTGAGAGAGCATAGTTCCCAATACCCTCTAACAACGGCACTGTAGCTATGTTAGTCTAAATTTGATGCAAACATAGCGTATTAATATTGTTATTTCTTTCTAGTTTGTCGAACTGATCAATATGTTGTTGCATCTGGAAACCGGAGAACAGTTTTGGTAAAATATTTAATTATTTTTTGTAGATGTCTACCTAATTAAAAAAACGATAAATAAAAATTGCATTATTTGACTACATAAATCACATACATAACATTTTTACAAACGCGCTCTATTCCAAACAACAGAAAAGGATGTGCCGAGGGGAAAGAAGATAAAGTAGTGTTCTAATTAAACAAAACAATGTAAAAACTATGAATTATAATTAACTATATAATAATATCTATATTATTTATAGTAATTTTTTATCTGCCAAATAACGAAAAATATGAATTTAACATGGATTTATATAAAATACCTGTAAAACAGTATTGGCTTCATACAATTGCGTTATTACCTATATTTACTTTATAAACGTAAGTTTGAAAAAAAAAAGTTTTAAGTTTTAATAAAATATTGGTGTACAGTTTTTCAGAAAAAATATCTACAATAAAGTTATCTAAAATCAAAAATCTCAAATGTTTAAAAAGTTAATAAATAATTAATTTTAATTAATAAAATTAAAAATAACAAGGAAAACACTATGTTCCTTTAGACTTTATATCGTATAAGGTTCCATTTATTGTGATTTATTAAATTTTGAATTATTATTATAATAAATATGGCAGATTCGATGACTTAAAAATGACCTTAAAATATATTTATTTAAAAATATTTATACAGAACCACTCCATTACATATGAATAACTACAATAACATATCTATTATATAATATAGTTGTAATAATTGTAGTTACGTATTATATTCACATTATGAAGATATGCAACAAAAATACCAAAATATTCTTTAAAAGAAATAATAATAATAATAACAATGATAACAAGTTATTTTAAAAATACACTGTATATTTTAAGTTATATTTTTAAAATGTACGAAATCCTGAAATATTCCCTAAAAAACCGAAAAAAAAAAATTATATATAAAATTATACAATCGTTAAATCGTTAATAGCCAATATGGTAATTTTCAAATGGGGGATAAAATGAAACTAGAATTCAAAACTTATTTATAGCATATAGATACTAGGTTGGTATTTTTTGAAAAGGAATGAGGAAAAAAGCGTAGATAATTATGTAAACATTACCTTAGTCATAAAAAAAAAAATGCCTATGATTATCATTATCGATATAAAGAATATAATAACATTTATTTTAATGGATTAAAAACATACATAATTTGTTTTTTTTTTAATACTTTATTATTTTCTCGAGGAACATGACCACCTCTTGTCTTTCAATGGTCACCCTACTTTTTTTGACGAACTAGTTCTAATACGCAAAAGCGTTGGAATATATCTACCCTTACCATAACACATCTATATAGATTAGGTTAAATGTACTCATTAAGTATAATATTAGTTTCAAAATTATTAATAAATATTAAAATGATGACTTTACCATATCAGACTATTTTTAGATACCGAAAATGTAAAAATGCATATTATAATATAAATTCATAATATTGTTTTTAATTTCCATTATTTTTTTATATAATAATACAATTAAACTAACCTACCTAACTTGTAATATATTTCCAAATTAATGACATTTGTATTTAATTCATTATTCCAATCGAATATATTTTTACAAATTATTATAAATATCTAATTAAATCATAAACATCATATTTAAATAAGTAATAGTACATAATATTAAAAAAAAACCGTATACATTATACAAATATTATAAATAATTTTGCTTGAAATTATTATTTGTTATATTATGATTTTAATTTAATTAAATTCGATTTTTAATTAAAAGTGTTACAATATTAAAACTACTAGCTAATTAACCCGGTTATTCCTGGGCTCACTTATCGCTATCACAAAAATTCGTCACCCAGTTATTATTTATCTATTAAAGAGGGTACTTCTTTATCCGTGACAACCAAATTAAATAATAATAACAGTATTTTTAATCCATGTCGCTAATCAACAAAAAATGTCAATTTTCGTCCAAAAATACCATTCTAAAAATTATTTTGTCAACCACTCTTTAGGGATTGAATTTCGAGATAAAAATTAGACCTTCCTTTTATTTTAAATGTCAAATGTACAAAGTTCCATCAAGATTTGGATAAAACTGTAGATTTGTTTAAAAAGCCAACATAAATTGAAATTAATTTTACATATATTGATAAAATATTATATAAAAATATAATTTTGCTAACTATATTTGTCTGGGTATATTTTTTAAAACTTTCGAAGTATGAAGATTACATTAATTTGAATTAGTATTTCAGTTTGATTAGTCATCCAATCACTTCAAAAATTCAAAATACTATACACAAAACGACAATAATACAAAATGTACGTAGGTAGGTAAGTTAATAAATTATAATATTTTCTCAGACAAATTGGTATTCATTAAAATTTTTCAAATACGTAGATGGTTCACTTGATGGTTCACGTCATGCATGTAGCTAAATTGCATAGCTTATTCGCCGTTATAAAATTTGTATGTTCCACAACAATACTGTATTTACATTACAGTTGGCAATAACGTATTTTATTTGAGGTTATGTTTTTAATCACCATTTCATATAACAATGATTGTATTTTATAAACAAAATTTTGGAAATTCAGAATTCAAATTCTGGAAGTTTCATTTTCTCACTTGCCGTTTTTCATGTTCATTTATTTTCAATCTAATACATAATTCATTTTTGTTCTATTGTTTTCTTTATTTGATTGTATTTTTTAAAGAAACCTTCAGTGATCAAAAAACACATCAAAATGCATACGTTAGCCTACAAACACAACAACGCTCATGATGATAGCATTTGGGCATGCGATTGGGGCCAAATCAGCACCACAAAGACAGTAGATCGTAAAGTTTCGGATAAAGGTGACGAGTCCGATGATGATATACAAGAATTGTCGTCCGATTGTATAGTGACCGGTTCCATTGACGAAACCGTAAAAGTTTGGTCTTATGATAAGACTACTAATCTAAAACATGAAAAATCTTTCAAAGATCACTCTTTGGGAGTCATATCCGTAGCATTAAATTCAGATTCGTCAATACTCGCTTCTAGTTCATTAGACGCTACGTTAGTTTTATGGAAAACTTCGACCGCCGAAAAAATTAAATCATTTACAATTGGACCCGTTGAACTGTGGACCATTGCGTTTTCGCCTGATGACAATTATATTATATCGGGCAGTCATTCAGGTAAAATTAATTTATTTGGAGTTGAAACTGGAATACAAGAACAAACATTTGATACTAGAGGTTAGTATTTAAACAACATAAATTTCACAATGTTCTTTTAATTATATTTTTTTATTCATTTATAGGAAAATTTACATTAAGCATAGCATATAGCCCAGACAGTAAATATATAGCTTGTGGTGCTTTAGATGGTATTATAAATGTGTTTGATGTGTTATCCGGCAAACTTACACATACACTTGAAGGTCATGCTATGCCAATTCGATCTTTGTGCTTTTCGTCAGATTCAAAATATTTATTAACCGGATCAGATGATTGTCAAATGAAAATTTATGCAATTCATCATGCTGAAGTATTGGGTACTGTATCTGGTCATGGTTCGTGGGTCCTAAGTGTAGATTTCTCACCAGATTGCAAGAGTTTTATTTCGGGTAGTGCCGATAATACCGTTAAAGTTTGGGACGTAGGCCAACGCAGTTGTATAAATACATTAAAAGAACATAAAGACAAGGTATGGTGTGTCAAATATAATTCCATTGGGGATAAAATAGTTTCTGTATCTGAAGACACTTCAATTAATATATATTCGTCGCCTTAACAATCTTATTGACATCTAATATCATGTTTGTATTAATAGGCTACATAATAATTATTCGGATTTTATTCCAAATAGTGTTATAAAAATGTATAAGTTTAATTTTGAATTAATTTTTATTGTATAATAATTTATCCTCATTTTTAACATTGTAATTTAAAATTATTATGAAGTGTACAATATTTATTTTATTTTTATAATACTTGTACAATTAGTACTTATTACTGAAGATATTTTTGCTAATGTGAAAATGTCATTTTTCATTTAGATTTATGAATATGTATTGTTTATATACTAGTGTTTCTGTTTTAGATATTATTTTCAAAGGTCTGTAATATTAATTAAATTAAAAATCTGGACTTACAAACAAGCAGCAGTGATGAAAAACAACAATTTGATACTATAACCTCAAACCTTTTACTAAAATATATTATGGAGTCTTTTAACAAATTTCATCTACCTATATAAAATGTATATACATTTAATATATAATATATGATAATAATTTGTGTTTATTGAATAGAATACCAATAAATCATGTGAGTTGATAATAAAATGTATTGAACAAACGTAAGGTTTATTAGTAGATCAAGATAGGATAAATGAATAAATTCGCAAACGTGTATAACAATATTAGATACTACCTATATGTATATTATATAAAACAAGGTATTAGAGAACACCATTAAGAGAAAATCCTTTACTCGTAAAATTATTTTGTATGTTACTGATTTCCTTAGATTTTTCTGTCATATTATAATATGATTAGAAAAAACATAAATGTGATAAAGATAATGTATTAAAAATCTCATTAGGAACTTAAAACTTTTAATACACTCAGTTATTACCTATTATATTTTAACTTCTTTTAGACAAATCTAGGTAAAATATAAACTCTAATATTACTTTTTTATTTGTGTAATAAACCCCAATCTACATATCTAATTTGTTTTATTTTTCACTATTGTTTTTGATATATGTTTAAACAATTTTTTTAAATATTTGCATTTTGAATATTGTAAGTTGTACATACCTACCTACTGATTTACCTACATATCCATCTCAATTAACCATCAAAATTCAGTTTTAAGATTTTAAAAAGGAAATTTGATTTTACATTGATACTAGTTCAAATATGATATGATCATGAGGGGTTTATAAAAAATCCTAAGAATCTGTTTTATACATTTAAAACAAATTATAAACCATTGATCATAAATAGTAAAATTTATAAAAATTGAATTCTTAATTCTCAACGTAGACGTATAAACTAAATTAATAGATTTTACTTTAAAGGTCTATATCTGCAAGGTGGTTTAATAAATAAATAAATAAATAATTCACCTTGGGTCTATCTCTATGGTTCACAATGTCCGGTACATAAATATGATAGTGAATAGTGATACCAGATGAGAAAATTTGCCAAAAAAAAAATCAAAGAATACCGGCTTAAAAACAGCTGATAATATATTTGTTTGATTGATTAAGTTATCTCTATAGAAGAACTCGATGCGTGATTTCCATTTTCCACACGTTATCCATTCATTCTATTACATTACTTTCTACAGATCATCGCCTTCTGACATTTTTACCATATTACAAGTCGTATTAGTCTAATGACCACCGCGAAAGATTTAGAAGTCTCGGATCCGGACCAGGTTCAACTTTGGAGTACAGACAGTGGCATGGATTCAATGACAGACAGTAATAAAGATCTGACCCCAATCGAAGAAAACTTTGAGGAAGATGAAGAAGTAAGTTCAATATTAAGTATTAAAAATTATGATTTTATTCATTTTTATTATTATTTGTATAGGATGAAACTTTAGGTGAACGTTTGTGGGCGCTTACTGAAATGTTCCCAGATTCTGTACGAAGTAACACTCGTAAGCTAATCAATACTACTGGTAAAGTCATAGTAGGTAAGATACGGTAATCTCTCTGTGCACAAGAACTCTGTTAATTGACTCAAATTTTTTTATAGACACTTATTTGTTTGCGTGTACCTCAACATGGTATATCTCAACAACAGCAGCGCTATTACTTATGCCTGTTTTATTTGAAACTGAACGCATACAAATGGAAGAAGCACAAAAAAATCATTCTAAACAAGTAAATATGTTCATTGTTTTGTTTATAAATGAGTGTATTGTTAAAGTTTCACTATCAATTTAATAATAATTGCTCAACTAGGTACATTATAAAGTTAATTATTTAAAAAATATTTGTGTTTGCTTCAATGAATTAATATAAAGCTAGAAGTTAGTTTTTAATTTGACAGCGTGTTGTAATATTTCGGACTTGTCAATTATTTTATGAGATATAGGTGCTTTCTTTATTATAATAATTTTTTTTAGTTTTACTTAAGTACGTAGCTACATATATTGAAACAATTAGGTAACTAGATAATGTTATATTTTAAATTTAAATTTATTTTTAATAATATAATTGTACCTATAATAATAATTTTTTTTTTATTTTCTAGCTGCTTCTTGGTCCTGGTGGTGCTGGTGGTAACTTAGGCGGCGGAACAACTGTTTTACCCAATTAATGTTTTTTTTAATGTCGTATATATTATAATTTAAACCTATTTACCTTAGTTTATTATTTGGCTAAAATGAATATTTGTAATAAAATTACACACACAATTTAAAAAAATTTGTTTTTTATTTTTCAATTATTAGGAATTAAGCAAATAAAACTGTACATTACTTAAATGACAAATTATATGTTATTTTAAATTGTATATGAAAAATAAAATAATTACGATATGTAAACTGTAATTTAGTACTTATAGTAGAGTCTCAGTAATCTTACATTTAATGAAATATCGTGAAACTGAAGCAATGTTGTATGTTAAAATGATTATACAATTATGTGACTTCAAAAAATTAAAAATTTTAATTTTAATTATTTAATTATTTTTAATCATTATTATTGTAATAAGAATACTGCAGTATTTCCATTAATATTACTCATTATTAAATTTTAATATATTATTACAATTTATCTGATTTAAATGATTTTTTTATTTAGTACAAAACCTCACTAATACACAACAAATAATCTATTTTAGCAATAAAAAAAAAAAAAAAAGGAATTTTATCAACATTAACCAATATTGTGTACCTTTTTTTGTTTTTAGTTTAATTCTCAAATCATTTTGGGTATTCATATAAGTGTCAGATCGTTCATTTGTAAATAAATATAAAGTAAGATGTTTAATTTATTAGAATTGAGTAATATATTTTATTTTTCATTACTTATAGTTGCTACTCAAAATAAATAGATCATAATTATTGAGACTCTATATAAGGGATAAGTTAGTTGGTGATTACTCAGCAAGAATTTAGTATATCAAAAAACCAAAAATAAATCTGTAGACGTTATCTATGCATCTTTGTCTGTAGGTGTTAATATATATATATTAAGGTGGTCCAAATCTATATAGGCTTAGCATTTTATTGAGAAATTAAAAATAAATACCCCCCCCCATTTTTTAAATTGATATGAAAAAATAATTTTGTGAAAATATGAACTTGATAACTCATTCCATTCCCGTGCCGAAATAGGGTTGAATTATGGCACAAGGGGTTTGTGTATCAGTTTTTTTTTTCAATTATTTAGAAGTATTTTTGATAATTAAATTTTTTATTTATAAATAAAATATAGCAAATTAGTCCTATTTCATAATAATATTCAATCTTAAACTGATTAAAAAAAATTTGTTTTCATCATCTAATAGTATTTTTTTCTTATGAAATAGGACCTATTATGTGTATAAATAAATAAACAACAACTAAATTATCAAAGTACTTCGAAATAATCGAAAAAAAATTATAAGCAAAATTCTTGTGCCATAATTTAGCCCTATTTCAGCACGGAAAGGGTATGAGTTATTGTGTACATATTTTCACAAAATTATTTTTTCATATCAATTTAAGATAAGGGGGGGGGGAATACTCATATTGAATTTTGTAAGTAAGTTTTTTTGGACTACCCTAATATATATATATATATATATATATATATATATATGTACAACAAATTTTTTTTCGTGTAACTTAGTTTGACACTAGTGAATGACATTATAATATTATAAAAAAATTAATTTTAATAAATCCTTAATTTTTAAGAGTTAACCATGATGATACAAATCAAACATCAAACTCCAAACAATTTTTATGACACACTGGTAAATTTTTTTGTTTTCCTATAAGTATACAATTTAAAATTCAAAAGTTATTATTAAATATTGCATCATTAAATAAAAAAGAAAATAATATTAGGACTAAATATAAGATTGTAGCTTTATATTTAGAATTTTAATTAATTTCAGAATGTTTTATATTAATTAAATATAAAGGCATACACTATAATTATGTAAATGAACATAAAACTACCTAATTAATAATTGTTTAATATTGTCAGTATTTATAGTTACAAACTGAGCGCAATATATCCTATATTGGTTTTACTATAGGGTGTGCTCTTTTAGATTTAGAATGCAGCAAGGAATTTATTGTTTTCACTGTTATTTTTTTCTTCTGACGAACTAGAAAGTAAATTATAGAAACAACGGACAAATATTTACGTCATTACCAGCTCCAGCTTATGACCTTGCTAAATACTAAGATTCTTATAAAAGAAAAGAAAACGTCAAGATAAATCATTTTATGATTGGCACAATATTAATTTTAATTATTTTATCAATATCATAAGTGTTTTTTATAAAAGTATGATAAGGTATTCATGTTTAATTTTTCTATAGCAATATTTAGAAAGGTTATAAGGTGGAGCAATTTTAAAGTTAATTAATGGACGAATCGGATTATCTTGTTTATGTAATTTTAATAATACAATAAAATAATAAATACTAATAATAATAAATTATGTATAAATAATACACAACTCACCAAATAATGCTGTTAACTATTGCAGTATGAAATATCAAAATAATATGTTTAACGAGTTTGCTAAAATTCTGAACAATAATACAAATAATGTAAAAATCACTTTAAGATAAATTTAAGATAATTTAATCTAATATAGAAACAATAGAACTAAAAACTTCACAAAAAATCCCCCTTCTTTTGAAAACATTGGTATATATAAACTGTAATAAATTTTATATTATTAAGTAAGATAAATAGAAATTTTAAAAGACTGCCTCTAATACAAATTTCGCTAAACATGTTTTAAAAAATAACCATAATATAAGTTTTGTTATTGGTACAGACTTAGAAATATTAAGACATTTTAATTTTGTGAGTTTTGTACGTACTTTTTATTTGGTAGATACTCTGTGGTAAGATTGTTAAACTTAACAGAAATGCTTTATAATTTAACAAGAGGTACATTAAGAGTCTAACTTTGTGGTAAAAAAAAAAATTGAGTTTAATGTAGTATTTTTTATTAGAAGGGAATTTTAATATCAAATTTTGTGAAAAATTATGTGGAACAAACCTAATTTTTAATTTATTATTTTTTTTAAAACATGAATACTGATGGTTTAAGAACGATAGTAAAGTCAGAATTGAGCGGACTGACTAAATTTCGAAATTAGAGTTTTTTGAAGTTTTGATATTATGCGGATATTATATGTTGTGTTAAAAAACTCTAGGTATATTGCCATTGTCTTTCTTAAAGAATATTTATCGTGATCTAATGGTTATATACATGCTTATTATCATCATAGGGGTCCCGAGTCGAACCCGGGTTTCGAACAATATTTTTTGGATTATTTTTCTCCTTTTCCCTAAACAAGGAAAAAAAATGAATTTTGGATGTACTTAATCGCAAAATACCCCTCGATTTGTTATGCAAACTTTTCTTCCAGAAATCTTGCTCTGATGTATCAAGTGTAGCTTATTTTCTGAAAGGAAATTTTATCTCCATTAAATTAGGGAGGTCATTTTTTGATTTTTTAAGCGGTTTTCATAATATCTGGGAAAAACCAGGATAATATGTCGGAAAAACGGAAAATGTACGAAATGTAGGTAAAAAATATTTCGATGTTTTTTTCTGTAAACAATTTTTTCACAAGCAATAAATTTTGCTCCGATTTACACTTTTTCTGAAAGTAAATCTAACTGGGAAGGAGGCCATTTTTCGATTTTCCCAAGAGTTTTCCCAGCAAATGTGAAAAACTGAGAAAAAACGTGGGAAAATCGGTACAATATTAAACAATTATTAAAGAAATTATATAATGCCTATAATTATTTTACCATAATACGGCATAGGTACACTTATGTGTTCACATTAAATGTTTTTTTTAACACGTCCTTAAAAAGTTGTGTTTTCGACGAATCGATTTTAAAACGAGTTTATCGGTGTAAAATTAAAATTATACCTAGGTACATCATTAAACATGGATGGATTTTTAAAATCACCTGCATTCCAATTAGGTTTTATGATTCAGAACATAATGAAATGTTTAGATACTTCGGTCGACAGAGGTAGGTTGGTTAGATAAGCTTGTCATGTATAATACATATTCTTTACCTATTATCATACGATTATTATTGTAACTCGTTTTACACTTTAATTTTTTTATTATGACATCAATTAGGTATCTATGTATAGTATAGTTTGCACGGAAGTCGGATGTAAATTATATTTTATAAATGTTATAACGATATTCTAATAAATATTTACGTTTATTTTGATTATATAATGATGATTGTACAAAAATAATTTTTCATCGACTATTGCTCTAGAAGTTATAGGTAGCGGTTTAAAATTTTCGATTATACCGTAAATAATAAGTTAAAAAACGGTAGGTATGCTCGGTATCGAGTGGCAAGGTTTAGGTGGTTTAGGGAACTAATTTCCTTACACCAGTATCAGGTTTGGATCCGCAGATCATCTGCAATTTATTCAGAGACCTGCTGGCGAATTAAATCAAATGGTTTTGTACATATTTATTTTATAAGTGGCCTCCTTACTTCAGTATATTATTTGGTAGGTACTGATCATTTATTACCTATTAAATTATTTTTATTTTCATGTATTATATTATATATATATATATAGATTTTTTACACAAATTAATTCCATGGATTTAATGAAGACAGTGCCGATTAAGTGCCATCAAAAATCAACTAAAAGCTATTCTAGAAGAATGTTGTAAATTATCCCATAAACTTAAAATATGTGTAAATTTATTAGACAAATTTGTCAAAAATAAAAGGACAATTGAAGTGGAAAAAGAAATTAAATATTTATCTATAATAAATAATATATTAGATTACATATAGATATATTATATTATATTAAGGTATATACATTAAACATATGGATTAAATATATATTTAGGTACTTAATTTTATTAATTTATTGTATATATTATTATGGTTATTAAGTGTTACATCAGTGATGAGAGGGATTGTTTTGGTGTTCAAACACTCCTCCTTGACAATATTTTGTCAAAAAATTTAACTAATTTATTTACTAAGTATATACAGTTATGCATCAGATTTCTACAAAATGTGTTGTACGTATTACACATAAATATTTATTAAATATAATATGTGACGTATGTTATATGCTATATTTGCACAAAAAGTTAAAAAGTTACATCTAAACACAAAATAAAAATACGCCTCTAAAAAAAATCTTTGCCATGCCACTATCATATTAGTTATTTGTATAGTTAACACAACATTTTTTTCTTTTAGAAATCTCAGTCAGAAAAATTGTATAGCGTTTTAAATATAAGTGGCCTAGAAAAACTTCCACAGTCTAATAAAATCTTGAACGTTGTTCAAGTCCTCATTACAATAATAGTACTGAGGAAATTAATTAAAAAGTGACAAATAACAAATAAGTTACAAATTTTACAAATAACATACATTAATATTTGGTTATAAGGAAGGGTTCATATTGACGAGATGTTAATCATTTAATTTGCTCATTCAGTACATAGAGTAAGAAATAAAGAAAGGAACCATAATTCTTGTAGTTTTCTGAGGAATCTTGACCAACACGACTTGGACAGAAGAGTCGCTTTTTTTTTTTTTCCAATAGTTCCTTCTAAAATGAAATACACAAGGAACGCCTACATTATGTTTCAATGACTTGTAATCATTTTTAATAACAAATGAATTTATAATGTACCAGTATTATTGTTTTCAGAATAAAATTGAATATTTTTGGATGAGTATCTTAAATACTGAAATGTCATCAGAGAAGTTATTAAGTATTCCAGTTTAAAGTCATTAGCCTTCCCCAAATATACCAAGTAGTACTTATTTTTCTTCTGGATAAGAATATTATGTAGGATAATCAGTTCATTTATATTTTATATTTTTAGACACAAAAGAGAATCATTGGAAAATCCTCCCCCAAAAAATTGTTTGGAAATTTAATTTGAAAAATCGATTTTAATTCAATGAATAGTTCAATATATTAATGTATAGTAAAGTTTTTTACTTATGCAAAGTAATATTTATAATATATTTTTGTTTTTAAATACTGACATAAAATGTATTTTAATATCAAAATTTAAGGTTTGAATTGTATACATTAAGACTAAAGAAATGGAGATTAATTATTTTTTTTTAGTCAATTAAAAAGAGAAACATAAATTAACACATTTAATACAGATATTATCCTGGGCCAAACAAATTGAACCACAAAACACCAAAATATATGGTTATAGTTACAAACTCAGCTCCACATAAATAATAGTATTGTAAAGCACCCACAAATTATTAAAATTAAAATTGTATGTATTGAAAACTTCAGAAAAATGGAAACACATAATATACTATAATTTTTAATAGTGTTATAAGTATATTTTGTAATTTAACTTTTAAAATAAAATAATTTTGTTATTGTGAACTACTTATTGATTCATAATTTAATCTTGATTATGTTACCTAATCTTTTAATTCTTTTTTTAAAAAATGTTGTTTACATTAATCAGTAGTTTAATACATATAACAAAATAAAAATCTCATTTTATTATTTCAAATGATAATTTAGTAATTCAGTAATTTAATCAGTTAAGTAAAACAGGCCGAAGCTCAATAGTATCATTAATGATATTAATGATGTTTAGATTATACAATTATATAGTATTAAAAATGTCTCAATTAAAACATAACCTACTTTCCATGTCATGCCTTATATTAAGTGTCAAAATAAACAAATAGAAAAATAAAAAATAAAATAAAATTAGCTCCAATATATTCATTTCAGTTTTTTTTTTTAATATTAATCTACTACCATACTCAAATCTGATATTGCTTCTAAACCTGATGGCTGTGCTATTTTTTCCGGTTTGGGTTTCTTATTTTTCCTAAAAATAAAATGTGTAATATTTTGTTTTTTATTTTTATGTTAATAATATATTTTTTATTTATACTTGGTCTTAAACTGTTGCAAGAATGTTTTTGGAATTTTATGAATCTGAATACAGTGATCATTTCGTTCTACCGAATTCCAGAACAGTATATCACATGTTTCAGTAAAACATTTATACTGTAATAATGAAAAACATATTATCATGATGAAAATGTTTTAAATACACAAATATATATATATATATATATATATTATATAGTCCGTTCCAAAGTAAGGAATACCCACTGTCTGACTGTTTTCATTTGTTTTAGGTTTTAGCACATCTGCTATAATAAATGGTTTACTAGTGGCCGCATAGTGGGAAATAAGTTGTCAGTCGCAATGTGAAAACCAGTATAATATTTTACTTTGGAATGGTCTATAAATATATTTGACAGTACCATTGGCTTTTTATTTGAAGATGCCAAAAAAAAGTTATCGTGTGTTTCACTCAAATGCATATCCAAAAAATGAGCAGATTGTAATAATTTACGACAGTAAATGCAGGTAAAACGATGATTTGAATTGTAGTGTGAATCATATGCAGACAATGATGTAAAATCTTTTTTACAACCATGCACTCTGCATTTAAATTCGGTAGTTTTTCTAGATAAAAAAAGGAAAAAATATAACATAATTAATTAAAATCATTCAGAAAGGTGTAAAACAATAAAAACATACTCTGGTTCGTTGACTTGTTCTTCGATTTCAAAAATTCCTTCACGCCTATAAATTCTTAACAATTCATCGACTGTTTTAAAAAGATCGTCATCAAGACGCTTGTGGCCTGTACCACAGGCTATTATTTGTTGAAGTTTGTCCATGCCTATTGTTGTATAATTAACAAAACAAAAGTCTACAACACAAATTTGTTTCTAGTAAGAAAACTGTTGATTACTTGAATGTTGATTAATCGCCAATCGGTAATGTTTATTTATTTTTTTTTTTAATCAGTAAACTATACTTGTGATAACTATGTTTTGAGGTGATAACGATATCAATATTCAATATAAGTACTTATATTTCAATCGTGTTATTCTTATTCATGTTTAAAGGAGATTATCTAGTATGTTTATTTTAATTTGTATTTATCAAACGGATTCTATAGAGTATAAGCATTTATAGTATGTTTTTGTTTTTTGTGCCTTTTTTTTTTTTTATAAAAAAAACTATTTAAATAGTATATTTTGGTGATTTTCAAAATTCAAATAAAAATGTCCAGCAATGATGATTATGTCGATGTAATGACATCTAGGTCAGTATTATTTTTTTTTATTATTGAAATATTTTGTTTATTGCCTACCTTTTTGAATTTAAGATTGAAAAGACAACAAAATAATTATTAGTATTTCTAACATATTCTATACAATTTATGAATAGTAAAAACATTAAAAACTAATTATACATATCACCACTTATTTTAATAATTCAATTATGTCAGTGATGTCAAATCCTATGTTAAGGTCGAATTTTGGCTAGACTTCTTTTAGACATTAAGCATATGACCACTTCCTTTTTGGTTAAAGTTTGGTTGCCGAACTGAATAATACTTCATTACAGAAATAAAAACCTATGCTAACTATAATTTTGGACATAAATTACTGTATTTAGTTATATTAGGGCCTTTTTAAATGTTAATATTATATTTTAATTGTTTTAGTCCAATCCACAATACTTCTCGGACATCCACCTCATTACAAAGTCCAGGGTTGAAGAAGAAAAAAGGAAAAAATAATAAAGACGATCCAGGATCTAGTGATGAAGAACGGTGGTTAAAAGCTATTGAAACGGGTAAATTGGATGAAGTTGATGATGAGTTGAAAAAAATCACAAAAAAAGATCCTAAAATGATGACTGCTAGACAAAGAGCAATGTTTGACAGAAAGACTGATAATAATAAAGAGTTCACCGAAGAACTCGTTGCATTGCCCTCTGGTATAGAACATAATTTAATAAATTATTAGTATTATTTAACATTTTTATCAATGATTGTATATTACTAGTTAAACAATTGTAGGGTATCGAGAGAAGGTACTGACCCCTGAAATGTTGCAAAAAAAGGCCATTAAATCACAAAAAAGGAAACAACAGGCAGACGAAAAAAGAGAAAATGATAAAAAACGTACAATGGAAAGACTATTAAAAAAACATGAGAGTAAATCCAAAACAAATGCTAAGGGCCGGATGGCAAAAAAAACCGTAAATAATATTGTTTACATTAGCAAAGAAGATAAAATTTCTCTACTGTTACCAGAAGGCATAAGTTTTCCCCTTAAAAGTTCTACTATCAAGTATGTTTATTATTCAATAATTATTATTTTAAAACTAACCGAAACAAAAGTGATTTTTTAATCATTACATTCTATGGATTTGTATACTATATAATATTCAAATAACAATGCATAAAAAATTATTAGAATATGAATGTGACCTACTGAAATATTTAGATACTCATTAATTATTTAGTAGTTTGTTCATTTTGAATGGGAAAAACAAGACAATAGGTAAATATATAATGTCTATATAATTATTTTACCATAATATGACATACATATTGTTGACAAAGCAACATTATTAACTAAACTCCACTCAGAATCATTTTTTTTTATCTTAATATAATTTTAAAAAAGTTAAAATTTCGTTAATAACAAATTATTTGTAAATATTAAATTTTAACATACTATAACTTTTCCAATTTTGTATTTAGAAAAAAACTTTTTGTATTAAAATTGTTCTGAAAAAAAATACTCTATCCAAATCTGTAGAAAAAAAAATTTAAAAAAAAGTAAGTTGCATTGCGTATGCGTGTACCAAAAGAGTTAAAAATTTGAAATTCGTCTGAAAATGTGTATTTTTGGGTACTCCTTGTCATTCCCTGAAAATTCCATTTTAATACTAGGTAATCTAATTGAAATATTTAGTGGCACCTCTTAGTGTAAACGCACTGAATATTATATATAAAAGCCAAATACCACTCATTCACTGATATCTCAGAAACTACATAACTTACAAACTTTAAATTTGGAAAGAGTTTCCTTTAATAATCTAAATGTGCAATAAGAAAAGATTGTAAAAAAATGTTGCGTTTAAGTGGATTATTTAATAATAATAATAGTGGTGAATACGTATTAAGCGGGGCATGTACCAGTTGTCTTCATTCAAATGTACCAGTTACCACTAATCGAATATACCAGTTTTCCTTATATTTAAATATATACATGATTACAATATATAACCTGTAAAATAGGGAGGTAAATATACAAATAATAAATAAAATATAAATCTATAATTTAAAAAATAATGTCTGTTTGTCTATCTGTATGTCCTTTATTAACTCAAAAACTACTGAACTGATTTTAACGGTTTTTTTTATAAAATGCTCCTTGTGGTTTAGAAAAAATTTATAGCTATTGAAATTTCTAAAATTCAATTCCTAAAGGATAGCTGATACAGGGATTTTGGTATTTTGTGGTATAATTTTTGTTGATTGAGTTACCTTGGTAATAAAGTAAATATAATTATTATTTTTGTTGATTATGTTGTAGTATCTATTGAATATTGTTTGTGTAATTTCATTGTAATTTTGATTGCTGATCAACGCTCAACAAATTTAAATTCATTTAATTTAATTTAATTTCAATGTCATTTCTGTGCAGTTATTCCTCCCAATAACAATAATAATAATACGAATAATAAGAAAAATAATAAAATGTAAAATGATTCAAGAACGTTTTTTTCAACTAAAAATCTATACCATAGTAATATAGGGTATATATTTATATTTCAATATATCTCTTCGATAAGAATTGCCTTTGAAATACTAAAATATAAAATTTGTCTGGTTGTTATAATACACGACTAATGCCAGGTCAAGACTTTCATTTTTTAATTTGGTGTAGTATGATATAAATACCACTCTGCTTGGTTTAAAATCGAGCCAAAATGATGAGCAAATGCTAGATAATTAGGATGTTTAAATCCTCAAAAAATCACTTAAATTATTAAAAAAAGTATTTAAAAATATTTAGAAAAAAGCAATAGTGGTAGAGGATTTTTAAAGTACTTTCTCTAACTGTTTGAACCTATTAAATACAATGTTTTAACACTGACAAAATGATTAATATAAAGTATTTATTTTTTGATAACATGTACAAATTTATTTGAAAAAAATTACTTTGTAATAATCATTTTTGTCATGTTTTTTTTTTTTTTTTTATTTTTAATTTTTATATATACAATCTATTCCTGAGGAATAATAAGAATATGTGATGGTAGATGGAATAACATGATTGAATGATGGGAGGAGCTACCCAGTGGTAACACTGCCCTTATTTTTTTTTTTGTCATGTTAAAAAATTATTCTTAAGAAGTTAGAATCAGTAGAAGGGAGAACGTTTGAATCCCTCTACTATTACTCTTTTAAATTTTTTTATGGGGTTTTTTTTCGAAATTTTTAAACACATTTGTGGATTTTAAACGCATATACATCAATTCCCTAATAAGTAATTATTAATTAATTATTAAAATTTTTTTTGTTTTTTTGATGTAGACAGTGTAATTGAAAATAAATACACAATACACATTATATAATTATTTATTACAATTGTTTGAATCGATTTTGAAAACCTAATATCCATAAATTTATTATTTGTATTATTATTTAGACCTCCACCTGTTCAACAAATGTGCGGAGTAGATGGTTGTGAAAATCCTAAAAAATATTCGTGTTCTCGAACCGGCGTGCCTTTATGCAGTTTACAATGTTTTAGAGCAAATCGAATAAACATTTGGAATGCTGTGTGCTGAATTTTAGAATGCATTGTATATTCTAAGGTTTGTAATATTTATTTGTGTGAAAAATATGTATATAAATTGTTTTTTTTTCTTAAACTAAATTTAACAACAATAATTATAATGTATATTTTCATTTAAATGCACTCAAAACATAATAAATTAAGTTTTAAACATTTATTCAGACTCTATGTTGTATTAGTATTATTATTATTATTGTATGTTTATATTGCCAACAGATGGTCTGGTTGGTGGTATTAATTTTATTAATTTGGTGCCGAGTTTTCGATCCACCATCACTTTGATCACAAATTCTCCTTGTTGAAATGGTTTAAAGGTAGCCGGTACTATGACATAACTCGCCAATGTCGAAACTACAAATGTTTCTGAGACTAATTGTTTTGCTTTGAACATCCCAGAACTACCTTCTGGTTCAGTACACAAAAAATACTCTGATCCTAATGTTTCTTTTTGTTGAAAGTCATTCTGAAAAAAAATAAGTTGATATATTCTGTGTATAATATAAATATTATAGTTTACTTTGTACAAAAAAAATGCAACATATAAAGGATTTTTTTTGTTAAGTCGTTTAACTTTTAATAATATTTTGATGGTAATAAATAAATGATCTTCTTCAATGAGTCCTAAAAATTAAAAAAGAAAATGTTAATATCAGTCAAAATATACACACAAACTAATTTCATATAATAGGTACCTGAAGAAAATTTGAGCAAATATTGTGGGTTAGTTTCAAACATGTCTAAATTGTTTCTCGATCCTCCTGCATTTAAACCATATATCCAACTACCTTGAATTGACAATATTTCTGGAAATCCCTTATTTTAATAATAATAATAAAAACTATTAGTTTTCTAAATTATTCAATTTGTTAGCATAAAAATACAAAATTTAAAATATTTTTGTCATTATACTTTTGAATTATTGTAATCATCGCGTAAAGTATTTATGAATTTGCTATTGTTTTGTTCCTCACAAATATCTACTTGTTCAACCTATAAAAAAAAAAAATAGATTTAATTGTTTACTAAATAGTGTAGTAGATGACCTATGTTGGTTACCCTTATAGCCAACAATATTATTTAGAATAGAATTTCAAATCTTAATGTACCTAAATTTTTGCTGGTTGATGTAGATTCGTTTTGCAGCGAGTTCACATTTTAGATTTTAAATAAAGTGAGGAATATATTTGTATTAAATAACTTTTAAAAACTTATATTATTATTTTTTTTTTTTATCTGTGAACAATTTTTTTAACAAAAGTTTTGCTCTGATTTTTAAGTGTAGTATTTTTATGAAAGGAAAACTAAATGGGATTTTTTGATTTTCCCAGGAGTTTTCATAATAGTTTCGAAAAACTTAGAAAAAACTAGAAAATGTACAAAATGTATTATTTTTAAATCGTAAATATTTCGGTCTTTTAAAACGTATTAACCGAATTTCGCTCTGTTTTCGTTAGCAATGATTAATCTTTGTGTATAGATATACATTAAATTTCCCTTCTAACTTCTCAACTTTTCAACCACAACAGTGGTCTACCCATCATGTAAAGTATGTCAGTTTGTTTTTTAATTAATAATTTACTCTAATTGTACATATGGCACATATTTACCTAAGTTTTAGTTTTAATTTTAATTTGTTTTGGTTAAAATATAAAGATGACCAAAGATAGATAGTACAAACAATTTCAGAACTTATTTCGTTACCCACTTGTTTGCTTAAATTGATAAAAAGTTTCATCCCATAACAGTTTTATTTCAAATGTTTTGGTGTTACAAAAACTCTTGGTATCAGGTGTTATATATTTGTCCTTGGCACAAATTCTTCCCTGTAAAGGTCTTTATGTAAAAAACATACAAATAATGAATAGTTAATGAATCTAGTTGGTACTTACATACTAGGTATTTTAATTTTTAGTGCATTTTTCAAGAAAAGCATGGTTTTTTTTAAAAAAAAAACCTTAATATTTTATTTTGTTTATTTTCTACTTTTTAGTTTTATAACTTTGCAACTAATAAATTAAAATGTATATAAAAAAAGGTTCAAAATTAAACTTCAAATTGCATTTCAGTAAATATTTACTGATATGATCGCATCCCGGAATCCCTTGCCAGTTCCTGCACTGTCTCCAAGTATACCCGTCATTGGTGAATGTTGACCTGGTTGTCCAGGTCTTGGAGATGATCTACAGGTAAACTCACCATCGGCATGCAAGTTGTCCAAGTAAAAAAAAAAAATGTTATTTGTATTCTTAAAAACAAACGCTAATAATACTCCGAAAAGTACGATTCAAATCCTCCGAAATTATCTAATCCTCCGTAATCGTCGATTCGGTTAGGTTAGGTTCAAAAATGATAGTGGATTATTACAGTAAATCTGATGAATTTCAATAAAATTTGTCAAACTAATCAAATTTCTACAGTCAAAAATATTTGAATGACTTATTTTGTAAAAACATAATAATAAAATTATATTTCTGAACACCCGGTTTTTTACGAATCACGTGATTCAAATATACCCTCTTTGCACTTCCACTGTCCTTTATAGGTATCAGGGACGTACGTAGACACAATTTGGTGTGTGTTTATTAAAATCAGTTACTGAAAATTAGAATTTTTTTTTTTTTAATGAACATGAAATATTAGGTTAGGTTAAACTAAACCCTCCGGGAGGTGTTTAAATAACCGAAACACCTCCCTGCGTACATGCATGAACTACATGTATATTGTATATAATATATATACCTATGCTATAGTGACAAAAGTGATTTTTAGCCACATTCAGTTTTTAGTAATTGTTGCATAAATTTACTAGCTCATACAATTATTAGGCCTAACAAATGAATAATTTAATTTATTATTACATTTTATTATTTTACTGTAGTCTGCAATAGTCAAATAAAATCTGCACAAAAAACAGACAGTAGTTAAATCAAGATATTTTATAAATCTTGGGCCTTGAGGGACCCCAGACACAAATACTATTTTGGGTCCTGGTCGCGTTTGCAAAGTAGTCAAGTCTAGTCTGGCACTATGTATATTGATAGTTGATTTGAACAGTGTTCGTGATTTTTACTTATAGTTTAAAATAATAAAAAGCCATTTTTTTAAAAATTTATCATAAAAAATAACAATAATTATAATTAATGTTGAACTAAATAATTTGTCGACAAATTCGTACGACACGACCTTCCTAAATCTTTTAGATTTTTTTTTTTTGAAATTTAAAAAAGAGCCGATATTAGGAACGAGTGTGCCACTGTTGTAGGTGGGAAGTTGCGAAGATAGTTTTTTAAGTTATTTAGTTTACATCTGTAAGCAGCGATTAATCATCGTTAACGAAAATCCACTCTGAGTGGAGTTTGGTTAATAGTGTTGCTTTGTGAACAATATATATGTCATATTATGGTAAAATACATGTATATAAATTATATTATTATATTTTTTCTTTAATAATATTTGTTTAATATATTGTGCCCATTTTCCCGTTTTCCTATGTTTTTTAGATTCCGAGCGTAGCGAGAGAGTTATTGGTTTTACTAAGATTTTTATTATTTTTCTAGTCTGTGGACACGTTTTTTTTCTAGTAAACCAGCTTTGATTTTTACGTTTAGCAACTTTTCTGATTCTTGATTTTCAACGCCATTTTTTAAATAAAAGGTAAACGAGCAATTTCACGATTTCATTATTTTATAAAAACATAGACGACGTTTCTACCAGAAGAAATAATTTAATCGAAAAATTACAAGACAAAAATTATTTTTTGTTGTCTTTTGATTTACTTTCTACGGTATTATTGCCAAAACCTTTGAGCCACTTTTGAGTTTTTCAGGAATTTTAATTTTGGGAAGTTTTTTACTGTAATTCGGTTTTAAATACACTTAGAGACTTGAAACATAGGAATAATACTTAAATTGGACTTACCTAGACGTGGTGAAATATCTAAAATCATCGGATGACTTTCTTTCCTGATTTTAATTTGTTTACAATGGTACCTACTTTATTTTTTTTTATATTGTAGACCACTTATATCCTGAACAAACTTGCTCCGAAGTATAAGTGTAGCACCTTTTCTGAAAGTCAATTTTATTTACTTGGCAAATATATAGGTCATTTTTTTGATTTTCGAAACAGTATTTAAAATAAAAACGATTGACCGAGAAAAAAATATATGATTTTTCACGATTTCGTTATTTTATAAGTTATTTTTAAGTATTTACCAAGTTTTCTAGCACAAATATGGCTCCAATTGACTTTTTTTTTTTTTAATAAACATTTTGAAATTAAATTTAAACGAAAATCGCCAAAGAAATTACGGCAATGTATTACCGAACTGTGCTCGGAATCGTCTTTGGTCAAGAAATGGTTTCTCGTTGCTTACAGGTATTAATGAAATAACCTTTTGTATCCTACCTTCTCAAATTCTCACCTACAACAATAGCCGCTCCCATTCCCAGTACAGCTCTTTTCCTTATTTATTATGAAAGCCCCTGGGATAAATCAAAAAATGACCACCTTAAAGTACTATCCCCAGTCAAATTTAGTTTAAAAAATTGGAGCAAAATTGCTGGTAGAAAAGTTGTTTATAAATAAAAAAAAAGAATACAAATAAAGATCATTGTAAAATCATTACATTTCTCGCTCTGCTCAGAATCTAAAATACTAGATTACATTAAAATATTTATAAATAGCTCAAAAATGGTTCCAATATATTGAACGTTTTATCACGTCTAAAAAAAATAGTTATATAAGTATTCTTTGATTTTTTAAGAATATTTTTCACTGATTTACAAGAAAAAAAAAAAAAAATTGAAAATAATGAAAGCATTAATTTCGTAAATTTTCCGGTTCTTTCTATGTTTTTTTCCTCAGTTTTGTTCAATTATTAAAAAAAAATAAACAGGAGAAATCAAAACATGACTTCTTACTTACCAGTTACATTAAAAATACAACAAAAAAGGTCTATTGTTGTTTTTCTATTTGAGCAGTATATTTCTGGTAGAAAACATAAGCCGTACAAATTTCAAATAAAGGAATCAGAACATTGTAAATTTATCAGTTTTCATTTTTGCTATTATTCCAGTATCTTCCAATTATTATGAAAAGAACTTGGCAAATCAGAAAACGATTAACTTCGTGAGCAATTAGATCCAAAATTCAACAATAAAGGCTTCTTTCGTTTTTCTATTGGAGCAATATTTCTGGTAGAAACCATAGTTTTTAAAAAATTAAAAACAATCAAATCTTTAATGCCGCGGTGCACGTTAAATATTTGCCGTTTTTCCGATAATATTATAGCTAGTTTTTCTTCCCAATTATTATGAAAATTCATTTGAAAGTCAAAAAATTACCTCTTCAATGTACCAACTGGATAAAATTTAGATTCAGAAACGTGCCATACTTGATACATCGGAGCAAGATTCCTGGCAGAAAAGTTGCTCACAAACACACACAAAAAAAATAAATACAAATCATAGTAAAACCAATAGATCAATCGCTACGCTCCGAATCTAAAAATGATTTTTTGTATACAGAAAATAGTCACGGAACAATTGCCGTATCGAATAATCTTTTATTGTGCATCTTAGATCAAAGCAAACATGAATTTATGAATATTTTTGATTTTGGGTAAGATCTGATACAAACCGTAATAATCATTTTTATATTTGGTAAAACTAACGACTAAACTATTTATATACAATAAACTTTACTGATAGAAATAACTGTGTTGTATTAAACAATTTTACAAAAATTCAATTTATTTTATTCTGAATTCATTAAAAAAAAAAAAAAAAATTATGTAAATATCTTAAAAATTAAGGATTTTATTGGGTTGAGACCAAAAATCAAATTTTTAAAAACTTTAAATTCGTTTTCTGAACAAATACTTTTTTTCCGTTACCGAGTTTTGGCAAGAAGCCGATGAATATGTACAAATAGATTGGTAATAATAATAATATTCATGTTATCAATATAATTTGAATCCTCGTAACAATCTTCACCAACCATGTTCCGTGTATTTCTATAAATCTATGGATTTCAACAGTTTTATCACAGTTATTTGGTAATTTTGAATTTTTTTTTTTACTGTATTGCAAATCGTTAGAAAATAATATTTTACACTTGATAGCGATATTATTAAAAAATAATAAGATTTGTCGTTACCGAGTTTTGGCGATCTAAGCTTACCTATCTAAGCGTAGCATTATTTTAAATTTTACTCAGCGTGTTTAAGGGGGAGGAAAAAAGAAAACTATTAAATTGTAATTTCATTTAAACAGTTAGGTGTCAAACATGAAACAATGCTAACAATTATATTACTTAGCTTTGATTGACCATTGTCTGTATGTTCTCATGCATGTAGTGTGGGTATTAAAATATCAGTTTGGTTCTAATAAATGTAATTTACTATTAGACTCACGCTTGGCGTGTATAGTGTTTGCTATGAATGTTCGTAATTTAATTTTCTCAGCATTTTAAGTTAAAATTCGTTGAAACACAATCGACTATAATCGTAATTAATTTTGTGATTACAATGTTCAATTTAAATTCATCGACAAATATTTCACTCAGAATCTTCTTCCGTTTGCAATGACACAATTAATGTGTGTATAGTTCAAACAATCTTATAAAATATTTCACCTGTCCAATTATAGATAATAGTGAACCATTTGAGGTTGGGGACCGACTGTGCACAGACACCTCCTGGAAGTTTTTATTAATAGGCAATTGGCCGAAGTGGGTAATGGCGTGTGATCTACCGGCATGTTTATGACCAGACGTGCACCGTATTCTGGTGATGTTGCGATTAATGTCGTTATATTTATACATTTCGGATATAAAAACCGGTTTCGTGCTGCTTAGTTTCAACACTAGACTGTATGAGCCTATTGTCAAACTTAAGGGTAAGAACATTGTACGGTTTTGTACGTCGGTTTTTTGATTCTCAAGCGTTACGTACCTGCATGATTTTGGTGATGCGGTGGACGGGAAACCCGACTTCGGTCCACGACCGGCGGCCGCCGGCGGAGGACGTCCGGAATCCCGGTACGGCGCCGCAATCGTCGGTGCAGTAGCGCGCGGCGTCGTCGTCGTCGTCACCGCTGCAGCGCGCGGTCGGGTCCCGACGGTGTCCGCGGGCCGGGTAATGGGGCGGCTGTTGGTCCGTCGACGAGGACGCGGACGCCGTGCTCCGCGAATCCGACGACTTGCGATCCGAGTGTCCGCATCCCATGACCGCATGTCCTGCGACGCAGGGACGCTGTCGGCATGTGCGCGGTCGACCGCTCGCGGGCTGTTGCCGCGGGCGGCGTCTCGGCGCTCGAGGGCGCAATAAAACCCGCGTACACGCCGCACTCGCACGCGTCACGCTTAGCCGGGTGCCGGCCGTATAATATGTACTCACACACGCAAACACCGTCGACGCACGCACGTCTGAACACCCGACGCCGCCACCGCTGCGTGCCCAATGCGGCACGCTCATTTATAATAGACGCATCGCGTGTTTCGCCCCGCGACACACCTCTCTACGTATTTACAAGGATTTCTCCGGTGCGGCGTTCGGACATCGATTTTTCATTAGTTCGCCGCGCGCCGCAACCTATGTCTCCGTAACAATATTGAGCAAGTGCCGATGCCTGTTGTACAGGTATTACGCCGTTACGACGGCATCCGTAAACCTGTAACGGTTTCGGTGTACCGTTGCGCGCGGATCAGCCGCGGTTTCGACCCGACATCGGTGGTAAGCAAGCGCGTGGGTGCATCCCCCAATAGTAGTGTGCGCACGTATCGTATTGCGCAGCACCGGGCCACCGGTTCCGCTAACCGTCAACTGAAACGCGGACGTATGCGCCATTATGCACTAAACGCGCCATCGGTAACGATCGCGATTAGAGGAGATTATTTTACAGTGGGGCGGAGTACGGTGCGTGATTCGACTGCCGTGTACGTTGCCGTCGTGTTATCCTCGATATCCGCGGGGGGCCTTCGATAACGCTTGGCGGCCGTCCGTCCTAGCAAGCGTTGCGCCGGCGCGACGCACCGCCAGACCAATACAACCTCGTTAAAGACTTTTTATCGGGTCGCCGCGCGGTGTTCCGGCATCAGTCGAGAAGTGAATCTCGAAAGGATGCCCCCGGGGGTCGGTGCTTGCACCGATCTCGTGGAACCTCATTTTCGATGATTTGCTCAGTGCTGCCATGCCTGAAGGGGTAACCGCATTCGGGTATGCAGACGACGGGGCGGTTCCTGGTGGAAGCCGACTCCCGACCAGAGATCGAGCGCAGGGCCGATCAAGCGCTCGCTTCGGCCCTCGCCCTCGAGTGGGGAAACTGAAACCGCGGGGAGGTTTTGGTGCGGCGTACAGTTGCGTTTGTGCGGGACCGGCGGGAGCAACCACAAACCTTAGTAGGGCGGAGTGTTATTGTGGAATTGAAAACGTTACACGTATATTGTGACGGTTGGGTTATGGCGTAGTGCTAACTACATACCTATCATGTAAAACACCGTACGTTTTTCGCGGCACTTAAAGCTAAAATATTAAAATGTATTTCTCATAATTTCATAATTAACCTTTTGTCGTAGTTATTGTATTCATTTGTTTGTGGTTAAAACATAATATAGATTAGAACCCAAGCGGACGATTTGAAACGGAGCAATTTGATATTATACCGGAGCGTCAACAATAAAGCTACAGACTCGATGCGTATTTTACTCGAGTTATTATGCGCCCGGGTATTTTCCGTAATTGAAAACAGTCATTTATCACAGAATATTTTCAAAAATCTCTTCATTCTTGAATGTATCTCTTCGAATTGTTCTAATTGTTCGCGATTTAATTTATTACTAAAATAAATAAATTGGAATTTCCATTGAAAATAGTTTGTTTTTGTTTTTTTCTAGATTCTAAAAGATTCTAGACGGGTGTTTTACACCGTTATTAAAACAAATGTTCAAAACCGAAACAGACCAAAGTTTAGACAGGAGACTTCGAGAAAACTACGTACATGCTTCGAGGAAATCCGGTGTGCGTACGAGAGGTAGACCAACGGATAACAATAAACCGCAAACATTTCCTCCATCTGAAATGTGGTCGACAGCTAAATCATTTTGGTTTGCCGAACGTTGCAGACCCGTATAATGACGTAGAAATAACGCAATTTAATGCCGACTTTCCTTGTCAGGAAGTTAGAGGGGGGATGGAGGTCATATTATTATAGTGTGTATCGGTTTTAGAGGCTTACTTATTACGTTCGTTTTTATTACAAAAAAAAAAAAAACATCACGTGATAATTAACTTTTATTGCGTTTTGAAATGATTTTTCAACGGTATTAAATTTCCTTACACGGCGGCGTGGTGGGTGAAAAATAAAATTTGTATTCCTCAGTTTCGCGCGCAGAAAACCAACCCTAAATTATTATTGTTAAACGTGTTCGATAAGACCACAGTGCGGATGTTCACATATAATAATAGACATTTTCCTGTAGAATATCGTCGATGGAAAAACGGCGAAGTTATAAACCGCGTATAACTGCCCGTAAGTTCCGTTTTCGCCGTTTTGGCTACGGAAGAATTTTATGAAAAATAAAAACCCAAACAAATAATAACATTAATAAACTTGTGCGTGCGTATCGAGATCGCGGTGCTTCAAGAGGAGCACTTCGATTTCGATGTTCGGCGTACACCGCAGCTGTCCGTGATGTAACTTGTTTTCAGCGTGACGAATTGCCAATTATTAATGATTAATATATTATCTATTTCGAGACACCAACGTGCAGTCAAAAGGAACGAAATGTTATTTTTGTTGAATAAATTACGAAAATCCGATTATGGAAAAAAAAGATCACATTTTTATTGTTGAAAAAAAAAAACAAATTGCAATTTATTTATGTCGCTGGCCGGAATTATATTATTGTGTCGGGATGCGGTCGTTTTTCAGTAGTGGTAGGCGGCCGGGTAGGCGTAGGCGGCCGTGTTTTGGTACTTGCCGGGCCAGTAACTGCCGTCGTCGTCGGCGTAGACGCCCGGGGCCGCGTACGTTTTGGTCGGGTAAGCGGCGTAGGCCGCTATCGCCGGATAAGGGGCGTAAGCTTTTGCCGGGTAAGGGGCGTAAGCTTTAGCGGCTGCGGCCACGTATGGAACCGGGGCGTAGTGGTACGGGTAGGCGCCCGGAACGGAGTAAGCCAAAACCGCTAAATTAAAAAAAAAAATAAAACAACCGCAAGTCGAATGTAATACATTTTATAAAATAATAACCATAGACTCGGGGGACTTTCCGAAGCAGTGGCGTAATCAGGATTTTGCCGAGAAGGGAGGTATTGAATTTGGAAATGTGTCAGTTTTTACAATGTATAATAAATTATACATATACCTACCCAGGTTAAAAAAAAATAAACGAAACGAAACGAAAAGAGAAATTTGTATTAATTTATAATTGCCCTAAAACGAGTATTGAAATTAAATATGTACTTATTCGGTCACTATAATAATCTAACCTTCTCCTTTATGTATTGCATAGTGTTGCGGATAAGTTTCGTTTGAAATTAGAAAACGAGTATACGTTTAGGGTTTTTCTTTATTTTTTTTTTCAAATATATTAACTATGTATAGATAGTCCAACGCATTAAATTGTTGATTTCTCTGATTGAAAAGTAAAGAAATTTGAATTTAAAAAGACTGATAATATTCCGTATACGTGGGTGGACCACTGTAGATGTGAAGTTGGGAAGGTAGAGGGGAAATTTAATGTATATCTACGCAACGATTTACCATTACAAATGAACAACGATTCTAAGTGGAGTTCGGTTAATAGTGTTGCTTTGTTAACATTATATATGTCACATTATGGTGAAATAATTACATTATATGCATTATATATTTTCTTTAACAATATTTGTTTAATATTGTACCTGTTTTCCCGTTACTGCCAGTTTTTACCATGTTTTCCCGTTTATTAGGAAAACTTTTAAGAAAATCATATAAAGCCTTCCTTTAAGTATCACAATAGTCAGATTTACTTTCAAAAAAAAGTGCTATCATTGCAAATCGGAATAAAATTGCTGGTAGAAAAGTCGTTCACAGGAAAAAAAACTGCAACATTTTTTTAAAAATACCTACATTTCGTACATTTTTCCATTTTCCCTCCGTTTTCCCCATTTATTGGAGAAACTCCTTGAAAATCAAAAAACGACTTCTCTAAAGTACCATCCCAAGGAAATTCCCTTTTAAAAAACGTGCTATACTGTCTGTACTTGATACTTCGGAGCAAGATTTTTTATAGAGTTTTCGTAAACAGTATAACAAATTTAAAAAATAAATATCTTTGTGAGACCAATACATTCATTATTACACCCAGAACTTAAAATAGGTATTACTTAGGCAGATAATATGCATACCTAGTGAAAAAAAATGTCAACCTAAACAAATGACAAAATAAACCTCTCTAATCTACCCCTGCAAATACGCCACTGTCCCGAAGTCGATGTAATAACACGAGTATTTTCAGGTTAGGTTACTTACGAGCCGGAGCGGTTGCGATGTAAGCGTGTTTCTTCTCCCTCACGGTTTCGGTTTCTTGGGTGGCGGCAAAGGTGCATACGACCAAGGCGAAGAATATCTGTTGAGACAAACTTTATTATTATTACTGTTTCTTAATTGTGGTTTTAATCGATTTCGCGGAAAAGTAACACATGTTTTACAGACGGTATTCTAAAAGGATATATTTCATAAATTCCAGAAAAAATAGATATAATGATTTAACAATTTTTCTAGATGAAAAAAAAAACAAATTTTTATTCGTTACCTAATTAGGGCTAAAAGTTGTAAAATTTTGCGCATAGCTAAATTTCAAAACTGTTGTGCGATTGATGTCTATATATTTAACTTCATAATTCATTTGTTAAAACATTATACAAATATGTATTATTTTAATTATTTTATCCATTTGTTTTTAACAAATATTTATAAATTAGGTATACGAGAGAAAGAAATAAAAATAAATATATTTAGATGAATCAATTGTTTATCTCAGATAGTTTATCCCTCACTTATTTAAATTTAGACAAAATAAATATGTACTTAAATATAAAAAAAACACGAACCCATACAAATAAATAATAAAAAAAAAAATGTACAAATAAATCTATTTAAAAATTCAAAAATAGCGTTGAAATACAATATTCTGAATATTACACAATACCATCGCATAACTAATAAATATGTCGGAATGAAACTTTGCATTTATAGTAAATATAGATAAATAATATATTTTTATGAGCACATCGCTTCAAATAAGAAGTTCTTTTTTTTAAAAAAAAAGGTCATTTTTGTAATATTATTTTCCTACGTCGTCGTTATTATAAGAGTAAAAAAAAAACTTTTTTGTACAATTTTTTTTTTTTTTTGCTACAAACTCGCAACCCCGGTAATAAATATATAATAACCAGTATTTCGCAGAAATATTTATTTTCGGAAAATAAATACTACTGCACTTTTTCTATTCATATTCATAATAAATTAATAACTGTGTTGTCCACTGAAAACGTGCTGTATACCGGTTATTGAAAATACTCGGCGTATTTTCGTGAAACGGACCGCGTATGGGTGTATTACAATGTCTTATGTCGTCGGTAGCAAAGTCACTCACCAGATTCTTGAAAGAAGCCATTTCGAGATGTGTGTGATAGTTTCTGGCGTGTTTCGGCGAAACTTCTGCAAACTTCAACCCGCGGTCGACTTGGGAATTGATAAGAATATTAATGTGTGATGTCGATGGCGGGCGTCCCGGGGCTTATATACTGCAGCCGGAAAGACATCTGTCGGGTGTGCACATAACGAGGAGCCCCTTCTTTCGACCGCCGCGACGGTAACGACGCAAGGGCGTCGCCCGTCCGAAATTCCAAAAGCCTGACCGGTCGTATATCTATACCTGTACGTACCTCCGTGGAAACGCTTCGGCTGCACAGTTGACCTTGCATAGAGGTCGAGTCTGTGGGTAGCGGTCGATTTCGATCCGATCTGCAGTTTATAACAGTGCGTCGTTATTGTATCACTTACCAAGTCTACTTAAGGGAGTGTCCACTTAATGATATGTTAGTATGATAGTCTGCATAAGTATGTATACTTATTTATATAAATTTATGGTGCGAACAAAAGTCAACTTTCTTCGTCTAAACATTTCGGGTACTGCAGAGCGCGGCGAGGGACATGACGTGTATTTAAAGTAAAATGTTTACTTTAAGTTTATCAAAACGTAATCACCCGAATTTGGCTTAGAATCATTCTTCCTATTTACAAATAAAATTAAAATATTGCCCTACACTTATAAGTATCCTTCCTTCCAAAATTAACAACTATAAAACAGCCTACCCATGGTGCGAAGTATGTCTGGATTAAAAATAAAAATATTTTTCCTGTCGATAGTTTTAAAATACAGTGAAAATTATTACCTAATTAAGTATACCTAGGTATTAAACTTATTTTTTAATGTCCGAATAAATGAAAATATTAATGCGACGGTGTTTTAACGTTGACATTGATATTGAAAATGATATTAGGTAGTACCTAAGTACATGTATACGGAATAAAAATCTCATTGAAGGACCGGGTTTCATTCCGAAATAAATAAGTGATGTTAACATAAACACGCGATAATTTATTGTAGGTAACCATGTATAGACCTGACAAAGAAAAAAAAATGTTAAACTAAACAGAAATATAATTGACGTCCGATTTACGGTGAATAAATAGGCGAATTCCTACATCGATCATAGGATATTTAATTCGACTCCTATGGTAACATGAAATTTTCCAAAAAAAATTCTCGAAATACTATTGAAAAATGAAAATAACCGCAAATTTACGATACCACAATTACCCAATACCTAAATATGCAGACTTTCGACTTATCGATCTTTTAGATTCTGAGTGGAGCGAGCAATGCATCGGTTTTTTTTTATCATATGATACAATTTTTTTTTAAAAAAAATTGTCAAAAATTGACTTAAGCCCTTTTTTCCTGAACCCAAAAATGTATGCATAGTTTTTTTTTTTTTTTATTATAAATTTAACAGTATTATTTTGTTTCAATAATCTTAAATCGAAAACTTGATGAAAATATTGGTGATGATTTAACGCGTATGACTATCTGGATAAAATAAAACCTATTTTTTTTCCTTTGTAGTTAGAAATGTATACATTTTGAAACCATATTTATACATAATTGAATAATAATTTTGGGTGAAACAATGAACTGTTAATTTTTGGGACCTGACGTTTGTATATTAATATCAAAGGAAATGTCTATCTGTTTGTTTAATTGCTTGTTCGTCTGGGTTTGATGTACAGCCAAATCTATCGCAGGCTGATGTTTGAAGATTTACTTATGAAAGTGGACGAACAGCTCTGTATATTCACTTCGAAGCCGAATCTCTGAAACTCAAACCTTCAAGATTAACTCATACCAGATTTTTAGTATTTTTGACACGAAAATTGAACTATTTTTTTACCAATTATTGTTTACCAACATCAATGGGAAAAAAAAAAGAGCTGATACTGATGATGGATATTACATTATTGGAGGTGGGATGTTGGGAAATAAAGATATATCAAGTTATTTTATTAATATTTGTACTCAACGATAATTAACGAAATATGATTTGTAGCGAAGTTTGGTTAAATATTTATCTGAATTCTACCATGTTTCTACGATTTCCCATTCAAATTTGAATTTTAAACTCGTATTTGTATACATATTTTTTAAATTTTTATTTAAATTTCAGAAAACATCACCCTATAAATAAATAGAGAATCTATAAATATAGATTCTCTACAGTGCGAGTTGTTATTGTTTCACAATGTGTTTGGTTCCTATAGGTTAGTTTGCTGAATACAATTTTTTTTCTGCGAGTACAGGAAAAAACTCGGCAAGCACGTGTCCAAGTTTTTTTTTATATCAGAGTTTTTGCTGATATTTGCGCATAGTCTGTATACAGACTATAGTGACAGAAATTTTAAATTGTAACGATTTTTTTTTCATAACTCAAATCATGAGAGGGGGATAACCCCCTTCACCCCGAGGATTCGTTATAATCTTTGGTATTATTATTTCTTGTAATACGTATGCCAGAATGGTACTGTACCAAAAAGGAGAAAGGTCATAATGTTATTTCCGTAATAAAATATTATCAATAATCGCTGATTTTGTTTTATATATTATTCGGTGGCCAGTGGACGGTGATGTATGTATTTTATAACAGGTACACTTGATACCTATGTCTTTATTAAGACTGTCAGAACCGGTTTACCAAATTTTCTCTAATTTTGTAAAATTTTAAAATAAAATCTAACACTCCAATGCCCACCTTATAAATATACGACTTTTCATTAATTAATGGACGCGACACTGCCCATTTGAAATAAATGGATACGAACGTTTTTACGGGCGAGAATTACTTCACGGAATGAACTCTCACGCCTCGTATAACTTCTCCAATTTCAATATACTTGTCTACTAACACACTAATCTACTAATTTCTTTTTACTTAATACCGATTTTTGATTAATTTACATATAATGTCAGGGGTGGGGATGTTAAAAAATAACAAAACTTAAAATTGTTCATAATCGTTTCAACTACCTCTAAAGCTTCTATATAGGAGTTTGTATTTTGAAAATCGGAATTCAACGTGACCTTCAAAAGTCTTCCTCTTTTGAATGAAAAAAAAAAACATCAAAAACTAACTAATCGACGAGATACGATGAGTTTTTCCGCGAGAGGCATTTTTTTTTAAATATAAAATATAATGTGGTGGCTCCGACAGCCTTATTGCCTTAATATTATTCATCGATCAATAATACATATAAAGGTGACCCACTTTTGCACTCAAATTTTTTTTTCATACCACTATAATAATAGATTTATAGATATTTTTTATTAAATTATACTCGTGCACTACGGGTAAATAATAATCAAGTCCACGGTCGTTTTTTTTTTTTTTTTAGGCATCGCGGTCAATTTTATAAAAATATGTAGTATACAAATATATATATATATATAAGTATGGTTATAATTTGGTCCGATTTTATAATATACTTATATAAGTATAAAACATAGCTATGTATTATACGTGTGTTTGTATATAAGTAAAATAATATTCTATACATTTGAGACCGGCTAACACGCGATATCATTTTTGAAACGATCGTCGCGTTTATTTAATAATTTTTTTTTTTCTAGGTGGTAGGTCGCATTACGTGGCTATTATTATTATAATATTATATAGTGTTTGGTATAAATTTCTGACATTTAAAACCTATATGGACGATTTCTCGGAATTCTAATGAATACATTTATAATAAAATAGCAATTATACTATAATATTGCATAAACCCCTGCCGTTAAACTGGTATTGCATACGGTTTTCGACGGTATTCAAACGTAAAGCGCGTACAATGCTACGCTGCGGTTCGTTTTTACTAGCTGACACGGCAATGTTTTACTATTGCTAGATAAAAGTGTAAATTAAATAGCAAAAATAAAAGTTTTCTTGTCCATAAACTAAAATAAATGAATACAAAATTAGATATTCGTACCAAAAATACCTAAAACTCCCCATTCTACCCTTATAGTGGTTAGTAATTGGCGTAGTAATCAATAACAACTGTATCACTAATAATAATGATTATCGTTAACAAATATAATCAGTATTTCAATAAAATAATTAACAATAATTATAATTAATCAAATTAATAAGAGTAATACAAATTAGAATAATAATAATAATAATGAGCAATTTAATAAATCATAATCATAAACATCAATAACAATAATAAGCATTCACAAAATAACCATTTTAATAAGAAGCATAATATAATTGGTAGGTAAATAGGTAACAATAACGGTGACAGTACGGTGACCATATTAATAATTATAATCACCAATAGTAATAATAATAACAATTTTGTTGTATTATTATTATGATCATTGAAATATGCTGATTATTATTATTGACGATTATTCTTATTCAAATGATGATGATTATTATTAAAATGTTGATTATGATATTTGTTGAGGGTTATTATTATAATTGATGTTTGATAGCTGTTATAGATATGCTGATTATTATTTTTGTTGATTAAATCATTACAATTATTGATGATTATTGATTATTATGATGCTGATTTGATTACTATTATTGAAACGCTCGTTATCATTATTGGTGATTATTATTGTTTAAGTGCTCATTATTGTTATTATTATTATGGCTAGTAGAAAAGTTTTTACCCGCAAAAAAAAGACCGCAATATTGTTTTACTAATACATTTCGTATATTTTCCAGTTTTCCTCTGTTTTTTTGGTTTTCACGTTTGTTGAGTAAACTCCTGAAAAACTCGAAATGATCTCCCTAAAGTTTGTTTATTTTTTAAATCTAGTGTCTACCCTAACAATTTCGCTAAGGGGGCCTTCACGACTGAGGCCCCGTAGGACATGCTTAGGTTGCCGGGGTGTTAGATTCGCCACTGATTTGGTGATTTGGTGGTATACGGTGGTAGTTTTGAATATTTTTTTTTTAATACTTTGGATTTGATATATACTTACGACACCGCTGTTTAATGATTGGATAAAAAAATAGCTAATTTATACTAAAATATTTTTCATGACTTAACGGTCCTATATTAAAAATTTTATTTTTCATATCTAACGGGCTATCTCGTAGCTATTTTTTTTAGATTTTTAGTATTTTGTATATTTTTAGAGTATATTTAAATTTTTTTTAAAGTATATTTTAGGGGCA